TATCAACTGGAGGAGTATCAACTGGAGGAGTATCAACTGGAGGAGTATCAACTGGAGGAGTATCAACTGGAGGAAATGCCGCCTTATCATGTGTAGTAAACCGGACTCTGGAGGTCGTCGTGACTTTTTTTTGGGGGGGGGGGGGTCCTTGCGTGCTCGGCCAGTAACATGGCCACACTTCATACAAGTACATTAATGTCTAATAAGGTCAGTGGATACAATGCAGGATTGTAACGGAAAGTCAACAACCACATCTCTTACTGAAGATCAAACGTTTGCATGATGATTTGCAGACCCACGGATATACGCTCAATACGAGGCACGCGTACAAAAAAGCGTGCGTTGTCCGAGTGCGAGATTGGATGGAGCAAATCGATAGCAAGGGCATATTAGGGCAGGGTACATCCGGCACTCCGAACGTGGCTTGCACGGAAGAAGCCTGCGCGCAGAACAAGTTTCTGCAGCATGACCAGCGAGTCTTCCAGGCCTTGAAGCTGTCGCTGAGCGTGCGTGCTTGAAAAGTGATGCGGCAGCAGTGTCAGAAGCCGCACAGAAGCCACAGGGGAGGGGGGGGGGATGGGCGTCGAAACGAAATGATGGAATGCGGACGGTGTGGCTGTGAGGCTGCCGTAGCGCGACAGGACCAGAATAGCTTCCAATTTCCCGTATGGCGCACGTTGGTAGGGGAACAGCGCTGTAGCACAGCAGCAAGACACAGCGACAGCGAAGTCAGCGTGAAGGTGTGCCAAACAAGAAGCATAACAGCTGCACTGCTGCACTGCTGCGCTGCTGCATCCCTTGTAAGCTTGATCGGCGCGATAAGCTGAGCGAGTGTGGTTTTGGGTTACGATCTGAAGGTGCTGTGACGAAGGTGCGCACTGGTAATTGGAGAATCCTGGATCTCGGCACCCATCCAAGACGGCATTCGGGAGCTGACGAAGGCAGCCCTGATCGCTCTGGCTACTGCGAGGCTGTCCCCTTCTTGCTAGACTCTCCCTCAAGCATCCTCACTCCACGACGACGAGCACCACTGCCGGCGCGCCCATCCCCTCGCAGCCGCCCCCTCTCCGCACCCTTTACCCTTTCGACTCGGCAGCCCGCAGACGCCAATACGCGCTTCTCTGCCCGCGCCGTAGGCCAGCGTCGCTGCAGCATAGCAACCACGACACCCAGCCGCTGCCGCTGCAATCCCCACGCTGGCTGCCTACGCCCCGTCGCCGTCTCCTCCGCCCTACGCCGGCGTGAAGGCCGCCTCGCTGATGAGCGTGACGACCGTCCATGAGTCCCAGATGATGCCCTCGTATGCGGCCGAACGCGAGCCCACCACCAGCGACGCCCCGAACTTCTCGCACCCGCACCCGCACACCCCCAAGGGCCTGCCGCACCGCACCCCGTCTGAGAAGTCGCTGCCGCTGCGAGAGCGCGCCCCCAATGGCACCGCCACGCAGCAGCCGGGCAAAATGAACGGCAGCACCGCGAAGCCCGTGCCGTCAAGCATGCAGTCGCTGCCAAACGGCAACGGCCGCCCTGCCAAGCCCTCGAGCATCGACCGCCGCATATCGCACGACGACGCCCGTCGCAGCAGGGCAGACATGGACCGCGACAGCCTGCGCCAGTCCATGGACAGCCGCGCCAACTCGGGCGAGCTGCTCGCCCGCGACGACGGCTACTTCGCCTCGGTGCACGGCAGCGAGTCCAAGGACATGCTGGGCACCACCCACGTCAAGCTGGGCCAGCTGAACTCGTTCGACGGCACCAAGGAGGCCCAGAAGGACTTCGTGCCCCACGTCTCCTCGCCGTCCGTCGATGCCAGCTCCAGCCTGCGGGTGCCCGGCTCGACATACCGCGTGTCGGCTCCCCCGGCCTTCAACAACGACGCCTGCTCTACAACAGCTACGCCCTCGCCGTCACAGCACCCCTACCGCCTGCAGCAGCGTCACACCCTCGAAGTGCCCAAACTGTCCTCTTCGCGCCCCCGTGATTCACAGAACAACACCGACGATGTTGTCTCCGCAAGTGGGAGGTTCTCGCCAACGTCAGCTTCCCGTCGCAGAGGATCCATGTCTCTCGTGCGCCGGACCACACGATCTATCAACTCGGACATGCACCTTGACGAGGTGCCGCAGGACGAGGACGCTGCGCGGTGGGCCGAGCACATACGCCAGAAGCGGGCGAGCAAACGAAAGCGGAGGGAAGATGAGGACGAAGACCGCGTCGTGGTCGGTACCAAGGTCGACCAAAACCACGTCAACTGGGTCACTGCTTACAACATGCTTACTGGTATCCGATTTACCGTGTCGAGAACCAATGCTAAGATGGACCGCGAACTCACTGACGCTGACTTCGATGCGAAGCACAAGTTTTCCTTCGACATCACCGGCAACGAGCTCACCCCGTCCGCCAAGTACGACTTCAAGTTCAAGGACTACGCACCCTGGGTCTTCCGCCACCTCCGCACAACTTTCAAGCTTGACCCCGCCGACTACCTTGTATCACTAACGAGCAAATACATCTTGTCTGAGCTAGGCTCGCCCGGCAAGAGCGGCAGTTTCTTCTATTTCTCCCGAGACTACAAGTACATCATCAAAACCATCCACCACGCCGAACACAAGTTCCTCAGGAAGATTCTGAAGGACTACTACAACCACGTACAAGACAACCCGAACACTCTTCTTTCCCAGTTTTATGGCCTTCATCGCGTGAAGATACCCTACGGACGCAAGATCCACTTCGTCGTCATGAACAACCTGTTTCCTCCGCACCGAGACATTCACCGCACATTCGATCTCAAGGGATCCACCATTGGACGCGACTTCCGAGAAGAAGAGCTCGAAAAGAACCCCCGCGCAACACTGAAAGATCTCAATTGGTTACGAAGAGACCTGCATTTGGAGCTGGGGCCAACGAAGAAGGATGCGTTCATCGAGCAGATGCGAAAGGATGTGAAGTTGATGCAGAAGCTTCACATTATGGACTACTCGATGCTCATCGGTATCCACGACCTGGAGAAGGGCAACGAGGAGAACCTCCGCGAGAAGACATTGAAGGTCTTCCAGCCGGGTGGTGAAGCTGCCGAGGAACCCCAGCCCAACCAGCTCATGCGGACACCGTCGAAGTTGGAGACCGCACGCAAGGCAAGAGAGCTCCGACAGTCAGTCAAGACACAGAAGCCAGTCCCCATGGAACAAACTTCCGCTAGAATGCCGGATGAATTGGAAGATTCTAAGAAGCACTTCTACTTCTACTCCGACGACGGTGGCTTCCAGGCCACACATGAAGACGACCGTCCCGGGGAAGAGATCTACTACCTTGGTATCATTGATTGTCTCACACACGTAAGTTTAGCAGATGACTGTGTCACTGACGTTCAACTAACACTTGCAGTACTCTCTCATCAAACGGATGGAACATTTCTTCAAGGGCCTTGCAAATACCGAATCCCAGATCTCTGCCATCCCTCCCGAACGATATGGAGACCGTTTCATAAAGTTCATCACCGGCGTAACCAAGACCAAAGAAGCAGCCGAGCGAGAAAAGGCAGAATCAGCTTTGGACCCTACCAACGAAGCCGTCGTCGGCATCTCACGCAGCTCCACAGACCGCGTCATGGAAAAGGCCGAACATCAAGCCGAGAAAACCCAACGCCATGGCGTCCCCGAACGGGACGTCCCCAACCTCCAAATGCGCGTAGTCCGCAGTCCGTCCGCCGAGCGCGGCGAAATCGGCACCACGCTCCCTGTCGTCGAAGAAGCAGGCGAGGCATCCAGTCTAGGCGGCCGCAGCAACCGCTCCCACGATGCACCAACCCGCTCTCCACCTCCACCGCCGACAGAAGAGGCGCACGTCACGCCTCTGCAAAGACCCGTAGCACGGGACATAGAACATGGCAGGCCGCCGCCCACACCGCCCAAGGACTCTGGCACAGCGAGCGAGGAACGACCGCCCACACCACCAAAGGATGGCCATTATGCGCATAACAGGCATTCTGGACCACCGACGCCGCCGAAGGAGAGCAAGGGGAGGGTCAGCGTGGACAAGGAGCTGCCGAGGACGCCGCTGGAGACTACGATCCGGGTCAACTAGCTCGATTGACCGGCACCGACGACGGATGTACAATGTTTTGGAACACACAAGATCTCACGCACACTTTGCATATCGAGCTGGATGGAACCTCACTTCTCTTTATTCATTCTTGCAAGCGAATGCACGATACCAATACCACCACGGGCACCCCCCCCCCCTAACCTCATAACCATGTACCTGTAACATGGGCAGGAGCAGGGCTGGCGCTTCGTGTATTTCTTTTGTTGTATTTCTTCATGTATCTTTCTCACAACTCACGGACCGGAATGGCGAAACGGCTATTCTCTCTGATCACAATTCAACCCTTTCTCCTTATGTTTGTGCTTTTGTATCTGTTTAAGCGGCATTGCTAGCTACTGGTCTTTAGATCTCTTTTCCGCCTTTGAGGGATGCGTTTGACTGTTGGATGAGAGGGGGCTTCTTGTAGTATAATTATCTGGTGGTTTGGGGTGCGAGTTTGAGCAGATGGAACAGACGGGGGTGGCTTGGATAGCAACAGATGCGCCTAGGTAGACAGGGAATTAAGAAAGTATATCTAAGATCGTGCTGCCCTGATATCTCTTGCTTGATGAATGAAACTTCGAAAGGGTGCGTCACAAGGTAAGAGGGCTGAAGTGTAGAGATCAAAGCTTCGCCCTGCTGATCACAAAGGAGTGCCGCGTAGAACGAGTACACAATAGCCTGGAGGATGTGGACCGACTCTAGAGCGCAACAATAAAGTTTGCAGTCATTCATTGCATTAGACATGCAGCCAAGCGTATGTGCAGCATGCACATCCAGACCAAAAGGTCAACGTCTATGTAGTGTACAATGCCACTTCCATTTGTTATTCCCCACAAGCAGCAACGCGTTCATTTGTAGAAGTCAAACTTGTCGGCCTCAGCTGTCCCCTTGACCTGGCTGGTGTACGCCTCCTCCAGATCGGCCTGGATGATGTTGTACCTGTTCTTCCTGACAGCCCTAAGACCAGCCTCCTGCATGATGGCCGCAATAACCGCACCAGAAAGCGGGTCATTGCGCACGATCAGACTGTCCATATCGACTTCGGGCGACAAGCTCATCTTTCCTGCGATCGTGGAGAAGATGAGACGGCGCTCGCGACGGTCTCGCAGCGAAGGGAACTCGATCTTCCGGTCGAGACGTCCTGGTCGGAGGAGCGCGGGGTCGAGTGTGTCGGCACGGTTGGTGGCCATGATGACCTTGACGTTCGAAGTCTGGTCAAAACCGTCCATCTGGTTCAGCAGCTCGAGCAAAATACGCTGAACTTCTCGGTCGGCACCTGTTTGTGCGTCGAAACGCTTTGTAGCAATGGCATCGATCTCATCGATGAAGATGATGGATGGCGAGTTCTCACGCGCCATTCTGAAGACGTCACGAACCATGCGCGGTCCTTCACCCAAGTACTTCTGTACAAACTCAGACCCTACTACACGGATGAACGACGCTGTCGTGCTGTTCGCAACGGCCTTGACCAGCATAGTCTTTCCTGTACCCGGAGGCCCGTAGAGCAGAACACCTCGCGGTGGGTCGATACCGATCTGCTTGTACAGGTCGAAGTGTGTGAGGGGCAGCTCGACAGCTTCCCGGATCTCCTGCTTCTGCATATCCAACCCACCAACATCGGCGTAGGTCACATCTGGCTTCTCGTCCTGGCCAAGCATGGCGATCGATGAGTCGGCCTCGGGAGGCAGGATGTCGACGAGGGCATTTGAGTGGCGGTGGAGGGCGACGGATGAAGAGGGCTTGAGGAGTTCGCGGTCGAGTGTGGACAGGATGCGGACGACATAGTTCGAGCCAGTCGAAGACTGTACGATACCGGTGCTAAGTAGGTTAGCTTTGAGCATCCATGGTGAAACGTCGTTAAGCGTACTTCTGGTCGATAGCCTCCATAAACTGCCCGATCACGAGCGGTACACTCTGGATCCTCTTGATCTCCTCTTGTGCTCTCACCAGCTCGCGCTTCAAGCTCCGCTGCTCATCCTTGATGTATTCTTCCTGAAGGTGGATGTACCTGCGCCAGTTAGCCACCTGTAGCTGTCGTGTAAGGCGGGGTGGACCACGTACTCTAGTTGCCGTTGGAGCTTCTTGAAGTTCGAGTAGTCATCGTCGCCCTCTGTTGTGAAGCCCTCCAGTGTATCGAAGTTCGGTATCGAGGATGGGAGCTGCTTCTTGTGCGGCGGGACGGTGTTCAGCGGGTTCTCGACGGCGGCGTCAGCCATGATGAACAGTGCTTATGTCGGTTTGGTGGTGCAGAAGTATCGAAAGGGGTAGATGAGGGTGAGAGGAGTCGGGTATGGGTGAAGGGCCGTTGCAAGGATTGTGGGCGTTGTTTGCCTGTCGCACTGTCGATGAAGCTCGTGGAAGGCGTCGGCGCGTTCCAACTGCCAAGGCCGATGCATCGTCAGTGAATGGTCACGTGTATTTGCCGCATACTGAAGAGTGCAATCATGGCACGGCTTGAAACTAACGTTCGAGTTCCTGCACAGCAAAAAAGAATCCTTGTGATTTCAACAATAACTGTAGGATAGTTAACACGATATCTACCGGATGATTTGGCGTGTGGAGGTAGTTGACAAGTCAACCGCTAGTGGTGATCACGTGTATCGAGGTGCGAGAGTGGACTCAATGCAAAGGATAAGGTTCAAAGTCTGGTAAGAGGCGATATGAGGTAGATCAGCATACAGAATCCCTTTCGAGTCTACATTATCGGACTCCAGGTAAGCGAGAGCCACATCAGCTCGCGGGAACGAGTGGGCAGACAGGGCATGGCGCGGTTGGGCTGGGCGAGTCTGAGCGATCTTTGACAAGGCCGCAACAGACAATCAGCGCGCCTCTCTAGGAACCTAGGTGATGTAATAGTGGAGAGAGACCTGTGTTACAACGGTCAATCAACCGGCTCCGGGGGGATTTGATCCAGTTAGCTCAGGCTTGTGAGTGCCGGCAATGCAGCCACTCCACTGGTTGCGATGCGACAAACGCGTGATCTGGAATTTCGCGACGGTACATGCTCCCATAGAGTTTCGAGTGAATTGCTATCCGTTGCTGCTCATTGCTGCTTTTGCTGCGCTGGAGGCCTGCAGCGCTCGAGGAAGGGGCGACTTATTCCTCGTGACTGACTAAGCAGGCGCGAGCGGCCGGGCGCTCCTGCCTCCTCAACCTCAGCAGAGCCATCGCGTCGAAGGACGTGCGGTACGTGACTTCCTATCGACACACATCCCGAGCATTCCCCGCACATTGCCCTGATGAGGACGTCCCTCTAGCGCCTATCATTTGTCGCGCGGTGTATGTTACTCCTAGCTCCTTGACCTTGTGCTCTGCCCTCTCTGCGCTGGGTCTGGCCCTAGTGCGGTATCCATTAGTTGCGTCTATTCTCACATCAACATGCCTGCTGACGTCTTGCTATACAGGTGGATTGAATGCCTCCACGCGCACCCATCGCATCTTCAGTCGATCACTATTACCCACGGCGACGTTCCTTACCGCCGCTCGCTGCAAGCGTCCATTCACCGTAGCCGCGCAAGATGGATTTCCAGTCTCCACAGCAGAACGGGATGTATGACCCGTCGAGCTTCATCGATCCAAACGCGCTTGCGAACCCCCAAATGAACGGCGCGCGCGGCTTTCCAATGAACACAATCCCGCAGAAGCGCGACAGCCAAGGGAATGCCGCTTTGTCACGCTCCCAGACTCCGTCGCAACAACCCCAATTCGGCTTCCAGCAGCAGCAGGGCTTCACCCACACACCGTCGCCGACCATGCAGAACCAGAACTTCATGCCGGGACAGATGGGGCAGCAGAGGATGCAGACATCGTCGCCCGCGCAGAATCCCAACGCGCCGCAAATGTCTCCCATGGGCTTCCAGGGCAATGCGATGAACCAAGGATTCAATCCGAACGCTGGCGGCCAGTTTCCTGTGCAATCAGTGCAATTGTCGCAAAACCTACAGGAACGACAGCTACAAGCCCAGAGACAGTATGCTATGCGTTTACAGCAGCAGGCGCAACAGCAACAGCAACAGCAACAGCAGCAACAAATGGGTGGAGCGATGGGGAATCTGGCGGCGGCCAACATGGCTGCGCAACAGCGACACCAGTCTGGACAGATGCCTGGCGCGATGCAACATCCCGGCATGCGGCCAAATCCCATGCAAACGCAGGCGCAGGCGCAAGCACAGACGCAACAAAATCCTCAGCTTGCTCTACAGCACTTCACGAAGAATGTCGCTGCGCTCATGCAACAGCACGGTCGAAGCTTCAATCCCAGTCCGACAGTCGCTGGCCGCGTGATCAATCTCCAGAACCTCTACCGAGTCGTCATGCAATTCAAGGGCTACCGCTACGTAACACAGTCGCAGGGCTGGTCGCGCGTTGCGCAGTTGATGTCGATACCACCGCAGCAGTTTCCAACCGCCCCAGAGGAACTTCGGATAACGTACGAAAACAACCTGGTTCTCTACGAACAGGCGTATGTTCAGAGGCAGAACCAACTAAAGGGAGCTATGCCTGGGCAGAGTCAGATGGGTGGTGCGATGGGCTCACAGATGTCTCCGACAAGACCATCGATGCCGGGCACACCGCAGAATGCAGCACAGCAAGAATACCTCCAGCAATTGCAAAGGACTAAAGAAGCTATGCAGCAACAGCAACAGCAACAGCAACAGCAACAGCAGAGGCAATCGATGCCACCGACCCCGCAGCAACCCCAATTCGGTGCTACGCCAGCGCCGCAACAGTCGACTCCCCTACAAAACAACGCATCCCTCCCAGATCTAAACGGACGGAGTACACCGCAAACGGATGGCAATGCGCGGAAGAGCATGAGCAGGCAGCTGGAAGGGACACCTGTTCAGGGCCAGGAGCCTGCGAATGCGATTGCAACGCCAGACAAGACTGAACACGCAGCAGTTCAAGCGCCTGCAGCAGTAGAGGTCGTCGAGAAGCGGCAGCCAGTGATCGAGCAGGACGACGGCACACGTGTCTATCAGCCAGCTTACCGGACGCAGGATACCTGGGGCGGCTTGGACTTTGACTCTGATAACTTCAAGAACATGATCGAGATGATCGTGAACTACAAGCCGAATGTTCCGTTGTTACATGAAGCAGGCGTCATCGACATAAGAGCTCTCACCATGAGCCTCCGGTCTGGACTGCACGCGGAAACAAGACTTGCGCTAGATACCCTTTCGAAGATTACATACGACAACAACGTTCAGTTGGATCTTGGGCAGTGCGAAGACCTGGTGGATGTGTTGGTCGAGTTCGCTGAGGAGCAGCTGGAGGTGCTTGGAAACGACAATCCCGAAGTGACCGACATTCTGGATCTGACACCGTACGAGGATGTGATGCACCACTGCCGCGCGGAGGCCGCAACATTACAGGAACTTCCAGAAGTAGGGACAAAAGAGCACACCCTGGACCGAACGGCCGATCGACTTCTGGCTATCACGACAATACTCCGCAACCTTTCCTTCTTGGAAGTCAACCATGCGTCACTGGTCAGCCCCACAGTGTTGAAGTTCTTGTCAAACTTTATCCGGCTGGTCGGCACCCGCGTCCTACTTTTGCGGTCGCACATCAATACCTTCGACTTCATGAAGGATCTCATCACACTCTTCTCCAACACAAGCGCAAAGATCGTCTTGCCTTCCCGCGAGGATGCTTACGCCGTCTTACACTTCCTTTGCGCCTTTGCTCCAGTGCCCCGTCCTGGCAGCCCAGCCAAGTTCACAGCCTTCAGTCCGCAAATACATCGTTATCTTCCGTCTGCGGTTGACAGTCTGGCCAAGCTCCTTGCACGCGACGACCCCAACCGGACATACTACAAGCAGATCTTTGTGAACGAGGCAACTTCAAGTCCACCTTACGATCTCCTAACACGAGCATTTGCGCTGGCAATCTCCGTGGTCCCTGATCGCAACTACATTGAGAACAAGATGTATGAGATGAAGGAGGCGCGCCCTAAGGAGGTCCGCATGTTCGAAGCACGTATTGCAGAGTCACGCAAAGCATACTTGATGCAAGGCATGCTCGCGGCCGACATCCTCGCCAGCTTAGCACCTGGACCCGACAGTGGTGTCTGCCGTTCTTGGCTTGAGTCCGAGGATGGCTGGGCAAACAGTCTCCTCAAGTTCGCGATGTCACTGTCCGCCACGGATGCTGCGGTCCAACCGCCGCTCCAGCCACCAACTCATCGCGGCCAAAGACCGATGGAGCCCGATCGAGAAGGTTTCCAGCTCATCGTACACCGAGCATTGTCGACACTGAAGCGTCTGGGCGACAAGTCCAAGGGCGGCGATGCACTCGTGAAGAGCGTACCAGTGAACGGCACCTCAAGCCACGAAGAAGAAGACGACGAAGACGATGATGACATGGACATTTTCAGCTTCAACGGCACAGCCTGGAAAGTCAAAGCAGACTTCCTCCCGCGCCGAGAGACAATGCTCGGCGCGCTTCTCACATCCAACCTGGATGTCAGGAGTTTGAATCAGTTTTGCAAGATTGGGTATCTGGACGAGTAAACGGTGTTCTGGGGTATTGTAACGGCGAAAACAGGAGCGTTGTGTAAAGCGTAGCCGCTTGCATTGGTGGGATCTTGGAACTACTGCATTGCGCGAGCAAGCTTTGGCTTGGTCTTATTAGACGTCGAAACTGCATTAGCATGAATGTCGTCTTTCTGAAATGTAACTTTGTACAATTGAGATAATAGTTGCTGCCGATGGCACACTTCGCACAATACTTTGTCTTTTGCAACGATATCACTTTCGCCTCCTCCTTGCTTCCTTCCGTTCCATAGGCAACATGCTTCGACAAGAATAGCGTTCGATAGCATTGGCACTAGCAGGTACGATGTTATTCCACATAGCAGCCAAACACTCAGAGATGCTAGAGTAGCCTTGCAGTTGTATCCCCTAGGGCCTCGGTCCTGCCGATGTGTAACCGCGAATCTGAACCCTACGCTCTGCCCGGTGTGTTGTTGTTTCGAGCAGTGCTACGCCTACAGCGGCCATTGTAGCCGTACTCATCGTACAGATACTCCAAGACGTAGAATGTACTGATGCACGCTGTAAGTCTTGTACATCTCAATGGATTTCTCGATCACATGATGTCGGCAAAGAGCTCGGACGTTTGAGTTCTATTCTTGTCGCCGGACTACTCGGCTGTGACCAATCTCAACACTCGGAGATTTAGCGGCACGACAATAGCAGCCTGCTAGCCAGCCACGGGTAGACTGCTAATGCATCGATCGCTAGCTGCTATCTTGCTGTGGCGATTCAATGTCACTCCCAGCAGCTTTCATTCGACAAATCTTACGAGAGGGAAATACCCGCAGAAGACCCGCGCTCGGAAAGAAGGATTTGCTTTGCGCCGGCTGTGGCACACTCCACCATTTAGATGCAAAATACGGGGAACACGAGCGGTCGGGCCACTTCAACTCTCGTGTTTGGGCTGAATGACTTCATACAGTTGCAGTGCGGGCCAGTGCCCAGCAACACCAGCCTCATTGCCCTCCACTCGGGAGCGACGGCATGATGGTGACGAGATGGCACTGCCAGCACAGAGTACCGTGGATACATAAAAGCCTGGCCTTGTCCTGTTGTAAGAACATTATCATCACAACCCCAACACATCAATCCACTACTTAATACTCAACACCACACCAACTCTACTTCAATCCCAACAAACCAATCTTCACCAACACCATCAACATGAAGTTCACCACCGCCGCCATCGCCGCCTCCGCCGCTGCCCTCGTGTCCGCCTCTCCCTGCGGCAAGGCCACCACCGACACCGAGATCAAGGCCGGCGATGTCTTCCGCATCATGACCATCCGCTCCGGCTCCGACATCCAGTACGGCCAGCTGCAAGCCGCCAACTCAGGCTTTCTCGTCAACACGCCCAAACAGAACGCGTCCTGCTCCGAGGACGTAAACTACGCCTCCTTCCGCCTGACCGACGCCGGCGAGCTGTACCTCAACACCGAGAACCCTCCCCAGCAGGCGTTCGTTGACCGCTCCGGTATGGGCCAGGGTGTTTTCCAGTACACCACTGGTGTCCAGGGCGCTGGCCGTAACTCAGAGCGCACTGGGTTCACGCTCGATGAGAACAGCAACCTCATCTTTAAGGACCAGACGAACCAAGAGATTGGCTTCCAGGCGTGCCCTAACGCTGCTCAGGGTGGTTACTCGGTCTGGCTTGATATCACTCAGAACCCTGGTGGCAACCAGAACTGCGTTGGCTTTGTTGCCCGCGCTCTTAAGGAGGACAAGCCTGTTTCTTGCTCGTACACTTCCAACTAGAATGTTGGCTTATGAGCAGATGCAGATGCTGAGAGATGATAATGGTCATGACTTATATATTGGATTTTGTTAGCATCTCCTTACACTCCTTAGCATAGCCTGGTTGAGTTTTATTTTCTAATACTTCGGACTGTATATATTTCGAGAAGTAGAGGGAACCAATGCATTCCTACATCAATCATTGCATCCTTGATATCCTGTACACTGTTAGCTCCTGTAGGTGTCAACCGCTCGCGCCTTCTACCTACCGTCACATTCAGTGATGTAACGGCAGTTATGAGTCTTGAATCGAACTATCAATCGACCCTTCGATTATTGACCATACAAGGAACCCAGGAGGCATCCGGGAGGTTATTGATCATAAGCAAGTGAGGGAACTTCGTAGCCCCAAACCGTCGAGGCCGCACGAATGACGTAATGCTGTCAAGGTGAAGGTGGGTTCAGGGTGCTGCTATCATTTCTCCTCCTCGCTCACCTTGTATCACACTCCATACGCACGCTTTCACAGCTGCGGTAGTTGCCGACCAAGTCAAGATGGTCTAGGGCGTTCTCACTTACATTCTGACCACACTGCGTGGAGAGACTCGCCACACTGTGACTAGGAAGGGTATTTTTCAAGCTCTCAGATCGGCTTTGCGACTTCACCGTAATGACAGCGCGAGCCTTATCATTAAGTCCACGCTCGAATACGTGACCTGCCCCAATGAAAGGTGTCTGTTCGAGCTCTACGTGGCCGAGCGAAACGCCGGTACTTCTCCTTCTCAAGCATGGTGCTAAACCCGAAGGGGTAGCACACGGGAACATATCTCGAACGGAGAAGTACGTCACCTTGACCAGCCCGATACGGAGGATGATAGCAAGTTTGCTCTTCGGTATCTCTCAGCGTGAGAAGGTATATCTGACGCAGTCAAAAGTTCTCAAGCAGTGCAGACCGTTGCTGCAACCTGAAGTCTATAGACGAAGCAGGACTTTCGGCGAATTAGGCGTAAGGTGGTCATGCAAGTGAGCTTGTGCCAGGGTGCATTGCTTTTGAAATTGATTGGCAAGCCATAGGTTGAATACACTGTCCTTTGAGACATCTCAATACGTGGAAGACCTCCAAGGTGCGTTCAACAGTGGAGAATTGTAGATCCAGGATTCACGATACTAAGCCTCAAAAGAAAGGGGAGCGGTTTATGGCGTGCCACCAGTAGGATGCGTGGAAAAGCGGCAAAGTTGTCACTGTAGAAGTTGATCAACGACTCCGTCAACCCGCGGCTCAGAGCGACGTACGGCGCAGCATCTCTCGATCAGCAAGGTGCAAGCGTGCAACCACAAAAGCCTCAAAAGCGACGTACGAACCGCCGCAGAAGAAGGGATATTGAAGGATGAAGTGTCATTCATTGCTGGTATGTCTACGCGGCGTAAGAAATAGTGAATTGGTGGCCAATCAAGTAGGATCTGCGTAGGTCAAAATATGTAAATTTCCAGTCACGAAGACTCATCGGTTCGTTTCTATGCATTCTCAAGATATAGGTGACGTCAAGTTGTCGAGGTGAAACCGACTCTATCGTAAGCGTAAATCTTTCACATTGACCACACCTACAAATTCACTCCACAGCACCCTCATCACTATTGGAACCTACTACCATATCGCCGCGAAAAAGTTTCATCACACCACCTACCACGACGAATTTGTTTGCTCTGGCGCGCCAGTCTGCCACTCTCACCTTCAAGATGCCGCTTCTTGACCTTCCCTTCGAAATTTTTGCAAAAGTCATCAGCAAAGTGTATGCGGCAGCTTGCATGATTGCGCCGGTTGACAGCTATGTCACAACGCTGAACTGGTCACGAATCATTTACGGTTGTTATTAGCTGATGAATCCTTGAGACCGTGTCTAAGATGTGTACGGACAGCATGCAGCAAGTTCAACGGTTTTTTGTTTGCTTGATCATTTGGCCTCGAGGCAAAGGCATCGCTAGATGGGCTTGATCGCTATGATGAATGAAAGTTCAAGGTTCCAAGGTTGTCGTGTCTTGAGGTGGAGAATGTAGTGCAAATCCCCGGGTATCACGAGAGCCTGTATAAGTACGATATTCCCAAGCTGACCTATCTTATCAGCTAGCCTCTATACTGCGACTATCGACACAAGGGCTTACACCTCCATACCACGTATTGGGGTTGTCGCTGTGAAATCGCTCCGGTGGCTATCCTACCATTGAAGCTTGAGCGAATGACGATCAGCGGAAAGCTCTGCACTAAAGAACCCTTCTCTCATGATCCGTAGGACTACTAACGCTTGTGTTGCGGCTGATGCCAGCTCGAACTTGACATGCGGCTACTACGGCCGAGACCTCCAAAAGCTTGATCGTGGAGAGCAGGAAGAGCTGGAAGCTGCTATCGACGGCCATTGGCATCGACCGCAACATCATGGATGTTCGACTTGGCTACCGGGCGTGTTACATCGTTGACTAAGAAACGGCTCGCTAGCGTTCTTCGTCTCGAGGAGCCAGAATTATCTACCCTTGACGGCGGCTGTACGGCATGGAGGGTATTGGTGTAGAACTCGAAATATCCTAAAATCGACATTTGTGTACGAGTTCGATCTGTATGGTCTGGCATCCGCGCTTCTCTAAGACGACGATGACCTTCAGCAACGATGTCGGTTGTTGGTGTTAAGCCACAGCCAGGTGGGTTGAGGAAAGTTTGTTCGCCAGTCTGACCCCGCCTTCTAATCTCGGCTCCAGACTAACACCCACAATTAGCATCATTAGCCTCTTCGATTGAACCGGGAAGTGTTCTACGATTGAGAACCAATTGAACCAAGAACTAATATTTTAAACGCTGGTAGCTTTTCATCAAAACAGCATCCGTTATGGTCTAGTGGCTAGGATACATCGCTCTCATTAGCAAGTGCCGATGTGGCCGGGGTTCGATTCCCCGTGACGGAAAATCATGCAACCTATTTTTTGCCGCCTTTCGTGGTTATGGGATGATTTTTTGCCAGGCACGGCAGACCCACGTGGCCTCGCGTGGTCGCAGCTTCCCTCTCTCTACGCTTTCGAGAGTTCTCAGAAGTTGGGCGCGAAGGAGATCTTCTGGTCGAGCACGAACGTAAAGTCTCATGCAACGTGAACATGTGCGACAACCGCTTTCATTGTACGAGTATTCTGTGAGCGTCTTCGAGAGCTCTCCTGGAGAAATCGAGCTCTAGACAGTAGTCGAAGAAGTCATCCGCATAGGATGACGATGCTAACGGCACACACCAGGTTGCGCACTCTTCTCCTTCCAGAAATATGCTTTCACCCCATCAGCTTGGATCAATGTCTTTAGGCCGAAGTGTGCGGATCGATTCGCATGGACCAGTTTGTATGAGGACTATGACCATGAATAGGAGGTCTGTAATGGAAATTGTTGGGATACTCCTTATGTCGAGAATCAAAGGTAACGCTCGTGGAATATGCGGAGGTAGTAAAGCTGGTTCGCTTGAACATTGTAAGCTTGCAATCAAGACTTGCTGACCTCCGGGCTCTGTCGTGAAGGCTTGAGATTGGCAGCTGGGGCGCCGGTCGCTTTCTGTAGCACGATAAGATGCCATTCATAAACGATCGGTGCCTGCCTGATGATTCGTCGTCGAAGCGCTCTAGTCAAGGACCACGTCTACTTCGACCAGTTCCGAACTCTCCCATACAGGTTTCCGAACGCGACCGACACCCCTCCTTTATGCTACGCTATCTTCCCATACGATCCAAAGTACGTTGTAATATTCGTAACAGTTTGGTGCTGATATGGTCCCTGACTTGGCCTCATGTCTCCAGGTGTACTTGCCATGCACCCTCGATATAGCAATGATTTCGCACGGTCGGTCAGGAAAGAAGCCTGATCTATCGTTTAGCATGATCGAACCGATGTTGTCGCTGGTGGAGCAACACAGAAGTACTACATTCGTCCTACCTTCCTCGTTAATGTTTCCGACCTCAAAGTGACCCATTTGGGTGTGACAATACAAGAAAGGGCTCCAGTTTGTTGGGCCTGGCACCAACGGTTCGCTTCGTATAGAAATGGGAAACAGGAAGTTCACTTTTGGAATATCCCGATTCCGAAAGAGACATCCCGGGTGGTGCTCTCCTAGCACGTCATGTCTTTTGTACCCTTCCCAAAGTCGCAGAGCATCATTTCACCGCCATCCTTGCTCATCATCCGGTGAATCGTCATGCAATCGCCTGGATCTTAGAAATGCGTTCTTTCGTTGTTTGAAATTCCCTCCAATGCTTGTCACCGGAAAGCCTCCAGACGTCTGCACGTTGGACAACGTCGCGCTGTGAAAGCTTTGGCTCCGTTATCTCCACCGTTGAACCGCACCAGGTGTGGTGTTCTGTCAGGCACAAGCATCTCTTGTATATACCTCGAAATAGCCTTGCACATTACGCACCAGGTCCGAGGCCGCCGATAGTGCACCACCTTTCGTTTACGCATTGTCCCAAATTCATCAGCATATATCGGTTGTACGGTGGCGACCACCCCTCACATGGATCAAAGTCTCGAAGATAGCCAGGACCGGAAGTCCAGATCTTTTTCCACACGACCAGCGTTTCCTGCTATCCATGCTCAACCGAGAGACTGGTCATTCGATGTCCGTAAGGTATACATGCGCCAATCGTGGGAAATTTTGACGTATGACAATGTGGATGAGACCGGCTCGATTACACGAAGAGAAGCCTCGTACAGAAGAATTGCGCTCACGTGAATTATACGCAATCGCTTTTTGGCCTACATATATGTTGAAATCACGGAGAGTCGAGTCACTGCCCAAGCGGGGCTACCATTAGCGCCGTTATGTAATTTGGTAGGTATCGTGCAATCGCTCCTTCCCCAGATCATATCTGATATCTCTGACCTCAGTCAACAATTCGCAAAACATTGACTAATGTATCTCGTCTACACCCTATAAGCTCGCAAAGTTCACCGAGACGCGCATTGCGTGCTTCCTGTCGGCCATTGCCGATGGCTTCCGGCCAGCCAGCCGCTTGGAACCGAACGTGTGCCTCCCAGCAGGACATGTCTCGAGGCCCGCGTGTACCTGCATGCTGCCTAGGAGATCGGCAATGCAGCAGCAGCTGTGAACATCTCCTGACTCGCAGGTTGCCGGCTGGAAGGACGGAAGCCGGAGATGCAAGCGCTGTATCTGATTCCTGATAAGGATCTCGGCAGCATCCACGTCCGCGAATAGTAGGTGTCTTGAGAAGGCAGCGGTAAGGATAAGTACTGCGCAACCGCAGGCATGTAAATCGTAGCAAATACTACAAGTTCACAAACCTCATCATGTCGTCGATACAAATCACTCCCGTCGCCAATCCAGCCGATGCGCGTCGTAACATTGGTGCTGTTGTCACCAACCTCGATGTGAACAACCTGTCTGACGACGACTGGAAAACCATCCACGATGGGCTGTACACACATTCAGTTCTTGTCCTGAAGAATCAGGCCCATGCTACACCGAAAGCACAGTTTGAGCTTACGCAGCGTTTCGATCCATCGTGCTCAGGTTATGGACACGGCAAGACGCTAGATGCAAAGCGCAGCATCCTCCACCCAGATCTCAAGACGATTCCACATCAGCCTCAAGTACAAGTGATCGGCAACGGTTTCGTCAAAGACTTTGAAGGTCTAAAAGACATTACGCTCAAGCACCCACACCACAAAACGTTCCACAAGACCGCCATTCCAGAGGCAGAGGACCTGGACTTCACACGCTTCTACCGCTGGCATATTGATGCTGCCCTCTACGATCTTCAACCACCGCGCGTAACCTCGCTCATGGCCGTTCAAGTACCAAAAGGGCGAACACAGAGACTGCGCTACGATGACGGAACTGGAGACGAGCTGCAGGTTCCGCTGGGCACAACTGCATTTGTGTCTGGATATACGATGTACGACATTCTGTCCGAGAGTGACAAGGAGTTTGCGCGCACAACGAGGGTAGAATACGCGGCACATCCATACATTTGGATGTCGTCTGCGAAGTCGAGATCGTCAGGTCTGGGTTTGGAGTCAGATGGCTTGGAGCTGCCAGCGAGCGAACTGCCGCCTGTCGATGAGTCGAAGATCCTCAAACTTCCAATGTGCTGGAAGAACCCGGTAACAGGGGAGCTCGCCTTCCAAGTTCATCCTTCTGCAGTGCGCAAGCTGCATCTCAAGGACGGCTCTGTGATCGATGATCTGAAGGAGGTGCGGGACATCATATACCGACTGCAGCGGCCAGGTATCGCGCCAGACTTGGTATACTGCCATGACTGGGTGGAAGGTGATTTGGTTCTGTTCAACAACCAGGGTACGATTCACAGTGTTGTTGGTGCATTTGCGCCTGACGAGGTTCGGATATTCAGGCAATGCAACCTGGCAAGCAGTGCTCCACCAGAAGGACCGGACAATCCTTCGCAGGAGGCTTGGACGCAACCGCTCCGCACGTACGAGCCTACAAAACGTCCTCAGGCCGCTGAGCAGGCTTGGATGAAACCCATGCGCGCATATTAGTATACCCGACTATAGCAAATACGATACCCAATTTGTACTTCTCGCGTCCGTGCTCGTTGTGATTATCGTGGGCCGCGCAGGGGCCGGTATGGAGATGGGACGAATTCCGCGAGGCTGCCGTGGTGGGACTGTAAATCTGCGGAGAGCCTCCACCACCCACACTTCACACCCCCTTCTAGATAAGTAGTCAAATGGTGGAGCATGTCTGAAGAGCCTCGCTGTACTGAGGGTCTGCTCAGGCAGGCGGTCTGCGCAATCTTAACTTTGGCGCCGTCTGCACGCTGCCACGTTGCATCCAAAATGCAGGAGGCTGGAGTGTATCACCACGGGAGCCAACTTTTGCGCGGCCCTGCAGGAACAAGATTGAAATTCCCCCAAAAGAATTCCCCGAGTGTGGGTGATTGGCTCGTCTTCGTTGCGACACGAGCCAGAATGACGTTCTGTCCAACGCGGTTACCCATGGATACGCGCTAAGTGTAAACACCAGCCTCCCACCAGCCCCCCAACCAACCTCACGCATTTTTCAGACAGCAAAGTACTCGGTATCTGCAGGCGCAAGCAAAAACACATTCTAAGCTATCCACTTTCTTCAGCCCTCTCGAAGATTCTTTCCATCAAAGGGATTCTGACATTCGTTGCGAATAGGGCAGAACCACATTCTTACCAAAGCTGCAAGAGCTCCCCGCACGTGGTAGTCGAGAACATCGAAACGACCCACGTTCCTCACCCTTGACCACGCCGACGAACATTCTTGGGACAACACCAATCGCTCGCGCAGACTCGACGTCTGAGTGCATTCCGCCGACTGTCTTGCCCGGCCCTCTAGGGGCGCAGGGTCAATTGGAGTGAAACAGTACAGGCGCATTCTTGAAGAAGAGACACAGACAACATGGCGAACCTCAAGTTTGCGGTTAGCATGCAACGTGGGTACTCACAGCCTTCGAAGAAGGAATGCAAGCTAACAGCGCCATAGGGTTGGTACCGTTTCTCGGATACCACCATGTACTCATGATTTTGATAGCTATTGCTATCATTCTACTATGTAAGTCGAGACGGAACAGCACGGAGAGACAGTCACTAACCCTAGGCAGCGTTATTGCTGGCAGGATGCTCCTCCACATCACCACTCATTCCCGGCATCTTTCTCATCTCACTGTGGTACGAGAAATACACACCCACATACTCTACCGAGCAAGTCGACCCCGGCGTCACACAGGCCATCGCAAACATTGTCGGTAACGCCCAGCTTGGCGTCCGTGTTGGATACTTCGGTATCTGCATTAACCGCGATGGCGGCGGCTATATCTGTTCCAACAACGCGACTGCGCTTGTTGACAACTTGTCCGTCGACCAAGATCCGCTCAACCTCGTGTGGGTCGCAGCAACCTTCAAGGACGCCGTCGTCTTCCCCTACCTCCTCATCGTCGCCATCATCCTCGCCTTCTTCACATTCGTTCTGCTCGCAACATTCCCCGGGTGGCACGAGGAGAGAGATGAGCGCACAGGCTCTGATGTCGACGTCAAGCCATTCCCATCGAGACCAGTGTCGCAAGTTGCTCTTGCGCTCATCTTCATCTCGTCCATCTTCGTCCTCGTTTCCGTACTGTGGCAACATACTGCATCCGTCGCTGCAGCAACCATAGCACAAGATCTAGGGAACGGGAGCGTGAAGTCCGGCGTTGGCACATCAGCCATGGTACTAGGATGGTTCGGCTTCGTACTGCTCATAATAGTAACCATCGGGTTACTCGTCATGATCATCAGTATCGTTGTTCTCGACCGCCTGACCGACGACTAAGCGTTCTGTCACAAAGGCAAAGAGATTGGATGGAGAAGTAATGAATAGAGGAGACGACTGTTGCTCGCATTGTATTTTGCGCCGAGCGTACTTGGCTTTCGACTACATACCCTTTTTGGCGATACGACGCAGCTTGCTGTCGTTCAGAACGACATATTTTGCATTTCTGGCGTTGAATGGATCTTTGCATCGAGCTTTGGCATGCCGCGAGATGAGCGCGGAGTAAGACCAGATGGTTGGAACGACTGATGGAAAGGAACGCATTGATGGACTGTACTTATGTAGTGAACGACAGAACGAATGGACATGTCGTATGGAACAATGAACTTCACTTCTCACCATAGTTTCCTCGTCTTAACTGCAAAAGCAAGTGGAACGCGTTTGCAAACTATTTCCAGTCACTACTCGTGAAGTCATTGATGCATCCGGAAATTCCTCGCGCTCAAAACGCGGGGAAGTTGTTTGACGACGGACCCGCATGCAAGCTGAGCCCTCGCACCGCAAACAGGAAAGCAACCCACCAAGCTCAAACGATGACAATCGACGGCTTCGATGAAGCTTGATGCGCTTTGGAAAATAGGATGTTCAATCCTTACTGAGCAATCGGGGTCCGATGACCGGCTGGTTTGTATGCAGGTGAAGCAGCACCTTCCCTAATTGAGAGTAGTTCATGTGTGCCCCTCGCAACAGGCGCAAAAAAGTTGAAGGCGCGGCGCGTGGCACAAGGTTTTATCCATCCAGTACTCTGACAAGAGCTTAAAACCTCTCACCCTTTCTCTTCATTCCTCCTCATCCTTCTTCCGCTCTCAACCCGTTCTCTCACCCACCAATTGTTCCAAGATGTCTAACTACGCGCTCCCCAAGTCTCACCAGGACGTATGTTTCCCCGCACCTGAATGAATAACGGACGGATACTGACTCATGATAGCTCATGGAGAAGTCCCTGGTGGACACTGACCAGGAGGTCGCTCAGATCATGGTATGTATAGCTTCAAGCTGATCCATATGCTGTTACTTACAATGTATAGGAACGCGAGATTCAGCGTCAGCGCGAGTCCATCCTCCTCATTGCCTCCGAGAATGTCACATCCCGCGCCGTCTTCGATGCGCTTGGTTCGCCCATGTCGAACAAGTACTCTGAGGGTTACCCCGGTGCCCGCTACTACGGTGGTAACGAGCACATTGACGCTATCGAGCTCCTCTGCCAGAAGCGCGCCCTCGAGGCTTTCGGTCTTGACAGCGAGAAGTGGGGCGTCAACGTCCAGTGCTTGTCCGGTTCTCCTGCCAACCTCCAGGTCTACCAGGCCATCATGAGGCCTCATGACAGGCTCATGGGTCTTGACCTGCCCCACGGTGGTCACTTGTCCCACGGCTACCAGACCCCTCAGAGGAAGATCTCCGCTGTTTCCACATACTTCGAGACCTTCCCCTACCGCGTCAACCTCGACACTGGCCTCATCGATTATGACCAGCTCGAGCAGAACGCCCTGATGTACCGCCCCAAGGTTCTCGTTGCTGGTACCTCCGCCTACTGCCGTGAGATCGACTACGCCCGCATGCGCGAGATCGCTGACAAGGTCGGCTGCTACCTCATGATGGACATGGCCCATATCTCTGGTCTCGTCGCCGCTGGCGTCAACAAGTCGCCCTTCCCCTACTGCGACATTGTCACCACCACCACCCACAAGTCGCTCCGTGGTCCCCGTGGTGCTATGATCTTCTTCCGCAAGGGTGTCCGCAAGACTGATGCTAAGACCGGCAAGGAGACCCTCTACGACCTCGAGGGCCCCATCAACTTCTCCGTCTTCCCCGGTCACCAGGGTGGACCCCACAACCACACCATCACTGCGCTCGCCGTCGCCCTCAAGCAGGCCCAATCTGAGGACTTCAAGCTGTATCAGCAGCAGGTTATCAAGAACGCCAAGCAGCTCGAGAACACCTTCAAGGAGCTCGGCTTCAAGCTCGTCACTGACGGTACCGACAATCACATGGTCCTGATCGACCTGAAGCAGTGGAACCTTGACGGTGCCCGTGTGGAGGCTGTCCTTGAGCAAGTCAACATTGCCTGCAACAAGAACACCACTCCCGGTGATAAGTCTGCTCTTACCCCCATGGGTATCCGTATCGGCGCCCCGGCCATGACCTCGCGTGGTCTCGGCGAGGAGGAGTTCAAGAAGATCGCCAACTATATCGACACCGTCATCAAGCTGTGCAAAAAGATCCAGACCGGCCTCCCCAAGGAGGCTAACAAGCTCAAGGACTTCAAGGCCAAGGCCACCTCCGGCGAGGTTGAGGAGATCAACAGCCTCAAGAAGGAGATCGCCGCCTGGGCTGTCACTTTCCCTCTCCCCGTCTAAGTCTGTCACTCCTAGACTTGGGTAACGTGTTCTTTTAACGGCATGGCGTACGACGGCGTTTTCAACAAAATGGATGTGGATCGGTTGGGACCGAATATTCAACATCTCACTCAAATTTGGTTCATGATAGGATGATGGTGTAATACTCCCTGTTTATGTAGAATGAAGCCTTTATGGCCATGATCGATGCTTAACCAAAGATCAATATGAATGAAGATATCATTGACGCACATTGCACACGCTACCTCGATCAAGTGGGTAACAGTTCGCGCGACATAGGAGGCACTGGTTCTGCATGACCATGTAGGACGTCATTCATAGCAAACGCTGAGGCTGGAGGGCTGACCAGTTGGCACCCGACTGTTTGCGCACAAATTTGATCAAAATTTGCCGTTACCCCACTTCAGCAGAGGTTTGCGAAGTATTCGCCCAATCTGGACACACCAGATATGACAGATACCAAAGCTCGAGAAATCAAGGAATCAGGTTATGGACTAATTGTTTCAAACTGTAGTTTTTAAAAGATATATATTTTAATAAAATTCAGTACTTCATCAAACAACAACAAGCCCGGCTGGCACAATCGGTAGCGCGTGAGACTCTTAATCTCAAGGTTGTGGGTTCGAGCCCCACGTCGGGCTAGCTTTCTTTTTTTTGTTGTTTCAACATGCTCATAGCTGTTGTGGTTGTCGAGATCTCGTCCAGTGAAGTTGGTGTGATTTTTGCCGGGTACGGGTGCTGCAGCCACATACTTCTCCAATGACTGACTTAATGCAGCGTCTGCTGCAGAACCACGAAACACAGTCCTCTGGACACTGCAGGCAACAAGGTCGCAAGAATAGTTTAACGCATTGTACGTCTATGACGTAAGGGCGTATTAGAGGTGATCCTATTTGGAGTAGCATGTAGGACGTCAAAGACCCGTGGTGGAGCTCCTTGACCAAGTCCGACGACGACTTGATTGATTCCTCTGGCGTGGGTATAACGAGCCACCCCCCCCCCCCCCCTTTTGCGAAGAAAGTCTTGTTTGCCGTTGATCCAGCTACAGTAGGGGGATGGTGAAACTGGGCTGGCTGGCGCGGATCTTATATCGAGGATTAGAAGGACGTTGATGCTGGTGTCATAGAGAGCAAGCGATGTTTATGGCAACCTGATAGTCAGAGGAGTAATACATCGATATCTTACAAACACTCCGCTACCAATACATCTCAACACTTCATCTTGATTCCCCTCCTCTTCTCCGCCTCCCTCCACTCAAACATGAACTGCACGCCTGTGAATAGCGCAAAACACGCCGTTGCCAGAAAGCCCCATCCAGACCAGGAGGACGTGATACCTTTAATGAGTCCGTCGAGACCGTCAAGACCAAGCGCAAACCCAACCAGATTGGCAACCATGAGCATCAGGATCTCGCCGACGGCGCCCACACCGCACAGCATACGGTATAAGTCCGGGTTGTTCTTGTACTTGCGCGCCGGGAAGAGGTATCCAGCGATAATCTCAGGCAGCACGAAGAGCGTAACCAGCCAGCCCCACATGAGCAGCCGCAGCTGGATGTCGTGCCATATCGCGATGAACGAGAAGACGGCGAGGTAGTTCGCGATGCCTCTGACCTTGCCCCAGAAGCCTGGTAAAGCGGAGCCGCCGAGCGGGATGTATAAGTATCGGAGTGACCATTTGTTGAAGGAACGGTGCCAGCCGCGCCAGAACTGCATGACGCTGTAGTTGTCGCTCATGCAGCGCACCATGTTCTCGGGCGGGTCGATGCCGTCGAGGAGGGCCCAGAGGCGGAAGAAGCGCCAAGGAATGAGAAGTTTGAGCCAGATGTGCTTGAGGTTGAAGAAGCCTAGCATAGAGAGTTGGGCGGGGGTGTAGTTTGTCCAGTCGGGCTTGGCGTGGAAGATGGCGACCATGTACATGTAGTGGATCATGATCTCCATTGTCAGCAGGACGACGATGAAACGGATGGCGTAGCGAGTCGTGCGCGCGGAGGTTATGCTGTGTGGCCTGTAGCGGGCTTGCGAGATGTAGTCGTTGAAGGTGAGGATTGGGCCGGCAAGGTACAACGGTGAGTACATGGTGTAAGCGAAGTAGTTCCGGAAGTTGAAGTCGTGAGGTTTAGCGGGGATGGAGACACGGTCGCGTTCCGAGAGGTTGGAGGGATCGAGTTGCTTCTTCTTGATGTTATTAGCTTGATCGTTGGATAGTAAGATGATATACACACCTCAAGAGGACTGTTGGCACGGGTGTTCAGGCTCCAGTAGTAGTCGAGATTGAAGCTGATCAGACGGAGAACTGTGAAATTGAAGAGGACGTCCCAACGCGGGATGAGTCCGCCGTAGCTGTCGAGCGTGTGGCCGAAGTTTCTGGTTGGTTCCCCTTTCTCCGAGAGTGTTGACGGAAGGAAGAAGCCAAAGAGTTCAGAGTAGTGATAGCCGTGTAGCAGCTCATTCGCAAACAAGACGGCAAGGTTGAAGATCCATGTTGCGCCTGGGACGTATGTTCTCGGCAGCTTCATAGCAACCTGGTAATTCAAGTACAGGATGGCAAGAATCTTGAACATTGAGAAGCCATGCAGCGCAGCCAGGAAGACCACTGCAAAGCCCACGTCGAAGGACACACGCTGGTTCAGGCGAGCATCCGCGGCAGCTGCAGGGGTCAAGCCCATGGTCAAGCCTCCAGGGGATGGACGGGCCTGAGTGTACGTGTCGGCTCGCCAGAAAGCATCGTAGGCTTTTCGCAACAGTGGGTGAAGTGTGACCACTATGAAGAGGTAGGGGACATTCTGCCGGAAGCCTGAATACTGTGCATCTGTGTTGTCCTACAGATGGTCAGTACAGCGACGCACGTGATAGTGAGGGCACTCACCACTTTGCGGCCTGAAATCCAACCGTCCGATAACAGATGAGAGAACTTTGAGAAATTCGGATGTGACTCTGCACTGCTGTCAGTCTAGACGTCGTCATACCGAATTAGACAGACCTTTCGAACAATCAATTACCAGCTTGAACATGAAAAAGACACTAACTGATATGACGACGTAGTAAAAGTAGAATTCGTTGGTCTTCCATCGTGCCGGCTGGACATTGTCTGTACCACCCCTACTCTTGTCCTTTCCATTTGGTGCTGGGAGAGGGTCTGCAGGGTCGACCTTTGCCTCTTCGAGAGCTTCCTTAGGGGGTGCGGTGGCCGGAACGACGAAGCGCGTGTCCAACGTGTCCAGGGAGTAGAGCTGGCGAATATATGAAAGCGCCATTATGATATGCCAAGCCTATCTCCTCATGTTCTATAGCTCGGTATACACAGCATGCATGTGGGGTGGCATTTGGTGTTGATGCTTCGCGGGGAGCGGGAGTGAGGTGGAGCTGTTCGCGACTTCCACAGTCGTAGATCGCGCTCGCGCAGAGCTTCCTCCACCACCAACACCAGCCACGTCAAATCGCTCTCACCAGTATCGCATACCTCCAATCACGCGTCAGTTGATCTATTGAGCTACTACTGATATTCTGGGAAGCTCTAGAGAGCAAAAGCCCACGGCGCAATGAACATTCCCAACTCGTCCACCGCGCCCACCGCGGGCGAGTACGCTGGAGGTATACACCACCGCACGGAGCTTCATTGAGAATAATGCTGACAGCTGTTCTGCAGACGAAGTTTCCGCGATTGTCCTGGACCCTGGCTACTCAACCACACGCGCCGGCTTCGCTGGTGAAGACGTTCCCAAGAGCGTATGTCCTTCTTTCTACGGCCAGAGCGACAGCGACTCGTACCTGTTCGGCGAGAACGCGATCCACTCACCAGTCGGCAACCTCAACACCAAGAATTACTGGGGCTCGGATGGTATAGTGGAGGACTGGGACGCAGCGACAAAGCTATGGGAGTACTCGATCACAAGTCGACTCACCGGCGCCAGAGCTGGCGACCCAGCCAAGAACGGGCTCAACGACGACCCCCGCGCAAACGGTGAGTCAATGGACGTGGAAATGGAAGGCGTGGAGAACAATGAGAAGCCCATGGAGGACAGCCCTCTGCTGGTCACGGAACCAGGCTGGAACAGCGCAAAGGCGCGCGAGAAGTACATTGAAATCGCCATGGAAGACTGGGGCGTACCAGCTTTCTTCCTGCAAAAGACGGGCGTCCTCGCCGCCTTCGCCTCAGGAAAAGCATCTGGCATAATCATCGACGTGGGCGCATCTCACACATCCGTCACCCCCGTGCTGGACGGCATGGTGTTGCGCAAAGGCGTCCAGAAGTCGCCTCTCGCAGGAAACTTCGTCTCGCAGCAGATCCGACAAACCTTCAAGACCGCTTCGCCCGAAATCCCCCTCACGCCGCACTACCTGGTCAAGAGCAAGACGCAAGTCGACGCGGGCGCCCCAGCAAACGCTACATACAAGACCTTCCCCGTCGCGCCCAGCGCATCCTTCCGCTTAAACGAGGAAGAGCGCGTCCTCACCGAGTTCAAAGAATCTGTCGTCGAGGTCTGGCCCGGTCCCGGACGCTTCACAAACGGGACCAACGAGGAGATCGCCAAGTCTGCGCCGGGCCGTCCATTTGAGATGCCGGATGGCTGGAACAACATCTTCGGGAGCGAGCGGTTCAGGGTCGCTGAGGGGTTGTTCGATGCGAGTGCAGCGTTGACTTCTGAAGCGAACCCCAGACCGAAGGATGAGTGGACGATTCCCAGGCTTGTGCAAGCAGCAGTCCAGCATGTTGATGCCGATCAGCGGCCGTTGTTACTTGCCAACATCGTCGTGACTGGTGGAAGTACACTGCTGCACAAGTTCAACGACCGGCTGAACTTCGAGATCAACGCCATCTACCCCTCGACAAGGAACAAGCTCATCGCGCCGGGAAGCGTAGTGGAGAGGAAGTACGCGGCTTGGATCGGAGGCTCGATCCTGGCTAGTCTGGGCAGCTTCCACCAGCTGTGGATTAGCAGGAAAGAGTATGAGGAGCACGGCGCAAGCATTGTGGAGAAGCGGTGCAGGTAGGTAGCTAGCTGTGCGTGTTTGGCGAGGAGTATGGGCGTTTGGCAAAAGCGGGAAAAAGCGGGAGACTGTTCGATTAGACGGGAGGATACTCCATGCGACGAGACGAAGCAAGGAAGGAGATGTGAAGGTCATGTCATGTCATAGTCGTGATCGTATTGCCTCGTCTATCCGGCTTGTTACAGTACATGTCTTCATGCATAACGCCGTTTGTCTCGTCACTCCGCACACTGCCGTCGCACCGATCCCTTTGCGACCCTATGTGTCGACGTCCATCGTCTCGGCCGTCGCCGTGACCTGCTCGTCCTTGAGCTCCGACACTGTGACATACTTGCTGATCTCCTCCTTTGTGATGATCTTCTCGTTCAACACCGCTGTCGTGCCCTTCTGGAACCGGTAGTTGCGCTGCTTCGACTCCCTTGTGTTAGGCGTGATGTAGTTGCGCATCAGCGTCGTCTTCTCCTCGGTAATCACCGCCACGTCGACGTTGCTTCCCGAGCCCAAGTCGTTCCAGATACCAGCCTCGATGGCGTTGGCGCACAGCTTCACCGCCTCGTCGCGTGTCAGGTCCGGCTTCCACTGCGTCTCGAAGACGGACATGGCGGCCAGCGAACCGGAGCCCATGGTCACGTAGGGCAGCTTGTCGGTGGAGCCGTGCGCGTGCACGGTAAAGAGGTGGGCGCCTGTGGGGTCGACGCCGGCGATGACCAGGTACGCGCCGATGTGGCCTTGGTAGCGGAACAGGTGCTGCTTCAGCATCGTCATGCACGTGACGACGCGCGACTTGCGCCCGGTACTGAGGGCGTGCAGCTCGAGGTTCGACGAGATGATGGCCGTGGTGAACTCGGTGTCCGCTGCGGTTCCCGCGCCTGCACACCAGATGTGCGGGGCGATGTAGTGCAGCTTCTCGCAGTTCTGGGCAGAGTTAGTGCCTTGGTACAGCGATGCTGGAGGACTGCTGGAGGACTGCTGGAGGACTGCGGGGAGGACTGTGGCCGTTGTTTGGGCGGGGACGCACCTTGTCTGCTACTATGGGCCCGCTGGTTGCCCGTGTGTCTGCTGCGATCACCACACCGCCGTCGAAGAGAGCGCCCACGATGGTCGTCCCTGTGCTTGTCGCCTTGGGCAGTGGCACGCCCTGGGCGTGGAGGGCGGCATTGCGGTTGTGGTTGGAGAAGTCGAAGCCGGCCATGGTGGGCGGTCTGCGGGGATGTGTGGGGATTTGGAGCCGTGGGTCGAGTTCTGGCGAGAGCGTGCAGCTTCTGGAAGTACACACGGCGTCCTGGAGAGGCGAATGGCGATGGGCTGGGGTTTGGTGTTGGGAGCTTGTAGGCGGTGATGCTAGGCAAGAGCGTCAAACGCGGCGGGAGCTGTGCTCCACTCCTGCTTGGCAGCATCGAGCTGTCCATGCTCACCAGGTTTCCGCCAGCATCATAGCAGTTGTAACGGCAAGCTTTGAAGCAGTCTGATTATTATTTTTGGTGCCTTTTGTTAGAGGCACGCGCTTGCTAGGCTTCCGCCCTGGCTCCTCCGGCTAGATTTGTTGTGCCTGGTCCTGCCACGCTCGCTGCGATCGAGAAAGAGCGCGCGGAAAACAAAGCGCGTGAAGACAGTGAAAGGCTCGCGCAGTCACCGGCCCCAGGCTCCACCCCAACGCCCTCGCGCCTTACACCCAATCGCCTACTCAGGACCTCCCTGTCCGCGGACTCACCCACCTCCCTGAAGAAGAGCCTCGACCTCTTCCGCCCCAGCCCGCCGCGACACTCTCCTTCGCGCTCGCTTTCCTCTCGGCCGTCGCCAGTGCTTGCGCGGTCCAGCTCGCATGACCCTTCGCCCAAGCTCTTCCGCAGACAGACCTCGCGCGAGCTCAGACCGGAGTACCAGCGCGCCAGCATGAGCTTCGCTTTCAACCAGAGCGGCTCTGCGCCGGCTGCCAGCGTCGGCGCAGATGTTCCTGCCATTCTCGCAGAGGTAAACAGACAAACACGAATTGCGGCCCGTACACGGAGCTGACGATGGGTAGGAGTTGTCGTTCAAGGCGCTCAGCCAGGGCGCAGAAGGCCCCAAGAAGCTCAAGATCCTCGCCAACCCATGGCCCACCGACAACGTGCCGCCCGCATGCGTGACCCTCCTCTCCGTCGCGGCGAAACCTGGTCTTCTTGCAGCTGCCGGCCCCGACACCCTCGTCCTGGCTTCTACAGAGAAGGTCAGGCACGCGTTCCAGGAGAAGGCCGGCGAGTGGGACGTCATCTCCGACTTTGCGCCCGACGCGACAATGCCAGTTCCCAAGCTGCGCCATGTCGCTTTCTCTGCTGAAGGAGACTTCCTCGTCATATCGGCTGAGGACGGGGGAGGAGTGGCTGTGTTCGACCCCGCACAGATCTTGAAGCAGAACTTCAAGCCCGGCAATGAGATCGCTACAGACAAGCAGCCCGTGCGTTCGTTGCTGCCCAATCCCACCCCAAAACTGGAACACATCTTCGCGGCCGTCCTGGACAACGGGAAGCTCTGCCTGATAGATGTCGTCAACGGCGTTTCGCACACTATCAGGGAAGAGGGGGTTGTGTGTGCGTCTTGGAGCACAAAAGGCAAAGCTCTAGCAGTCGGTCTGAAGGATGGCACTGGAATGCTGTACTTGAACGACGGGACCCAGAAGGGCGTTATTCCACGCCCACCTGGCATCAACGAGGGGTTCACATGTAAGCTGGGACTTCAGAGTTGTCCATTTGTCCATGCAAGGTGACTAACAAGCGCAGACTCTGGCCTTGTCTGGCTCGCCAACGAAGAGTTCTTCATCGTACACTTTCCAAAACAATCCGCGATCGATACAGGAGAGCCAGAGGAGGGCAGGTATCACTACGTCAGGAGCCATGAGAGCTGGACCTCGTTCACGTTCCACCCGACGCCGGAAGAGCCAATTCTTCCTGCCTGGGAGATCCCAACACGAGCGTTTCCCCCTCGCCTGTCTGTCACACGGCTGCGCGAATGGGAGCCGGACCTAAACGACCTCCTTATCCTCACCAACTCGCATTCGGACACGATTGTGACTGTCACATCTGCAAGCAGGGAGCTGTCGCGAGGCCAGCCAGTCAAGGAGTACACCCTGACTGACCTCAACGAGGGCCAAGGGGCGCAAGTTCCGCGCAGAGTGTTCGGCGAGGAGGGTGACAGTGTTCTGATTGGTGAGGGGTTGGATCTATCTACCACGGAGAAGCTTCTGCGTCCCATCTCCTCAAATGAAGAGATTACCGAAGCTCCTCATCCTCTGCCTGCGTACATGTTCCTTACCCACCAAGGCATCTTGTCGGCATATTGGGTGGTCTGGAACCGTTCCATCGTGGAAGGCAAGCGCTACCCTGGCCTGGTCACTCCGAACAACTTGTCATCGACACCAGACACAGCTGCCGCTGCTCCGAAGACAACGTCGCCTTCGAAAATCCCCACACCAGGAGGTGCAAGCAACCTCTTCGGCAAGCCCGCAGCGGCGACGTTTGAAGCGCCTTCCACACCTTCCGGCCCCAAGTTTGGAGCCTCTCCATTTGGATCCACAACACCAGCCGCCTCCTTTGGAAAACCAGCGTTCGGGTCCACTACTCCAGCTGCAGCCTTTGGCCAACCTTCACAGCCAGCGAGCGCTATGCCGTTCGGTCAGCCGGCAAAGCCTGCCTTTGGCGCTCCTTCTGCGATGGGATCTTCGAGTCCATTCAGCCAGCCTGCGGGTTCCACAACCCCTGCGTTTGGCCAAACGTCGAAGCCTTCCTTAGGCGCCACAACAGGCTCCACACAACCAGCGTTTGGACAAACGTCAAAGCCAGCTTTCGGTACTCCCTCTGCACCGGGTGCACCTGCCTTTGGAGCAACTGGCGGACTTGGCAAAGCATCGCCGTGGGGCTCAGCATCACCGCAGGCATCTCAGACACCAGCAAGCAACCCATTCGCCTCCGGAGGTGGTTCCTCTGGATTTGCCAAGTTTGGGCAGCCAACTCCTGGAGCAGGATCTGGTTTCTCCAGCTTTGGCAGCACGAGCGGAGGTCAGTCTGGTTTTGGAGGCCTTGGACAGCAGAAGTCCGCATTTGGCGGTGCATCAAATACGACCTCAACTGGCCCGGGCCTGAAAGCTGAGCCAAGCTTTGGATCCACAGTCACAGTAGGGTCGAACAATGGCTCTACACTACCTTCCTGGGGTAACACACCAGCGCAACATTCGAGCTCAGGCTTTGGCTTTGGCCAGAAGACTACGAACTCTTCGTTCGCTACTGCCTCGTCATTCGCCTCGACAGACGGCGGCGCCGACACGCAGCAGCGCAAGCGCGACGAGGCCACACCCACACCTCAGCCAGCTTCGGGTCTCCACGGTCTTGCAGGTGGCTTCAAGCTCGGAACCACGTTCAAGAGTGACGGAACAGCAAAGGATGATCCTGCAAAGCCTGCAGCTCCTGCTTCTGGTGGTTTCTTCGGAAGCGACTTCTCTTCGATGGTTCCCAAGGCAGGCCTCCAACCTCCGAAAACTCCGGGAGACAATGGTTCGACTACACCACTCTCGCCACCAAAGAAGACCTCATACTTTCCAGATACTACACCACAGGCGCCACCGCCGACAAAGAGGGAGTCCCAGGAGGATGCGCCGCTGCCACCGGACTTTACGACAATGAAGAAGAAGTCTGAGCCTGTAGATGATCCACTTCCGCCAGACTTCATCACCTCAAAGCCCAAGTCCCAGCCCGTGGACGATCCTCTACCACCAGACTTTATTCCGAAGAAGCCATCGAAGTCTGCTGATGACGATCTGCCTCCTCTTGCTGGCAGCCCCGGTGTCAAGGTCGAGGTTCCAAGCTCCTCGCCGGAAGCAACGCCTCTGGACGATGATGATGATGATGATGATAATGATGATGATGACGAAGAATTCTCTGATGAGGAAGAAGGCGAAGAGGGAGATGAGGACGAGAACGAAGATGAGGATGGAGAGGAGGAAGATGAAGATGACGAAGAGGAGGCGGAGGAGGAGGAGGAGGAGGAGGAAGACCAAGACAGGCCTCCACCAACGACGCTCGGCAAGTATGTCTTGCAGCAACCGGATCTCGAGAGCAAGCCAAGGCAACAATTCCCTCCTGCGCCCACGCCTCCAGTCGCCAAGCCAGAGAGCACATCACAGCCTTCTCTGTTCGGCGCCAAGCCCTCCACTTCGCAACCCTCACTGTTCGGTGTCAAGTCAGGTACCTCACAATCACTACCATCTCAAAACAGCTCACAGTCACTCTTTGGCCAGCCGCAGAAGGCACCATTTTCGCTCGGTCAGCAGCAGCCAAGCACATCTGCGGCACCAAGCTTCCCGCCCTCACGAGCACAGGCGAACCTTCGTTCACCAAGCCCTGTTCGATCGTCATCAGCATCTAGTCATCGACCGACAACACGGAGGGAGCCTTCTATGCCCGGAAGCTCTCTGAGCGCATCGTTCCAACAGTCGAAACCACCAACACCACAGCCGCAAGTGTCTGACCTCGAGGACCAGGAAGACGAGCGCATTCGTGCACAGCTGGCGCAGGAGATCGAGCCTAGTCGAACACTCGATGACTTCGTCGCACATCAAAAGTACACAGGCACCTCTGAAAAGACTGGCCACGCCGCTCAGATCGAGGCAATCTACAAGGACATCAATGGCATGGTAGATGCTCTTGGGTGGAACGCTCGCTCCATCAAGTCCTTCACGCAGTACCACAAGCAGCCTCACTCCAACCACAAGGTTGACCGTCAGACCCTGGAAGACGTCGAAGCCGATGGTAAAGACGGCTCATGGTTCGAGCAGTTCGCTCTGAGCGAGATCTCCGCCCTCCAGGCTCTCGAAGACGAGCTGTCCAAGGAGCTCGACGCCGGTCGCATCCAAAATGTCCACGACAAGCTCACCCAGCTTCGACGCCTTATCCTAGAAAAGGCCAAACTCATGACCCGCATCAACGACATTCGTCGCCAGATCATCAATCGCAAAGATCCTGAAAAGGTTGAGTCAAGCCGCAAAGCCGCCCTCCCTAAAGAGCTTGCCGACACCCAAAAAGCCCTTCGCGCCGACTACGCCAAACTTCTCACCCTCCTCTCTCAAGCCGAAGAAGCAGCCATCCTTCTGCGCTCCCGCCTCGCCTCCCACAGTGCGAGTGCAGGCAACACGAGCGCAGTGCCGAGCATGGACGCCGTGAAGAAGACAATCATCAAAATGACCAGCCTAGCGGAGCGCAGGAATAACGACATCGCGCTGCTCGAGAGTCAGATGCGCAAATTCGGGCTCCAGGATCCCAGCCGCCCGACTTCATCCTCGTCGCATGCGAACGGGACTACTACGCCCCGCCGCCCGCGAGGTACGGATCTGAGGAGAAGCATCGCCGAAACGCCGTTTGTTACGCCGCCTACAAGGGGGAAGATGAGTCTCACTGAGCTCAATCGTCGCGCTTTGACGCCTGAGGTTGCCGAGTCGACGCCGAGTAAGGGATACGGACTCTTCTACGATGCGCAGGAGAGCGCGGCGGGTAATGAGCTGGCGAGACTGAGCGATTTAGTGGATGACAACATCGATGAGTTGCGCCAGACTGCTAGGCGGAGGAGGACTGTTGCAAATGGGTTGAGGAAGGCGCTTTTGGAGCGTGGTGTCAAGACTACAATGGTCAACTAGAGATTGATCCATTCACGACATGGTGCGATTGTGTATGCAGAGGCGCAGGAATTGGAACATGGATGGGTGGATTGATTGGGCTTGGTACGCGCAGTTGTAGGACTTGATATTTGTACATGACAGATTGTAAAACGTTTTGCATAGCGGAAGGAAATTTTGATGTTCTACGCACCACCTGGTACATGTTCTTCGCTCACGCTCGCGTCCATATATCCCTGGATTCTGTACCTTACTACCCACTCAATCTAGCACTCGAAGGAATCCAGCTCCTCCGCCCACCCTTACCATCTGACCCACACTTCTTGCACTCCACAGACTCTCAACATGGGGTCGCAGCCGCGAGCGTGATCGTAGGCACGGCCTGTGAATCCTTCGTGTTAGCCGTAGCTTCGTGTTAGCCGTAGCTTTCTTCTCACCCTTCTTCGAATTCTTGATCGTCTTTCGCATCTGCATCTGCGTCGTCAGCATCGCCTTAGCACGCTTCTCGGCCGCTTTCCGCAGGAAGTAGTGACACTGATAGCGTTCGGGCATTGTGTCGAGTTCGGTTGCTAGGTAACGCTGGTGAGCTTGGCGTGGTTGTGAGGCTGTGTGTGGTGGTCTGTAATGTGTGTAAGCGCGATGAGGTTCTACTGAAGGGAAAAGAAAACAGAATTGAAACAAGGCAATACGCACACCAGGTGTGCCGTGTGAGGGAACTAATGGGCCTGCACAATGCCAGTGTTTCGCATTGTGAAAAAGCGATACACGGACTTCATGTCCTGGGCACAGTGTGAATGAAAGAGCTTGTCGTATCAGATAAAACCTGTCTGGGTATTGAGCTAGAATACGCGTCGCTATGCTATGCTATGCCAATACAATGATATCTTCCAAGTCTCCAACGTCCAATCATGAAGGGCGTAACCATCAAACAATGTAACGCTCGCGTTTGTTCAAAACATGCCGTCAAAAGGTGAAAACCTATCCGGTGAAAGCGAACCGATTGAGGTTAAACATGGGCTTGCGCGGCGAACTGACGCTTTCGCCATCGCTGTCGTGTACAATCAGATCTTCGCTCCCTTTCAGTGAGGAGCGCCGCCTTTTCGCTGGTGTGACTGGTGGTGATGAGGCAGGCACGACTATTTCAGAGTCTATAGCTGCCCATGCTGAATTTTCGATGTCAGGCTGTTCGTCCACAGGAGGTGGTGTGCCAGGGACGATGCTCTCTACCTTGGTCTCTTGTGCAGTCATGGAGAAGAGCTCAAGCGGTAAAGCTGAGGGGGTCCGTGCCTCGGTATCGCGTCTGCGTAGTTTGCTTGTCATTGTGCTTATCGAACTTGTGAAACTTGACTCGGGGCCCTTGTAGGTGAACTTGGACCGCAGCTCCTTCATCTGCGACGAGATTGCAGCACTGGAGACGCTCTCCGGTTCCGGACTCCCAAAAGAAGTGGCGGGTGTCAATATCCCGGTAGAGTCCTGTGACTCGCCTGTGGGGGTTCGTGTGGTGGCAGTTGACTGTGAGTCGCTTTGTGTGTCGCTGAAAATCCTCAACTTCTTCTTCGACTGAGAGGCAGTCTCTTCAAGATCTGCCGCTTCTGCCATAGCCTCCCCTAGTGAGTCGTCGGAGTACAGCTCGAAGCCGTAGTCCGTCTTTCGTCTGTTGTTCTTAGTTGGGCGAATCGAAGGACTTGGCTCAGGCATAGTCGATGCAAAAAACTGGCTTCGTACAACGCCCTCTCCGCCTGCGGAAGGAGTGGTGAGTATGGAGTCAGAGCATAACCGTTGCCTTTTAGATGGATGTGGAGCGGATCGTCTACGCCCTGTGGGATCGGATATGATTCGTCTCGCAGGCTGAGGGGCCGTGCTTGGAACGGATGGCCGTGATGTTGATTGTGACCCAGGCGCGGGTACTGCTGCCCAGCCCGTGCTGTTCCTTTGCTGTTCCAATAGGACTTGCTGACTTGGGGAAGGTGTGAAAATATTTGGATCCAGCTCGGCCAACGGTGTACGCTTGGGCTTGAAGAAAGAGTCGATCGACTTGGTACCCTTTAAATCCGGCGTCTGTACGTGTGTCGATGCCCGTCGAGATGCTCCAAACACCTTGCTTGCGACCGTCATAGGTAGCTTCGTACGCGGGTACAGGTCGCCCTTCGCTACCCCTGCTGCAAGGTGCGCTGCCACTTCTTCGCCCAGGTAGGGCATATCGGCAATATCAACACCATCCGGGAGTGGTGTCAGGTTGACCAGTTGGTTCTCGATCGGACAGAATACCCACTGGTACAAGAACGTCTTCTCCGCTTGATCGAAGTCCGCCATGAAGCCATTGGGTACCTTCAGCTTGCCATCGAATTGCGCAGCCTTGACTAGACGGTCGACGGTCTTGTGCTTTCGAAGCATACGGTGAGCGGTCTTCAAGCCTAGTCCTCCGATACCAGGCAGATAGTCGCACCCACTTAGGATGGCCATCCGTCTGAAATCGGCGTCTGACCAGCCCACTAGGCTGATTTCTCTGCAGGCCGTGAAGTGATTGCGGTTGACTTCGACACAGTCTCCGTACTTGTCGAGCTTTGTGATCAGGCACTTCGCGCCAAAGACTAGGAGATCTGAGTCTTCGGACAGAATACCATCAATGATGCCCTTGCGTTCCAGGTACACCATCTGCGAGTCTGCTTCGTACGGTGCGACAATATACTGGACGTTGCTGGCCTTGAGCTCCTCGATGAATGCCCGTGCCATCTCTGGTGTGACATCGACAGCCTTCTGTAGTTCCAGTTGCGCTTGTGACGTCTTGCCGACCCTGAGTAGCTCCAGGCCTAGTCGCTTGCCCTCTTTTCTCCTCTCTCTGCGGTCTTTCTCGGTGCCGGCTTTGCTGGGGAGGTTATCTCCATCGAAGATGAGGTACGGTGTTATGCCAAAATGAATAAGCATGCGGACGCGGTTCATGCAAAAATCGATATATCTGTGCAAGGTTAGCCAATTACCGTGTTGCAACGGCATGCAAACATACTTGGTAGTCGGCTTCGCCAAAGCCAGATCAATGGCACAGGCAGCCGTCCCTCGATGCAACCAGCCATAGGCATCTACGCCAATGGTCTGGCCGGCGAACTTTTTGAGGTTGCATGGCTTGTGGATAGATTTGAGCAGCGGTAGAAGTCCTGCAGCATGTCAGCTTGGGTACAGAGATACTTGGAGATGTACATACCGGAGATACCCATCTTTGAGGTTTTGCCCCTCACGCGTCAAGCCCAAACAAAGGCTTTTAGATCGCTGCTATGAGGACATTACGGTCTTGAAGGTCCGTGTTCAATGTGTCGAAGAGTACCCTGCGTTACTAAGGAAAATCGGTGTCAGTGAGGGCAGCCTTACGGCCTGTGATGAGCAGACGTTCTCGATACAGTGGAGCACTCATCGCGTCGTGAAGGTAAGATCCACATGCGTGCCTGCGCTAAGAAGATATCAGTTAGCGGCCGTCAACTAGCGCCTTCCTTAACCCCGGCCGTCGACTGATTTTCAGAAAAGTTCAGGCGAGAGCGGCCGACAACATCAACACAAAATCCAGTCAATATGGTCAGCGATCGGTTAAGCAAAGTGCACAAGGCGATCGCCAAGAAGAAGGGCAAGAATCCTAATTTGCACGAGGGCAGCCGAGACACAAAGCGACTGCAGCGCGCAAGTGCTCGAGATGACAAGCTCAACCGCCTTACAAAACTGAGAGAGAAGGAAAACAGACATTACTGTACGTGTGGAGACGAAACCCCCTTTTTAATCTGTGCTGACACCAACGTACAGTGAACCGAGTGAAGTCATTCCAATCATACACAGCGGAGCACACCTCACCTCTCAGTGTCAAGGAATTGCAGGCCATGATTGAGGACTACCTGGGCCGTGACGACGAGGAGCTCGCCAAATTGAAAGCAGAACGCCGTGCTGGAAGACCACCAAGCACCCGCCAAACTCTCTTGGAGCAGGCGAGAGCCACCGAACAGGACGAGTACGCCTCTGGTTTCTGGATTCCGGACCTTGAGGATGAGAGCGTCCTGCAAAAGCTGGAACAATGGGATGGCAAGTGGGCCAGCCTTCCCACACTGAAGTTCGCAAGGATCTCGAAAGAGGGGCACAAGAAGGTGTCAAGCTTCCCACCGAAGGGCATGTCGTGAGCGTTGAGCGATGGCGTGCTTTCACTGCGAGATAGACGATGAACCAGCGTCAGACCTGCTGTGTCTGGTCTGTACAGAAGTCTGACTGTCGCTTGGGTTTCCCTCTTGTGAATCCCATGTCCTGCCAGCGACCCAATAAAAGAGGAGAATCAAGCCGGCAGTTCTGACATATTACTCCGACCGCGACGCATCTACAGAGCGTCACCTTGATACAGCGCACGCATACGCGACCCGTAGCGAGTCAGAATGTTGTTTGCAATTTTCAGTCAGGCTACTCAGGGACTAGTATCACAGAAGAAGGGCGCATGTCATACCGTAAGAGAAAGAAAGAGCCCGACTGCTCAGCTACGTTGTCGACGCTTTTTGTCCGGACCATAAGTTCAACAACAATGATAATCGATCACAAGCTGTACACCGTGCACCAACTCCAATCACAAGCGAGCAGAAGCACTCACCAACAGGAAGACTGTCGTTATTCAATGAACTGCTCCAACAGTACCGAGTCTTCATAGGTCATGCAGTACGCAAACCATGCAAAGCCTCAAGTGGAGGGCATGCATGCAGATGGAACCACTGACCAATGATCAGTTGCCGATCATCCCCGACGTGCATGAACAGTGCATCGTGAGCTGAACTTGTGTCGATTAAGATTACCGGTGGATGCCAAAAGAGGCAGCGCCGTGGAGCACGGTGGGTAGCAATTGCAGGTCTGAGCGACCACACTTGCGCCTTCTTCAACTACGACATTGTTTCAAGGCCGTCCCAATTTCTCATCTCTTTCTCTTTCCTCAGCCTCTGACGTTCCACCAAGTGTCGCAAAGGAACATTGGGCCTCATACAGAAGCTTACAAAACCATTCATCTACCTGTCTGTTATGACATGTGACTTCAACCTCTTCCTAGCCAACCTCATCCTTCTAGCCCACCCTCCCAACAAAGTCATTGCCGCAGGGTTGCGAGGTCACGCAAGAAAGTAGCTCGAATACAGACCACCGCGCGAGGGAGACTCGATCAGCATGTCACGTGTTAAATGCAGTGTGCGCTCCAGCACACTCTCAGCCTCAATCGTAGTCCGACTACCTCCAGGGCCAACCACGGCATTCTCCCACACGACGGCAAGAACATCACCTTCTGGGCCTCGAACACCACCGTGCGACAGACTTTCAACTTTGCGCCATCATTATGTTTTTTTGTGCTCAAGTTCTCCGCTGACTTCCTCGGCCGCTCGTACTGGGTTGATAAGTTCGATCTCGAGGAGCTGAGCAAGTATAACGCTATCGAGCATGATGCGAGTCTGACGAGGAGGAATGCGGCGCTGATACCTGACCAGGGGAGGCCGGATTTGGCCCTCGTGCAGGAGTTGTTGAGTGTTGCGACTGGGAAGGGGAAGGGTGGAAAGGTGTTGCTGACGAAGGAAAATTTGAGTAAGCAGTTGGCGAAGAGGAGGGGCGAGGCGAGGGCTGAGACCCCAGAATATTCGGAAAGCCTATTCCACAACATGTTCGGGAGTGCAGAGTAAATGTGATTCAGCTTCGCGGGCTTGATGGTTCGTGCCACTAACATATACGACAGTTCCTCTATGAGTCTCACGATCTTTGGTAGTCGTGTTGATGACCTCAGACCGATGTTGACTGAAGAGCGATTCTCAGGGAACTAGGAACCACGTATCCGATCACCATATGGACTTACAATGGCGGAATTCAACGCTACAGTGCAGCCGGTCGAGCTGGGCGTTAAGAAGAAGTTGAAACAGCAGTAGACACAACTTTCTGCCTTGGTCCACTACACCAAGATGAGATGAAGCCCGGCCGCGATGCTCGAATTCTGCGCTGTGCACGGGAACCGTTCAGCCTGGTTGAAAAAGCAAGGACGCCGGTACATATTACCCTCTAGGAGCTGCGAGTACCTCCAGACAAAGAACCGTTCTAGTCTTTCTTCTGCATAACGATATCTGCATTCATCGAACTTCACAATCCTATTCTCTCAACCGTACCCTTCGTTTCCTTGTCTGTGCAACTGCTTATATATCCCTTATACATGCCCCTCGTCCGTTGCTGGCCCAGACCGCTAAGTCTACTTTTCCATTAACACTTAATCAGTCACCATGGCGAGAATTCATCGAAGACCCAAGAAGATAATTCCGGGCTGGCACTGCATCAAGCTTTCAAAAAACCAAGACCAAAACATCAAACCTATAACTCGTAATCAAGGCAATACCACACGCCGGAGGTCTTCACGGCAGGCTGCGCAGACCATGCTAGGGTTTTACAACGAGACTGCTCTTGCAAGCCGAGGTCGCGAAAAGAAGAGCGTCACTGAGCAGGTTGAGAAGAAGATGAAGGTAGGAGCGGTGCACACGCGGCGTATATCGAAGAGGTGTTAATGTAAACCTCCTGGGAGGTGAAATTGTTTGCTTCGGAAGAGGAGGGACTTTGGGAGCTCTGCTGGCTCGTGTGCGTAGATGGTTTTGAGATCAATTGTTCAGATTGTCTTGAGTTGTAAATCAGTGATTAAAGTTGCAATTCAGTCAAATGTTAAGGAAAGGATCCACCATATCCAAATTATTCAATGTACCTAAAAGCGCCGCCAGGGAGGGACTCATTCAAGGTTGAAGGCATCCTTCTTGCTCAGGATGGTGTCCGTGAGCTCGTCATATGAACAATGGAAGGCATTTAACAAAGAAGGCACCAGCTCTTTCTGCAGAACGAGCACTTCATGTACTCTTCACAGTGTACTATTGCTAATGCTTCTCTTTATCCACTGCCTCTTGTATATCGCAATATATTTCCTCTCAGCATCCCTCATTGCAATTGCTCATAAGACTCAACACATACAATGGCACTCTTGAACCGATCCACATAACACACGATGTCTTGCTTTCTAACGCACTTGCAAAGCGAAGCTATACTCCAGCGGAAACAGCAAAAAAACTCAAAACTATTTCCCAAAGCTCGGCGTAGGCGGGTTCGCTATACGCATGTAGAGCGCAACTTACGCACGCGGACGAGGCCAGATGGCTTCTACAACGGGACTACTCTCTCACGCTCCGCGTCTGGACTGAAGGTTCAAATTGAAAAGAGGCAGAGGAAGGAGAGGCCGAAGGGTGTGACAGCTACGGTTGTCGAAGAAGCGTTGAGTGATCAGAAGGCGTAAAACAGAGGTTTTACGAGCCGTGTAGAGACAAATTACGAACTGAGCGGACTTTTTCTTGCGTAATTTAAGATGATCTGCCTAAATCAAAAGCTGAATACTCACGACTGCTTTCTATGAGACGCGGCATACATTGCAATGCACACTGTCTGTAGTTTTAACATACCAATGTAGCCCGGAGGTAGACAATGAAGCTTGACTCATGACAGACAAAGATCTGAATGAATGTGTTCATGATCTTGTTGCTAATATTTGAACAAAGACAACTTGTTACACTGTCTTTCATACGGCCACTTAACGTCAGGTAATGTTTACTCGAACCAGGTATATCAGCTTCACTCCTTTTCCTCAAGTTTGCCAGACCTTAGCGTCTATAACAATTGACGGAATGTATGCACCCACCCAAAATTGGTACAGAAACCAAGCGCCTGTATCTTATTGGCTACTCTACAACAGGTACCATGAAGCATTACCTGGTACCAGGTGTCAAACCCTGACCCAGGTGTTTACAGCCTCTCACAGCAGCTGCAGATGTGCTCTACGTCATGAACTACATCACTGTCCCACATATTCAGGGTACGTATACTATTTATGTAGCCGCAAACACATGCACCAGACAATCTGATCTAAGCTCTCTAATTGTGTACTAAGATAGGGTGGGTGCATACATTCTGGCAAGCACCGATAAGCGACGCACTATAGTACTTTAGACAAAGTACAGGATCAGCTCAAAATGTTCGCTCGGACCATGAACTCCCAAACTCCACGATCTACGCGCAGAGTATGCTGCCTTTCCCCTTGCGCTCTGCGAGAGTGGGGACGTCATCGACCCCAAAATGCTATGACATACACTGCCGCACCAAAGCCTAAGTTTCAGCCTCCACCAACAAACACCACCAAGGATGCAATACCCACAACAGAAAGACCAGAACTTTCGTGCAAGCGCTTCAAGCCCCGGTACACCATGACCGACGTGCTCGACAACGCTGGTCCTCGGGCCCGAGCATCAGGCTTCCTATGCATCGAGTGCAATTTTCCTCTTGAAAAAATCGTCCAGCGACGCCGCTCACCACGTTTGCAGGTGGAAGGCGAAAAGCCGTTTGGATACTACAAGGAAGTCAGCCTGTGGCGCCGTGGAAAGGGTCTCAAGGTGTATGAAGATATGTGGGTAAGGTAGGGACCGGGAAAGAAGGGGTGGACGCGAGCGGTGCGAGCGCTGTGGATCAAGACAGAGTTGCTAGATAAGGGAGGTGTTGACGTTGTGGGTAGCATCTTGATGAACAGGCTTCGTGGATTATATTGATTCTCAGAGACGTCAGTGGTCTTGTCGGTTCCTCTACGTGAGTAGATTCTACTGATCCTTGCGTCATATCCCGTAAATCGATCTAACTCCAGGCTCAAGTGTCAGAATTGCAGCCTCCTGTCCTCAGTCTATCGAGTGTATCCATGATGCGATCCAGCATCACAGACCACAACGCTTTCCGTCCTTCTCAGCAGCTCACAACCCCAACATCATCAACCCAGACCTCCCACCCCTCATCCCCTGCACTCTTGCTAGTCACAACGATCGCCAGTGTGCTACCCGTTTCCGGAACACCTCCAATGACCTTCACCTTGCCGCCAACTTTCTTCCATCCGTCCTCTCCAACATTGAATTGGCTGGCTCCGCAGCTCACGCCATCCAAGATAACCTCGATCCTCGTAACGCCCTCACCCCTCTTACCCGCGACCCACGCATAACAGTCCACTGTGGCACCGACAGGCGCATTAAGGCCAGACTGAGACAATGTAAGAGTGGATTCGACGGTGGATGTGGCGTGCGCGTAGTAATAGTGCGTGCCTTGGTGCGTGAAAGGATTGGCGAAGACACCGCGGGTCGACCAGGCGGATTCTACGATTGGAAGCCACGGTTCGATGGCGCCAGACTCGAAGGACGGGTTGATGAGGTAGTTCGTGCACGTCCGCGTGTTGATATTGGGGGCTGTTGGCAGAGCGGCGGTAACCGACAAGAGGCAGAGAAGGACCCAGACAACGATGGTGGTAAGCATGAGCGGCCTGGAGTGGGTGGTGGACAGTGCCATGTTTGTTGGTGGTGGTGATAGCTTGAAAATAGGTTGAAGTGTATTGTTAAGTGGAAAGGTAAGAATTCTTGGAAGCGAGGTCGAGTATCCGCTTATATAGGTTAAGGTATCGGTGACGGGGAGAGTAAGAGAGAAGGTGAAAGCCCGCTCCCGTGCGGAGCCTTGGTGCCCCACGTGGTCTCCTTCACTTCGATTCCAAGTATGCACGGTTGTCGGCTTGGACAGCCTTGATGTGCTCTGTATCCAGGTTTTGGGAGGGCCGAATGGTTTGCGCGTACAACAACGTCCTTCAAGTGGTATCAGGGGAGAACAGCTGCGCTGCATGGAAAGCAGAGAAACATGTCCTCGCTCCCAACCACCCAAACATTAAAAGCACACGTTCCATCCTGCGGTCACTCCAACGTTCTACTCTTACTATAGCAACTCTGCGCTTGTCGCAAACCGGTATAGTGACCGAGACAAGTGCATGCATAACGATGAGGGACTCGATAAATGTTACCTCCGCAACACAGATCTGAGACAAACGTTGGTGATGGGCTGGTGAGTGGCGATCTGGGGTCGAACAAGCGAGATTGGTGGCTGGCCTATCAGGGTTGCGAACTCCTCCAAGCGGAACTCAAAGCTAGTGTGAACATGGAAATGTCTGTGAACACCTTCTGATGTGTTCCCAGGCAATTGGTTGCGACTGTTTGGGTGCTTGGATGAGGCTCAAGCGTGCTCCGGCCCAATGGGATCGTGTTCCGCCGGAGAAGCAATGCCAGTGGTCGACGTTACAAATATGCAAGTGGTCGACGAGATCTTGAGAAAGGAGATGTATGAACAGACGTCCAGTCAAAGTACGCAACTGGAGCCTTTAGCCGACGACAGCCACTTGAGCGACTGCAGCAGTATTTAGTCGCCAGACTACCGAACCCTTGACTGTCGACCCACCACTTTCCTGCAGTTTTGGCGCACATTTATGCTGCCAGCTGGCGCACCGCACTCCTATCAAGACGATGTCAATGGAGTTGGAGAGTCTGGGCTGCTCTGTAGGTAACCAAAGTCCCCGAAACTAGGTTGCAGTAAGCAGTTGATAGCCTCCAGGCCTAGGGAGATGACTGCAGCGAATCGACTCTAGCTGCCCAGAAGCTCTGTTATGTGCATGCTCTGACGGACGCTGTACCCAAGATCAGAGCCGGCGCAACGATGGACGTACGAAAGACGAAGTGATGAAATGGAAAGCTAATGTGACGAAACAAGTGTAGCAGAATCAAGAAGCAAGCGTACTGACATGGCAAGAACAGAGAGGAAGCAAGGGCGTACAAAGAGAGTTGAGAAGGCAACAGCATTGAACCGCAACAGCGTCTACGAGCAGGAATTAGCCAGGGCGCCGACAGACGTTGACTAAGCGCACTTTGGCCGTGGAGGTTTTTAAGCTTACAATGGTAGATAAGCATCTCTTACCGCGATGCCTCCCCACAAGAGTACTCCCAAGGCACAGGATATTCTGCTGTCTTCCTTACCATTTGGAGATTGGATTGTAGAAAGCTGAGCTGAATGATGGTTTCGTGACCTCGCCTCGCACTTCACTGTACTCCTTCCTCGCATGCACCCTTGCACTGTGATGAGGCCCAACATCGTGCATATGCAGATCTTCGGCCGGGAAGTGGGTATATGGTGGCACTGCGGGTGATGTGCATATGCTGTGCCGCTGTCTCTTGAGCAACATCGGGCAGCATCTCAACCCACGACCGAGACCTCGAACAAACTCGTGCTTGTCGATGTTGCTAGCCACTTACGCAAAAGGCGCCTTTGGGGTGGTGGCCTTGAGTGCCTGACGGCCGGCTGGATGACACTGCCAGATCATGCCATGTGTTTGCTAATCCAACAGTCCGTCTGGCGAAGTTGTTGAACTTGTGGGATCGCGAGGCGGCGGTACCGTGCAACACATGCATGCTGCCGTCCAAGATCGTAAGATGTTGGATGGTCGGCAGCACGACAGTCTGTGTTGACACGTCACATTTTGTCTCAAAGCGTACAACATGAAGCTTCCATCTCTTGCCTCGAGGCGCGGTACAGTGTGTCTGCCGAAGGTCCGAAGGAATGATACGCTGTCTGCTGCTGGATCTTGCAGTTGTGCTGGACGACTGTAGCCCGCTGGTTTGAACACACGTGCATCTAGATGCACATGGACACCTGGAACGACTGGTTTTTTGGATCTTCGCCTGTGGGTCACCCGAGATCCAGAGATCAAGTCCGTGGGTACCTGGTCGGCATGCCTCGCGTTTGACAGCCAGCGGTGCGTCGGAAGCCCGGAACTCGTTCAGGATGGTCGAGACAGCTCGCGGTGTCTCCGTTGATGGCCACGAAGGGTCGCGCATAGATGCGGCGCCTCAATCGGTCGTCCAAAGTCGTTCCAGCTCGGCACAGATCTTCTCGTCAGTGTCGTGTGTTTGCATCCAGAAACCCACGCGGACAGTTGTCCTGCGCCACAAATTGCGCACGCCTGACTGGCTTCCTATTTTGGGCAAAGGACGTTTCAGACATGCACCTCGTGGCCGGGTAACCTTGGCTCGCCGCCCCACTGCCTTGGCCTCGCCTTGTCCAGCGACCTGCGCGACATTATTCGACGACCGACAACCCACCTTCCACTTCGATTCCACCCTGACCCCTCGTGCAACTGAGGATGCTGCTGCCGCGACGATGAATTTAGGTTGGAAGAAGATCTTACACAAGCGCTGAGCGGCTACGCCAACGCCAACGCATCACTCCCGCCTGCGGCAGCTTTGCAAGGCTGGAGTCCCTCGGTCATAGTCGGCTGACTGCTGCGAACCGCCCCGAGGCATCTGCAGACGAGATGAGGAAGATCGCAATGCCGATGGAGAAATCGCGCAGTGGCTTTGCTATGCCTGACCGAGACAAAAGTGGGTATCGATCTGCGGCGGCGGTTGTGGAGAAGGGAATCAAGAGGAAACGTCCGAGTTATCGAAAAGCGGCTGTTAGATTGATTGCTTCGTTGCGAGGTGTCAGGACTGAAGTCTGGAACGAACAGCTGTCTTCAAGCTTGTCGAAGTAAGTGTTCGGATGATTCGCAAAATGTCGAAGACATGCTGATGTTGATTCAGTCCTTTCTTTGAAGCTCTGCTTCGATTGCCCAATGAGTTGCACATCTTGATTCTCAGCCAGCTGTGCATATCAGATCTGTTGGCATTGCGTAGAACATGTCGCATCTTAAACGTGCTTGTGGCAGGTTCTGCACCCTCACTCAGTCGATACTGGGTGAAGCATCGGATGGGTAACCTCCATCTGCGTTTGTATCCTACCACTCGACCAACTGAAGCGGACTTCCAATATCTCCTCGCTATGCGGCGACGACATATTGCTTCCATTCGACTTAGCAGACAGCTTGCCAACTTCCTGCTGGGTGACGTACAAGAGCAAGTCGATTCTCGCCAAAAGCAGCTGTGGACATCCGTTTATGAGAAGATGATGCCACTCGTGTTTGGTGTCGGTTACTTCCTCGAGGAGCATCGACGAGCGGTCTTAGACAGAGACCTTGGACAGATACGACCGCGGTCGCACATCGGATACGACATCTGTACCACGGGTTGTATGACGAACCAAGACTTGAAGACCATGAAGAAGATGGATGCGCCTTTGCGGCTGCAGTACTTCTACATGTACTGCTTCATACTGCAGGTGATGAGACGGAAGTTGCGCCCTGCAAACCGTACTCGAACGGTTGGCAACTTCCTGAGAGGATGGTCGAATCACTCTGCTTGCTCTGAAGACATAGCCTTCCTCCTGATATTGGGAGGTATCGGTCAGATTGCTAAGCTGCTTACGTGTCCCACCTACACTGATCGGAGGAGGTATCTGTACGCATACATCACGCACTTGTCGCCGCATGCAAGCAAGTGTTGGAGAGCACACTGGAAAGACATTGGTGTTGTCTCACCTGCATTGCTGGACGATATTCCATGTACCAGTATTGGTATCACGCAGCTCGACCAGATCTGGGAGCCAGGGATAGCAGAGATGATGAAACCGGAAAGCCGAGCTTTCACTACTCATGAGAAGCTGCGGTACGAAGAACTGCAAGTGTCGAAGAAGTACATCAACGAGATCATGGGATACGACATCTTGCGGGTGTCAACTCCAGAGTGCGTTGATATCGACGATGAGATGGAAGATAGGAGACCGTAAATCATCGTATCCAATAATTTGCTAAAGCCAATTGCCTGCACCTGCCATCTCCGGATCCGCATTGAGGCTTCGTCACGCGTACAGTCTAGGCTCTTCATCAGCTATCGTGAGATTTGCTCTGTTGAGGTTTGTAGCCGCAGCTTTCTCTAGTCTGTCTGTTTCGATGCACCCAAGTGCTATGCATTACGTACAGTTTTGGGTGCGTAGCGCGCTACGTCCGGAAGCTCATCAAGCTCAGCGGTAACTAAAAGCACGGCGCCCCATCAAAGGTAGAGTGGGTTCGCTGCGGAAGTTCAGAGCCATCGAATTGAAGCTTGTGATTTTAGTGTGTTGTTGTTGTTACTGACCTTCCTACACGAGGTCACTAAGTGCTGGCAGTGTTCTGGGCTTCGATGTACGGGCAACTGTACTTTGACCTGCCATGCACGACTACCCCAATTGGGTATTCACGATGCCCGTTGGATCGAGTTGGGGTTTGATCCTGCGTGCTCAGATGGTCGCCCTCCCCAGATGTCGCATTGTCCCGGCGTTCTGGCAATGAGAAGCAAAGACCATGAGATTGTATACAGCATTGACGTGGTAGGTTGAAGACCCTGCAGTGGTTGTTGCGCACCACAACGAAGAGTCGCCGAGCAGACCAACCGGACATTGTGGATTTGGGTGGCTGAGGGCCCACTTGATGGAAGAAGCTCGTGTATTCCTTCTGGAAAACTGTCACATATGTGGAAGGTTAAGCCTCATCCAGCAATTGGCCGACTTCTGCGCGAGGCGAGGCTCTCTGAGCCAATGGAGACACGAGGTCGGGGATTGCCGTTGCGCAAAAAGAAACGCAGCCAGATCAAAGGCCAGCTGCGCTCCACTTTCATCCCACTCTGGAGCGGAGCAAGCACGAAGACGTGCAGATGCAAGTGGAAGGATGTAAGGGCGGCATGACGGGCGGTGCATTCAGCCAAAACGCGCATTACGCACGGTGTGTGAAGCCGCTAGGGGCAGCCGTTGTCCGAATTGTACCGCATCTGTTTGGGACAAAGATGTTCCAGGAATGACGTTGAAAGGTTGCACATCCAGAGGCAGCGGGTGGTGAGCGAGGAGCGGAGGGATTGGCAACCTCCAAGACGCAGATCACGGAACCAAGACGGCAGTTGCAAGCACCCGGATCGGGGAAGGGCACCAGATGTGCATTCCACCTGGCTGTGGATGCGGCGTCGCGTTGATACAGCAGATCCATAGTGCGTCATTATTGGCTAGCGGGCGGTTTGAGGAGATGCAACTCAGGCGAGGTTGCAGTGCCGTCAAAGCACCAAGCTGCTGGGAACTTGGATCGGGCTCTGTGCGTTCCCCGAACGCAGAGGTGACACGAGATGCACGGAAGAGGTCAATGCGAGGAGAAATGCTGGAGGCGAGTGCACAATCTCGGAATGCATCGTAGTCGACGTGTGTAGTCGTCGTTACGCAGCCTCCCGGCGATGCCATGGTATTGTGTGTGTGCTCCTCACATGTCAAGTGTCGAGACTCTTCGGACGCTGGGACTGCAGTCGCACGCAGGCGGGCGAAATGTGGGCAGCCAATGATGGTGGCTCCATTCACCGCAACTACGACCCTGGCCTAGCGCTGGTGGGCATTCTGCGGGCGCTCGGGACTCTCACGATGGAGGGATGCCTCCGCGTCGCCATAATGACTAGTTGCTATCGTTCATTTGGGGAGCTAAGTTCCGCCGTCTCCCTCGGCGCATGCACGCGGCTCTCTTCTGTCGCTCTCGTCGCTCGCATCTGGTGTAGCCTTGCCGTGCTGGTGGCAGCTTTATAATCCCTTTGAGCCCAGCGGAACGTTTGTAACCACACCCAAGACATATCTACCCCAACCGGCGCCACATACATACACTGCCATCACCACGCGACATCGCCACCCCACCGGTCTTCTGAAACCTGTGGAGCATTTCCTGGCGACGTCTACCACTCACAGCAACACCACCACACACCTGTAGCATTCCTGGTGTTGATCGAGGAGTGTGATCACACCCTCTGCGTTGCATCTGTCAGCTGAGCCGCAAACCTGACCCACCCTCACGCATCCTCGCACACCATGAGGTCGTAGAGATTAGAGAAGGAGAAAATGGATTTTACGGTATGGCATCCGTGCGCTTGTTGTTTGTTTGACATCACTGACATAGACATACACAGATCTCGCTAGCACACTTCTGTGAGGTCCACGGTCCGACATCTATCATCTGCACACAGGCCTCGACTGCGCCATGTGGTTCTTGCAATCCATGCGTGACGCCGCCGACGGACGAGCCGCACTCGGCCTACTCCAACTATGGACTTTATGATCAGCCCTCGTCACTGAAGCTGGGCCGTCTGCCTAAGCTCTCGCCGTTCGAGACACCGCCCACGAGCCCACGTTCGCCCTCGCATAACCCTTACTTCCCTAGCTTTTCCTCATCTGACAGCAGCTTTGGTGGGCGGAGACCTAGCAGCACTTTCGATTCGGATTCGGACTCTTGCGAGAACTGCCAGATGGTAGTGCCGAAGAAGTTCTGCGACAAACTCCCCACCGGCGCACCAGGGAGTCCCTCCAAAGACGGACGAGGGAGGAATGGCAGCCCAGTCTTGCGCAGCTCTCAGAACTACCCAGTCCGTGGACCCTACCTTGGTGACGATGCCAGCAGCACCCACTCGTCTGAGATGTCAGACACCGAGCATTCCAAGTCATTCGAGAGCAGTGCCAGCTCGTACCCCAACTCTATCCCTCCTTCACCCTTGGTCACCTCGAGAAACATGCATACACACACCTTGACATACATATCTACCAACCAACCGCAATCGCCAACAACCTACTCCTCGCTGAAGCGTACCTGCATGCGCACTCTCTCCACAGAGGTTCTCCCACGTGGCAACTCGTCTGGAGCTATTATGTTTGGAGATCCCGTTGCTGGATACACCATCGCATATATCTTCCGTATACAAGATTCCAGAGCTCGTGGATCTATCAAGCATTACGCATTGATTGCAATGGTCGGCCGCGACTGCCGCAAGGCTACCAAGGCTATGGTCAAGGTCACCGAAGTATTCCAGGGCATTGCAAACCGGATCACTGCGTTGGCTGAGAAAGTCGAGCGCGAGGCACGACCCTCTTCCGCGATTGCCGACACCCCTCCACTGGGTACTTCTGCATCTTCTATGCCACCCATATTCACCTCACCGCAGAAGGAGCGAAACTTCTCGTCGACTGCCAGCTCACCTACTACACGCAACATCACCCCAGTATCATCATTCCTGTCTGCAAAGAGAATCGATCCCGATGGCTTCCCTCGCGTTTCTCGTGATGCTACAAGACCGAAGAGCTTGGCTGAGATCGTCGGTCAGGAGAACTTCTTTGTCGAGTTGCATCGCGACTTCTGCCAGCTGTTGCACTTCCTTATCAAGCACTTCGCTTGATTGCCTCACACATGTTGTTACATTCTTCTGTACATCTTTGTTGTTTCTCATTTCTTGTCTTGCGATTTAGCGTCTCCTTTTCCTCTTCGTGCGTTTCAGCACCGGCGTTCAATGGTCATCCTGATCCTGTACATCTCTGGTCTGTTCATAAACGGCCACTGTTTTCTACGCCTGCGATCTGCCACATCGGCAGATCAGGCTCGATACCCATCTGAGATACCCCAGCCTGTTCCTTGTTCCATTGTAATGGGGGGTATACATAGTTGATGACCATTAGGTCATCGTGTGGGTTGTTATGACTTCACGGCAGTAGATGGCTCGATAGGTGATTGATCGCCAACGACATGCTAGAAGAAGCGGCACCCGTTGCTTGTATAGTTAGCACGAGCAGAATGCACAAACAAGTCTACTTGATATCATCAACCACTGTCCCCATCTCTCTTCACACGCAATCTCGCCGAAGCTTCTTCGCTTCTTCTTCGGCCTCTGGTGTCGAACCATAGAAGCCTCAATAATTGCAGGTCATCACCATGGAACATCCTGACAATGACAGCTCCATGCTTCTCCACAGCCAGTTCCACAAAGGAACCACAACGGGACCGAGAAAGGCAACGACCAGCGGACCCTTCTTTGACGTGCATCGCTCAACAGACCGACATCGCTCGCCTCGCATACACGGCCCGCAACGCGTCATGCCTGATAAGGATCGATCGATAATCAGCTCTGACGTCACAACTCTTCACTTCGACGTCAGAGCGGCCGGAGACATTTACCCGGGTCGCATACAAACACTAAAATTACTCGCAATAACTACCATCTGGAAGCAAGGCAAAATGTGCAACATGGCTATATGCTTTTCTCACAGATCAGCAACTTGACAGCCGCAAAGATGCAGCAAAAGCTTGGTAGCCTAGAAACCATTTCCGGCACCTGGCACGGCCAAAGCCAAGTTCCAAGTGCCCGAAAGCCAAGTTTTGTCTATCGGTGACGAGCACGCTGACGCCTGTTATCCTGCTGTAGGGCTGAACGTGGGCATCCACTCTCTCTGATACGGCAGCTGGTAGAGTTCTGGAACAGTGATGCCATAACTGACGACTGACCCCGGTTACGACGGCTTCCCGCAATGAATGTTTGAAGGATGGGGAGGGGTTATGTAAAGATATATAGCACCTATGACGACCTCCCTACGTTCTCGAATCCTTCCACATCCTATACTACAATAGCCTCTTAACCACAAAGCTTGACCTTACTTCCAGCACGTTAGTACTATTACTTGACAATGAACTCCAACACCAACAACGCTGCTGCCGGCCAGAAGGAAGACTACCTTGACAAGGGTATGTGCTCTCACCTAAGTGCATTCCATATATGCTGACACCTTCAGGCCTCGACGCTGCCGAGAAAAAGTACGGTGGTTCTATGGGGCAGGACACACAGAAGAACCGCGCCGTCAACGAGAAGATCGTAAGTCGTCGAAGAATACTTCGTTCATGAAGGAGACATTGCTGACAAAGTGACAGACAGATGGAGCCCGCAACATGTTCGAAAAAGCCACCGGCAAGAACGTCCCCGAAAAGTTCTCCAACTAGATCCTCCTCAATACCCTCCCGCCTCTCCCTCGACGTTGACGAGTCCACGCACCCTCCATCAACTTGTTACGAAGACGCACACCCAGCCCCAAGGTCTCCCACATCACCTACGTCACCAACTTCATCACGGTCGCACACCTTCCCTATTATACATAAGAGAAAGCACAAGAACAGAGCGTCCATCGACTCTACAAACTCGGCTGCTTCTCACGACTCTTTTACGACTGCACATGAGAACCATGGAGCGGAGGGAGACGAAGAGAAGCATGGTATACTTCACAAGATCGGGACGGGAATGCACAAGGCTAGACCGTACGTTGAGAGATTGAGCGGAACTTATGAGCCTATGCCTATCAAAGAGCCTGAGCAAACGAAGTAATGAAATAAGAACGTTGTACCGCAATTCTGCACTCGAACCTTGCTACATGTAACGTCGGTGCCAAAATAATGACGTCGCCAAATGAAAAGTACAACTATCCGCGAGTGGTTAAATCTTTGTGGCTAGCTTAGACGACAATTGAGCTCAAGTATGGCATTAAAGTTCACTTTAACCATAAACATGTGGAAGTCGCAGTGCATGAAGGAAGGCGCTTTCTGTCCGGCTGGCCGAATCAACCAATCATGAAAAGCCCCTCCAAAATTTTGGAACTTTACAACCCCCCGCAGTAAACACTCACCGCAAAGCAAACCTCATCAGAATACCAAAATGCCGCCTTACGATAGCGAGTCTTCAGACGAGGGCGAGGACTACACCGAGACGAACGTTCTGCTGGGTTATGCCACCAAAGATGCTACAGGAGATGCCATTTCTCACATTGGTGGCGCGCCGGTACGTGCAAGACTGTGAACAAGAGAAAGCTTTACTGACGTGCAATACAGAATTGGATAGACGACAAGACAGCACCCTCTGGCGCGCTTGCTAAGTGCAAAGTATGCAACGGCCTCCTAAGCCTCCTGCTCGAGCTTAACGGCGACCTTCCCGACCACTTTCCCGGCCATGAGCGAAGACTATACATCTGGAGCTGTCGGCGAAAAGCTTGTAGGAGGAGGGAAGGAAGTGTAAGGAGCATTCGTGGGGTGCGCATTGCAAAGGGTGCATCAGCCAAGGCGAGTGCGAAGCCAGAGAAGGAGATCAAGCAAGAGGAAGAGAAGCCGCAGCCTAAGATTGGAGAGTCGTTGTTCGGTGTAAAGAACAGCACAAGTTCTGCAGCACCTGCAAACCCTTTCTCTAATCCCTTCTCCACAAATTCGAATAGCACCGCGGCTGCAAACCCATTTGCTCCGTCTGTCAGCGCAAACCCGTTTGCCGCGCCAACCGCTTCCACACCTACACCCGCAATCGGAGTCACATCTGAGGACAAGAAGGATGAGGTCTCCACCACACTCCCCGAGTCTTTTGCGCAAAAAGCACGCATCTCTGCGCCTACGACTACCACACCACAGCCGGCACGACCTCAAGAGCCGTGGCCAGTAGAGTCAGCATTCCCAACGCCCTTCCCACATTACTCTCTCGATGCCGAATACGAGACCCTCGGGACCGAAGCGCCTCAAGTACCACAAAACGTACGCATGATGGACATCGACAGCGAAGGCGGCGCAAGCAGTGGAGGGAAGGAAGACAAAGAAATCTACGAATCCGCGCACGACGCAACGTTCCAGAAGTTCGCAGACCGGATAGGCGAGAATCCTGAACAGATTCTGCGTTACGAGTTCAAAGGGAAACCGCTGCTATACAGCGATGCAGATGCCGTTGGCAAGGCTCTCGCGTCCCATTCTGAGAACGGCACATCGAGTAATGCGAAGGTGCAGACGACTGGGAAAGGAGGAACAGGTATGTCGCGATGTCAGAACTGTGGTGCTGAGAGGGTATTTGAGGTTCAACTCACGCCGCATGCCATCACTGAGCTCGAAGCTGAGGAGATGAGCATTGATGGTATGGAGTGGGGCACGATTATCGTGGGTGTCTGTAGCAAGGACTGCAAGCCCAACGATGTCGAAGAAGGTCAAGTTGGGTATGTCGAGGAGTGGGCTGGTGTGCAGTGGGAGGAGGTTGCGTCGAAGAAGTAAAGATCAAGTTTCTCGAATCTACGAAAGGTGGAAGCCACCTCATTCTCTGATCAATTCAAGGTTCAAGCTGCACGCATATGCGGGAATACTCCGACTGGTCGAAGCTTATTTCACTAGACATTTGCAGGCTCCAGATACAGCCTCCTCTCGTGTTTGCAAATCCTTCACTTTCACTCCAGCAACCTCCGCTCTTGGCACCTAACCTAAACCCTCGCCTACATTCAGTCATACACTTCCTCCTCACTCTCCATCCTGATACCCAACCACAAGCAGCACGAGCTATCAAAGACTGTCAACCTCATCTCAAGCTTCCATATCATGGCGAACTACAGACCTACCTACACCGACGAGAACGACCTGGGCAAGAGGCACCAGGACGTCTTCTCTTCGCTCAAGGGTCGCATCCTCGGTAAGTCAACCCTCGGTCTCCAGCCCACAATATCTCCCCTTTCTTACAAGTTTACTGTACTGACAACCTTGAGTGAACGCCCGCGCGTACTACAACCACACCTATCCGCACGCCACTCGCTTCGACCTGATTACCACTAGCGATAGCCCCTCTGGACGCTTAGATAGCTTGGAGTACCGCGCTGCACTGATCGTCTACCCTAATTCAATGAGTAGGGAGTGGAAACTTCTGTACAAGAGCAATGTGTGTCCCCCCATCGAAGACGCGGCGTTCGAGATTTGCTACTGGGTGGAAGAGGACATAAAAGAGGTGTTCGATGAGGTCTTGGAGGTTGGTAGGTACGTGGCAGTGAGGAGGAGGAAGAAGACTACAGAACCGGTGGGAGAGTGGACTGCAGCATCAGCAGCAGTAAAGAAGTCTACAGCGTCAGCAACGAAGGATACTACAGCGTCTGCGATGAAAAACACTACAGCGTCTGCGATGAAAAACACTACAGCGTCTGCGATGAAAAACACTACAGCGTCTGCGATGAAAAACACTACAGCGTCTGCAGCATACAACAACGTTGGACAGGGCGAGGCAACGGGACAAGAAACCCTTTGGAAGAGCAAACACACCGTTCGAAACCCCACGATACCCTCCAAGGATACTGTGGACACACGGGTCATCGAGGAATAGCGCAGGAGAAGAGCAAGGACACCACCTTCCAATTCAAGCCTTGCGGTACGGGCGAAGTGCCGACGAGTAGCAAAAGTGCAGGTTCGACCGATGGCATTCCTCTCACGGTCGGGTTGAAGCGCAAGTTCAACACTGGCACCGGCATAGAGAACATCAAGCGTGTACGAGCCGGTAGTCTCGATAAGGAGGTAGGTAAGGAAGAGGTCTAAAGAAGAATTGCTATTGACAAATGCTGGAAAACTTGCGAGGGCGCAATACATCACTGCAACCTCCCCCTCTGTCACCATTCAAGATACAAACAGAAGCGACATGACCAGCCATAAACACCTCGGAAACCGCGTAAAAATATCCTATCGTAAAGACATAACTACCGACTCAACCGAGCGCTATGATACGGCTCAATCACCACATATCGTCTCTCCAGATCCTCAAGCATATCCTACCGCTCCCGCTCTCCCCCGTTGCTTCTGGCCCAGCTAGGCGCTGAGTTCTCCGGCACACAGTTCCACGGCCACGTTTCGCAGCCCCCGCAGAAGCAGGCCGTTACACCACACCTCTGAAGGGAGGGGAGTGTACAACAACCTTGGGTGTTGGCGCCTTAGGCCTCTTCTGCTTCGTGTCTTTTGCATAGCTCCTAGTCTTTTGGATTTTTAGTTTGACGGGTTTGGGGTATCTGGACTTTGTTCGACGTTTTCGTATGCCTCCCCATCTCGACTGGCTTTGCCCTTGCTATGAGCAATCGACTTCTCGAAGACGGCAAGTGCCTTGGTCGACCAAGCCTCCCATCTGGCATCCGCTTCTGCCTGGCGCGCAAGAGCGGTTCCGTTGTACAAACCCTTCGACTTGCTGGCTAGTGGGTGCAGACCTTCACAGCGAGGAGGGTGGGGTTTAGCGAACACCTGGTCTACGTAGTCATTGGCCTCTTTCGCAGTGGCCGAGAAGATTGGAGAGTCGAAAGGTTGGTGTCGTGCATGGCTGAGGACCGTGACAGGTGTTGTTAGATAGAATTGTAAACACAGTGAGCGACTTTACTCTGATATATGGCTCAACTCTATCGTGAGATAGCAAAGGTGCGATGCAACGGATCATCGTGGCGGATGCTCTTTGTTCAAGTCAAGCGCGCACGACGACTGGTTTCCTTACGAAAAACCGGATTCGTGTGTTCTGAAAAGGTGTTTTGTTACAACAAGGACCAATGGTCAACGTGGCAGTTTCGGCAACCATGTCCTGAAAAAAAAAAGATCTCCAAAAGATGAGATGTGAATAGAAAGGAGGAACATACCGTCATTGTGCAAAGCAGCCAAAAAAGTTGCAACACACCACTGAATATGTAAGGCCAATTAACTGGATGCTAATTCACAAGCGCGGCACAGGGAGTTCAAAAGTATGCACTCGCGAATCGCCTCTATTCTCCTCTAACAACTACAGACTCCACCAACCCCCCCAAGGAGCTCATTTCCTGCCATGCGTCTTCATTTTCTTCACCTCCGTTTCCTTCTCATTCTGCATAGTCTTCCTACCCTTCGTCTCCATGATACGACCAGTGCCACCACGTGCTTGACGAGCAAAAGTGGTCTCGTTAAAAAAACTCTTCAGTTTGGAGCAGCGCGCGTGCAGCTCATAATGCAAGGAACGCTGGGGAGCAACAGTGTATGTTATGCATCCAAGTGTGGATGTAGTGTTACGCGATGTTTGCATGTACATGTTGGTTCGATGATGCGTTTGTGGTTGTGTGTGAGGATGCGAGTAGGAGATGGGTTTGGGGGCGCATTGTGTGGAAGAAACGAGTGGGATAATGGACAGTGTACTGTGCGGTCGAAAAGCGCTCACTATGGCGTGGTTGTAGGTGTGCTTGGTCAGAGATTCAGAGGCGCAGAAATATGAGTCTTGTTCGATGTGGGTTTCTTGTCGAGGATAGAGGCTGCGTGAAGGTGTTCAGTCTACGACTACTGTAAGCCTAACCAGCAAGCTCAACCCTCAATCTCAACAGACGCCTTGCTTCCTTCTCGTCCAAGACTTCAAGTCCCAACTCTTCGAGGACATCTCGAGCACTAGCATTGTCGACGAACAAACGCTTCTCGACTTCCCAAAGCCCAAGTTCCTCCGCACCCTCGACATCATCACCTGCATCTCGCGTAGACGTTACTTTTTGCGGCGCTGCCCCTGACGGCTCGTCACCTGCATCAACATCGGCATCCTCTGCGGCCCAAGCATCCCACACCTCCATTCCCTCCTCTTCACCATGATCGCTGGTGTTTGCAGATGTCTTACCACCTCTGATAGGCAAGCCTACGAGCTTCGCGCCCTCGAAACACTTCCTTAATCCAGTTTCAGCCACGCCTGCGCCGATCTTCTCGTCCACGACAGCGCAGATAGCTTCGAGATCGGCGTTCAGTTGAGCAGCACCTTGGGTTGAGAAGCTGACTCGCAAGACGCTGTCGTAAAGGGTGGAGTTAATGATGGCGAGAACTGCTCTGGCGATGCGGCGCAGTGGCGCGGGTGCCAGGACGCGGGACAAGAAGGTCAGGGTGGTGCTGAGATGGGAAAGCAGGGGATCGAGTTCGGCCGTAGGGCTGAGATCTTTGCCACTTCCGCCTGATGAGGAGAGGGTGGCCCAGGGATTGCTGGCAGAAAAAGTAAGCATAACGGCAGCTGGGATGGGGTATCACAATGGCGTTACTGCTTTGGGGTAGTTGCATGCGGTGGGCGCATTGGCTGACTTACATCTGGCGATACGGCTTCAGCGCCAGCCGCACGTTAGAGACAAGTGTCTCGGTGATGATTTGCTCGCTGCGATCGCGCAGGCGCGCGTACCACGAAGCCGTTTCGTCGAAGAGACCACCTGCATCTGAGGCGTTGGCTTCGCTTGCGCCGACGTTCTTGGAGGTGCGTTCGGCCACGGAAGCAACGGTACGGGTGCCTATGCTGCCACCGTGCTGAGCACGATCCTGCAGCTCCTCCCAAATGTCCAGGAAAAACTGTGCACAAAGTCAGTGTGTGAGGTACAAGATCCGTCGGGCAGCGGGTGGTGGGGCCTTACGACGTCGTCACTCCAGTCCCGCATCGCTTTTTCGAGGTAGTCTGCGCTGCCGTATGTTTTGCATAGGCTCTCCAGACCCTCGACGCCGAGCAGCTTCTCCTGCTCCTCTCTGCTTACGCCGCCCATAGCGCGACCCAGCGTGGTGGTCATTCGGAGATAGGCTTCTAGGTTGTCGCTGAGCCGCTCGTGAAACTGGTCGAATATGGCAATCTGAATGTCGATCAAAAACGCCAGCTTGTGCTTGAAAGATGTCAAGGGTCTGTATCGATCTGCATCGGATCAGCAATGCAATGTCGGTTTTTGGGAGAGAATAAGCTACCTGTTATCGTTTCAAGCAGATCGTTGACACGAATTGCACCCTTTGTGGGTTTTGTGGCTTTCGGATCAACGCTTTCGTAATCGAGATCTCGCCAGTCGTCGGCCTCTACGATGCTTTGGTAACGCTTGAGGGCAACTGTTCGGTGGTCAGCATCTTACTTGGGCGTGGTTCGAAGGTATGAAACGCATACACTCTTTCTCGACTCGCAGCCACTGGTCGAACCAATTGCCCTGAACAAGGAATTCCCACGATAGGCCGTTCCAGCCGCTCAGGCCATAACCGCCATCGTATGCCCACGTGTCTCTGATGGTGGAGTCAAAGCTCATAATCTCGTGGATGAGATGGCTGAGGAGCTGGGGCTGACTCGCTACCTTGGGCAGCAGCGAGCCGATCTTGGTCCTCAGCACAGGCAAGAGCGCAGTGATGAAGGCAGACATGGCATCAATATAGACGGGATTCAACGCTAGATCTGTACCACGGAAGTGCTTGAACAGCACAGGCTGCACGTAGTCACTGACAAAGGCACTGTAGTCGTCTAGAAGTGTAGTGACATGCGAGAGGAAATACTCAGGCCTGTCAAGACGGTTCGTAGGCTTGTCACCCTCGAAGTGGTAGCGGAAGCGCATCTCCAGAGGCTGTACGAGCACTTCAAAGGGAAACAGCACAGGTGGCAGCTTGACCTTGTTCGCCGACCCGCTTGCATAGTTGCTGCCCTCAAGCTCAGGCATCTGCAGATCGAGCAGCTTCACGATTGCTGTCTCCCATTCCCCACGCAGCTGTGATGGGATGACTGCCTTGGGCGTGGGCCAGTGCACCTTCTTGAGCATACTGTCGAGGTCGGCGGCGAAGGCACCGAGGATCTTGGTGCGCAGAGCCTGGGTGATCTGGCTGACGTGGTGGAGCAGCTGCGGGGCAGCACCCTCAGCATCGTCCTGGAGTGTGATCAGACGGGTGTGCAGCGAGCGCAGCTGCTTGTAGGGCACGAGGGCAGCTTCGCTGGAGGTCTGCAGTTGGGACTGGGCTTGTTTGCTGCGGGAGGTGTCAGCCGTGGATACGTCATCCGTCGCTGGGCTGCCCTACCTGAGCACGTCGACCTCACCCAGCAGCGCAATGTATCCGCTGGCCACGTCGAGGCGCTGCAACGTCCCCAGCACAGCTTCGAACCGCGGGACGGCGTCATCGCTGGTCTCCGAGGCGGTGATGACCATCACGCGGCGGTCGATGTCCTGCTGGGCGCGGCGAAAGGCACCTGCCTTGTCCTGCAGCTGGGCGTGGTGCTCGTGCTGGTGGTGCTTTGCATCGTAGAGGTCGCGCTGGGCGTCGTCGAGCTGCTGCTTCAAGAGGCCATGCTGAGTGGTGATATTGGCAAGCAATGCATCCAGCGAGTCTAGATCGCCGGCCGTCTGCAGCTTGTCGTCGAGGAAGTCGTGCACGCGGACGTCGTTGTCGTCCATGTCGCCGTCCGTCGAAACAAGGTCTGGTGCTGATCGTACGGGGCTAATGGTACGGTGCTGATCGTACGATGCTCTCGCGGCTCACCGTGGAGGTATTCGCTGTGGCTTGCACTGGCTTCCGGCGGGATGCTAGCTCGCAGCGTTGACAGGCGAGCTGCGGCCAGCTGCACGTATTACAGTTGTTTCGCGGTTCGCTGTGGCGCGGAGGGTGGGGCTGCACCCGATCTCAGATACCCATCGATCTCTGAGTCCCGCGCAAGGGCCCTCGGCTGCAGCAGGCATTAGCGGGTTTCTGGCTTTTGCCTCTGCCCTCTGCGCTGTCCGCCGGTGGAGAGCATTTCTGATGCACACCAGCTGCTGCCGTGTCGCCTGAGGATCTCCAGGACGCTATCTACCACCATTCAGCGCCGCGGCCTGAGTGCCCGTATATATTGAGTGCGCTCCGCCCGACACTGCTGAGCCGCAAAAGTCAGATCTCGGCTATCTGGTCCCCGTCTGAACTTGTGCCAGGATGCCTACCGAGAACAGGAAGCGCGGGCGCCGCGAGCAGAAGAAGCGCAAGCGCGAGCAGCAGGACGCCGACAAGCACGGGAAGCGACACAAACGGGAAGAGGAGGTCGAGGAGGTGCTGCAGCAGTACGAAGACAGCCAGCGGTATGCAGAGGAGAGGGATCCCTACCAGGACGAGGCCATCGATGGCCTCACACGGCCCGGTGCCATGCCCTTCTACGGCATGCTGGACGAGGACGAGCAGGAGTACTTCAAGCGTGCCGACGAGATGCTCGAGCTGAACCAGTTCGCCGACGCCGAGGAGCGCTCCATGTTCCTCGCCAGCGTCTGGAAAGAGGCCGACGGGAAGGAGCTCAAGATCGCCAACAGCCAGTCCTGCTCACGCCTGATGGAGCGCCTCATACTTCTGTCGACCCCGGACCAGCTGAAGCGTCTCTTCCAGAAGTTCAGCTCACAGTGAGTTCATACCGTCCCAGTATGCTTGGCTGTACGCTAACACACGTAGCTTCCTCCACCTTGTCCAGCACCGCTTTGCGTCCCACTGCTGCGAAGCCCTCTTCATACAAGCTGCACCGGTCGTCACCCAGGAGCTCGCCAACCCCGACCTCGCCCTCGCACCCTCAACTGACCCCGATGCCGTCATCGTTTCCATGGAGAACCTCTTCCTGCTCACCTTGGCCGAGCTAAACGAACACTTGGGTTACCTCATGACAGATCGTTTTGCCTCGCACGTATTGCGAGTGCTGGTCGTCATCCTTTCTGGCTCACCGCTGGAGAAGCAGAACAAGTCGGCTATGCAAAGCAAGAGGAAAGAGAAGGTCGGTGTTGCAGGCGCAGAGAAGACGGAACTGGCGTTGGAACACCGAGCTATCCCCAAATCCTTCGAGGAAGCCCTCGAGAAGGTCATTGACAAGAGTGTCTCTGGTCTCGACTCGAACTACCTCCGCACACTGTCGACACATCCTCTTGGCAATCCAACACTGCAGATGTTGCTCAAGTTGGAGCTTAAGCACTTTGGCAAGTCACGAGCGAAGGACGAGAAGTCGATCATCCACAAACTTCTACCTGACGATCCCATCGCCGAAGGCACAGAGAGCGCATCGTTTGTTAACGGCCTCGTTTACGATCCCATTGGTTCCCGTTTGCTCGAGACGATCATCGAGAATGCACCCGGAAAATTGTTCAAGGCGATCTACAGCGAGTTTTTCAAGGAGCGCATGGGAAGCTTGGCCCGCAACGAGATCGCCGGCTATGTCGCGGGGAAGATCCTCGAACGCCTCGGCAAGGAGGACCTCGTAGATGCCATGCATCAGATCGTGGACCAGATCCCTAACCTGGTGGAACGCAACCGGACTGCCATCATCAAGACACTGATCGAGCGTTGCGCCGTACGAGATGTTGACACCCTCCCTATCTCAAAGCAACTTGAGCTGGCCTACAGCGGCCCCAACGGATTCGAAATCTCACGGATTCTCAAGCTCGGCGATCCCCAGCTTGAAGATGGAAAGACAAATGCCAAGGCCCACGGCAAGTCTGATCACTCGCCGGAGAAGGTCCATGGCTCTCTCTTGGCGCAGACCATGATGATGGTCGATGGCCCTCTTGGAAACCTCATCTTCGACTCGCTCGCCAACTTGTCCCAAAAACTTGCACTCAACCTCGCCCGTGACCCCACAGCATCACGAACTTTACAAGCAGCACTGAATTACAGTCATGGATCCGTCATCTTCCGCCGCAAAATGATCCAGCAGTTCTACGGTCATGTTGGCGAACTGGCACTTGACCCAGCAGCATCCCGCGTCATCGACGCCATCTGGGAAGGTACTCACGGCCTCGCCTTCATCCGTGAACGCATCGCTGAAGAGCTCGCTGAGAACGAAAGTGCTCTGCGCGAGTCCTTCGTCGGTCGTGCAGTCTGGCGCAACTGGCGCATGGATCTGTACAAGCGCAAGCGTGTAGACTGGGTCACGCAATCACGCTACACAGCTGGCAACGATGGCTTCCAGTCCTTCCCTGAAAGTAACGGCCATTCAGAACACAAGCAGCCTGGCAGACATTTGACAGCGCTCGAGCGTGCACGACAAAAGCACGCGGCTACCAAAATCGCCGGGCTAAAAAAGAACGAATCAGCAGCCAAAGAGAGCAAGAAGCCGGGACGGAAAGAGAGGAGCGTGGCAACGGGCAGCAACAAGACCGAGAAAGCGGAAACAACAAGCGTCGTGGCGCAATAAGGCGCATCAATCGCGTGTGTATGATGTTCGAGCGGTTTGTCCAATCTTTGATTGTCAGGCATGGCAAAAAGGCGTTCTTGTTTGCTTCCACATGTTCTGGGGTGTGGGTGGGTCTTGCCAAATATTTTCTGATTCGATCTCTAGATACCTTTAGCGCATGAGAATTCTGCCGCCGACAGACCGAGACGGCGGGGGATTTAGTATGGAACAATGGAACATGTAACTTTTATGAGTTGAGCGCGTGCTAGTGTCTAGTACCGTGATTGCTCTTCTGACTTCATCGTTGTTTGTGTACTGACACTGTACACTACTGCAAAGTATATTGATCTCGGAGTTTTGCTGTCTAGATCTCTTACAGCATGACGGGATCTCCCACCAATGGCAATGGCAGCCCCGCGGAGGTGCCCCTCAACCGCTCAGAGGAGGTCAGAGACGTAAGTTTGCGGAGCCGTCCCGACTTCACTCACGTTCATTTCGAACCATCGTCACTACTCTTCCACACCCATGTTCTGCCAATACTAACATTGTACACAGCTGCTCGATGCTGTCCAAGAGCTCATCATCCCCTTCATTGCTGCCGCAGACCACGATGCAGACACCAAGCACACCGGTCATGGTCTCGCCATCAAAGGTGGTGCACCTCGTACTGCGCTCGTCGAGCACCACCCACCAAAGAAGCTGGAAGCTTTGCTGCATAATCAATTGAAGATTGGCGACGATGTCGAGAAGGGCAAGGACAGGCTGATCAGCCTGGTTGACTCGGTCCTGAAGTACAGTGTAAACACATGGGACCAGGGATTCATGGTACATCGTCCTCATGTTCAACCACGCTTCCACCAAAAACCACTAACAGGTCTCCAGGACAAGCTCTACGCAAGCACAAATGCGGTAGGAGTAGTATCTGAACTCCTTCTCGCAGTGCTGAACACAAATGTATATCTCTCCCTATTGCTCCATCAGCTGTGCAGCCACTAATGCCCGCAGGTCCATGTCTACCAAGTCTCGCCAGTATTGACCTTGATCGAGAAAGCCACCACAAAGTACCTTGCGACTCTCTTCGGTTATCCCTCGCAGTTCTCCGGTGGTATCTCCCAGCCCGGCGGCAGCGCATCAAACAGCTCTGCCATTGTAATTGCACGCAACACACTTTACCCAAACACGAAAACCGAAGGCAACGGCAACCACAAATTCACTCTCTTCACATCAGCACACGGCCACTACTCCGTCGAGAAAGCAGCAAACCTCTTCGGCCTCGGCAGCAAAAACGTCATCGGTGTTCCCGTCGACGATGCAGGACGCATGCGCGCCGATGAACTGGAGCGCCTAGTCAAAAAAAGCAAAGAAAGAGGCGAAACACCCTTCTTCGTCAACGCAACAGCCGGCACCACAGTCCACGGCTCCTACGACCCCTTCCTTGCCCTCAGCAAGATATGCAAGGCCCACAACTTGTGGCTGCACGTCGATGGCAGCTGGGGCGGCAGCGTGATCTTCAACTCCGAGCTCGCGTCCACGCGCCTTGCTGGCTGTGAGCTAGCGGACAGTATAGCGATCAACCCGCACAAGATGCTCGGCGCGCCTATGACGTGCTCGTTTCTGCTCGGCCGCGACATGCGCACCTTCCACAATGCGCTCACCTTGCCGGCAGGCTATCTCTTCCACAACGAAGGCGTGGACGTGAATGATATCTATGACCTCGCGGATCTGACGCCGCAGTGCGGACGCCGAGCAGATAGCTTGAAGATGTTCCTCATGCTGCAGTACTACGGACCGCAGTACTTCCGCGATCTGGTTGCGAGAGGGTTTGAGAACGCAGAGTACCTCCTCAAGAAGCTGAAGGAGGACGGAAACTTCCTCACAATCAGCCCCGAGCCGGTGCCGTGCTTACAGGTGTGCTTTTACTTTGCACGAGGGGGCAAGTTGGGCAAGGATCCGGAGGCGAATGGTCGCATCACGAGCGAAACTGCCCACCGACTGATTCCACGAGGCTTCATGATCGATTTTGCGCCGGGCGAGAAGGGCAAGTTCTTCCGCGTTGTTGTGAACGGTGGGACGAGGAGAGGAACACTGGATGGGCTCGTCAAGGCGTTGGTTGACACCGCTGAAGAGCTGGGATATTAGCACCACCCGGGGAAAGGACGACGTCTCAGTTCAAGAATGTTGAAGATGTGGAAAAGCTTTCTTGCGAGGACGCGAATCTCCTTGCTCAGAGATGATGTATCGATGAAGTACACGACCATCACCTACGCCGACATTCTAAAAATTAGATTTTGCTAAATCTCCATCTAAGTTTATCTAAGCATTTAGAAGTTCAGGTATCAATGTAGGAGCCTTTGACAAGAAACATGACTTTCTAGTAGTATAGGAACTTTTATTTCAGGGACGAGCTGAGCGCATCATGCTCAGAAGCCATGGATAAGGAGCACAAAACGTCGCCCGCGAGCTCTATGCATTCATCGTAATCTACATACCAAATACCTAGATGATAACCACCACGTCAACTTCCTCCCTCACTACCATACTTCTCGACCTCGGGGTAGAACTCCTCCGCCTAAGGAACCCAGTCCATCCCCTTCAAGTTCATCTCCAAGAGCGCTATTTTCCGAACGGTCCCTATACGCGCGCAGAATCTCCTCCTTGAACTCCAAACACGGCTTTGCAACCAACTTCGACAACGAGCATCGACGGTCAGGCTTGTGGATGTAATACTCCCTTATGAAGTGGTGTAAGAGAGATCCTGCGGCTGTATTCGCATATACTTCCTCGATTACGTGCCTGTCGATATACACAGGGCCTTTGATCAGTTGATTGATGCTGACGTTCTGAAAAGTACCATCGACGAGCTTCGAGCCTAGTATGTAAAGACTTACAAGAGTCAGGGTGTGATCCACATTGAAGTGTTCAGATAAGCTGATGCTGTGGGTGCACAGTCATTCCTTGTAGTGACGGGAAGTTTTTGAATGCACGTCTGAAAAAGCGATGGCCTTCTTGTGCGTGTCTAGAGTGGAGCCTTTTGTTACAAGCTCCCTATTCTTGTAGAACGTTTTGGAGTAAGTATGGGCTTTGGTAAGGTCTTCGGCAATACTGGCATCGTTCTCGTCTGACCTCTGCAAAGAGTCCAGGTTTAGATGCTCTATGACTCGAGCTATGTTGGATACACGAAGATCAGAGCACTACGCGAACTGGCTTGACAGCGACAGTCGCATTCCCGAGCGCTTGGCTTCCGAGACATAAAGCTTAGCAGTCGAACTGGTGGTGTGCCGGATGAACATATCCGGCTACTACATTTGATGTCTCGAAGGATCCGCCAAGTGGTGTTGCGGCGGACGGTGTTTGGTCAGATTCATGCGTAGAAAGAGTGGCCTGATATTGGAGACACGGCATGATTTTAGAAACAGGAGCAAGAAGGATGAAGTGTACTGTCAATCTTGCGTTCGCTACAGTCGTCTATGGTATCGTAAGAGACCAGATACCTCTGCTGCACACAGTGCGAGCGAGCATCTGGCCGAAAAGGAAAATCACCGCCAATTATGTACAATAATATAGCTTGCAATATGCGTGATATCATCCGCCGTTCTTCATCGTCCATAACATATTGGATACCTTCACACCGCCAACACTCTATCCACCAGAACTCGCTGCGTCTAGAAATTCTCCTTACCCCAAACAAAGCTGAACCCAGGCTCACTCCACTTATTACACTTGACGTGCAACGTACTTCCCAGACCCTTCGGACCACAGAAGAACACACCCGCTTCCGCAGGGCTGTGAATCTTGCGGATAGATTTGAAGATCATGTCCCAGTTAGGGCGACCGAAGTTTGTCGGCGCGCGCAGACCCGTGATGGCGTCTTGCTCGGCGTTGGCGTCGTTGATCATGATGTTTGTTGCGTCGTCGGCTTTGATCTTGGCGGTAAGGTACTATGATATGTTAGTCTCAGACATCTTTGACGGGGGGGAAAGAGGCTTACGGTGTGGATCTCGATGTGATCTTCCAAATCCTGGGCTTCGATAGCGAGAAGGAGAGACCTGAACCATTCGAAGGAACCGAAATCACGGCAGATCCAGAAGAAGTATACCTTCCTCAACCTTGTGCGGCTCTGTGGGTAGTTCATGCGGTACCAGATACTCTTCAGGATGGAGGCGAAGGGTGTCACACCAATACCGGCACCGACCAGGACTGCAACTTCAAACTTGAAGACATCTTCAGATGCAGAACCGAATGGGCCGTCGATGTACACGCGGGGCAGGATCTGGCGCATGGCAACTTCCTCGGAGTTCTGGTCCTTCTCACCGCCGGCCTTCTTGTCGAGGTTGCATCCAAGGGCTTTACCGAGCTTGCGGGTGAAGTCACCGACCATACGGACGTGCACGGAGATGTAGTCTTCTTCGGGGGCGGAAGTAAGAGTGAAGGGGTGGTACTGCCAGATCGAGACCTCGGGGCAGCAGAGGAAGATGTACTGACCGGCGCGGGTTGTGGTGTGCTCCTTCTTGATCTGAATTTCGCAGACGTTGCTAGGGTGGTGGATAACCTTGGATACGTACGTCTTGTGGCGTCCGCGTACCTCACGAGCAATTCGTTCAGCGAGATATGCGAATCCACCGTACATCCAGTACTCCCAAAAGACACCAATGCCGTCGCAGAAGGGCGCGAAGTCGGGCTGAATCATGCAGAACGCGCCGTGGATGGACCAGAAGACAAAGAAGACGATGAACATGTGGTGCGTGTACCAGAAGCGCTCGAAGTTGGCGCGGCGCGGCTTCTCAGCAGCAGTAATGGCGATGGCCATCAAAGCGAACAGCATGACATAACCACTCCAGCCAGGTCCTGTGGCGAGATTAGCTAGGATGAAGCCCATGAATCCGAGTTCGTTAAATGCAGCGAATCGGGCAAGATTGTTCCAATGGGCGATGGTGTGGACCCAGGAGAAGAAAACAATGGCCCAGGCGACAAGCTTATGGAATGTGATGTTCTTGTCGAAGGGGATGATGTCGTTCAGTGGCGTACGACGTGCCATGGAGATGAGGTTCCTGCACACAGGGAAGAGAATGAAGGCTACATCGACGTGTAGTGTCAATGCTGCCGAACGTGCTATGGGAAACGTTATACCGAATTTTGCTCGTGTGCCGATCGAATTGTCCTGCGGGTGGTGAATAGGCGCTTCTATGCAGGTTTGTTGACTCCTACCTTCAATCCGTAGTTCATCATACCAAACACGAAAACCATAACGTGCAATATCGCAAATGTGAACACGAACAGTCGTCTATAACCTTCGTTGACCATCCACACGTCGAACCTCTCTTTGCGGGTCAACTGACGACCTTTGTCTTCTGACATCTCGCCAGACATGAGCATCCGTGTGAGTGGCGGCCATCTTGACCGCTCACGGCCTGTGAGGGATGTGGTTTGGGACATGATAAATAAAGAGTAGGTGCGTAAAAGGCGAAGGTGCCAGATTAGATGCCCCTGCTATTCAGAGCCTGCTGAAGGTGGCTATAATTCACGAGAGTTACAAAAAATGGCAAAGTATCTATGCATCTGTTAGACTCTGGCAATGATCATCGCGGGCGATGAGAGACGTGAAGCTGAACTTACTATAGGTGCCTGCACAAACGAACAGAAAGGACAAAAGGGTATCTTCGGTCACCCGGTTAAAGAAGCACCGGCATGAAAACGGAGATTCTTGGGCGAAGGGGAAACAAAAATCTATAAGCACGCGTAAAGCGAAATAGGCACGGCGAGAGAAGGGGGATGGCTGTTAGTCTATCAAAGCGAGGGCATGTGGGTATCGGGCAGGGCGTCTGGAGAAGACCAGCAAAGCTTAACACAAGCAGCGAAACGGTAGCAGGAGTCGAACCACCTTCGTGCGTTCGCGGTCCAAAGCTGCGACGCAGCAGGGTGCGCAGTCTATGGGGGCGCCTCGTACGTGCAAGGTGCGGCGTCCAGAGCCTCGTACGGGCGAATAGCATGCTGAGTCTAGCTGACATGAGACTGCGGCAAGTGCTAAGGCAGTGCGAATGCAGTGCGATGAAACCCGATTGGGCGTGGCGTTTTGCTGTTCCCCATGTGGGTGGTTGTGTGAGATGTTTGAGATTCGTCGGAGAGGCTGGTCTCAAACGCTTGGCTGGTTCGCATTGGCGCTTGCAGCCCGCTTAGACTAGTTGCCGATCTCTCATGGTCCCCCTTTCTTCTTCAACCGCTCCACGGAAAACACTGAGGCACTCAATAATGCTGAGAGTTGGCCAAGAAATTGTGCGGGAGCTCATCGGTGAGGCTTGAAAGTGACAGCTGTAACCGCCAGATGTCTAGATCCCCGATATCCTCCGAACTCCGAGACAGCGAAGGCCTGCTCCTTCAAGAACGTCTTGACTCTCAGGAACCCGCTGACGACGACTCTCAGATTCGTATTGCATTCACCGTTTAACGGAACGAAGTCCAGTCGTACATACAATCGTCTGTCGTATCATACCATACTGAATTTCAGACCAGTAGTTCGGCTTCTACTCAGCGCGACTTCTATTCCCGTTCCAAACACCTGAAGTCTTGGAACTCAAACGCCTCCCAAGAAATCGCTGATACAAACATCCATCAGAAACAGCGAAAGCAGTCAAGTACCTTTACAGCATCAGAAACCCGCCTGAAGCGGAGATTGTCTGTCCCGAGACCCATTTTGAGTCCTCACTCGCCAGCCAGCACACAATCCGCGCAATGTCATCAGCAGTACCGACCCGGTGTTCTACGGCCGTAGTCTTCAGTTGTACGTCGATGATGTCCTTAGGCACGTCATCTAACATCTCTGACTCGACGGGTCCAGGGGCAACGGCGTTGACAGTGTGCCCTGCGACTCCGAGCTCCTGGGCTAAGCTTTTTGTCATACCCTCGATGGCTGCTTTGGATGCGGCGTAGAGCGACATCTTTGGTGGGCCAATGCGCGCTCCGACTGATGACATGTTGATGATCCTGCCGGGCTTTCGGAGATGGGGGACTACAGCTTTGATCAGGAGCAGTGGAGCGCGAACGTTGACGTCAAAAATGCCAGCGTAGTCCTCTGCAGTTGTCTCCTCGATAGGGTTGGCCCAGAGTACGCCTGCGTTGTTCACCAGGATATCGATCTTGTCTCCAAATGCTTCCCTGGTCGATGCAACGATCTTCTCAGGCGCTTCGATCTGCTTCAGGTCTGCTTGGACGATGTGCGCTTTGCTGCCATTGTTCAAGGCTGCAATATCTGAGGCGATCTTCTTGGCCTTCTCCTCGCTCTTGGGTGAAGTGTATACGAGTGCGACCTACAATGAATGTAAGTAAATGGGAAGCCTCGGTCAACTTCTGGTTGCCTACATTCGCACCCCTACGTGCCAGCTCTGTCGCCAAGCCAGCTCCAATACCTCGAGAGGCCCCGGTTACTATGGTGACTTTGCCTTGAAGAGGAAGTGTAGCGTTCGAAGCAGTAGACATGGTGTGCGATTTGTAAGATGTATGGGAAACTACTGTGTGAGGAATCTTGGAATTAGCAGCTGTAATCTTCTTCCTTGATATATAGCAATCACGTCAACAACGTGGCAAGTATAGACGGAATTTGGAGATACCACGTATTACTCTACCTGACCTCATGCTGTCTGCATTCAATGAGCGTTGACGAGCTAAGCTCCACTTATGGATAGCTACGTCATTGAGCGAGCATCCTCCGAATGATACCAAATCCGCCGAACGCGATCGGGCAACTTCCACCACAGGACATTCAAGAAGTATTTGCCCCACCTGCTAGCGCAGGGTCCTAGATTAGCATTTTGCATTAAACACAGCCCATTCTTGAAGCTCTGTTTCTCAACCACAATGCCTGTAAATAGTGTGATTAAAATTACAAGTACGTTTTCAATGTTGCAGAATCAAGCCTTGAGGTTATCATTACCCCTATGCTGCCTGCACTTGAGCGCAAGCTCTATGTAGTGCGCAATAGACCCCACCCTCCAAACAATATCATGAAAATGGGGATCCTGTTGCCAAATCCTTCTCATATCTTCCTTTGCCTTGTTCTTGGTCTCTTGTGACGCACTGTTGGTCTCAAAGCGCAGTTTCTCAAGGAGTTGCTTGTGACAGTATTGTATAGTTTCAATCAAATGAAGGTCTGACTGTGCAAACATTCCGACCGCACCCACAACGGACCGACAAGTTTCGGAGACTGGAATTCGAGAAAGTGACACGATTGACACGCCACCTCGCGAACTCGAATAGACGTAGACGGGGATGTAAATTATAGTCTATTCCATTAGGAATTGAGCTGGCTTCTGCACGTCATAACCCGGGGACATTTGAATGAGAGTTGGGCGGTCCTTCACAAAGCTTTGAAGCTCAACCTCGAATGAGACTTCCCAAGCGTCGTCCAAGTACTTGGCACCCAACCAAGGATACGGCCCAGTTCCGACTTCGTCAAAGCGCTAGGATATATCACTAGACGAATGGTAACAAACAAAAAAAAACAAAGAGTAGAACTTACTTTGCACCGTACGAGAGCTCTGCAGTCAGACGGTTGCCGTTGGTAAATCCCTTGGCTACCTCGTCGAGAGTCGCCTCTGTGATTGTGGGCGATAGGAGATAGCCCAGCTTGTGACTGGGGTTGGCCAAATATTGAGAGTATTCTTTGTGAGTAAATAGACCGGTTTCAGTGAAGTAAATAACCTGTTCACCAGAAGGTTTTATCGTTCCTTCGAGAATATGCAGGCATAGGCACACAAACAGCATGCTTAGATCCTGATCATGAATCTGACCCATCGAGTCTCGCCATTGCCTACGACCAGGGCAAGAGCCCGTGTTAAGCATGTTGTTGATCATGGCCGGTAGCTGCGTGGTGTTGCGTCTGGATTTGCCGCTACCTATGCCGAGGATGGTCGACGCCATGACAGTGTAGGTTGAAACGTTGTACTGCTTTCCAGCTCGGTTGTCATGATGTCTGCTGTACACGGACCATAACCTTTGACTGGCTCCCGATATTCATTTAGTGGTAGATGCTCTCCTGACCCGAGGTTATCCTTGTCTCATGGTAGCCCTGAGTGATTAGGCGATCGCTGATGTTCGAAGCACCAGTAATGTGAAGGTAGTGAACCGGAGTGTTCAATCTGGCGCGCCGAGTAGCAAGACTCTTAATGAGTGGAATCGCTGTTCTGGGATTGTTGTGTCTAGCCTGGATGATGACTATCCTCATGCTTAGTTAATGAAGACATGAAGCTTTTGGGAGTGCTGTTATCAACTCACCGTCGAAGGCTTCGCTTATTTCTCGCAGTCTCGTTACATCATCATACGTTGGACACAGTATCGTTTTGATCCTAGTTCTTGGATGATTTGAGTTTCAGGCTCTTTCCTGACGAGAGCAACAATCTCAACATCGTGCAACCAAGACTTATTTGAACAGTCCAGAAGCAACTGCAAAACTGTACTACCACTTCAGCAAGATTAGCCAGATTGATGTAAAATAAGCACAGAACATGCATGTAGCCTGTGACACCAAATACTCCAGGGATCCATTGTATTGTTGTAAATGTCTGCTTAGAGCTTGGAAGGAGTAATGAGCATCCCGTGGTTCGGCTTTCTCTTATATGTTCAGTCTGAGCCTCTCGAATTTGCAGTGCTCTCTGCAGTACTAATTCAGGCAAGTACTTACTTGACCGGACGAATATTGAGTCAATGAGTAACAACGAATGCAGGTACCCAAGTCGAACAGACACTGAGTAGATATAGATACTCCCATTGGAGGCAGATAGCCGAATTGAAACCGGACAAATGTCGATTGGCCATATGCCGGGTAGCCGAATTACTGATTAATGTCAAGTAAATTCTACCGTATCTGCCATACTCGAAGTACACCTGTACAACTGAGTCCACAAGGGGTACCTGAGTTGCATTCGATATGAATCGCGAGGCCTGATTGTTACGCGCCGTACCGAGAATGCATATTAGGGTGAGATGCAATCGTACGGTGCAAAAATTTTCCTTCCATTATGCTACATGGGTATCGTCTCATAGTCTATTAGACGGCCCTTCTTGAGCCAGAATCAGATGCGCTACCACTCCCACATACCACATAGCGCTCTGGTAAAGCATCAGTAATATCCTCGAAAGCCGTTCGGCATATTCTTACGCTGTCGTTGCAGCTTTCAAGCTATTATGGCCATCGCCATGTCGAAAATTTTAGTCTCGACCATGCAATCATTTCTTGCCGAAGCCCAAGAACCCGCCCTTCTTTTCCGTCTTCTTCTTGGGATACGCTTTCCCTGTGACGAAGCTGATGTAGAAGCAGACACTGACAAACAAAGATAATCCAATGATGACGAGTAGCAGAGTGAGTAGCGGTCGAGCATCTGCTTGAACTGAGCGCAGGGCTGTCGGTGTAAGGATCGGTGCGAGGAACTCCCAGGCCATTGTGTTGATTATTGGACTGGAAACGAGTACGTAGATTGACAAAACTGACAGCCAGCTGCCACCGGAAAACAGATCAAAGATTCGAAGTGAAGAGCGAAGAGAGTGACTGCTTGGCGCAGCGAGAAGGACTGGAAGATTAGAAACAACGGGACCTAGGGTGAAGAGGGAGCACGACTGCTAAGTAGGGCGCATAAGCAGCGCGTTCGCAAACAGTAAATGTCGGACAGATGACCTGACCTCCATTTCTTCATGAGACAGGAGGCATGATGTTTATGGGCACCTCCAGTCACGAAGTCCGAAGCGCCGGCATCCACTTGAGCAACCAATCCGGTGCCGTAAGCGTTTCACAGTCGAGGCAGAGCAGGGGGCAATCGTGAGACGCGTCGGAGACTCGGCACAAGACACGGCGTTCGTGTGCGTTGTACTGAAGGTCATCTTATGCTTTGAGGATCGCGGTGTAGGTGACTCGAGCCTCGAGTGAATGATTGAGGGGTGCAGTACGTCGTCACGTGGCCTCGGTTGAACTTGCCGTCGGCGGGCGGCCTTATCCACAACGCGCCAATGCTCAAAGGGCCGGATTTGAGAAAAGACTTCTCACCAGTCGTTCCCACATACAGAACTCCTCTCCATTCTTACTCTTCCCAGAAAGCACACATCCTACAGGCTATCACCGACCTTGTTATCAAAAGATCGGTGTGTATTGCGTATCGACTGTACCCTAAGTCTCTAGATATCCCACACCAAGAGAAGGCCAGGGCCTACACCCCGCACTGAGCCAGTCGAGTATATATACTAGCCAGAGACCCATATTCGACTTTACTAGGCTCAGCCATATATTGCATCATCATATACACTCCCTCAACATGGCTGGACCTCTCAAGGCAGAGTCCTCTCAAGAGAGGGCACCATCCCGAGACTCCCCCGAGCGGGGCAAGAAGCGCGCAAGTACGTTTTCATCCCAGCCTGGCGCATTGTCGCCTCGACACTTGCTCTTGCCCATCCAACATGGCGCATACTGACCCGGCTCCTCCGCCTGCAGGAACCCAGTCGATGCCACCGCCTGAACTGCCCAAGCTCGTAGCTGAACAGCACGCGCCAATCCCCACCAACGACAAGGACTCGCAGCGCCTGATCGTCGTGCTTTGCAATGCTACGCTCGAAACTTACAAGGCGTCGCATGGCTCTGGCCGCGGACCTGGCGGCAGGGAGGACAAGTACAACCTCCTCAACAGCGACGATCACATTGGTGTCATGCGCAAGATGGGCCGCGATATCAGTGAGGCGCGCCCAGATATCACGCACCAGGTACGTGGAAATGAACTGGCAGCTGCAAGAAGAGCTCTGAGCTAACGTGGCTCCACAGTGCCTGCTCACTCTCCTCGATTCACCTATCAACAAGGCGGGCAAGCTTCAGATCTACATCCAAACTGCGCGCAACGTACTCATCAGGGTCAGCCCCACTGTGCGCATCCCGCGAACATTCAAGCGCTTCGCTGGTTTGATGGTGCAGCTGCTGCACAGGCACCAGATTCGATCAACTTCGTCCCAGGAGAAACTGATTGAGGTGATCAAAAACCCGATCACCGATCACCTACCACCCAACTGCCGCAAGGTCACTCTCAGTTTCGACGCCGAGGTTGTGCGCCTGAGCGACTACATTGGCAGCCTCAACAAGAACGAGAGCATCGCAGTCTTTGTTGGTGCTATGGCGAAGGGCAACGATGACTTTGCGGACGCCATCAAGGATGACAGCATCGGTATCAGCAACTTCAACCTTAGTGCCAGCGTTGCATGCAGCAAGTTCTGCCACGCAGCAGAGGATGTTTGGGAAATCTTCTAGATGCCACAACAAAAACCAAACTGTCGTCACACTGCATACTGCATATGCCTCTTAGTCTACCATGACTATTGGCCCACCATCGACACTCAATAAAGAGGAGGAAACGAAGAGCACGGGAAATTTAGGCAGCAGGACACGCACACTGGCCAAGATCGCAACATCGACAGCCTGTGCGCTACTGCTATTGATTTTGAGCGTCTGCTTGAGTTTTCTTTTACAACAAAACAAAACCTCTGGCTCAACGTCCAAACATCGTTCTTCTTTGAAGAATCGCAGAGCACTTCAACTTGCTCTGCACAACCTGTGTCTTTTCTCTGCCATCTGGCGCTACACTCTGTAGATGCGAAATGTAAGTGTCGTCTTGTCACTGGACAGTAAATATGTCCAGTGTCATACTCGATCCAGCATATCTGGTCCCACACCGGCGGTCAACCTGTGTATAGGTTCTTGCGGCTCTTCGGAGCCTTAGTGTAGACTAGCTCACCAGTCTTCCGATTTCACACGAATAGAAAGAGGTAGTCACGCGTCAGCACTCTCGTCCGAAATGCTGGGCTCGTGTTACAAGTATCTTCCTGGTTCTATACATGTCACTATACTTTTCAAGGCTAATGGAGGGGTATGTCGCGTGTCGCGCCTGCATCGGGAGAGGGACGGTAAGGATCCAACGACTGGGAAGCCACGCCGATCTCCCTTGATATCGAGAAAACGTATCAAAAAGTAACATGCTGTACTGCTCTTGCTTCTTTATACGATATTACTTCGTCCAGCAACGTAGAAGCATTAATGTGGCTGTCTGAATGCACGCCCTACAGTGCAATTGCACCAACAGGGCCACAATGCGTCCCAGCTTTTGGCCCCATGGGGACGGTGAATCTGATTGCATGATGATGCCTGCCTTGGCCTCATTGTATGTGTACTTGACCCATCGCTGACCTCAATTTACAAGGACGTCACACCATAACGATCGTGCAGCGCGGCGACATGTGGCAGATCCAGACCGCAGGTAACAAAAGCGGATGCGCGCGACAGGCGGTCAAAATTCAAGATCGAGGTTTGCGGTGCTGCTCAGCGAATTGCGCAGTGTGAAGCGGGACTAGTGTTCACTAACGGTTCCGGCCCGCTGCCCAGATCAAATCAGAGTCACTGCTTGCTCGCTTACACCACCACTACCTTAGCTGCAGATGCAGGACATGTGGCAGCATGAGGAAGACTTTGACAACGGCCTCCTTGATAACCAACAGGAGCAGTGGGGCGTACTAGGAGTGGCTTTCCCGCAAGGGTTTGGAATGCCCGCTAATTTCTATTCACGATGCATCGAGATGCTGCAGCCAAATGGGGCTCTGATTTAAACCTCGAGGTCGTACCGGTACTTCTCTTCCTACTTATTGACATCCATTTTGCAGGACCTAAGCCGCTTACTTTCGTGTCTCTGAACACTCCTCTTCTTCTTTACTAATACTCTCGTGGTGCCTTGTATTACTATCTGCATTCGCTGTTTTCTCTACGACCGCGTTCTTTGACAATGCCTGTCTCTCACATTGGTCTCACGGTCTCGCATCTTCCGGCTTCATCATCGTTCTTTCTGTCTGCTCTCCAACCTCTCGGCTATAGGTACATTGGACAACAAGGCCATCAAGTTGGCTTTGGGATACGCGAAGCAGACTTCTTCTTGTGCCAGGAGACCCCTGGGTAAGTCTGCTGATCCATGTTCAAAGTACACCGCAACTGACAACAAGCCAGTATCAAAGCCGGCGCAGCACACATTGCATTCACCGCCACAAGTCGCACAGCTGTTCGAGAGTTTTACTCTGCCGCCCTGATAGCCGGAGGAAAACCCAACGGATCGCCAGCATGCCGAACTGATGATGACAGCCATTTCAACGCTGCAGTGCTCGACTTCGATGGGAACAGCATCGAGGTTGTATACAGCGGTAAACCGGATTACAGAGACGATGGGACAGTGATCTCACACAGCAGGGTTATCACATGGGAGCGAACTGTCTCGCAGAGCATGCGCGACGATGCCAGCGTCATTAGTTCACGCACAGCCAGGTCTGTTGCGAGAGCTCCAACTGAGGTGTCAAAAGCACCATCAGCCGCCTCGAAAGCACCGAGTGTTGTCTCACAAGCACCGAGCGTGGCCAGGAGCATTTCTGAGCCTGTTGCCGTTCCTCAGGCAGCCTCACCAGCTGCAAGCAGCAGCGGTGATGCTGCCAAAACGCTCGTCGGAACCCTCCTCGGAGCAGCAGCTGGCGCAGCAGTCGCTTACGCCTTCGTGCGGAGCGAAAGGGACAGCGCAAAGAAAGAGGCAGACTTCAGCGCGTTCATGGAAGCAAAGAACACGGTCAAGGCTGCTGTGGGCCACCTCGCTCAGGCCTCACCACCACCCCAGCCACCCATGCAAGACCCACCGCCAACTTACGAACCAGCCCCCTCCGTGGCCCGATCAGTCCCATCAGTACACCGTAACGATGACGCGGGGTCCGTTGTCTCTGCTTCACCGTCTCGAGCGTCGCAAGCACCCAGTGTCCGTGGCCAGAAACAGATCGAGGCCGCGCCCGCCAGCTACTATGCGCCCGCACCCTCACACGTATCCTTGTCTCGATCACAGACCGCAGAGCCTCTCCAGATCGAGTATGCACCTGCGCGCTCCGTTGCAGGGTCTGACATGCGATCGCGCTTTAGCGCTTCGCGCTCAATGACAAGTCCTGAGATGCGAACCATCGAAGCGGCTAGAAGTGTGGCATCGGTGTCCACCGCAAAACCTCAAAGCGTTGCTCCTTCAAGAGCTCCGAGCGTTGCCCACAGCACTGCGCCTAGCTCTTTGATATCATCTTTTGTGCCTGACCATGTGTCAAGAAAGCCTGAGGGTAGCGTTTACTCGCATCACTCCAGCAGATCTAAGGCCAAGTCGTCACATACTCATGCCTCAAAACACAGCTCGCACTCAAAGCATACAAGTAGTCGCAGTAAAGTTGAGGACTCGTTTCCTTCTCCGCCACCACCAGCCTCGGAAGCTCCCTCGAAGAGGCCTTCGAAGGCAGCATCCGTCATCAGCAGTATTCTAGGTCGTGATAAGAAGTCCTCTGCAGACAGTGACTTTATTGATGACCTTGAAATTGAAGAGCTCACAGAAGACGACTATGAGACTGTCGTCCCTAGTGACAGTATCAGTCAAGCCGGCTCATCACGCCGCACTCACCGCCGCAAGCATCGTAGCAGAACAGACGAGCTCAAGGTGGAGGCCGGCACCACTGTCAGCAAGTCCTCCAGACACAGTGAATCCTCCAGGCACTCCCACCGCTCCCACCGCTCCCACAAGTCGCGCTCACATCACGACGACTCCGACTCCGACCACTCCACCGAGTCGAGGAGGAAACACCGCAGCAGTCGCCCCACTGTCGTATCTGAGCTCAGCGATGCGAGTACGATCAGGCCCGCTAAACCTTCCTCCTCCTCGAGAGACAAAGAGAGGCGAAAGGACTCGGTAACTGAGGGCAGCAAGTACGATGACTTGTTCGATCAGGTGCAATATGGAAGAGGCTCTGTACCTGTGAGGGGCATTACGCCCAGTATGATCAATGCTGCGACTAACAATAAGAACAGAAGCGTCATTAGCTTCGCGTTGGGACAGAAGATGAAGGCGTTTGAGGGCCAGCAGTAGAAGGGGTGATAGATGTGAATGCATATCAGGCAGTACGCCAACCCTTAAACAATGCTCCTAGCATTTCCAATACCTTGAATGATATTTGATGTGACTAAATCCCATTTCGGGCCAGGAGGACCCTATGTTGTCAAAGGCAGCGAAGAAGGCACAGCCGTGTTCGCGGGGCTGCTGCACTAGTGGTTTGCCCCGCTTGCCGGACTCACCCACGCACAACACGGAATTTCTCGCACCTTTCCAACACCTTTGGACACCACACACAACCATGGGCGCTGCATTCGACTTTGCGCCGGAACGGCCAGAGCACATCCAGGCTATCCTCGATGGCCTGGACAGATACAACCCCGAGACCACTGCCACATTCCAGGACTATGTCATGCAGCAGTGCGAGAACCAGACGTACGACTGCTACGCGAATCTGGCCCTGTTGAAGCTGTACGTTGACCCCCATGCGCTGCTTCCTCTGTTGCAAGATGAACAAAGAACCACAACGTTTCCTATTACCCGAGGTCAGGAGATTGAATCCCTCCCCCACTGAAGTTTATCATATTAGCTCTATCTGAACGCACCTTCATCACACTCTTTCGTATGTGCAGTTTCTTTGTTGGCCATGACTGACCGCAATGCAACAGCTACCAGTTCAACCCCCACCTCGCCCGCGACGAGACCATCACAAACATCCTCGTCAAGGCCCTCACCGTCTTCCCCAGCCCCGACTTCTCCCTCGGCCTCTCCCTCCTGCCTGTCCACGCCCTTGCGCCTCTCTCCTCCTCAGCACACAACCCCGCCGCCGGTGATGCCCCGCTCTCAGAAGCCGTACAAAAGCTGAACGAGCTGAAGAATCTGCTCGAGGGCGCCGACTACGCTACTTTCTGGTCGACATTGGACTCAGACGACCTGTACGCCGATCTGATCGCCGACGTTTCTGGCTTCGAGGAGCTGATGCGCGTTCGCATCGCTGCTACCGTCAGCCAGTCTGTGCGTGAGGTCGACCAGAGCATCCTCGAGTCATGGCTCAATTTGTCGGGCAATGAATTCGAGCACTTTGTCGGCAGCGTATGTGGCTGGTCTGTCGAGAGCGGCAAAGTCAAGGTGCCCATCAACAAGGATAACGAGGCCAAGGGCACTGTTGTGAGGGAGAACGTCAAGTTTGATCGTAAGTTTTGCTTCATAGACGATGCTAGTCAGCGCACTAACAAATCCAACAGAGTTTGCACGCGTCATCAAGAGGGCGTACGAGCAGCCTGCATGAGCGATTAATGCATGATACGAAGATACGAGATGACGGACATCAGCTCTGCAAGGAGAGCGCACGCTTGGTGAAGCATGCGGCGGAGCATGGATAGGCGTTGAGGAGCGTGGCTGCAGCAGCCTGCACAGAGGACGCGATAGTCACTCTACCCACAGCAATGGACTTGAGCTTGCAAAGCTTGTATATACCCCAGCGAACGACTGTAGTACACTGCTATGACCTCCCCAGCTCTGCAGCAAGGAAAGCCAATACAGGCCGATGTCGTGGCGGGCGAGGTCAGGTAGATATGATGAATACATCAAAAGTAACACGCCAGCCTAGCTGCAACAGTATTCCTATACTTTGACCGTCATGAGACTCAGGGACCACAATGACAGCGCAATTAAATCGCAGATCTAGTTGCATGCTGACCTGACGATCAACACACCATTGACCGAATAGTTACACTAGCCCTGCAGGTCAGCATATTGTCGCTTCTGTAGAGAAACAACACCTCAAGCGACTCGACAGCAAGACATCGACTCCTTCCTTCCTTTCGCACCCACCAGCACGCAATACCTTCAAAAGCTATACTACAACTCCACAATACTATGGCGAACATACCAATCGTCGACTTCAGCGCCTACTCACACAAGATTAAACATGGCGACAGAACCAAAACCGCAAAGGAAATCGACGAAGCATTCCGCAACGTAGGCTTCGTATACCTAAAGAACCACGGCGTATCGAAAGAGAGAGTACAAAAGTGCTTTGAATGGGTACGTATTCAACTCCCTCCCAGAACAGCGCATTTGACACGCACCTAACATGGCACTTCACACGTGCAGTCCAGGAAATTCTTCGCCCTACCACTGGACACGAAGATGAGAGCTCCGCATCCCCCAGGCGGCTCTCACCACCGCGGCTACTCCGCCCCTGGGCTCGAGAAAGTATCCCAACACACGTACGACGCGAATGAACTGAATAAACTGCGCGAAGTACCGGATCACAAAGAGTCCTTTGAGTGTGGAAACACCACCGATGCGGCTCAACCCAACATATGGCTCCCTGAAGCCGCACTCCCGGGCTTTCGAGACTTTATGGAGAGTTTCTTTGCCGACTGCTCCGCGCTAATCCACCAGTTGTTGGACGCGCTGAGCGTTGCTTTGTCGCTAGACAACAGTCTCTCGCCCACACACAGCCGATCTCACTTCCAGCTCCGCCTTCTACACTACCCGTCCCTCCCTTTCCCCGAACTCGCACAAGGCAAGCGGAGCCGGATAAACGCACACTCTGACTTCGGCACGCTTACGCTGCTTTTCCAGGACAGCGTTGGTGGGCTGGAAGTCGAGGATCCGCAGACGGGCGGGTTTAGAAGTGTGGAACCGGTGGACGATGCGGTGCTGGTCAATGTGGGGGATTTGTTGGCAAGGTGGAGTAATGGATGGTGGAAGAGTACGGTGCATAGAGTTATGTCACCGCCTGCTCTGAAGTCGGAGACGGAAGAGGAGGGAGGGGTGGAAGCGGTGGTGGGTGGGATGGTGGCAGATAGGTACTCAATCCCCTTTTTTGCAACTGCGGATCCGGAGACGGTGATTGAGGCGTTGCCGGGGTGTTGGAGCAATGAAAACCCGAAAAAGTATGAGAGTGTTACGGCGTGGGGGTATGTGCAGATGCGCATGGCAGCGCTGTACTCGTCATCTCAGTCATAGTCGTTGGGGCCGGAGATCACTCATTGGATGATCAGCTTCAAAACGAACTCCCATTGGAAGTAAGTACCTGCAATCGTTAAACTGTTGGGTATGATGAGAGATGTAGGGCATGCTCAAAAACTCCCGTGATCTAATGCTTCAACTAATATCTACACTTCTCCCACACACAAACTAACAATACCATACAGACCACCAGCACCCGAAAGTCAAACCCCGCTATGCATATCACTCGCCGAAACCCAAATTTTGCAAATCCTCGGCCAAAGCAGGAGAGTCTCGTCTAAGAACATCCCGTCTCAGCAAACAAGTAACAGCCCTCGCTCCTTTATGCGAACAGCGACGATCACCAATGTGATGCATACAACGCACCCACTTGCCAGGCACCCACTGACTCCTCTCCGGTATCCATTCCTCTACAATCTTCGCGTCGTCCTACGACTCTCCAAACATATCCGCCACACCCGCGAGTCCCGGGCTGGTACCTCTTACAATAGCAGGTACCTGGTCGATAGCCATGTACTGCTCCATAGCTGCGCTCCGCTTCTTCGGTGCACTACGCTGGATTTTGCCCTGCTCATGAATACTAACACCCTTGATGCTGCTCAGCAGATCGAGCACGATAGAGCGTTGCATGCGCTCATCGCTCCTGTTGCTCCCTCTCAGTTTCGAAAGACGGCGGTCAACGCGGTACTGGTCGCCCATGCCCGGCAGCGAGAGGATGATGGAGCGCGGGATGTCTTCGTCGAGGTGGATGATGCCTGCGATGAGGGACGCGAGTTCCTTCTGGCAGTCGACGAAGTAGGGCTCGTGGAGCGATGTGATTGCCGATTTGAGGATGTCGTTGCAGAAGTAGTCGCGGATCGGAGATTTTTCTTTGAAGCGTGGGAGAAGGGTGCGCAGGACGCGGACGATGGTGACGACTGAGCGAGTGTCGCGGACGCGGATTGTGGAGTTGCAGAACATGAGGATGGGTTCGAGGACGGCAGGAGTGGAGAGGAGGAAGTCGCACATTGGGGGTCCGCTGTTGTCTCGTTGTGTTTGGTCTTCCGAACGGCCGAACTCTGTATCATGTTAGCGCTGCCATGTGTAATCACGGAGAAGGCACGAGCATCTACGACGACGACAACAAAGTCAATGGGTGGAAGCCATCACGGGGTTGGACGTACCTTGTCTCGAGTCAAGGAGGACAGCGACAAGCGAGACAGATGAGTATGTGAGTTGGCGAAGGATGCTCTCGGTCTTCATCTCATCTGTCAAGTTGTCGTTGTCCCCCGACTCCGCTACCTGGCGAGCAACCTCATTCCACTCAGCGGAGATCTTCCTATCCAGCTCCCTGAACAGCCCTTGAACCATGGGCGGCAGAAAGTGTGACCGAAGATGCGCTGGACATCCTTCGATAAGATGTGTTGAGACGGTCAAGAGAACAGACAGGTGGTGTGCTGTCAGGGCGTGAGCGTGGCCGAACAGTGCATGGCTTAGCGGCCCAGGAAGTTCTGAGATGCCGTAGAAATGGTCTCGGAACTTTGTCAGAGAGTACAGGATGTAGTACGAACTTTCTCTGATTTGTCGCACGGTACCTCTAATCGTCGATGCGAAGCCTTCGTAGGTTGACTTCGAGCCACTGACTCTCGCAAAGAAGTCATCTCTGCTCTCTGTCGAGATGCCAGCCTGCCAGAAGCGATCTGTCAGCACCCTGCGAATGACCTGCTGCAGCTCAGGCGGTAGGTGCGACCAGTTGCTGTCGATGTCGTTGAACGCTTGGGCGTGACTGACAAGTTGCAGAAGGTTGGGAAGCAGCGTTGGAATTGCTTCTGCCCACAACGCAGCAGCAGTCTCGTACGCCGGAGAGCCATCCCGCAACTTCTCAGTCGAAGCCGCAAGCAGGGTCTTGGTCAATCGTAACGGAAGTTGTTGCGATCGCTCAAGGACTGCAGCTTGCAAAGCTTGACCGTCGCTTCCTAGCGGCTGGTTTGACCAGTCCTGCACACCGCGGAAGTTGTTTGCGGAGAGAAACTCCGGCAATTGGCCCATTCCGAGTATGGCACAGAAGGACTGGAAACCTGAGATGGACTTGGAGAACCCATCGTTATTCCATGCGTCCTCGACCTGATTCAACATCTGCCTCATGCGTTGTTCTTGTGTAGCCTTGTCTAATGTCGTGCATCTATGAATGATAATGAAAAGAAAAGCGGAGTAAGCCATCCGCTGGCGTTCGTCGGTCGTGGGGTCAGCGATCATCTCGTTGACCTTGTTCTCTAGTTGGTTGTATACGTTCATGAAATCATCGGCGAACTTCATCGCCAGCTTTTGCATCTCCAGACTGCAAATGCGCTCAAGATCCTTGACTGCATCTGAGTACTGGGCGAACTCGGGGTTGTCGGCAAGTCGGATGGTGAGCATGTACTCAAGGAAACTCAGTGCGAAGGCAGAGCGATCTGGTAATGCTTTGGTTGAGAATGTAGACATGAGCGAAATGACCTTCTTCGCGATCTCAGGGTCTTCGAATCGTGCTTGCAGAATTTGCCGCCCCCATTCTTCGAAGGAGTTCTCCATAGTCGCGCGCTTTCGCTCATCTTCTTGCATGTCTTCGCCTTGCGTGTTGAGCCATTTCAAGTAGCCCTTGATTGCCGCGTCGATGACTGTGACCTGAGCATCGACTTGCAGAACGGCAGCGGAATGTTTGGAGAAGGTCTGCGGCTGGAAGGCAGGCTTGTCGCTGTAAAGATTTGAGAGCATGTTGGTGGCTTGGCTAAGGATGTGTTGCATAGCCTCGACCGGAGTTCTCCGGACAAGGACCTCGATAATGTCTGCACAAAACCTACGGTAGTTGCCCAGGAAGGCATGACGTTCTGGCACCGTGTCGATATCCTCGTTCAAGAACTGTAAGGTGACGTCTTCTGTGTCCTCAGGCAACGACTCATAGCGGATAAGACGTGCACAACATGTTTCCAGAAGGCCTCCAACCATTGAGGTAACCACTTCGGAATCTCGCACGGCGCGTGACCGCAGTAGCTTCGTCCAGCAGTGGAGCACAGGTATTGAGACGACGAGGCTAGGGTTACGTAGGATGTCGTAGAGAAAACCGAAGATACCGGCAAGATCACTGCCTTCGGGGATGTTCTGTGGCTTTTGCTCGATGAACAAACCAAGGCTGTTAGCCAACTGCAGAGGGGATTAGTCAGATCTCAGGGGTACACTGAAGTGAACAGGGGTTGTTTACCTCTGACAGCTTCTTGCACAGCGTATACTTCTGGTCGTCCAGGTCGTCGATGTTCATGTCTGATAATGTCCAGCTGTATACCTCACGCAGCAGCGAGACGCTGCCAGGTGTGAACATTGGGCAGACCAGCTCCTGGAACTCGTCATCGTGAAGATGGCTTCGGCTGTAGATGGACTGCAAGACTTCGACGGCGGCCTATACATGTTAGTATTGATCGCGTCCACGATCGAGACGTTCCATACCAGTTGCAGCTCCACTACTGGAATTGAAAGCGCCTTGCAAACCGCCTCAATGACGCCAGTCGCAGCTATTGCCTTGGGAATGATCCACGGCATAGCAGCTCGCAGCGCATTGATCGTCTTGGCGCCAGACGACCGAATTGCCTCTTGATTCTGGTAGTCTTGCCCCAGGCACCAGCTCAAGTTGTCGCACAGCCTCTTCAGCCACCCTTCGTCCCCACACCGCACGTCCAGACTCTTGTCTCGTGTAGGCAGCTGCTCCTGCAGCACCTGTAGTGGCGTGAAGATCTCGACGCACGCGCGACCCAGATCGCTGCCTCGAAGGCCCGCCGTAGCATCTTCGCGGTTGAAGACCTCCTCAGATAGCGTTTCGAGGACGTAGAGTACGATGGCTTGGTGGTGTAGTGACCTCGTCCAGAGGGATACGAGCTGCTCGTCCATGTTCAGCCACTCTGCGCCCCAGCTTCGCTTCGCGACTTCTGTCCACAGCTGCGCGACTTTGTTCCTGAAGTACACCTGATCGTTCTCTGTGACGTTCCTTGCGAGCTCAAGCACGTAGTCCTTCAGCACGGCGCCCTGGTCGGCGGTGAACTCGTCCCAGTTGTACTTGATCGAATACTCCAGCAGACCGAGGCCATAGTATCTGACGTGCACAAGCTGCGACTGGTCGGCGGCCAGTGTGTAGCCATGCGACGGTGCGTTGGGGTCCCGCTTTGCTTGCTCGAGGTATTCGGTCGCTTGACGGCGTGTATCGTTGCTCGAGGTAGGTGCATAGACGGCTTGTATGGCTTCTAAGACCTGTGAGAAGTCGGAGGTGTGGCCGTTGCTCTGCGGTGCACCACCACCGCCGCCATCCTGGAGGGCTTGCGGGGCTCCGTCCGCCGCAGCGTTCATCGTGGGGGCGGCTGCCGAGGTATGCAGCTTTCGCGGGGCTAGGCCGAGCCCTGAAAAAACGTCCTGTTCCTTGGTTAATACGGGTGCAGGTCGAGGTGATGCTGGTTGTTGCGGAGATCTCGCTGTTTGGGACGTGGGGGTGCTTTCGGGCAATCCGTACCGGGAGAGAGAATGGAGGAGGCACAAGTTTGGGAGAGAAAGCTTTGGCGCGCCCGCCGTGACCGCTCAAGCCAAAAGCCGGTGAAGGATGCAACGTGTTAGCACACGGTCGCTGGCTGCATAAACATGGTGCACTGCTGTGTGCAATGTACGGTGACGAGACGAGACTCATTATTCACGTCGCCGTCTCACAGACGCGTCTCGTAGGCTGACGTGCAAATCAAACGCGTCGCGGTGTCAGCTGCCTAGCAGGCAGGTTCAGAAAGCTACTCATGTCAAAGGTCCACCGTGCAAAACCAGGTTCTATATACATTTGCCCATCGATCGACCGCGCCACAGCTCTGGAGAGTACGCTGAGCATCAGGTGCGACGGCAGGTCCGAACAATTTGCGCGCAAACAATGCTGACGGCGTGACCTGAGAGTCGAACGACATTACATCAGAGTGGATGCTGATGGGCTAGACCTCGCTGCACACACATGCTGAGCACCGATAGCCGACATCGTCGCCCAGGATTGTATCTGCGCATGTGGAGGGGGGATACCCGTCGCGGGGAAGTCGTGTAACCATGGTCTGATGATCGTCCTCGATGCTTGCATCTACATAACCGCACAGCTCTGCTTCCGGCACTGCTGCAGATACCCCTCGTCTTCTTCTGTCCCTAGCGCACCACCTTGTTTCCTTACAACACCCTTTACGATAATGGTCTGATCGCCTTCAGCATGTCGCCATCGCAGCGTCTGCTTCAAAGCTCCATCCTTGTCGTCCGAGCTGATCTCCCAGGTCCCACCGCTGACCTCCACTGTCGATGTTGGGTAATGGAACTCTGGTAGGTAGATGACCGTTGGTGCATCCTCTGGCGTCGAACTTGGTGCGTGCAGAGCAAGCTTGAATGTGCATGTCTTCAGGTCGAAGCCGTAAGACGATATGTCTCCATGTACAACGACAGGTGTGGGACGAATGAATGCCTCGGCCGCGCGTAACCCTGCAACATCGCCTTCTCGCCTGCTCGAGCTCATGCGATCTTCTGTGATGGTCTTCTTGAGCGTGCTCGGTGTCACGCTGAGATTATCTGTCGATGCTTGAGCTCTTGAAAAGGAAGGAGAAGTGGTGTCGAGCGACGCACGGGAATCCAAGGGTGAGAAGGCACCGGCCGGCACCGCTTTGTCGTCCAGTGAGAATATCGACAGATCTTCACCGTTCCATTGGTCGCCCCAGTAGTGTGTGTTCTGTCCGATGTCAGTGTATAGCTCGCGTGCTGGGCAGAATCTTAACTTGCTGTTGTGACGTAGGTCCAGAGCGCGAACCCATTTGCCTGACTCTCCTCCAGCGCAAAGTGGTTGGCATCTAGAGCAGCGATTTGACTGCTATAGTTGCCAGTCTTGTATGCGTACTTGTCGTCCATGTCGTAGGGAATGCCGATTTCGGTGAATATGCAAGGGTGCACACCCATATACTCGGTGCCTTCTTCCCGAATAGCCTTCAGCTGATGGGCAAAGCAGTTCCTGATCGCGTTCTCTCCAATCTTGATAGCAAATGCAGGCGTCAAGTACTTCCCTCGCAGCACGCCGAAGACATCAATGTTCCACACTCGGTTCCACTTCTTGGTCAACAACGTGATGCCGTCGTAGAAATGCGGCGAGAAGATGATGTTGGGGTCATCATCCGAAGTCCCCTTGATCCTGGGTGGTATCTCGAGCACCGGTGGCTGGAAGAACATGAGCGAGTCAGGGAAGATTGATTTGATCATCTTGCTGTAGGCTCGGTAATGCACCATCCAGTAGTGGTTCGTGAAATATTCCGTGTCAATTGTGGCGCCATTCTTGGGGTCTTTCCCAAAATGGTCCTTCTTGAGAAGGGTGTCGGTTGTTGGATCCCAAACGTCATGTTGCGCCCAGATGCATTCGCCAAGCTTCCAGCCAGGATCACGCTTCCAGCCATGATGGGTTTCGTCGTAGTCCTTTGGCAGCCATGCTGACTTGCCCTCGGGGTCGATCAGAGCTGTTCCTGACTTGTATGGTCCCATGCCACCGAAGTCCCAAGTCTCAACCTCGCAAGCACGACCAGATCCGGTTAGTATAGCTTGCCACGCGGTAGGTGTTGTGCCCTTCTTTAGTTGCTGCTCCTTGGGGATGACAGTAATGTCCTGGTAGCTGATCAAGCCTTTGTTGGGCTCGTTCAAACTTTCCCATCCAACAATTGGGTCGTACTCGAGGTCGCCTGCATCATGGATGCGCTTGGCGAGGTGTTCGACAGCTCCGATGTAATGGTCTGTAAGGTAATCCTGGATGTTCTTGCCATCGATGATGGCCTTTGGCGCAAAGTCTCGTCCACCAAAGAACAGTGTGAAAATGACCTGGCATGCGAGTCGCGTGTAGTTGGTGGCCCAGATCATCTTGGGGAACTTGTCTGGCTCCGGGTAGGTGTTCTGAACGAGTGATGCCTCGGTGACGGCGAAGTGTTGAGGATCGAGGCCGCATGCGTAGAGTGTCCACATGGGCGCTCCCGAGCCTCCAGAGAATCTTGACCACTGCAAAGGGTCAGTCGAGTCCCCTAGCACCCACAGATGGTACTCACCACATCCTGATGCGGGTCCATGAAGATGTAGAACCCATACTCTTTTGCTTTCCTCAGCACTGATATGGTGTGATCTATCCACTCCTCGTCGTACCTTCCTGGCCCTGCATGTTCTATCGCCTCCCATGTAAAGATATATCGTAACGTGTTGTAGCCCCAACTTCTCAGTCGTGAAAAGTGTGTGCCAGCATCTTCTACACAGAACGGCCGGTTGACAAAGGAGACGTTGTTGCCGTCAAAGAACTTCTCGGAAACATGCGAGGGTAGATCTGGGGTTGCGGGGAACTTCGCGTCGGCGGCGCAATTGATGCCATGGAGCGTGACCTCACGGTTCTGGGGATCGCGGAATGTCCGCCCGTCGATGCGCAGTCTCATTTGCGACATGACTACGTGTAGCGCTATCTAGAATAACAGGAGACGGAGCGAGGGAAGGCTCTGAGAGGAAAAGGCGAGAGCGGGCGTCTTTGAATGTCTAGTAGGTCTTGGACTGCCTGTCCGCGCGCTCGCATCGTATCCGGCAGGCGTCATCAGTAGTTGTTGCGTATTGTGCATGACAGGGGACCCCTGCCGCCTTCGGGTTAGTTTGGTCGTTCATGCAGCTGCGGACCCTGGAGGTCGCTGAAAGGACAACTTTCACCTGTCGCATTCGAAGACCTCATATAAGCCACCAAGCCCGCGCCTTCCATGCCCTAGCACGCTCACACCTGCGCGTTCCTCCGGTTGTTGTCTTTCCAACGTTTCGTACCCACCGCCACTCATTCCACTGCTGCACCTCGCCACCATGATACTCCGACTATCCTCACTAGCCCTGGGCCTGCTCCCTCTCGCAAGCGCACTGTCTCCCGCTGACATTCCGGCCGATACGCCCGTGTCGCAGCTGATCAAGGACGCCAGCGTTAAGCTCGCTTCCGGAAACACGCAAGATGCGCTCACCTACTTCGACGTCGCCATCTCCCGAGACCCCAAGAACTACCTGACCTTCTTCCGGCGCGGTGCTGCCTACCTCTCGCTCGGCAGGACGCAGCAGGCGGAGCACGACTTCAACAAGGTACTGGATCTGAAGCCTGGCTTCGAGGGTGCGCTGCTGCAGAGGGCCAAGATAAAGGCGAGGAAGGCCGATTGGGTCGCTGCGCGCAAGGACTACGAGGCAGCAAACAAGGCAGATGAGATCGCGCAGCTTGAAGAGGCACAGGGTGCTGCTATCGTTGCACAAGAGGCGGCCGAGAAGGGCGACTGGGACGCTTGCATCCAGCAGGCCGGGACAGCCATCGTAGTAGCGGGTGGAGCGTACGACATCCGCAAGACCAGGGCTCGATGTCGGTTCGAGAAGGGCGAAGTAGTCGAGGGTATCGCCGACCTGCAGCACCTCCTGCAAATCAACAAGGGCGACGTCGAGCCCCACCTCCAGAGCTCAGCTATGGCATTCTACTCCCTCGGCGAGACAGAGAAGGGCCTGAAGCACATCGCACAATGTCTGCAGTCTGACCCAGACTCCAAGCCCTGCATGAAGCTCAGGAGACGAGAGAAGAACCTCGAGAAGGACATCAAGAAGCTCAAGAACAACTTCGAGAGACGGCAGTTCGCAACTGCATCGAAGCTCCTGATTGACCGCGGCGAGGAGGACCCCGGTCTGCTGAAGGAGGTCAAGCAGGACTTCCAGGACTACGTCGAAGCTGGCTACATCTACAAGAACTCGCCGCACGGTCTCTACACTCAGCTCGTCGAGATGACCTGCGAAGCCTACAACGAGATGAACAACATGAAGAAGGGCGCGCCCTACTGCACCGAAGCCCTGACTCTCAACCCGGACTCGCTCCACGGCCTGCTCAACCGCGCCCAACGCGAACTCGAAAAGGATGAGTTCGAAGAGGCAATCCGCACCCTCGACCACGCAAAAGAACACCACCAACACCAGCGCATCCAAGAACTGCTCCAGAAAGCACACACCCTCCTCAAGCGCTCAAAGACAAAAGACTACTACAAGGTCCTCGGCCTGACACGCGACGCCGACGAGCGCGAGATCAAGAAGGCGTGGCGCAAGGCGACGAAGATGTACCATCCAGACAAGGCGGGCGCGCAGGGCATGACGCCCGAGGATGCACAGAAGAAGATGGCAGCCGTCAACGAGGCGTACGAGGTCCTGTCTGATCCAGAGCTGAAGGAACGCTTTGACCGCGGTGATGACCCAAACAACCCGGAGCAGCAGCAGGGCGGTAACCCATTCCAGGGCTCGCCGTTCGGTGGGCAGCAGTTCATGTTTAGGCAAGGTGGCGGCTTCCCTGGTGGCGGCGGTAGCTTCAAGTTCCAGCAGGGTGGTGGTAATCCGTTTGGGTTCTAAGACTTCTTTCCTGTTCTTGTCTGTGGATATTTGGAGTTAAGGCTTCGGCTGGTTTGTATAGTAGACGTCTTGATAGAGCCAGTCTCTTGACGTTCACGCATAATATCAAAGGAGACTTTGCGAGTCTTCCGCTGCAACTTCAAGATTCCAGTCACCCATCTGCTGTTTATGCGTTTGCTTCCTACGTCATCTATCATACTCGTACCGTACCATCCTCGTTCGCCGCCCCGGAGGGTACGATCTCGATAGTCGTGGTAGGACTTTTAATGACGCAAAGAGATGAGTCGCAGAGGGAAAACTCTCGCGCTCGAAGGCCGGGCGTCGAGATTGTAGGGCAGCGGCGCGCGTGTGGTGGAAAAAGAGACGGGCCACAAGGCGCAGCCTGGAGCATTCCCGATCAACGACATCGTCCACGTGAGCTTGGCTTCACCTTCACTTCACTTACAAGGCCACCGCTGCCACAACATCGTTTTTCATGGCACCCATCCCTCATTGTCAAATCTTCTTCGATTGGGTTCCTTGCAACACAGTGCTGAATGCCTCCAAGCGTGCTTCTTATCCAATATGCTTCTATATACATGGCACCTACGGCTCCTTTCCCTTGCATGCTGTACTAGTCATCGCCGACCATACCTTCCCGCTCACGACAAACAACGCACCCACGCCCTATCGCGCTCTTGATAACATGTGCGTGCGCAACCTTCGCACCGACACTCCTGCTCCATCTGCCGCCACTCTCCAAAGCATCATTGGCGAGTTGCTGCTGAAGTGTTGCAGCGACACTAGCACTAGCGCTCGTCTCTGGCAGCAAGCAGCTAAGATGGAAGACGTGACCGCATGCAAAGCCAACTAGTGTATCTCGAGACTTTGGCAGCGGTGTGTCCATAACCTCTTCCTCTTCTGCGGTGGGCAGGATGAAGGCCTCACGGCAGCCTGTGCAGTGACCTGGTGGAGCCTCAACGTTCGGATCCTCTGCTGGTGCAGGGTCAGGGACAGGAGTTGGGTTTGTCGAGGTAGCTACTGTGTTGTTACCGCTGCTGAGCACCTTTGCAGCCGTCTTTGGGTCAACGCCCCTGGGTCTCAGATCGACTTCTTTGCCCTTTGGTAGCCCATTCTGTGCACCAGGCAGCTTCTCTTGCAAAGCATCTGAATCATCATCACACGGTATGACTTCAAACTTGACGCCTCGCTTTTGTCCTGCACGAAGTGTGTCCATGCCAGCTGCGACTTCACCGCGCAGCACCTTCGCTACACCTTCTGAGATGGAGTGTTGGATTTCATATTCACGGACCATGCGGCCGATGCCGTCTCTCAGACCTTCAATCTCCAGACCCTCGGGGATGCGGCGGACGAGTTGGATGGGGTCGATGGCTGTACCGACTTCTGCAAGTAACCCTCTGATGAACTGCGGCTTGTCCATAGAATAGTCAAGCAAGTCGTTCCACAGATCTGGATCGTCCTGTTCTTTCGCAAACGATATGGCAAAGCTGACATCTGAAAGTTTCTCGATGATCAGGTACAAGGCGCGCTTAGTCTGACCGGTTTTTGAGAGTATGTGTCTGAGAATATTAGCGGTGAACAGTACAGATCGATAAGTGGACACTTACACAAGCTCTGGGATGTACTCTCTGCTCTCGCAGATAGCCGTGGCCTTGCTCAAATCGAAGCTTTGCGACTTGCGGAGGAACTCCATCAATAGTGCGCGGTCGTACTCAGCAAGCAGCTCAACCATAAGGTCAGAGAAACCTTCGGCCACGATCTTGCCATCTGCAGCCAGGCGGTCTTCAGCAACTCGCTCTTTCGCCGTTCTGGCTTTGCGCTCGTGTAGTTCTGGCTTCCACAGGCGTCGGAGGTAGAAGAACAGAAATGGTTGGAACGAGTCCCTTTTCTTGCTCTCTTGAAGCTGGGTGACGACATCGTCAGCTGGAATGGTTCCACGACAACCTTCCTCGACAAGCACTTCAATGGTCTCCAATGATGCCTCTTCCAGCTCTTGTAGAGGTGCTGATGCCATCTGCTCTCTCGACACACGCAGCAGAATAAAGCCAGGGATGTCGTCCCTGACAGCCTCCACGAGATGGAAGTCACGAATGATGCCCATAGCAGCATCGGCGTTTTGCAGGCGTATGTAGTAGCGCAGTGCTTCTCTCTGGCGACCACTTGCAAGATAGAGCTTGGCAAGACCATCTTGCAGTATTCGCCAGTCGCGGCCTTGTTCGTTACCCTCGATCGAGTCTTCGGTGACATCTCCAGCGTTCAGCTTGGCCTTGATAGCTTCGATCACGCTGTTGATGTCGAAGAGATCTGGATCCCATGCTTCAAGCAGATGCTTGAATCGTATCCGATCGTTGATGATGTAATGTCCAAGAATTACTTCGTACACCATGGATGGCAGCGGTGGCTGCATCTGTTTGGTTGGGATGTAGGGTGAGATTTCGTTGAAATGATTCGTCTGCGCGAACTTCCAGACCCAATGCTCCCATTTGGCAGAGGTGCCTAAGACACGACCGGCAACTTTACCAGCTTCTTTCCAGTCGCCTGCGTTCACCAGCTGCTGTACCCAGAGATCACCAACGCGTCGCTTCTCTTTCTCAATAGCAGTGTTTTGATTCACTCTCACGGCAGAGACAGTGTCTTGAGATTCAGTCTCATCAGCGAAGAAGTCTTGCAGGCTTCCTCGCTTCTGGGCCGGCGTGCTGGCTGGCGAGGTTTCCGTCACCGACTGGCTGGCAGAGCTAATAACTTCTGGGTGATCTTCCAGAAGCTCCCAAGCATCTTTGTAGTTCTCATGCTCTAGTTCCCAGCTGAAATGGTCTGCCAGATCTCGCTTTATTGCCAGCACACAGTCATACGGACTGTGGATAAAGACCTTGAGACCAGCTGTCGCAGCATTAGGGTGTACCGGCGTTTGTCGTCCACGAGCGGCCGCAGATGGCACAGTGCCGCTGGCCGACGACAATGATGCCGGTCTTGACTCTGAACCTATTGGTAGGCTGAGAACACTGGCACCAGAACTGAAGATCCTCGTCGCGCTGACACCGGCGTCCCAGATTCCTCCCCCAATGGCCTCGAGTGCGCTCTTTTGTGCAGGCGTCATGGCCTTTGGATGCGGTACATATAGTGTTCCCAGATGGTAATCGGCTGCCGAAAGAGTCTCGTATCTGCTGACTGTCAGAGAGTCAACCTCAACTTCCTCCTGAGTGACAGCATCGATGAGTTTGAGCTCAGGAGACAAGCCATTCGCGCGTCGGTGCATGCCGCGTCGTGGAGTCGTTTCGATGGGGTTGTCGTCATCGTCGTGTGTGCGATATGCAAGAACTAGAAGTAGGGAAGGGGTATAAAGCGAGATTCCAGAAACAATACAATCGTCAAACTTGAGACTGGGACAATATCAGCCAAATCTTTGCTATGAGCAACAGCGAGGACGTACTGGTGAGGGACTTCGATGCTGCCAGGAGATCTTTCGCCGGTCCTGCCATTACCGAAGACTTCCCCAGGAATGACATGAATGATCCAGGCGGCATCTCCCCAGCCTACGACCAACTTCTCAACCTTCTCTTTCTTGGGCTGCTTTCCTTGCTTATGTCTTCGGTGCTGAGGAAGAGTGGATTCGGCCTTGCCGTGATCACGATGGTCGTTCATGCTCATGATTGCATCATCGTCAGACTCCAGCGACTCGTCGTCGACCCACTCGACTCTTGCTTTCCACAACGCAGCCATATCTTGCCAGACGCGGCGGTTGGGCTTTCCAACAAAGCCGATCCTCTTCCAAGCAAGTTCAGAATCTGCGCTGTCCAGGAACAAGTTCGTACGCATGAATCTAATGCCTTCCTCGTTGACCCATACCATGTACTTCCCGGACAGAGACCATTTGATGGTGCTGATGGAACCTTCTCCAGAATGCAGAATTGTATCTCGACCACTATTTCCACCGAGGCCTATCGCTCCAAGCCAGCCATGAGCCGCCTGAGATGCTGAGCTTGTGTTCGCAGTCGCGCGAGTGCCTATTGGGCCTCCACTCGTCAGGATCAGTTCGCCAGCCAGGCCTCCTGACAGATATGAGCGATCGTTTTTGTAGTCCGGCGAGAGTGCGACAGCTTGGACAGGGCGCGCGAAATTGCGCAGGGTAACGTCTTTGGGATCGACCAAAGAGGACACACAGACATGGCCGTCTATGGATGCAGACGCGATGTAGATCTGGTTCGACGGGATATTGGGAACCGGATTCTGCTGTGGTCTACGAGGGTCGCGGCCCGCGTGCGGTGTAGGCTTTCTCGACGGCGCATCTGCTTCTGGTGCTCTGATAGGCGAGCCAACTTGGTTGACGAAAGACTGCGTGCGTGGGAGAGGCGAAACGGACAGCGCGGTAACTGAGGCCGACGGATGGGCGTTGTAGGTACGCAGTATCTGGAAAGATGGGATGGTGAGGGTGTGCTGCTGATGTTAGCCGCGATCTGCTACCGAGACGAAGTACAAAGACTTGCAATATTGCCATTGTGTGTGCCGACGATCTGTGTAGAGCTCAGTATACAGTATGCGACATGCAGCAGCTCTCATAGAGCTCGAGCTATAACCGTACCATCTTATCACCTGCAACCAGAAAGGAGCTTGTCGCGTCGCCATTGCGATACACAGGCCCCAGGCTGCTCGTCAAGCGGCTGTACTTGAGCTTGGGCTCCTCGTCTGCGTCGTCGTCCTCTTCTTCATCGTCATCGTTCTCGATGTCATGGTCGTCGACGTGCTGGGCCGCGTCGGTGCCGTTGCCAGCTTCTCCCGTTGTCACCGCCTGCTGGTCATTGTCGGTCGGATCCGCAGCCATGCTGGCGACATGGGCATGAGCTGCGGTGGGCGTGAGGGCGTGCTGCGAAGCTTGGGTCGTAATGTGTAGCTTGACGTGACGTGTGCACGCCCAATGAGCTGTGGCTGGACCCTCGGAAGTGTGCAGGGATCTCCACAAGCTCCACCGAAACTCTTAGACGTCTCATGCACTGACCTTCACCCATTCACGATGCACATCAGGCATTCGGATACGTTGTTGCGTTGCCGGCAATGCCTTCCCTCGCGTCGAATGCGCCTTCCGCCTTGATGAGAAGCATTGCACGATGCACACATCGAGCATCTCAAACATTACCTCATCATCCGTTACAACGAACCCCAGCACGAGCGTTCTCTGCAAATGTGACACTCAAGAAGAAGCAAGAGGAGGCAGTCGCCAAGGCTGAACAGCCGAAACAAGGGTCGCGCAAGACTGCGGGCAAGACATCGTCACTGCGCAGCGTTGCTGTTGAGGCCCAGCGATCGCGAACCTTCGTCAAGTCGCGTGGCCGAACGCGCTTCATCGATCCAGACGCCGAAACGAAAACGGTAAGCGCGTATTGCGCGGCCGAGACATACGACATTGCAGTCGCCGCGCGACTCGTCAAAGCTCAAGGCTACGAACTCGACCCCTTCCAAACAGGGCTATACCCACAAGTCATCCATGTACAGACCAGTGACCGCCCGTCAGAGGTCAAAGACTTCCAGCAGGGCGACATCTTCGTCTTCCCCTCTGGCACAGTCGTTACATGGAACGTCCGTGAGCGCGAAGCCTTGAAGCTCGTCCAGCAGGTGTTGCCTGCAGCAGCAGAAGGCTCACACCTCGAGCTTCTCGAAACAGAAGACCTCGAATACCTGGAGGACGGCTCACGTGAGAGCAGCGAAGTGGTTGGCGACACTATTGTGCTAGGGACCAAGCCTGAGCAAGCTTCAGACCCTTCACCCTCGGCACTCAGCGACACTGGCCCAGCGTCTCCAGAGATCGACACGGTGCTCGCCAAGATTGCCTTCTCGTCTGGCCTGGCGCGTTCCACGAAGCTCGCCGTTCTCGAGACTCTCCTTTCAAACTACCAGCACTCGACCCGCGAGATCCCCAACATGCTCGCCGCAAAGCACACCCGCTCACCCTTCACGCGCTCCTTCATCCTTCGAAAGACCGGCGAATTGCTCTCCATACGCGCCCAGCTGAATCTCTATTCAGAGTTGACAGACAGCATGCCAGACCTTTTCTGGGACTCGCGGCACGAGCTAGGCTTGGGCGGATACTACGATGACGTTGGTCGTGCACTGGATGTCGGTGTCAGGATCAAGGTGTTGAACGAAAAGATTGGCTTCGCGCAAGAGATTGCAAGTGTGTTGCGTGAGCAGCTGAGCGAGAAGCACGGACTGAGGCTGGAATGGGCGATCATCGCGCTGATTGCTGTGGAGGTGGTATTGGAATTCTGGAGGCACTACGAGGAGAGGAGGGAAAGAGATGACCCAGAGAGCACGCAGGCGCTTCTCAGAGCGTACCTCGAGCGGTTGGCGAGCGAAGAGACAAAACCAAGAGACGTGTAACAGCAGCGGCGACATGCTTCGTAATTATGATACCCCACTCAGTAACGGAAAATGGTCATACTTAGCGACCCCAACCCTAGAGGTAGTCAGGTATCCTGCACGTGACCTCGTTCCAATCCTCCTCTTTCCTCAACACCAACAAAGCCACAATACCAACCCCGATGAATTACTGGACCTGCCATTGGAACTCTTTCGTCGCATCGGGTCTGGGGAAATGCCACAAGATCTATAGCGAGTATCTACGGACAGCTCTTCCTCTAGCTATTTGCAAGGCGCATGCGGATGTGGCCCTCGTTATCACAGATGCCATCCTCTCGGCCGAACCTGATCTATGGCATAAAGATGATCTACTCAGCGGCATCACGGAAGCCGTAAAACACAGAAACAATGGCATCTTACTTAAACTCCTGCGCCGGAGGCAGGCAAGCAACTTGACACAGGCCTGGACATGCCTCAGTGAGGTGAAGGACGGCTGTCTACCCATCACTGACAAAGAGTGGGAGTTCATCTTCTCTGAAGGAAGCTGTAGTACCCTTGAGCATTTACTGGACTCTCGTGCATGGTACCCGGTCAATTTTGATAGTGTTCGTCGGAACTCGTAGGGACCTGCCGCGTCCCTGTGACACGAGCACCGCTAAGATCCAGAAAAGGCATACCGACATATCATTTGTTTAAGGCAGTTTACTCACCCCAGAACCACGTGGTCATCGACACAACACTATTGCATATCTAGGGTCTTTCAACACTGCCTATTTAGGCCACTTTGCCGTTACTACATATTGTTACACGCTTGTCATCGTGTTGGAAAGGCCGTGCGTCTACAGCGACATGAGGAAGCAAACAAACCGAGACAGAAGCGACAAGGAGTTTTTCATTGACGCGTTTGTTTGGAGGTCGTCTATGTCAAGTACGATCCTTTACCTTTGGTCCCAGATTTGCTACGAGGTGAAGGTGAAAGCAACAGCAAAGTAGGGCTATCGAGGCCGTTTGCACTTGCTTAGCCTGGAGGTGCTTGCTACATTCGATCACCTCGTACCTTCCTCTCCCCTTACCTCCACTTTCCACAATTCACTGAAGGACTCCACGCCTCCTTGTCCCTCTCAAATTCCGCAACACTCGCGATGGAGCTACTCGACTTGCCGCCTGAGCTGTTTCAGCGCATTGTCCATTTATTGGTCGAAGATGTCGGTCCTGTCAAGGCGTTCGCCACTTCTTTCGCGTGCAGTAGGTGAGCTACTGCGGGAGCGGTTACTATATACTGACTGCCTCCAGAAACCTTCTCATCCGCCATCATCCAAAACATCTCCAAATTTCAACCGCTCGGGAATCTCTTCTGCGACCGGGGAGCAGGCACCATCCGCCTCTTCCAGGCTCGTGGTGCCGACATGATGTTCAGTCGGCTTCCGAAAATCACAATCGGGCTCACCGTAACCGCAGAAGCCATTGCAGACAGGCTGCTTGAGTTCAAGCAACATGTCGATCAATCTATGCATAGAACACATATCAAAATATCTACGAAGCAATGACATCGGTCTACTCCGTCAAACTCACAACTAGAATCTTGGCTGGTGAGGAGGCCTTCGACGTATTATCAGGCGATCAGCTCGATGAGATATTGCCCGCCGCAGCCGCCGCAATCGGCGATCTCGACACCTTCCGCAGCCTGGTTCAAGGGGAAGAGGATATCTTCGACTTCAAACACACCTTGGCCAGATGGATGTTACCTACCGCGGTTGAGTCAGCAGCGGCGACTGGCAAGACTGAAGTGCTCCAGTGGATCCTCGATTTCATCCGAGCTTTTAGGATGGGGACTCTGGACCTCTATCACCTGTTCCCCAGCGACAGTGACCGCATTCCAGAGTCATGGGTCTACGCCGACTTTTGTTTGTGCCTACTTGATGCTGTCCAAGTTGCAATACGGAGGTGCCAGTATGAGACGGGCAGCATGATCTTGGACTTCCTGTACTCAGAGCCGCCCGACGATATCGAGCTCTACGATCCGCTCAACGATGAGTTTAACCACCGCTTCAATGATAGCATGACTGATGTCGTGGGTGACTGCATGCGGTATGGAGATCTCGATCTATTTCAGAAAATAATGTGTTGCAGAAGGACTGCAGACCCGTCCTCTACGGCTACCCTGGAGGTAGTTAGTGGTCTGGCCATGAGCGACGATGAACGAAACCGTATGTTCTCATGCGGGTCCACCTCCATGTTCAAGAAGATGTTAGAAGCTTGTATGTTTCACGTAAACAGACTAGGAGACTACTCACCACTCGATATCGCTCTACGCAATTGTTGTTATGACCTGGTACGCCTTCTGCTAGCCCATGGAGCTAAAGTCAACGCGTGCGATGCGTCTGGCGTCTCTGTCTTGCAGCTCGCAGTTGACAGAGGCGGGATCCCTAACGTGCAGCTACTTATTGAACACGGCGCTGACCCTGCTTCTGTCACGAGGGACGAGGGCAAACCTCTGATGAAGACGTTCAAGCTCTGTCAGAAGGCTGCTGCTGAAGTCACCCGGCTGGAGGGCTCCGATCCGAGCGTGAAGATGGGCATCCAAGCATGTCGCAGGATCTGGGATCAGTGGAAAGATGACGATCTACTCAAGAGAAAATGGGGTCGGTATAGAGAGATTGTTGCCGAAATGGGCTGTGAAATGCTTTGGGACATGCGTTGTTTGTTCTTGAACTCATTCAGGAGGCTTTCGGCTGACGGCAGTACAGTTCAGCGGGACGAACATTCATTGAGGCACAACATGGTCCACTTCGATAGTGGCTATTTGATCTGTTCTTACTTCCGCCATCAACGTATACCAGTTCCTCTTGAGATCATTGAGCCCAGATGATTCATTGTGAGGTGAAGGTGCGATCACGCACCAAAGTGGAGCTATCAGGACCGTTTTCACCTGCTTCAGTCACCTTAGAAAATCCCTGTTCATTCCCTTCGCTCTTTCAATCTCGTTCACTCACAGCAGGCACGCCTGCACGAGAAACAATCGTACTTTCCTCCACGAGAATGCAGATGATCCCTTGCCAAAGCCAGAGATAGGGGGTTAGCAACTTGTGAAAGTCACCGATATGCTGAAACAATATCCAAGAGTTCAACTTCGCATGTGGTGAATCGCACCGTCTACACGAACCCCTTGCTCCCTGTCTTATTGCCAACAAGCTGCCCGAGCCGACTTCCAATGACAGGAAGGTGGATTGACAGCTGTCCAAGATCTGCAAAAAAAAACCTCGAAGAACCATGAACTCCTGGAACCAGAGCCACGTAGTCAACAGTTCCTGTCCACTGGAATCATGAGATGCTTTGGAAGACTTTGACTGGAGTTGAAACATGGCGGGACGACAATGAGTCTCCTTTCGAGGAACCTTCCCCCTTGCGCTTCCCAAAGACCCTAGATAGAGCTGTAGTCCTGATCGCCAACAAAAATACATCGATGGAGTCTACCAGCTGCGACACTTGAGCATCCGGGCTCTCAACTAAGCCGACAGCACTAGTAACTTGATTGTCGAATTGTTTGGTCTTGGCCCTCGATGTTTGCATCCTCCAAAATGCGTCAGGGGTATCGACCTGTCCCACATAATTCCGATGTTTCTACAGCACAGATCAAGTTGAAGATCACAGACTTTTCCGTCCAAACCAACGACATCGAATACAATCATTCTCAGAACTGGAGCAATAGGTTCACGGTTCAAGACGGCTCTTCTTTGCGTTCCGCTATCGCTCCCCTGCAAGTGAAGTATGCCTCGGAGTTCAAGGTCAGGGTTGTGGTCAAGATCGCAGAAGAGGTATATGTCCTTCCAAGGCTCCAAGCTCCTGCCATGAACACCCACACTTACTGAGTTCAGTAGACTGCCCAGGATAAAACTGCTCTGGTCACAGAGGGCCTTGGTGGCAGGGAGAGACGAGCGATCGCAGCTGTGTCCAGCTCAAGGAAGAAGGGCAAGGTTGCAGTCGTATCTCTGAGATAATTTGAATGAAGGAGGTGTATGATTGATTTTGAAGTGTTGCTTATCCTTCAAGCACGAACTACATCCAAGGAACCTGCAGACAGTCAACAGGTGAATAATATTTCAGAATGTGGCAGCAGTATATGTGTGTAGGCGACAAAGCCTAGTACTCACCATTGTGCTCCTTCTACTCAGCCGCAGGGCAACAGACCACTGCGCAGTCCTTCCAACCTTACACATGTTCCGCCTCACTGTCAGTCTTCCTGCAGCTCTTGTCATGGACCTTGACAGCCTGTTCATGTCTTGCAACAGGTCGTCTGCAAGGTCCACAACTGAGCATGTGGTCAAACCTCTCAACCTGCCGATCTAGCTGTTCCGCAGTTGCGCAGACAAAATCCATGATCCGTTCTGAGCCTGGGCCAAGGTTTGCGATCAGAGATTTTGCAGAGTCAAAGCCCAGCCATGTGTCCCTTAGCGCCTGCACCATTGCAAGCCGTCTTCCTGTTGGTTCCGTGAGAAATTGTCACTGTTCTTGAAGATCCCCTGTGCTCAAGGTCCTGAAGTAGCTCGATAAGCGCATCTCAACTGTATCAAATGCGCCACCTCTATGCGGCCTTGCACCTTCTCTCGCTGTGGGGTCTAGCTGAGGAGCAACTTATGGGCTGCTGCAAGGAAGGTGCGGATGGCAATGGAGAAGCTGGAGGTGGCGGCGTGGACATTAACGATCAGTGTGAGAGCGCTGGTCGTGGCATTGAGGAAGTATTGGACTTCGACAGAAAAGTTCAAAATTGCGACAAGAGAGTTGGTAATCAGTACGGAGGAGCTGGCGGTTACTTTGAAGATGGCAATGAACGCGGCCAGGAAGTTAAGAGTTGTTGCGATGCGTTCAACCTCTCATCGTTTCTGCAGATGCATTGGACTAGATGCATTTGATGGTGATGTCTGAGAGTCCTGTAAAATCGAAAGGTCCTCGCAGGTCCCCAACAATGCCACGCTCTCCGATGTCTTGATACTCATCGTTGGCTCCGGATCATACAGTGTGTGTGCGGTCATCGAGGTGATGGAGCTGAGTGAAACTGCCCCTCCCGTCCATCGAAATTGATGCCCCTCCTTCCACGCCCCTCCAGCGCCCCTCACGTTGCCCTTTGCCCCTCCCGTTGCCCTTTGCCCCTCCTGTAGTCCCGTTTTCCACAAATATTGAGATACCTTCCGTATTTAGCAAGTTCATCGCGGGGTTCTGAAAAGTGTTGCACGCATGTCCAGGCCTGGAGTGCTCGCGGAGGGCTTGCTCGTAATTCTGGTCGTCATGATGTATGTCAAACTAAACATGATTTTTTCTGCTCCTTCCGTCAAGCGCCCTAATCATATCTGATCTCAAACGGTTTGATTGTACGTTTTGTTGTTGGTGTTGGTTTTGTGAAGTTTGTGAACCGGTCGCGAAGATTGAACAACCCACAAAAACTTGCAGCAAAAACCAAACTGTCAAAGCGAACAAGTCAAATCGATCAGGAAATCAGACTTGAGGACCATTCGAAAAATACCCGGAGTGGTGGCTATCCGGGCACTCAAGAGGACGAAAAAGAATTTGCTCCCTGCCAGATTCGAACTGGCGGCCTTCGGATTTCTGTTCTTGGAACAGTCATACTCAATGAGATATGAGACCGACGTGATAACCGACTACACCAAGGAAGCTAATTGGGTTATTTTGATGAAGAAGAGAGTTTTTATGTGCAATATATAGTCATATAATATTCCCTGAGTGCCCCCGACTCAACACAATTGACGTGGGAATCTTCGGTTAACTCTACTTTGGTAGGCAGTGGGGCGGAACCTAAGGCCATTTGCCTCTGAGCGAAGGTTCTCTGTTTCTATCTTGAACTGCATAGTTTCGTGTCTGAAGTTCATCTCAGCTTCGAACCTCGGCCGCTTCTTCACAATCTCTGAGTATGAACGGTCTACAATATCTATACATTGAACATCCAAAGTCGTCGATCACCGAACCCATACCCAGAACGCCGGACATCATGCAATAAATCGCCATACATTACACTTCATTAATTCCCACCCACATTCAGCCGGAGGTCTTGATACTTCGTACAACATGCTTCACGGCCCGAGTATCGCACCCGGCTCCGGACTTCTCGGTATCCCACCCATTGGCACGCTTGTCGTGGGCAAGACACCATAGCGGCCGTAGGTCTTTTGATCTACGCTCACGTAGTGGGGTAATCTCCCAAGCAAGTTTGCTTTCGTCTCGATCCATCTGAGAATCTTTTCATGGGGTACGAGGAACTTGATGTAGCCTGAGGCCCAAAGGTAGCCGATGCCGGCGCCGCAAAGGTGTCCAATGAAGCTGACGTTCGGTACGAGGATGCTGGTGACGAGGACGAGGATCAGGGGCGTTGTCCAGGTGGGGACTTTGTAGGGCCCGACGCTGCAGTATGTCAGTAGGAAACTTGGTGACGTTGTGGTTGTGCGTACCTGAAGTTGGGGTTTGTCTTGTGTTGCTTCATGACTTCTGCCGAGAGAAGCAGGAAGACCCATACGCTGTTCTTCGTTAGTCTCCGTCTAAACCTCCCCTGACATATCCCATGCATACCTGGCGCCCATGACAACGGTATTCGCCCTGAAGACGAACTTCTCCAACAAAGTGTATATGCCTCCAGGAAGAGTGCCAAAGGGTCCAGTGAAGAGCGCGAGTGTGACCAATGTTCCAAACTCAGCTTCGAAGCGTTCGAGAAGAGGCGCAATTGCGACCAAGTTGAAAATCATGTGGAAGAAGTTGAGATGCATCAACGGAAACAAGTTAAGACGGTGCACTGCGCAGTAATGATTAGCCTCTGTATGCGTACTACACGGTCCTGCCTTCATATGTCCTCCTCTTGCTGCTCGGATTGTATTGCACCACATGCAACAAGCCTCAGGCGTGCACTCTCATGCTCTCATGCTCAAATGGCGATATGTCCAGCACACCATAGGTACTGTGCATGCAAGGTCATATATTCGACTGGTTGGCCGGCAACATCGCCATGCTGCGACCGAAGACCAAAGGGAATCCACATACTCTGGGTCAGATCCATCTTAGCCGGCTCGAGCTGCGCGAACTCTCTGAGCCATGGCAGCGGTATCGTCGCAATCCAGAGCCCAACAATGGCAAGCAACAGTAATCGAGTCGCCAGCGGGAGGCGGAGAATGTAGGAGCGTAAGCGGGTCGGGTTGAACTGCGTATACGAGGCCATGGCGGCGCGCGACTGTGAAGTGTGAGACAGGTGTTAGCTTGTCTGCAGGCGCGTTGAGAAAGATGAGCGATCGTCAAGGGTCGTGTCGCTAGCGCCGCTCCTTCCGCCCGCAACCAAGAGCTCCAAGTACAGAGGACCCGATAACGTCACTCCTTTGTGCTTCGCGGAGCAATTGGGCGACGGGCAACATGGCACTGATATGTGAGTTCACAATATAGGGTACTTGGAGTTATTGCTAACTCGTACAGCCTCGATATTGGCGCTCCGGCGAGATGCCCGCATTCTCAAGATCCCACCTTACCTCTCCGCGCTGTGCATTGTCATTGGCATAGCATGGCTGCTGGTCCTGCCTCTAAATGAGTACTCGCGCAACACATACGTCTCCGAGAACGCACTGCTGCCAGGACAAGTACACACCTACTTCACAGGCAGCGAGCATAATGTCTTTCGCGCGTATCGGCAAGAGGTCCATGCCATGATTGACAGGCCGGTAGAGGAGTATGTCGAGCAACTTCTTCTCTAGGATATAATAAATACTAACGCCTGTCAGACGCTCCCAGAGACTAGGAGACATCTTCCGCTCGAACAACCTCAAGGTCGCAACCCAGAAGTACTCGTACCATGTCTCGAACCGCACGATTGCAAACGAGAACGTCTATGCAATCCTCCAGGGACCTCGTGCCGACGCTACGGAAGCTATTGTATTGATTGGAGCTTGGAAGAACATGGACGACGAGGTGAACAACTCTGGAGTAGCTCTTGTCTTGACTCTGGCTCGGTACTTCAAGCGTTGGAGTTTATGGAGCAAGGACATCATCTTCCTAGTGTCTGGTGACAGCACCACTGGACCTCAAGCCTGGGTCGACGCATACCACGATGGGCACGACGAGCGCTATGTCGAGAGCCTGAAGATCAAGAGCGGAGCATTGCAAGCAGCGGTTGCCGTTGACTATCCTGCTGGTCCCTGGGGCCACCGATACGACAAGCTGCACGTCCTGTACGATGGTGTGAATGGCCAGCTGCCTAACCTTGATCTCTTCAACACCGCGGTACAGATCGCATCGAGCCAGATGGGCATCGGCTGCGCCATTCAGCGCATGTTCGACCACAGAGACTCATACAAGGAGCGATTGCAGACGATGCTCCGTGGTATGGTCTCCCAGGGCCTAGGTCACGCAACCGGACCTCACTCATCCTTCATTCCATACCACGTCGACGCCATCACCCTCAGCACAGTTGGCGACGGCTGGCATGACGAAATGTCGCTCGGCAAAACCATCGAATCGCTGTTCCGCAGTTTGAACAACCTGCTCGAGCACCTGCACCAAAGTTTCTTTTTCTACCTCCTCATCCAAGCGAACCGTTTCATCAGCATCGGCACCTACCTCCCCTCAGCAATGCTAATCGCCGTCAACTTCAGCATCACCTCCATCGCGCTCTGGGTCGCCAGCGGCCGCTCAACCGAACCCATTCCCAACCCGGCGTCCACCGCGCCTCCCAAGGACGACAGTGCTGCCAAAAAAGACATCGCTGCGCTATCCACCGAGTCCAGACAGCCTGAGATGGAACTCGTAGAACAAGACGATCACAAAGCCCTCGTCCCCAAAGCCTCCACCGCCATCACCGAACGCCACCTCCTCTTCCCCCTTCTCTCGGTTCTAACAATACACTTCCTCGGCTTGATACCGTTGTACATGTTCAACACCTGGGGCGCCGAAAATCTCTCGCGTCTGTACCTTACCTTTGCAAATGGAACGACGCTGCTGCCTCTCGTCATCGCCTGGTTTCTTTCAGAACTGCGTCCGCTCTCCACGCAGGAGGTTACGTTGATCCAGTGTTTTTCATTGCTATTGCTGGGTATGATCCTCGCCGCCCTCGCAACACTGAACTTCTCGCAATCGTTCTTGATCGGCGTGCTTGCCACACCGCTGAGCTTCGTGCGCAAGACCAACAAGACATGGCTGACAGCGATCCAACTGGGGTTTCTGGCCGTGCTCAATCCGGTTATGGTAGCGCAATGGAGTGCCAAGTTGCTGGGCGCGGATTTGCAGGAGGTGCTTGTGCTGGCTGCGCAGGGGTGGCATGTTTGGGGGCTGTGGACGCAGGTCACAGTTTGGCTGATTTGGTTTCCGGCGTGGGTGTTGGGAAGTGTTGTTGTTGCCGGGGGCGTGATGGAAGGTGGACTGGTAGGCTAGCGCCTCGATAGAGCAGTACACGTGTATGAGAAATGACAGTACTTTTGGAACCTTTGAGGGTTCATGTCGTGAGCTTTTCATTCGTTGGCCATCCATTTGACCATGCATGCATTATCTACGATCATGGCGCGCGAAGGTACCTTTCTTACAGCGTTTGCACGCCGCCCTTTCTGTTGGGCGGAGACAGCCTTGCCATGACTGACCAGTGAGGACTCTACTGCTGCAGGATCTAGTCTTCGCTCAAGCAGCCCAGACGTCCTTGCCAACACCCTCGATCCAGTTACCCAGCTGGTTGACGCTGGCGTCCCATTCCTTCAGCCGCCCCCTCATGCTCTCGATCTGCTTCATGTCCAAGACCTTGGGCTGCACCCAGTTGATGCGCGCAATCTCAGCGACCTGGTCAATCTGTCCCTTCACCAAGCCCAAGCTCAACGCCTTCATGATTAGATGCTCAATCTCCTTTGGCTGCACCTTGGTCTCCTGCGAGATCTCGGAGAAGGTCATAGCGCGGTCGTGCGGTGGTCGGCGGAAGATAGTCTCGGTAAGAGCGGCAAGAGAGATCTTCTGGTAAAGGAAAGTCTGGTGGTCCTTCAGCAGAGGCACCTTCGAGATGTTGCCCGAAAGGACGTCGTATGCGCTGAGGTCGCCGCGGTTGAAAGCGAAGAGGAGATCGCGCAACCACGAGTGCGGTGTGTTGACGAGCGAATCGAGGATAGGGTGGAGGAGAAGCTCGCCGAAGTTGTAGATGGAATCTGAAACGAGAGCGGCGATGCTGAGGTCGTAGGCGCGTGACTGGCGGTCGCGAAGCTCGAGGTCGGTGATGTCGACGCAGGCAAGGAACAGTAGGGCGTTCTTATAGTACGCGGCAAACTCGTGCTTCGACTGTGGTGCGTTAGTATGAGGTCAATAGGCCTTGTTTGGTAAACGCACCTTGTAGTACTCTGCGCTGACTTTGTAGAAGTTTGCGTGTACGACTGTCTCTACTGAGTCAAAGTTGTCCAAAATCTGCTCGCACTCGTCCAGCTTCTTCTTAGCGCCCTCCTCGTCTCGTAACCTCAGCTGGATGCTGGCGGCGGCGACTGTGGCGTAGACATAGGCGTCTTGTGAGGCGGGCTTGTTGACACTCTCGGCGAGGTCATTGACGAACTTGAGGCGCTCTTTGTCATCTAGAGCAGTCAACAACCTATCGTTACATACATCTGTCATGACCCACCCTTGAACTGTGATGCAGCACTCAGGCCCAGTGTGACCAGCTTCAGCTGGTTGATCTTGTTTGCAAAGCTCTTGATGAACGTCTCGAAGAAGGGTATCCGCTGCTTGGCACTCTCCGGATGCTCGAAGAACTCGATGAGCTTGTCGGTCAACTCGTGCCACAGCTTCCTCTCCCAGTAGTCCTCGAAGGCGATGAAGTACTCTTGCAGCTCCTCTGGCGCTTGGTCCCGCGCATCGCCGAGCAAATTCGGTATTGTGTCTGTGTCCAGTGCCATGTTGAGTGTGTGTGTAGCAGGGAGGTGGCGGTATATTTGTTGTGGAGAGCGGGGTGGTAGTGTGGTCGTGAGGTCGTGAACTGGAGGCGTGTTGATGTGGGATGTGCTTGCTATGGCGTCGCGGAAGCTACTATCGGCGGAAGTGCAGGCGCCAAGCCCCGACTTCATCATTCAAGCTGCACTCCACAAGCTTCAGAACCACCCTCCCGCCAGCCATTGAACGCCGCAACCATGGCCCTGCCTCTTCGCTGTGCTCGCTCTCGCGCAGCGATGCCGGCCCAGCTGCGCTCCATCCGCGTCTCCCCGTTTTCAACCTCCACAAGCCGCCCAGCAGGCCGAATCAACCACGATGTCAGGATCACCAGGTACGACTGCTGTTCCGCGCACAATGGCCAGAATGCTGACGTTCGTGCAGGACCGGAAAGCCCATTTTGACTGTGTCCGCTGGTCGATCATCGCTCGGAGGTGCGCAGTAGCCCGCAATCACACACGAACCAGCACGCTCACACACACATACAGGCTACACAGCGACCGTATTCGGAGCGACGGGTTTCCTGGGACGATACATTGTCAACAGACTCGGTGCGTCAACTTTTAGCAGAGAAAGCAGGATGTGGCGCTAATCGGAGGAACAGCTCGTTCAGGATGTACAGTCATTGTGCCCTTCCGCGAGGAGATGGCAAAGCGCCACCTCAAGGTTGCTGGTGACCTTGGCCGCGTCGTCTTCATGGAAATGGATCTGCGCAACACGGCGTCGATTGAGGAGAGCGTGCGACACTCTGACATTGTCTACAACCTCATTGGTCGCGACTACCCCACCAAGAACTTCGATTTGGCGGACGTCCATGTCGAAGGAACTGAGCGCATTGCGGAGGCCGTCGCAAAGTACGACATTGACCGCTATGTCCACGTTTCCTCGCACAGCGCCCTCCTCGACTCGCCCTCGGAGTTCTACCGCACCAAGGCCCAGGGTGAGCAGGTAGCCCGTTCCATCTACCCGGAGACCACCATTGTTCGCCCGGCGCCCATGTTTGGTTTCGAGGACCGTCTTCTCCACCGCCTTGCTTCGCCTTCCAACGTCATCACTTCCAACTGGATGCAGGAGCGCTTTAACCCCGTCCACGCCATCGATGTTGGTATGGCGCTCGAGGCTATGCTCCACGACGACACAACAGCCGCCGAGACATTCGAGCTTTACGGTCCCACAGAGTACACCATGGCCGAGCTGAACGACCTCGTCGAGCGGGAAGCCATGAAGAAGCGCCGCCACATTAACGTACCCAAGGCCATCATGAAGCCTGTCGCACGCTACGCCAACAAGCTCCTCTGGTGGCCCATCCACTCTGAGGATGAGGTTGAGCGCGAATTCATCGATCAGTACATCGATCCCCAGGCCAAGACATTCAAGGATCTCGACATTGAGCCTGTGGAGCTGAGCAGCTTGACATACGAGTATCTCAAGGGCTACAGGAGTTCGTCGTACTACGATCTGCCGCCCATGTCGGAGCGTGAGAAGCGTGAGGAGAAGAAGTACCTCCACGTCATCGACGACCAGTAGAGCGTTGAGGAAGAAGGAAATGAAAATCTTGCGACATGTGTAAATACCTTGGCTTTTCCTTTACCGGACTACACGGATCTGTAGAATCAATACCGTTTTCTTTTGTGTGAACACAGCTACCGCTTAGCAGGTCCTTTACCGACATGACATGCAGTTGACACATGCAGCAGGGACTAGCGTGCTTGCCAGATGACCCCTTCCTGCCCAAACCCGCTGGGCGAGCGATCACGACACCATTGACGCACGCAAACAAACAGCTAGTCATTCCTACCCAATTGTGCATATCTCAATCGGCCTCCTTCACGCATCTCTTCCATCAAGTTCTCCTTGTAGCATTGGCCGGCATCACCCTATTCCAGCTCGATACTCTTCTCATAATACTTCTCCGGATCCTCCCAGGGTTTCTTCTCCCTTGTCGCCACCTCTTGACCAGGAATGGGGCACACCCGCAGCAAAGCGGCACATATATCGGCGGCGAACATTGTTCTGTAATTAATCCAGTCGTTATGTTCAAAAAGGCAGTCCATGTCTTCTACACCATCCCACCGCTCGTTCGCTTTCCACATCCATACATTAACCACAACCTGCCTCAAAGCCTCATAATCATTATTCTTGTATACAGCATCGGTCAGGCAGTATCCTGAAAATCCGGTAGTGGTCAAGCTATGGTCAGATCAGCAGAAGCGGGTAAATCAGTCTTTGAACATAGGGCTTACTCTGGTTCGAACGGGTAGACAAGTCTGCTCTGCTGCAAATACAATCGCAATGTTCATAGAATATGGCTGGACATGATGAGTCAGAAAGAATTACGTTCTCGCAAAAGTTCGAACATCTTGGTCCGTGACCAACGACTCGTTATAGGCTCTTCATCACCGGGAAGCAATTGCAGAATACAACTGACCAGGTCACCTGATCAGTCACTTGCCATGTAGCTCGATTGAGAGGAGATGGACTCGACAGCAAACATCATCAAATATTGTGGACCAATGTACACAATCAGGTATGTTGGTGTGGATATGACAGTTCGGCCTGAGAGCATCAATCATGCTGATGTTAGTCTCATTTGAAGGAACGCTGTTTGAGATTTCTCTCATCTGTCACCTCATTCCCGAACGCTTCAATCTCAGCTGTAGTCATGAGCTTGAAGTAATTCTCCTTCTGTTCCCATGGCGCATTCAGGGGCTCGCCTGTTTACAGATCAACCACCTCGTTCTCGCTCCGATCCCAAGGTCTCTTCCGCAATGCTACCAACAAACAAACAAGATCTTTCGAAAGGTCTCATGGTATCCTCCTTTCATATCCTCAACGCTTTGCCAGCTATTGTCCACCTTCCAAACAAAAGCATCAAGCATAAGCTCCCGAGCTGAACACCACCGCTCGGTACCTTTATAGCTAGTGTATACGAACGCACCATTTGGACAGTCGGCAATCTTTTCAGTGCAATCTAGCACCATTCCGGTAAGGGCTGCCTGGAAGCCCCGGTCACCTACTGTGCACCCAACACAATACGCTTCGGCAGGCCAGTCGACGTCAACTTTGCCGTCCTGGTCTGGCTTCATTTGTAACAGATTTGGTGCTTGGCCAGAGTATAGCTAATTGATCCGGGTCCGAAAGCCTCGAGGCTCGATGTCAGCAAAAGTGGAACACTATAGTTCGAAAAGTCTTGTGGATCCTAAGATATCCGGCCGTACCTTTCACATACTTCGACGAAGACATCAACGCTATGAAGAACGCTGCGATGGACCGCGAAGACTTCAAAATGATTGTCACCTGCATGACAGCCCACTTTCACATGGAATAGATTGCCAATTAAGCTGTATGTGTGTTAGTAGGCATTGGCGCGAGAAGATCTTCGTGACTTACCCTGGGGCAGGAAGCAACAAATCTAGGTTCAGTGGCGGTTGCACTGCCACCATCTGGGAGGCTTGCTTTGTGAGTCCAAAGAGCACATTGCGCTGTGGAAGCTGACTTCATATACAGCTAGCTCGAGTGAACCATCGCACTGATCCGGTCAGCTGAGTGAAAGCTACAAACTCCATGAGCCACAGGAATCGAACTTCAAATGCACCAGGTCTTTTCGAACTGAAAACTTGAGAGAGATGCATCTCGACTTATGACATGATGTCATGCTGGTGAGGTGGAAGTGAACTTTCGGCAGGGGCGTCCGCTTGCCAAATCACGCACAATTCAACACTCCAGCTGTAAATTTTTGCGCGCCTTTGCCACAAATTCCAAGCTTATTATCGCGCTTGGAAATCACTCCCAACATCGACTTCCAAAGGATATCCAAACACAAATCTACCGAGGTGTTTTCGAAGCGCACGCTGGTACCATCCCCCCCAAGAAGATCCGATACACCAATGCTCCGCAGGACACAGTTTCAAAATACATCAAGCTTGTTGTCAAAGGCTTGGTTGCGCGAACACAGATACCCAGAAAGGAAAGCATCGAGTCGGTTCGCACACGATACACAGACGGCGTCTGCAATGCTATGGCTACTCACGAAGCTGGAATGTTCCTCAGTATCATCAAGAGCGACACCAAAAAGCGCAAATCGTTCCAAAAAGAGGTGCTTCCTGCTGTAGCTGCTACCACTGGAGACGTCCAATTGTTCCTCAGCAGCATCAGTGATGACTTCAGCGATTTCAAAGCCAACATGTCACACTTTTCAAACGCTATCATGGCAGCTGTGGTCTCGGATGAGATTAAGATGCTCAATGCCGTCCTGAGTCGTATCGAAGTTGCATTTCGAAAAGTGATGTGCCACCATGTCACTGTTGGCAAAGGCATCCGGCAGGCACTCGCTCATACACTTCGGACCTATAGAACCAACAGAACAAGCATGATTCTTTATGGAGTTCTGACGCATCCGACTTTTGTGTCCGTCGACTTCACGCTGGGAGACCTCTTCAAACTCTGCGTGACAAACAACGCAAAGTTCATCGTTCCTATCATTCAAAACACTCGAAGACAACAGTGGCTGGGTGGCTGTACTGACACCGAGCAACGTAGCAGCCTTCGGCAGAAAGAGGTCAAGTTCTTGTTCGAACACGGGAGCAAATGGTTTGTCTGTCGGCTCATCGAGCAGGGCACGGTCGGCATCGACTCCATTGGAGGAACGAGACCTCTCGCTATCGCTCTAAAGCTAGGACGTTAGGACCTTGTGAACGTCCTCCTCACTCAAGGTGCATCCATCGAAGGACGGATCTCGTTCGCATGATGGTAAAGCAGTCACTGTATTACAGCACGCAGTATCCTCCGAAGACGTTAAAGCTCCTTCACTTCCTGCTCGTACATGACGCAAATCTTGACAGCATGTTCGTCCATGATCTTCCGGACAACGCGACGGAGTCAGAGGCTCGACAAATGATCATCTACCTTCTTCAGGGTGTCAGTTGACATGGTAATGATTTCATGTCGAGGCGCAAGGTTGTGAATGTGCAAGCAGTGGATGTTTTGTAAAAATGCCGATTGAAAGATGAAGGGATATATTTGCTTGAAAGCAGCTAGGAGCGTAGAACGACGAGTGGTTCAGACCGGAGTGTGACCGTGCATTGACCGATTGATACAAAGTCGAGCATGGCACGAAACTGAGTAAGGACTGATAATTGCCTCGTAGCAATGGGCATGCAACGTTGGTTAACTGCTCTGTGGGAGCGAGCTTTCTCAAACAGTACATATGAATGTAAATTTGGGCCCTATAATCGAGTCGAATTCGTAGTCGTCGACAATGTCCGCCTCTTTCGAATCTACCGTCTCCAGCCCAGCTCCACCCGCACCCCAGCTCCGAACATTCAGGGAGCTGCTATCGAAACTGCCCAAGGAGGTGATGATTGAGATACTGGTATATGCCCTACTTCTTCCCGGGGCTATTACGAAAGCAGATTACTAGGGACGAGAATGTGAGTGGCCATCGTGCCAGTGTCGAGATGGCAACTGGAAGCACATGCCGGTGGAGAAACTTACAAAAAACACTTTGATCCCATTCCTAGCAGCACCGAAACCGATCCTAAGACTCGCGCAGATGGTCTTCTATAAGACAAACACGCTCCACCTATCTGGTCCGCAGAATGATGAAGTTTGGTCAGATCGCAATTTTTGGCTTCTCCTCCAGGTATTCGTCGTTGGATCCGGCACTCGGAAGTCGAGGTCCAGATTGGGAACCTACGATCGAGATCGTTCTTCCACTTCCTGGGGCCACCTTACGTTCTCACTCCGATGCTAGACTGGGATTTTCTGCGACGAGTGCAGCATGGAGTCCACGGGTCTACGGCATTGAAAACCTTGACGTTAATGTTCGAAGACATATTCATTACGAAAGATGCAGCACTCCGACTACTCGACGTAGATCTGGGCATGCTCGAACCTATCCGCTTTCAGAGACAAGAACTTATTGTGGAAGCATGCTGCCTATCCAATGTGGCTGAAGGATGATGTAATGTCCGGCGACATAATCCATGATGAACGCCTGGAAAGGGTTCTGGCGAAGCATATGTCTGCGACCGGCAAGTTCATTGAAATATAAGGGCTTCCTCCGTGGAATAACGCTCTGACTACGGCCATGCGACGGTCGCAGGCAAGGGCGCCAACAATTGAGAAAGTTGCGTCAGTGTCTACTCCATAGTAAATTTGTCCTAACGAGAAGGAAGATGACGATACAAGGGATCAATTTCGGCTGTTCTCAGATAGCAATGTAGCCACCAGTTCCCAATAAGACGTTGTAGGGAGTTGTGTGATATCGTGTTTGTATGAGACCAGGCGCTGGTCTCGCAACGAAAGGCGGTACCGAACCTGTATAGGTCGCCAATGACAGCGCCAATGGCCCCATGCCAGGGTCGATTGATGGGCTTAGCACACATCTTCAGGGCTCCTTTCCCATATTCGTAGATGAAATAATTCTTCCTTTCATCTCCATTCTACTCACCTCTCTGTTTCCACGTACAAAGCCCAGAGTGTGTGTCTGCGCATACCTCACGCACAACGCTCGAGTGCTCACCATGTCGAAACAAGCCCCTGATGCCACAACCCCCACGCCTGTGAGCCGACAACGAACACTCGGTGAAATGATCTTGGCACTACCAGAGGAGCTGATTGCGGAAGTTCTGGCAAACGCACTCTTGCTTCCCGAAGCTGTGAAAAAGGCACAGTTACAAACGCGATATTGCCCGAAGATCCGCATGCTCAAGGAGGTCTTTCTTGACGTCGAAGAGCTGATAGAGCATACTCTGTTCACCTTCCTAGAGGCACCGGGCCGTGTTGCACGTATCGTGATAGAGACTTTTCAACACCGTCAGTGTAGCCGCCATACCACTTCCGCATCCGACCTCGTCCGAGCTAATCTCATTCTGGTTGCCTCATCAACGTGCGTTGCTGGATTCGACGTCTTGAGGTCACCATCCGTATTGCGGCGCCTCGCACATACTTGTACTTCCGTCTTGCAGACTGCAGATGCCCTTCAAGATCACACTTTTCTTGTAAACACTCGGATTGGCCATTCCTTAAGAGGTTAGAGAGTGCAATCTACGGATTCACGGCGCTGCGGACTCTGGAACTGATGTTGGTAAGCCGGTTCATGACGCATGGTGCTACCAGGTTATTCGACAAGGCCCTGGACACGCTCGGACCATTCACGTTCCAAGCTTCGGCGCTCAGTGTAGGCGTTTGATTTTCCCCTAGGACGGAATATGCATATTCATTTCACGGGATCGCAGCGCCTGATGAAGCACTGAGTGGTACTCCTGAAGCGTATGTTTGCAACTGGTCAATGGCAGACTTCTCAGCTTGAGGCGAAGAGTTTGCCCACGAGTTGAATCTCTTGATCGCGTCCATGGCTCGACGCCCTTGCCCCTGCCGGCGTCCTTCCTAACGAGATAGCGTTGAATAAAGGAGTTCGTCTATCGTCATGTGAGCTTCGGGTGGAGAAGGTGGCAGTCAGCGGATAGACAGCAAAATTGGGAGACATTTTAGAATACCGCGTGTTGAGCGTGAAGTGATGATGAGGTCGCGTGTGATGTGTGAGTGAAGACAAGGCGGGAAGGCGCGTCGAAGAGGCCAAACACGACCTTTCCTAATTTAGTACAGTGACCTACACCGGCCGTAATTCGGCTTGCCGCTCGGAGTGTTGATGCGAACAACTAAACACCACCGATCGGTTTGCGCCTCGCACGATAACTCCCAGAACCTGCATTGCCGGGGACAATGATTTTGGTGGCTGGCCCACGAACACAGTATGGCATTTGAGGTGTCGTACAACCTCGAGAATGAGCAACAGTTCTGGGATGGTGAGAGTGTTCTGTGCCGCCGTAACCCCACTACCAGAGACTGACCTGCCATGCAGAGCTCGACGACATTGTGTCGACACGATGTCGGGACGAAGAGACCATCGACAACTCTCTGCGCGCATTTCTCAACGTCACCACAAGCTACAGATGTAATTGTACTCCTCGAACAATGTCGAACATCGTTGACGCAGGACAGCCGAGTACCTCGAAACCGACTACAGCGTTGCAAAATGCATCTTTCGCATGTTGGAGGGCGAGCTCTTCATGACACATAAGGAGTATGTGCGCCGGCAGATGATATATTGTCTTCTCCAGGTATGTAGCATCAAGCGTCTAGGTGCAGCTCATTTGTACACAATGAGCTGATAGCTTTGCAGGAAGAAGATAACCCCACCATTCACATCGTTGCAGCTCTTCTCCTATACGATGGCCGTAACAGTGGAGATGATATCATCTTCGAGATGATGCACACAGAAGGCAGTTTCCCAAGATTGGTGGGATTAGTACAATTGGAGGGCGTGCAAGAAGATACAAGATTACATCAAATGCTCTTGGAACTTCTGTACGAGTCTTCTCGAGTGCAGAGGCTTGACTGGGAAGACTTCGGTATGTCTCCGATGGTCCATCTCAGAGAACGAAGCATTTGAGCAAGAGTTAACACATTGATCAGCGGCGGTAGACGACAACTTTATACTATATCTTCTAGGGATCATCGAAGGTGCTTCTGATGATGCTGACGATCCGTACCATTATCCAGTCATTCGAGTTCTGGTACGTCTATCCATCACTACTGTTGAATCTGTGACTGATCGCTGTATAGCTGGTCATGAACGAGCAATATCTGGTAGCTTCCACCAGTCATCACAAGGACGGCCGTCCTCCAACAACAAATCGGTTGATCAAAGCATTGTCGAGTCATGGCATGACATACAAGACATTCGGATGTAACCTGATTCTCCTCTTGAACCGAGAGTCGGAAACTTCACTTCAACTCCTGATTCTCAAGGTCTTGTACCTTCTCTTCGGCAATCTTTCGACCGCAGAGTACTTCTATACAAACGACCTGCATGTCCTGATCGACGTTATTCTTCGGAATCTCATCGACCTTCCTCACGATTCGACTGCGGCCAACGCTCTACGACATACGTACCTGCGGGTCCTCCATCCTATCTTGACAAACAGTCAAATCAGCAAGCCTCCGCACTACAAGCGTGATGATATCCTTCGGCTCCTCCACCTTCTTGTAACGAGTGGCAACCACTTCGCGCCTGTAGATGACACAACTCAACGGCTTGTCATACGGTGCACCAGCGTGCCATGGTTGCAACCGCCGGCCGCAAGAAACCAGCATGGTTCTAGTGGTAACGACAGTACGACGTCACCCATCGATCACGTCGCGAATGGTCAGAAGGAATTGGCGCGCCGAGCTCTGAGCATGAATCTACAGGACGGAGGCGAAAGCTCAACGAGCGTTCTCGAGATTGCATCTCACACGGAAAAGCCTGGAGTCCAGACGCCCAGCATCACACATCCAGATCAGGCATCCTAGGGCCCGGACATACGTCACACCTCGACATACGCGTCGCAGCCGTCATCTCACTCCCCTTCGCAGGTCGAATGCTGGCATTGGTAGCGCAACTTTCTACCCCTCAGCATGACTGCATAGCTGGCGTTTCGGGTCCACACACGATGAACAGCCCTTTCATTCAGCGAGTTTCCGGTCTTCATGCGCATCTTGCATCGCTTGCTGGTGCACTGGTTTTGGTCGCACGTATATTCCATATATCCCAAATTATTCTTATATACTAATGGATCGTTTTTGGCAGCAGATGTTGACGTATGCCCTGTGCAGCCCAGCGTCAAGACGGCTGACCCCTACGAGACCTATGCATTGTGCTTACACTGCAGCGATCAGTACCACGGAGCAGCCAGACGAAAACTACGCGGAGCGCATCTCTTCCGCCACGAGTCTTCTGTAGATCTCCGCATTGCAACATCGCACATCGCCAAGATTACTGATTGCGACGCTGACATCTTTACAACTTGTATCGTCTCCACAAAACATCAGAAGTACAAGGTCTGGGGTGTTGATGAATGGCTACAACTTTACAACCTGCGCCACTATGTACGTACACCCGCATTGCGTTCCGCGTATGACAAGACCAGCGGAGTCTTGGCTGCGGCGCGGCTGCGCGGTGGGAGCACAGCGGTTGCGGCGCGAGGGATGTGGCGTAACATCAAGAGTTGCACAAGGGCATGGCAGACGTTTGTCCTCCTTGTGTTGCTCGTCCTCATCTCGAAGTCAGGTCTGGGCCCGTATGTCCACCCGATTACATGCTTTGGAGGCTTTGTGTACTTCTTGGAAGTTCTCTATGAGACATGTGATCTGCAATTCGCCTCAAAGCCTTCGAAGCCTTTTCCAGGTCGACATAGTAGATTCTAAAGACATGCACAATGAGCCCTCCATGTCAACACATACTTACGAACAACCTTCGCATCACATAGCAATCAATCTCGCTCAGGTTGCATCGAGTCTAGACCGTTTTCCCAGACGCACGCAATATGGCAATATGTTTCCTATCAACCCTTTCTTCGGCTGCAATTCACCGATGGATACAGTAACACCAGCGTTCCACGAACCGCCCGGGTTCCTTCCGGGTGTCACACTGACAGCGAAATGTCGTGTCTTATCGATCGGAGCCGCACGAACGAAGGAGCATTGCGGCTGAGCATGACATCGAGGTGTTATAGTTGGCGCTGAACACGAACCGCGCTTGCTGCGAGGTTTTGGGAAGTTGTGTGTGGGCGTCGAGTCTGTTGCTGGGTCAATAGGCTTTTGCTACGTTTCTATTCCTCGAAGGCCGAAAACATTAGAGTGAGGAATCTGTAGCTACACAACGTTCTCAGATATTGTTTGTTGTACTCGAAGTCGTTTGGCTAAGTCAACAAACATAATGCTGTTGAGGTTGCACGTACGATCGTGATACGTCTGTACTGTAGATAGTCTGTCCGCGGAGCCCGCGATTAGCCTCATCATGACCATTGAAAGCCGGAGGCCAGAACAAACCCACCCACGGTACGGGTTGCCCCGTTGCCCGCAAGCCACTTCCGCTAGCCCCCGCTCGATTATACCACAATCATAAATCTCGATAAGAATTAATCTAGTCTTCATTTAATTAACATTCAATGCGCACGAGCTGAAAAACAACGGTTTTCGTTGACGGGAAACCTGCTCGAACGTTTGCAACGACTTCCTCGTGCCTTCTTCCTGACATGTTAACATTTCGAAACCGCGGTGGCTGAGGTCCACCACGGAAGGGTCTGTCTCCATGTCGATCACTGTGTCTGGAAGAGGAGGGCTCGTATCGAGGGCATCTGCCTGATCTGCCCTAGTGGAGGTGGGGCCCCAGCTGTGCATTCGTGTCTCCAGATGTCAACTCCATAAACACCGGTGTCGTCTTGGCTGGAAACCTCCGACATACGAGGTTCACCGATGTCAGTGTTGAGGCTGTGAAGGGATCTGCAATGCATACCAGATGTAATAGGAACCAACCGTATGTGTGTGTATGGTGTACGTTGCTTCAGCCAAGAGGAACAGTGAAAGATCTGCGATTGATTTTGCTCTCGAAGAGGCTGTTTGCGGTGATTCGGTAGATGACAGACCGATCTTGCAGAATATAGAGATCTTGGTGTCACAGTCACGTGTAGTCATGAAGTTCGTGAAGATTTTGAGTAAATGTGGTATCTCGTAAACTGATGCTCAACCTCAGCCTGTGGGGAGCTCCGTGCGCCTACGTTCAAACAAAGTGGTATTGTAAAGAATCGAACCGCATCATCTGCTCCCCGTCTGGGCTTCGACGTAACCGTGAATTAAATACTTTTGAGAGAAATCGCTGTGAACAGAAACACCTTCTAGGACCGTAAAATCGTGTTGTCAAAAATGCTGGAAAGAAAAAAATGCTTTCTAGACCATGCGTTCAGGCGACTGAGCTGGCTGCTCGATCTTCTCACGAGAAGGCATGGTGCTGGGGACACGGGTAGGTGCCTGCGACAGGGCAGTGGGGGACACTATGCCAGCCGCAGTAGCATCGCTGCCCAGTCGAAGCTTCTCCTTGGTAGAAGCGTGCTTGCGAGAGAAGTGGTGCGCAAAGCTCTCGCCATCGAAGCATGGAAGGTACCAACGAGCAACCATCATGCAGATGAAGGACAGGAAGAGGTTGGCGCCTGACCACATCTGTATAGTGATATAGGTGTTGTACTCGGTGATGAGATGTCCCGCAATGACAGGGCCGAGTAAAGCTGGAACGGCGGCAAAGCTGTACATCATGCCGACCCAGTGACCAAGCTTCTTCTTAGCCAAAGCCTCTGTCTCGGGGGTGGTGTAGGTGCAGCTCAGGATGTTGGCGACAGATGCAGGCGGAAGTCCAATGACCATGCCGGAGAAAACACCAAAGACGACACAGAAGGCGATGGCATCTGTCTCAGATCCGGCCAGTGTCCAGAGTACGAGAGTGAGGAGCGAGCACACAAGCTGAGAACCGATGTGCATGTTGAGTGGTCCAGTCTTGTCAGAGAATTGAGCGAGAGTTAGGCGACCAGCTGTGGAAGCTCCGTTCATGATGGTCAGGAGCCAAAAAGTCTGCAGTGGCTCGTCGCTAACAGCCTGCGGCATTGCCTGTCCAATTCCAGAGCTGTTGCGAGTTCCGAAACCTCTGACGGCTGCCCACTATATGCTGTCAGTGACTGAGTCTGGACGCAAGAACAACAGTACTTACCTCCTCAAGATTAAAGAAAACCGGATAGAACCCGAAGAACATGAAGGCCACGGCGGCAGTAAACCAGCACCAGGCCTTGTTGCGGAATGCATCTGTGTCGAACCAGGTGCGGATCTTGAACCAGTTCTCAGGCTTGTGGAACTCGTGGACTGGGTTTGGTGTGGCAAAGATGAAAGAGTAGATGCATGTTAATGAGGTCAGGGTAGCAACATAGCGAACTGCATTGTTGAAGCCCACCGCCTCAATGAGGTAGCGCAGCATAGTAGGGTAGACAACACCTGCAATGCTGGCACCGCATGCAACGTACCCTACAGCGAGTCCTCTACGCTTGGGAAACCATGTGGCAGCGACTGTAGGGCGGTTAGTGGATCGCAATAGTGCCTTCTGATCAGCCGGACATACCTTGTGAGCTGGAAACGAAGAATGGAGCCATGCCCAGGCCAACAACGAGACCTTGAGTCGCCCAAATCGGGCCAAAGCTTGCAATAGCTTCGACGCTGCTGGGGTGCACGGCCGACAGGATAAAGAGACCGAGAGGCACGAAGACAGTACCGAAACCGATCACCTTGCGGAAGTGACCGGCATCCAGAAGTCGGCCAACTGGGTTGGAGAGGAGCAGAACGAGGAAACATTGCGAGCCGCCGATCAAGTTCAGCTCCAGCTGGTCAACTGTTCGTAATGAGTGGCCAACGTAATATGATGACCAGGTTCCATATGCGTTCACCAGTCCCCAGGAGTTGAACATGAGGAAGAAGCATCCAAGCAAGCAGGCGTATGCTCGCCATGTGCGAGGCCAGTAAGGCTCGTCGTCATCTGACGAAGAGCGACGAAACTCGCGCATAGATGGAGCACCGGAGGCGGTTGATGTTGACAAAGGCAAGCTCGCCTCACTGCCTTTGCGGTTATCTTTCTCCAATGACTGTGAAGGCATGATGGTGGTGTTGTCAATGCGGCAGGTGTGGCCCGATTGTTCGGAAGGAGGGACCTGTAGCGTTCTGGATGCTCAACACGTGCGTGTGTTGGAGGGGACGCGCTCAAGTGTGGTGCACGAATGAGGGGGCAAGGTTTACGAAGACGATTGAGGGATGAAGGAGTTGGTATATGTAGGTGTATTGACCACGGTACGTGTGCATCTGAAGCTTGGATCCGGGGTATGTAGCTAAGAGTTCGGATTGATATAGGAGGTCCACACCTCCCAAGCACGCGCGTTCATCTTGTGGCTGGCTCCTTATCCTTGGTGACGTGGTAGTCAAACAGTCCGTGCAATGATGAATTGCAAGCCCCGGGCGTACACAAGCAACGCAAGGAGCAAACCCAAGGAGAGCCAAGGTCCAGGGCCCACATGCACTACGGGACCCTCGACTCCGCCAGCCTCAGGGCGATGGACATTGACGCGCTCGGACATTCACAGTAGATAGCCAAGGCTGTGGTGGGTACGCGCTGGCCAGATGCGGGAGATAGCGCACAATGAGTGTCCGGTGTCATCTTAGTCTCGAGCTTCCCCACGGGAGGGCATCCCAACCCTGGGGGTGGGACAGTACCCACGTCTATGACGACGGTGTAAGATATTGCAATTTGTTGCAAGCTCACTCGTCACTTTGCTGGGAAAGTTGCCACCATTTCGAAAGCTCCATGCGTAACCATGGGAGTCCGCAGACGGACCATGGTTGGTACATGCAAAGATGTATCTCCCCCTCTTAGTAACATGTGGCAGGACGAACACCGCTGACAGGCCGGAAACAAATCTTCCATACGTTCCACGAACTTAAACACCGTCGGACAGGCGCCACAGTGTTTGTTCACGACCAGGGAGATTAGGGGGCTTCTCAACGCTGTGAAGGCGGAGCGGGCCTTCTTGGCAATGTCAGCGGGAAGCATACGTTTGGGGTTGTGGATTGGGCCGGCAGGTTCCACAAGCCAAGAGAATGATGTACATCCCGCCTTAGCCATACTCACCAGTACTCCACGACTAAGAATGCACCCAGTCTACCCGCAGTATTGCCGCTGAGGCTCTGGGCAGTATCGCAGGACGATGGCTAACGTTTACAAGATATTGCGAAACGCTCAGCGCTGTTGGTACAACAAGACCAAGCCGGGCCCAAAGAGCAATACTCGACAGTGGCCAGAAGGCGCACAGGAGCCAAAGTGCCCCAAGGTCGTTGTGGCAGGCATCAGTCCGCTCAACAGGGTCTTAGCATCAAATGCCAATACCAAGATGATCGGTCGCTGGGATGCTGTTGCTTCGTTATCTTGACACAGCCTCAACCACTTATGCTTGGCATTCGGCCCGGGGAGAGATCGACAGTTGTTCCACGCTTGCGATTCCTTTTGCAACAACGTAGATAGGGGATGCAGCCAGTCGTCATTCCTATCCTGTACCATCGACATTGTGCAGTGTTGCGGAGCCTCAACAAGAATCATGGCGCAGCGGTGAAAGAGACACGTTGACTCGTGCTGTCGCAAATGTATTACCCCTCACTCGACCATGAAGTTCCACATTGCGGAGGGTCCCAGATGATGAGAAACGGTCTTCGATAGACGCCGCGTGGCAATTCTGATAACAAAAATGATGATAGCGAGCGTGGAGCGTGAGCACGGTTGCGGTCAAAGGGGCGCTGGTTTGGTGTGGAAGCGAGGGCGAAGGATCGATGAGCCATCGCCAAGAGGATCAGCGTCAACTCCTACGCGTTCACAAAAGGTAATTTCTGCCCATCATCGACCGAAACAGAAGTGCATCGTCCATTTCGAGACGATGCTTGGACGACATGGCCAAGCCCGGATTTACCCTAGGTATCGTCGATCACCTTCATTGAAATCTGCCTCGAGAAGCACATCATGATCGACAGGCGCTTCGTGCGCGGACAAGAAGCAACTCAGCTCAAAAGTATCCTTATCTTGGGATCTTTGTAAGTCAAGTCTGTGCATTTGTCACGACTCGCGATGTTGGGCACCGCCACGAGGCAGAAGGTGTTCTTGTCCTACACACAGTGATATTACAAACAGCGAGGATTATATCTGCATTGTTAAGTCGCCCCTCCTGAAATTTGTCTCAGGCATGATAGACTACGTCAGGTATGTTACACTGCGATGCATTACCAAGATCGAGGTGTAGCTCGAGATGGACCAAATGGTGGAGAGCCGATTACAATGACATGCATCGTCAAATCCTCAACATACCTTTGTCTTGCTACTGTGTTTCTCTCGCCATGCTCTGTAGGCCGCTTCGATTTCTGTTCTGATACGCTGCTCAGCAGTCTCTGATGCCTGGTTGAACGCCTACGCATTCGATGCGCGTGAAGCCCAACGACTCTGTTACCTAGCTTGGGACCTCGAACCTTTCTTCTGACTGCGACATCACTGAAACAATAGCAGCTGCCTGAGTATACGCCAAGCAGGAGTTGAGGCTTTGGGTCCCAACCCCCACTGTGACTCCCAAGAGACCTTCCATGAGGTTCGTGCTGTGCCATACATCCGCATGATCAATATTTCTCCCTGGTCTCCAAGTTTCTTCCAGATACACGTGGCACACTCAAACATTGTGCTAAGACCAATTTCAGCTGTGATCTTCAAATAGAAGGAAAGGAGGCATTGGTGTGCTGCGTGCTTTGGAGCCTGCACAGCCATCACAACCGACTCGCTGGTAGGTTGAGGGCGATCTCTCGAGTCGCGAGTCAATGACCTCCATCCGGACGATTTTTTTGCCAGGAATCCGAGGTTTCCGTAGCCATGGAGTTCTGTAAACAATCTAGAAGTGTTGATCTCCTCGTTCAGTCTGGCAGTAAACGGTTGTTCGGATTTCACGCGATGTTGAAGCAACTCACTGTGTGATCCGCCACCAAGACACACTTGAGTGATACTTTAACAAGGCATGTAGGTCTCTGATGCCTCGGTCTGGCAGTTTCTCTCGATCTCACAGCCCATGCAGCAATACAAATGTCAGCTCGCAAAACAGCTGGACCTTGCTTCTGTAGGTGTGCATATAATCATCCCCCCGCCAATGTATTCCCACTTTCACACCTACACCTTTACCCAAGTATCCACCCTGACAGCGCGACCAGGTCAGCTCAGCCTAACTGCTTCTTCTCCTTTCTTCACGCCCGAAGCTCCTTCCCAAGGTCATCGCGCCGTGTGCACGTGCGCAGCCACTAAAACCCCAAAATCAAGACGCTTGCCTCATCACCAAACTCAAACCCACAAGCTTTCAAGCTTTCAGCACTACAGGCTGCACAAAGGCGCACAAGACAACGACGAGCCACAGCGCTGTGCGAATAAACAAATACGAGCGGGGAGGAGCGGAAACCACGCCACAGTGTCAGCCCACAAGGAACTTCGCTTCTTCGCTCGGCATGCGTCGCCGTTAGTCATGCCATGGACGGTGGACAGGGCACGATTTTCGCCATGCATCAGCCCACCGTGATCCCATCGGGAGCCCACCGCGACTTGGACACGTCCACTCCATGTTCCGCGATGACGCACAGCAGGAGTAGCCGAGGAGAAGAGAGGGTGGAGCGGAGTGCGACCGTTCAGGTAGGAGACTCCGCTCCATCTGAATTGCCCTTCGGACAAGGCCCAAAGCGAATGAACTAATTCTCGACATGAAAACTGAATTCTGTGCTACAGAATCTCGTAGAAGCCACCCTAACAGCAGAACATGGTCAGCATCGAGATCACGCCCAAGAATACCGCAGAACTGTTCACGACCATCGCTGAGTAGTCTGCGAAAGTTGCATCCCGAGTTCCGCTCAATAAATCATCGCCATGCGTCCATCCTGCCAATATCACGCCACTCATCCGCTCCGTACATGTTAGGTCACCACAGCCAGAGGAGCAAGGTAAGGGAGGAATGGGGCACTCATGTCGATTGCCATCTCGGGGAGCAGGTGCATCCGCTCCGCGCTGTGTCGGCGCGTCTACCGAATGAAGGGTGGTGAAGGACCGATTGAGATTCATGTCTGGACATATTGTTGATTGAAACCCAAACAGAGATTAGAACACAGCGCTCACAGATATTATAGACAATTCAGCTCTACGACCTATATGGTACAAAAGTCATGCTCTCAATATTACTTTATAGTGCCCAAGATTAGCAAACCATTGCACACGAAACTCTTCATAACGCCATGGCAATTACATGCCGACTTCCGACCCTTTACAGTATTCTTGAGACTCTGAGGACCTAGCCCACTATATTTGCTCCGAACATGAGGTTCGAATTTGCCAGGACGCGCCACGCCCTGCCATGGCCCGCTGAGACGACCCCACGGGCGTCAAAGCAACACACCCTCGAAGTATCAGAGCAAGGGGCGGGGCGGAAGCTCAGATCTGAAGCTTTTGCAGCGAGCCTTCTTGTCAGGAGCGACAAGGGTGTGGTCAGATGTTCCGGTCCACTGCATGAGCTAATATGTCCATAACAAAATTGCCATAACACTGTGTACGAGCACCACATTCAAATTGCGGCGATTGTATATCGAGAATTAAATTTACTCGATGCATCGCAATCTCAGGAGTTGCTAAATTACAGATTCCAGTTCGAACCGTGCAGTTGTGGTGCCTTGACGAGCCACCGGACCAAGCCCGCTACTCATCAGACCACGCAACACTCGAACATCCCAGAACATGGAGTGGAGGAGAACAGCATTCTGAAGGAATTCAAAAGTAACAACATCATGGCGGTCATGACGACATTATTCGGCCCGCTGTGCAGGACCGACACTTTGCCACCCAAGGCTTTCACAGCACTCGATACGAGTATCGCCAGTATGTCGCGGCGATTCGTGCTGAACGTCAAACATGCCCGGCACACCGCGATCTCAACAGATTCCAGCCACCATCACACTCTGATCCACAGGAATGTACGTGGTGCCATGATTTGCCATGCCCGCTGCACTCCGGCATCATTCGCATTACAAAGTGCCGGAGCGGGGCGGAGCACGAGACTTTCAGCACTCCAAAGCAGACGACGTCATGGCAGCCATAGCAGTCATGGCATCACCAGGGCGACAAACTGTCAACCTGCTGTGCAGGGCTGACATGTTGCCAGTGGCTGGGCGCAAGATGCTGAGACACGTCAAAGCTTGGGAAGCGAGGCTTGAGACAGGTGAGTTTTAGAATACCGTTTCAACGTTGTGGAGGTACAAATGCTTTCTTGACATAGTTTATCCGTGTGTGCATGTGTAGTCTCTATCGCATCGCACATGCAATGGCAAGCTTGGTAAGAAAAAAAGTTGATCTCGCACACAAGCACTTGTGGTAGAGGTAGACTTGCACGCAATTCAATTGCATTCAGAGCCGTCCAACCCCGTCTGAGGATTGATATGGACAATTGTTTCTAAGACTCAATCAGCAAAGCATCGACCTTATAGTGATAGTGACAACTACGCTCGGTATTGTTGTCTGTAGCTGTTAGTAATCATAGATAAGAACACTGAGGGGCTTTTGCAGTATCTCTTTTTAGTAGACGTTGAACCTCGTGCGGTGTTGCGTGGGAGCATTATACAACACTCGCTTGCTTGTGCCTCTTGGAAACAGGTCCAAATGCACCAACATATCATCTCTTGGTACACTGTAATGCTTTGAAGCATTGCTGCTTGAAAAGAAAAGAAACGATGTTGCCGATTCTTGCGTACGAAGAAGGATTTTGACGTCAAAACGAGCCTATCAACATAGCATGTTTACTAGGTGTAAGCAGTTGCCACGCACAGCGCCCTGAGAAATGATGTATTGAGTAAAAATATTGATTCGATCAAGTAGCTAGTCAAAGACTATCAATACGTAGTAAGGCTGCTATATCCAGGAGAACACCTTGCTCCCAGTACGCGTCAATCAGCCAAGGGAGCAAACGATTAGCAGCCCTTCAGGTCCCAAACTCCAAGCAAAACAGCCGCCAAACTCGCTGGCTGAAATACGCAAGACAAAGCAATTCGAAACTCTAGCTCGCTCGCACCCTGACGACCTCTTGGTCACCTAGTCTTCGACCTCTGGCCTCAGATCGACTTTATCGTGAACATCCTTCTTAGATGCCCTTGATAGCCATAGTCCGCTCACTGTTCAGCTTATTCGCATTCCGCTCGTGGCTCTCCTTCTTGCAGTCCTCAAGGCCCTCGCACTTGTGGTCCTCCAGCAGCCGGTGCTTGCCGCAGAAATGCCCGTTGCAGAACCCGCAGTCGCCGACGATGCGCTGCGCGGCGTCCTTGCAATCCTTGTGGCTGCAGCGGATCTTCTTGGGGGGCATCCCGCCGCGCAGGGGCAGCGCCATGTGCAGCGTTGCGTTGGGCGCAATGGCGTAGTCGGCGAGCGTTGTGGTCACGGACGACAGGTGCTTCCCTGCGTACACGAGGCGCAGGTCCGCGGGCTCGGGCAAGTTGGTACGGAGAGCGAGCAGCGAGCGCAGGGTGGAGATAGAGGTGCTGGTGGGTATTGAGAGAGGGATTGCTAGAGCACGTCAGTATTGCGCACGTGAAGACCCTGGGGGCGTGGTGTGCTGGTTCCGAGGTTCGGAACCCCCGATACCGAGAGTGCACTTACTGGAATCGCCGGATACGTTCTTGACGAAGATGTGCATCGTCTCGTCAGCGTCAGAGCCCATGGAGCTGATGCTGGAGATGGAGTCTGAGCGGCGCATCATGATGGCGGTGGTGGTGCTGTGCTGTGAGGAGCGTGCGATGGTGATGACGCTGGTGTGCCGGTCGAGGTTGAGATAACGGAGATAGGACCGGTCGCAGTTGAAAGCGGCAGGTGAGGCAGTGTCCGTGTGCTCAGGTGAAGAAGTTGGCAGGGAAGAAGGCGCAGCGGTGGCTTATGTAGAGGCGAGGGTTGCGGTGAAGTGCGGTTGAGTGGGTTGTCGGGGTGGAGACGCCGTGGGTGAATAATGTAGTAATCGGCGTGGTGAGAGTGGTAAGAGGGAAATGGTTAGGACGACGAGGCAATGGGCGAGTAAAGGTGACGCAGGCTGGGGCGCTTCCTTTAAACAGATCAACTCCGGCAAAGCACGCCAGACGGCCGGATGACAAGACAATGCACTGGCGGTCGGTGACTGATGCGCTTGCACTCGACTCGAGCCAGGCTGCGTTCAAACCGCCGCAGCGCATAGTGAGGCAGGTGACGCCAGTGCCTTCCACCGCCTTCTAGATACCCTGCATTGCCTCACAGTCCAGATCCATGCAGGAACACAGCGCTATCGTGGACTGCCTATTGAGCCGCACCACCTTCACGCGTGTGTGGATGGCTACTTCGACTAAATCTTGGATATGCCCCCCTAGATGTCTCACTCCTTCAACTTCTTTCATATTGAACCAAGACACTATACTATCTACACATCGCCTATCTCGCCGAACCTGCCTGGTGCTGCCGTGCAGGTGACACGTACTCGCACCAGAAGGCATCCTGCAGTCGGCGACAGCGGCATCACCAAAGCGCTGCACTTCCGTTGTTGTGTCATCCAATCCCGCCGTGTCTCACGCACCCCATCCAGATGCAGCTGCACGGCGGCCGCTTGAGGCATGTAACACGTGGACGGGCAGCAGCTGGCACTTTCGCCACAGGCGGCTGAGGCGCGTGCTGCCTTTGGCGATTGGATCAGAGGGTCCGAGTGTAGGGATGCGGAGGCGGAGTCAGGGACATCCCCGTGCGGCGATCCTCACTATCATGTCGTGGAGATTGGAGGTGATGCTTTGCTCTGTGATGATCGTGATGGTCTGCCGATGTCTGCTTGACCGGTCGGCTCCCTTGACACCACAAGCAGCCCCAATCTACCAGCATTGTGCTAGGCAGAGTACAGATCGATAGTCTATGTGCACTCGGCTATCGACATCTAGCGACACTGTTGTATTGCTCAACGTGCCTATCCGACCCAAGGACCGAGGACGCTTTACATTCCGAGCGTACCATGGTTGCACAACCCAATGACACACAGCGGGGACAGCCATGTTCGGAAGGTGTTTGGCCATTTCGGACCTGTCAGTGTCACACTTGTTCCAGAAACGTTTGCCATTCGAACTTCAACGTCCTTGTGACACTCTCGCCTGGGGATCCCTGGGATCTTCAAAACCTTACGGTCAACGACAGATCGATCAGATGGTAAACAACAATATTGATTGTGTATGCTTGCTGAATATGCGACACCTCTATCCTACATCAATTCTACTTTCACCTACAACATGCTCTTTGGGAAGTTCTTGTAGGCCTGTCTTACGCCCAGATCGCTCAAGATTTCTTCTGTTCCACCCAGAATCGCATCGAACTTGTATGTGCGGTGGAACTCTTCTACATACTTGCCCATGCCGGACTGTGTCAGGCCTCGTCCGCCGAAGATATTCACTGCCCTATCGGCAATCTCGTGCGCAGAGCGTGTCGAGTACGATTTCAGTAACCCGATGGGCCCGCCGAGCAACTTCGATTGTTGGGCGTAGGACATGTGCGACATTTGGTAGGCGATGGACTCGAGCCAAGCTTGGTTCGCTTCGACGAGGGAGATCATCTCTGCGAGCCTGTGGGTATTGTTAGTATCTGTGCCAGATACGTACGTGAGGCGCGGTCCAGCGGGAACCAGCAGATATCACAAGAAGAAGGAACTCACTTTTGTCGGATAGCGGGTTGCTCGACGAGCTTCTTGCCGAAGACTATCCGCTGGTTGCACCACTTCAGGCACTCCTCGACGATGGTGCGCGAGTGTCGAATGACCGCGCAAGCCATCATGAAACGCTCGTGATTGAAGTTGGCCATGATCACGGCAAAACCTTGATGCTCCTTGCCGAGCAGATTCTCCACAGGCACCTTGCAGTCGTTGTACTCAACGTACGCAGTTCCGGCAGTAGTGGAATAGCTGGTCTTGATGAGCTTGGTCTCGAGGTTTTCGTCCCTCTCGACCAGGATCACGGAGAAACCCTTGTCGGTCTTGCAGCCAGTGACAAAGTAGTCACTGAACATGCCGTTTGTGATCCACTTCTTGGTACCCCTGATGATGTAGTGCTTGCCATCAGGCGTCAGCGTTGCAGTGGTCCTCAATCCAGCAACGTCTGAGCCGGCAAACGCTTCTGTGATGGCAAGGCACATCTTCTTCTTGCCGGTCAGGACCTCATTGACAACTCGTGCCTTCAGCTCGGTCTCTGGCATCCACTGCAGGACAGCAGTCAAGGAGATGGTCATGCCCGCCATGTTGCCATCCTGGAAACCTCTAGCATTCGCGCGCACGCCCTCCTGCGCCTGGACAAGGTCGTGTAAGTAGTCAAACTCCTCGCCCTTGACTACGCCAAGCAGGTTCTTGCCGTGCAGATGCTTTCCAGGGCCCAGACGCATAGCCAGCATGTGGTTCTCCGCCATCTTGTCAATCAGGTCCTGAGGAATGTATTTGCCGCTTTTCTCGCACTCCTGCGCCACAGGCCTGACCTCCTTATCGATGAACTTTCGTACCTCCTTCTGGAACTTCCTGTGGGTTTCCTTGAAGTATGGACTCTTAAACTGCGGTCGCAGCCATAGCGGCTCGGCGTACGGTACGGGGCTGAGGTCGCCAGGCTGAGCGATGATGACTTCAGACTTCTCGCCCTCGATAGTGCCGACACACAGGTCGGAGTACTTCTCGAGCACCTCCTGTCGGTGGAGGTTGTAGAATGCAGTAGTGGCGTCGGTGCCAGCCACTTGCTCGAGAACGACAGAACCACCGGGGTGAGCGTCGACGAAGTCACTCAGGTCGTAGACTTTGTGGTCGATGATACACCACAAGTCCTCTGGTGTGTTGTGCTTTGCAACAGCATCGCGGGTAAGAGCTTCGCTAGACATGGTGGGCTGATACGAACCGTGAGGTTCTGTAAAGATTGTAGTGAGGGTATGAGAGAAGAGAAGGCCTGCAACGCAGGGGAGAAGTGCATCTCGCTACATGTCGCAGTACCAAGGTGTTTTGCCTCGGTCAGACTAGACGCTAGCCCTCTCCGCACTACTTTCCGTGACAGTGGAGTGAGTGTGGATTGAACAAAACTGGGGTAAGTGGAATACCGAGGCATAATCGTCTGAAGTTTGATTGGCAGTGGCTTCAGGGATGCCGTACGGGTGACGATTAACAACCAATCGGTCAGAAACCAACATCAGATTATGGATGCTCGGAATTCTAAAAGTCCATCAAACTCACCTGTTTCAACTTGGTATATTTTCACGACCACGCAGTGATAGAATACTCTGAAGAGACAGACTTATTCTGAATTACAACCACGTTTAATTGAGCTACCAAGTATTTGTTTCTGATGGGTGGTTGCAGAGATATTAGAGGTTGAAATTGGGAAGCGTAAATTCTGATTTTGGATCTGGGTTTCCGACCGATAGGTGTCAATGGCCACCCGTAATCGGCTTCCTTACAGGGACAGCTTCCGGCGCTATTTCCAATGCGTTTCATTACCATCAAGATACATCCCATTATCATTTGTTTTGCTGTACACATATGGCGTCGATCCCTAGCTAGGGTTATTATAAGGCGTTGTGAATAAATAATACAATGGCTCTCGAGTAGCAGAAAAAGTCACATGTAAGCAGTAGATCCTCGAAAATATGGAAGGTACTCAGTGCTAAGCTGCAGGCCATCTGCAACCTGATTCAATTTCTGACGGCTACAGTGATCCCTGTATGTTGTAGCCGGCTTTATATGCAATATGAGCGAGTGGCAAGACCAACATCGGAGTTGACGAGGCGAGAACCAACGTATCCTCCAAATGTTCATGCCCTCTTGCGCTGTCGCTGGTAAGCCAGCAACCATTGAGCTGGCTTGCCTTTCAGAAGTTGACCTTACTACTTATCGATCCTCTTACCGCGTGCTTCCAGTTCCTGCATTCGATCTGCGTCTTCTTCTTCTCGCTTCCTGTTTGCTCGACGCTCTGAGATCTTCGCCTTCTCTTCTTCGAGCCTGTCTCGTTCATCTTCGAGATCATTCAGCTCAGCATACTGGTCAGCTTCTCGATCACCGACTTCGCTCGCCCGCCTCTTTGCTGGTACAACCTTCCTGACTGCCGCCATAGACGTTGGCTTTGGCTTTGGCTTTGGCTTTGGCTTTGGCTTTGGCTTTGGCTTCGGCTTCGGCTTAGGTGTGGATCTGGGCTCGTACTGCTGCTCGTCCTAGCTTTCGGTCTCACTCGCCTGTTTATTTTATGGTGTGTTCTTCTCGACTGCTGCCTTTTCGAACTTGGGGTTGGACTGGACTTCGGCTGCACCTTGGCTTGAGGGGTTTTTGTGCTTCGATTTGGCCGGTACCTCGAAGACCTTGCACTTTAATGAACCCTTGACTGGTTGGTAGATTTTGATCTCTGAGTCGGACTACTGGTCGATGATCACGTTGGCGCCTCCGGCAGTCTTCCCAATAAGAAGTGCGTCAACGTACGAGAGACTCTTCGGGAGCCTGTTTGGGGGATGGGTGTTCAACAGTTTGTCGGCACCTGCTGTCACATTAGCGGGTGGTAGGTACGACCCGTGACTCTTGCCTACCTCTTGCTGCTTCAATGTCCTTCTGGATACCGACCAGAACATTCCTGAATGTTTGTTTGGCTTCCAACGAGAATGGCTGGTTGATACTAGCAGCTTTCCGGAACACATAGCGTATCAAAACGGTAAGCTTCTCTTTCATGGCGTTTGAATTCTTCTCCGCAACGAGGTTGAAAGGATACATATTGATCGGCAGATGGGAGAGGTTGTAAGCCGCCATAGACGTGTCAGAGAGGAAGCTAACATCGACATGCTCAACTTCGTCCGGCTTGTGAGGGTACGCCTTCAGTCTCGCCCACGCCTGAAAGCTGTCCGTCTCGCTAAGGGAGAGCAGCTTTCTATCCTGGATGTACCCTTTGTTGCCCGGGATGGCGAAGGTGTACGCGGTTGGCTCTGGGAACTGGTCTAAGGTGCCTGCAAGACCTTCGGTCGCGATGAAGTTGTCAATGTCTTAGAGATGCGTGGACCTTATAGACGGCTGAACGCCTTCATGTACACTAGCAGCGCCTTTCGTACCATCCGCGACTGCATCGCCCAGATGCGTGCCCGTGGAAATACACATGCATCAACGAGGGTATAGATGTGGTGGCACATGGCATCATCTCCACGGTGCACGATCTTGTTGTTGCCTTCATCGCGACACTTTTTTGTTGGAACCTCCAAATGCCCCTCCGCCAAAAGATTGCGCTGTACAGCATCTTCGCTCTTGAATACACCAGTGTTGCTGTGGGTTTGATGCGCACTGAACAGGGCTATCGTCTCTTTACGACGTACGACGTCACCTGGGTGGCGAGCGACATATAACTCTGGTCTCTGCTGGAGTTACACATTGGCTCGATGTGTGCGAATGCGCCAACGCTGAAGATCTTCGAGAAGGTGCTCAAGGTCGACAGGCTGACAAGCTGGACACGGTCGCGGTCGCGGTCCCAGTCGTACGGGTCGAAGAAGCAGAACTTGAGCAAAGGACAACGGTGTTGCTGGTACTTATACACAACCCAAGAGCAAGAGTTGGTCCGAGAGGCTCTTCCACATAAGCAAGAACGACAGCAAACGCAGATCTCAGCTCAACATCTCCTACCTACGCGGTACAACACTGCAAATGAACGCTCACATCGACCCCAACCACCCCAGCTCCCGCGACAGCATGACCAAGGCACTAGCATCAGAATACATCGACACGATTCTCAGACACGACAGTTACGCGCAAGACATCGAGATGAACAGACTGCCGACGTGTCACTCTTTCGTCAATGATGATTTACAGACTCTACTGCCTTTGCAGGAGCCAGTTACTACGAGGCAAAGAGAGAGAAGACCGCCGCCACTTTCGCAAGTGCGGATGAGCTGGAATAGAGGGGCGGAGGTATGTGTGGAGACTGTGGGGGAGGAATGTTAGGGTGCAGGAAGTCGAGAATCATCCGAAGTGGGTGTAGAGTATGTGTAGTACGACTGTACAAAAGACCTAAATGACAGACACCCAGAATATTCAAAACATATTAATGCATCTACATCTTGGATTACCGACTACGACTTTGTGATCTCAACACTTGCACTACCGCTTGCAAGGTCGACAACAAAGCCACCTCGTTCCTGCTGTGCGTCTGCAACCGTGAAGCTCACAGTATCCAAGCCAGGCTGCTCCAGCCAGACAATGGCGGACTTAGCCTGCAACACACTGTCTGAAACAGCAGGAACGACCGTAAGACTCAGCTTCTGCGCGCCCTCATCATAAACGATCTCCTTTATCGCGCCAGCACTGATCTCGACCTTCAGGCCAAGGTCGGCAACGAAGACTCGCTTCCTGACGGCATCCTTGGGTGCAACAACAGTCGACCTAGCAGTGGAATGCGTCTCATCAATGTCGCCACCAAAAGCTTGTACGCCGAGCTTGTCTTCCTTGACGATATAGACCGTCTGTCCCAGAGCTAGGCCCAAGAAACCCTGACCGTAGTCACCGGAAAACGGATCCCACTTCAGCAACTCAGGGAAGGAGTGGAATGCCGCAGATGCGAAGCCACCCTCATCGATGTTTGTTAGAGGCGCGGTGTTGCCCGCAAACCCAACACGAAGCGCGTAGAGGTTGTCCTTGGGGTTCTGCTCATACGAGTGCAGCATGGGCAGCGAGTTGAGGCCAGAACCGTAGTGATGGATCTGACGCTCGATTTGCTGGATCTTGGCGCCATAGATGAAGTCCCAATATCGGCGTGCGTTACCGTTCCAGCCCCAATGGGCGACAGTAGGCATGTATGCGAGAATGCTGTTGATGGCTTTCGTGGGTGTGTTGGGGAGGTTGAAGTAGTCGGTCCAATAGTAGACGCCTTCCTGACCGGTGCTGTCCCATGCCATTTCACTACCGAAGGGGATGGCTTGCGTCTCCCAAAGGTTGGCGCGGTAGCGCATTGAGGCTTCGAGAGCTGAGGCTTCGCTTGTCATGCCTTCTCGCTTGAGGTCCTTCAGAAGCTCGCCGAGAACCCATTCGCCCATGAGTCCAACAAGAGCATAGTCACAGTTGGCGCCCTCGTTAGACAAGCAGTATTGAGTGGTGTTGAACGCACGACCGAGGTACCACGACCACTCAGCGCGAAGCTTTGTGTCGGGATAATTCCTCGCTGTTCTGTAAAGCGACCAGTACGTCGCAACTGGGTGGATGTAGTTGTACGCTCGGCGTGTTGTATACGCTCGCTCTTTGTTCCAAGATGTCCACGAGGTCCAATCAAATGAGTTGTCGTACGTGTAATTGACCGCACCTGGCTCATAGTAGAATGCACTTGCGATGACGCCGAACGAGCTGTTCTGCTGTAGAGTGCCTACAACGGTCTCGTGCACGAATTCGTCCACGACCGAAAGTTCTTCTGCGTTAGGCTGCGCAAATTGCTTCATGGCAGTACCTAGGTACGCTCCAGTACCAGCCTCATCGCTGATACCAGCAAACCAGACGCGGGCATCTTGTTCGACGATCTTGTTGACTTCACGATCGTAGGTCATGATAGACGGCGCGCGATAGAATGGATCTGAAGTGTCGTTGAAGTAGGCTGCCGTTGAGAAGAAGTGGCCCATATCAGCAAGAGCGGAGGGTGCGGTCTTGGTGATCTTGTAATGCACCGTCTGGGTCTTACCATCCTCGTATGAGATAGTGACTCGCGCTCGCCCCCATGCTGAAGCCACCGGAGTCAGCTTGTATGCAGAGTCGGACGATGATAGTTCGGTAATCGTGAAGGCACCTCCGGCATCGATGTTCTTGACTGGTGAGGTGTGGTTCAGGTACAGTCGTGCTGAGGAGTCGGCTGGCACCACGTATCCTGGGATACCTACTGCAAGCGGAGATCCGGTCTTGATAACAGCGTCTTCGATTGTTTGGATCTTCTCTGCGATCGAGAAGCGAAGGCCAACAGAGTAAACCTCCCCTGATTGCAGGGGTTTGGAAGTTGGCTCGTTCCAGGGTTTGCTGCTATTCCATTCATTCTGCGCATAGGCAAGGCTGTGAATCTGCCACTCATAGTTGCCTTCAAAGGTCTGAGACTGATAGCCAAAGTTGCCTTGCGGCTCGCGGAGGAACCTCCAGGCTTCGAATTTTGTCGCTCCAATGGGTGTAATTACCAAAGCGTTACTAGTACCCTCTAAATGCGAAACACGCACGTAGCCAGCGTCGAGACCAATGTACGGGTCGGCGAAGGCGCACTTGTCCTGCGTCTCCTCTGCAGATCTTCCGGTGAAGATGTTGTTGATGCTGACCGGCAACCCAAGACTCCCCAACTCCACACTTCCGTTGCCGTTATTCGTGATATTGAAGCGTACAGCGAAATTGTTCTCATATTTTAGCCACTCTCTTGTAACCTTGATGGGCAGTCCGTTAGGCAAAGTGGGTGTCAAGTCGGCGGCAGCAACGACATCCTGACCGGTCCCGTTCAGCGTCGTAACAGGTTTGCGTGCGCTAGCAGAGTCGACGCTCGTCCAACCGCCACCACTCGACGTGCGGTAACGAAATGTGATATCGCCCAGATGATGAGCTCCGTTGAAGGCTAGTTGCGCCAGTCGGTCTGAGGGAAGGAAGTCGAACTCGTTTCCGGTCGAATTGAGTGAGGCAAGCGTCTGAGAGCTCTTGACTATCTCGCCCTTGAGGCTCCCGGCATCGAACGTAGTATAGCCATTGCTGAGTCCGAGATCATCTTGACCTTTTACGAGTGCAGGAGTTAAGATCAGGAACGAAAGTGCAACTTTGAGTAACGCCATGATGGCTCTTTATTGACACCAAAGCGCGAAGGAGGCGGCGCACCTGTTGATGAGTGCTCGGAAGCCATCATGTATGTCGCCTCTTATACCAATGGACCCCTGTCCTTCAGAACTATACCTTGTACGGAGTATTTGCCGTGCCATTTCGGTATGCGGGTTGTCTCTTGTCCGACTATAGTGATCGCCACTGTGCCCTGCGAAGATGTGGGGTAATGCTGCTCGTGACGTTTGGAAATATATCAATCGCTCGTATCACCAATATCGATACTAACCGTTTAGTTGTTATAGCCTCATAGACCAGCGGAATAGAGAAGGTGGAAAAGAAAGTCTAAGTTGCTGGTGCGTTGCGAGGAACCTGGCTCTGACCTGCCCGCCATCGATGCTGGCGCAAGGGTCGTTTGTCACAAACAGAATGATGTGTGTGTACTCCACCGGCAATTGCTGATCAAAAGATTGTTGGATGACGCAACGACAAGATCTGGGGGAAGAGCAGGGAGCTTGCGGAACGAGGCGTAGCGCGAACGGTTGTGCCTTTGAGTGCCTGCCAATGAGAGCGCGAAGCCCCCGCTCTGTCTCCGCAATCCTTGGCCTCATCCGGCAGGTAGCATTTCTTAATCCTCTCAACACAACGAACTCATCTCCGCAATTGTTGACGCTGTCAATGACATTCTACTCTACTGCTTCGTATGGGTCGATCGAACGTAAGTTAATGCAATATTGGGATGCTTCTCTCAACTTCAATACAACACAATTTGCAGCATACGAGAAAGCCAAGGACCCATGCTGTAAGTGAACAGTAGCTTGAGAGGACTCCATGGATGAACAGCTTCGCGGTTTTGTGGGTCGGTGAGCAACTAACGGTGCAGAGATCACCAAAGCCAGTACTACATTATTCAAGGTAGACAACAGATTAGCAACAGCGAATACCTCCAGGGTAAGGCGCATCCCATCCTGCCAGTCTACAATTCACTTTGTCAACTCTTCGCTCTTACCATAAGCACAGACTAAACGCCATTCTCCGTTACGCTCCCCTCCGCCTTCGGTTTCGGGCCTTGAAGTGTGAGTACTCGTGCATTTAACGCCTGTTCTCGGAGTAAACTGCGAAGCTATCGGCCAGGCAGTGAGGACGCCATACCTGTGCAAGTTATGCGCGTACTTCTTCGAGCGAACGATATCTAACTGGCGAGGACAAAGCATCGATGAAGTAGCTTGCTCCTGACATTGGTGTCATGTCTACTATCTTTGTTGTGATCAGGTCAGCGTACGGATACAGGTGACCGAGTGACAAACTGAAGACGTCCTCGAGCGACGCTATATGTGGTTATCGAACACAGTGTCATGATATCTGACACTGCTCGCATCTCAGGCTGGGTTTGGCTGATTGCACCTTCCGCGGCGTGCCTAGGCTTTTTAACGTTTGTGAAAATAGGGGCGTTTGCAGGTTCAGAGATTCAAGGGAAGTCGAGGAGCCACATTCGAGGACAACTTGATTCGGGGTGAAGACCAGACGGCGATTAGAGAACATACCCTCTTAGTAGGTCCAACCCCTGAACTGCCGCGCCGATGATGCAAAGCTCCAAGCATAATGCTCAATCAACAGCCAAGTTTCTCCCCTGAAATTGATTCGTGCCTGCAATATACGGGGTCGAGAAATTCCAGGCAATCCGTGAGATGCATCGTTTCCTGCTGCTGCGACTGTCGTCACTGCTGCAAACTATAGACTGAGTCCATGTTCGCTAATTGTTGGTGCATTGCAACAGGGTCCGCTTGGTCGATGCAATATTGATCGATCCATAGGTAGTTGAGGCCGAGGCGTAGAGTGACATTGATAACATCACAGACCGTTGCAGGTAAAGTTTCCGGCAGGTCTTTGTAGAATGAGCTACAAATGACACCGTGCTAAGGCTTGCATTGGGATATCCAGTCCTCATGTATGTAATGCGCCTCTAAATTTGATTGTGAGACAGGTTGGAACGGTAAGATGATTGATCCACATCTTATGGGATCTGCGTCGTTGTAGAGAGTCTGCCAGACCAATTCTACCCGGTTCATCGCCGTGGTACCAAGCCAAAGTCGTGGATCCAAGTGACGCAGCTGCAATTGGACCGCTTGATCCTCAAGATTTGAATGTAAACCATCTGGGAATGAGTTTTCCAGTACATCTGCGAAAAACAAACACAATGGACATGTAGAATGTTTGCGTATACGTATGCCGATGGTTTGCAAACTGTGCTTAATCTTCGAGTGTCGCATGCCGAGGGCTATGCACTGTACACAAACGTCGTCCAGGGTTACCTCCGGCGATACTTCCGTGTATGGTGGTCTTAAGTCTTCGGGTACCAGGCTCACCGGTAAGCTTGAGGGCGGGTTCATCAGGTCTTGAGACATCTTGCTGTTCGGGAGATCCGAGGACGAAAGTGAATCTCCTGGGCCCACGAATGTCGTACTGTTCGGGATATCTGAGGCTGAAAGTGAGTCTCTTGGATCTGCAGACGTTGTACCCCCGGTAATATCTGGTGATCAACGTAGGGCTTTTCGGTCGCCAAGTCTCGTGCTCTTCGAGGAGTGTGAAGAAGACCTTATATCCTTTTCGTCGTCAAGTATTGTGCTCTTCGGAATGTCTGGAGACGAAGGGACATCTGATCCGTCATGATCATCATAAGATGCGATGACACTTAGGCTATCTGGAAACGATGGTAGATCTCTCCTCAGACAATCGTAGAACCTTTGCGAGACGTGATGGGCGAGACCATTTGCAGTGTGCTTCTGCCTTGAATGCGCATTTCCACGAAATGAAGCATGCATCTCAACGTTTGGTCCTATTCCGCATAGGATCGTGTGACTTACACCGCGCCGATGTCAGAAGCTGGAGGGTAGAAAATTGATAGTCAGACTGAGCAGAATCGCAAGATCACCTGACCAAGTCGGCGCCCGCCTCACCTGCGCTAGGATCAGCCTCTCCACAATCTCCCCGCCTAGCGCGACATCGATAAGACCAATCTCAATGCAGGGCAATCCAGGCACCAAACCACATGCACGCGATAAACGCACCTGACTGGCCGCTTCGTCGCTGATCACCATGAGGCTCGAAACAGCGCGGCGTGTGACCACTCGCGGCGTAATGCCCAGCACTGCGCCCTGAGTGGCTGTGACCCCGTCCTTTGATACATCAACAGTCCTCGTCCCAATCTCGGGCCTCTCCATCTTACTACCTATGACAGTCTTCCCTGGACCATCTCCGAAGCTGTACTACCTGCTATATCCGACGATCTAATAGCGACCTTCCAAATCGACTCGTAGTGCACCGCCCACACCGGCGACGACGCGCGAATCAGATCCCCGAACTTGAACGCGTGAAGGAACAACTGCCGCTACGGGAGAGGCTCGCCACGCAAAGCTTGACAACGCTTGTAGCACCGCCGAGGCTACTGCAGCACCACAATATCAATATGCCCGTCATGCTAGACTCGTTCGCGGCCGTGGCGCGAGAAGCAGTACAAAGCAGCGCTGTGTCCCCAGCTGCTGAGGCGATATCGACCGCCATGCCTTCACTCAGGACTTTGGGGAAACTTGCATTGGGTGGCGCGCAGATGGTGCTGGCGCAGGGTGCGGTGAACCCTTTTCAGTCGTGTTCGAATCCGCAGTTGAGTTGCCATAATACAACGGTGGTGGAGAATCTGTGCTGCTTCAATGCGCCCGGTGGACAGCTGCTGCAGACGCAGTTCTGGGATACACATCCCGTCACAGGTCCGGTCGACAGCTGGACGCTGCATGGTCTATGGTACGCCAGCCCTCTCTCCAATACTCGGGTCTAGCAGAAGCTGATATGTGACGACCAGGCCAGACCGCTGCGACGGCACCTATGATGCAAACTGCGACTCCTCGCGCTCCTACTCCAACATTTCCGCAATTTTGAAATCCTTCGGCGCAGACGACACCCTCTCCTTCATGCAGACCTACTGGAAAGACTACCAAGGCAAAGACGAGTCCTTCTGGTACCACGAATGGTCAAAGCACGGCACCTGCATTTCCACGCTCGAGCCAGAGTGCTACACCGAGCACAGGCCCACCGAAGAAGTCGTTGACTACTTCAACCGCGCTGTCTCGCTCTTCAAGACACTTCCGTCATATGAATGGCTGGCTGCTGCGGGAATCACACCCAGCAGCTCACAGACATACACATTCCAGGCTATCCAGGATGCGCTAGCAGCGAAGAGACCGGGCGTGGAGGTAACACTGGGCTGCAAGTCCGGCGAGCTGAACGAAATCTGGTACCACTACGACGTGCGCGGCTCTCTGCAGACGGGCGAGTTCGTAGCTGCCAACCCCGACGGCACGAAATCAACTTGCCCTACGACGGGTATCAAGTACCTCCCCAAATCTGCAAGCCAGCCTACTGCGACCAGCACCACCATTGGCGGCCCGGCGCCCACAAGTACTTCTGCACCAGGCACACCCTTCAGCGGAAAGGGATATATCAACGTTGAAGTTGGCGGCGCGAAGAATGGCTGCATCATCAGCAAGGGCACGTGGTACACCACCGGTACCTGTGCGACATTCACAGCTACCGAACTTGACGACGGCTTCACGCTGACGAGCTCGAAGGGCAAGTGCGGCATCGTTGGAGGCGCCCTGACCTGCGATGCGAGCGTGAGCAGCGGAACTGGGTTCACTGCTGTTGACGGTAATCTGGCAGCTGACGGAAACGCCGTGTGGAGTGCGGACAAGGCAGCGAGTGGAAGCACGCAGGTGCCCGTGTATGCTGGTGGGGATCATGCGCAGCAGTTTGCTTTGACGTGGCAGAGTGCGTAGAGGTGGTCAGGTCATAGAGTATCCGGGTGTCAAACGCCTCGCCAATGCATGTTCGTCCTATCATTCAGTTGCCTTCCGATTTCGCCTGCCTAACTGATCTCCTTCGTCCACCTTTGCGCATAAACGACCCTGAGTGCAGTTCCAACAATGTGAAGTCCTCCACACTGTCTTCCTTCCTCTTTGGCGGGCTAGACTTGCTCTTAGAATCCTTAGTAACTTTCTGAGCCACGCCGCGAGTCGTTGTAGCCTTAGTCTTCGATCGAGTTGAAGCCTTTGATGGGGTGTGGTGCAGACTTGGAGTGCTTCGAGATGCGGTAGAAAGGCAATTGATCTGGACCAGTTAGCCATGGTTGCTTCAAAGCAGCTGGAGATACTGACCTTGATACCCAAGTCTTTGTCCTGGTCCGATAAGTTGGAGGGGACCGGTGATAGAGTAGAGATGGTTGAAGCGGGACTTGTGGTCTGCACGCCAAACGCAACCTTGACAGGGCTCTCAGGTGGTGTGTCTAGCATCTTCACTTTGTTAACATCTTCGTCTGCCGAACGTGATGCTCCACACAGCTTGTGGCCTGGGTTGAGACTCGCTGTTGTGTCCGCTTGCTCAGATGTAGCCACAATATCTTCGAGTTTGCTGACAATGTTGTCCTTGCCCTGAGAAGCGATGTTGAGCTCGTCCTGACGTACCGTCTTGCTCTGCTTGGAGTTGGCAAGAAATTCGATGGCGAAACAGCGAATGTCTTCTGGTGTTCGAGGATTGAATGTACTGGCTGCGGTGCCATTTGGCCTGGGACACGGAGTGTCTGGTTCGAGAGCTGCTGTCTTTATGGATGTGGTAACACTCTCGCCTTCGAGTGGTTGCGCTGGCTTGTTGATCATAATGTCTATCTGGCCATCATCATCCTTGTCGTCGGAGAACATGGGAGGTAGCGGTGTGGGAGCGCGCGCAAGAGGATCACAGCAGTCGAACTCGCGATACACTACGAGGAGGTCAGCAATAGTCTCGCTCCAGCTACAGCTCAAACTTGCCTCCAAGGTCGTCAGTGAAGCCATCTGAGTCCCACTTGTACGTGCCGTCGTAGAACTTGCGCGACCTCTCAGTGATAGCCAGGTCAGCCGGTAGATAAGGCATCGATCTGACGAGGGCGACCATGTCGTGCTCTGAAGAGCTGAACTTATTAAAGTGTAGGATTGATGTTCGTGTTGTTTTCTTATTGTGAGGAGCCCAAGCGCTGGGAGATGAGTGCAAACGGGCAGTTGCACCAGTGAAGTTGCGAGGGAAAGAGCGGTCGACCACGCAACGCCGGCACTCTTACCTACCGCTGAAAAATACTTGGTTAGTCCAGATGCACTGCGAAGGCTAGCAAGAAGCTGCCCGCATCCTTCCGTCTCTTCTCTGCATCTGCACTGTAGTAGAAGCCCATGGCGAACTCGAAGAGTGTGAGTATATGAGAACGAACAACGAACCAAAAGAAGCGCAGAACCTCGAAACAAGTGAAGACGAAAGTCTGATTGAAACGTTCTATCCTCTGAATCCTATGCTGAACCGTAGAGATAACGCCTTGCCCGGCCCTATGAGTACACACACCATATGGAAACACCTTGAACACCGCGATTACAAACATGGGCGGCCAGCTGGAAAACCTGACACCCTCCACAGCTTGTATCGTACAATACCGAAAAATCAGAGCTGGCGAGATGCTGCGACTGCAGCACGCGAAGCAAGCCATTGCGCTGATTCTCTTGACCTTATAATAATCCAGTCGGACCAGCGGTGCCTGCAGGGATTGGCTGCTTAGCGATGGCTTCGCCCATCTTCTCCCGTGCGATCTTCTCCTGTTCCATCGCAGCACGGTCAGCCTTGGTAACACGAGGTTTACGGACAGGTTGACCACCACGAGAACCTGGACCACCACCACGCCCACGGCCTCTACCGGAAGTTTCGCCTCGCGTTGTGCCGCCACGGCCACGACCCCTGCCGCGTCTAACGGTACCATCAGCCCTGTATGTAGTTAGTACGGCAACTTGTGAACGGGGCGGATCTTGGGCGTACCTCTCAACAGCTGGCTTCTCTTCAGTCACGAGAGGGCCACTGTACACGAAGAAACCGTCCTTAGCCATGAGCGCTTGCTGCTCCCACGCCAGTTCCGTATCGTCAATGAAATCATCCTCCTTGTCGTAATCCTCCTGCTTCCTCTTACGCCGCTTCTTACCACCGTTCTCGGTAGCAGAAGCGTTGTCATCCATACCACCCATTTCCACGTTGCTTTCGTTCTCAGACAAATCGACTGACATGTCATCAGTAGACACACCACCCGCAGCCCGTTCTAAAAAGGCACCAGCAGCTTTCATCTGGCGTTGACGTTCTTGACGAGCAGCAATGCGTGGATGAAGGGCAGCGAAACCATACTTCTTCTCGATCTCTAGAGCAACGTTGATTGTAGTGTTCTGGCGTCCCTTCAGATCGAAGGTAAGGTAAACATTCGGTGCGCTTGGGCCATCGGCGCCGCTGCTGGAGGTTGTCACAGGCCCAAACGGAGTGCCAGAGAGCAGACCGCTGCCAGTTGGCAATGGTGGTGGCGCCTCTTTTTGACGAGCAGGTTTTGTGGGCGGCGTTGGGCCGCTTGTATTTGCGGGGGCGCCGTTGGCTGCAGAACTCGCTTTTTGCGCTGTCGCCGTAATCGGCTTTGCTGCTTCAGAGTCAATCTCCATCGGTGCAGGCCCTGTCGTTGTGGCTGTGTAAGATAAAGGCTGTGGTGTCAGCTGCTGTGGTTGTGGTTGGTGTTGTGGTTGTGGAGCTGGGAAGTCTTGGGGAAGGACCGACCCTGGTCGGGTGTGGAAGCTGGCAGGAGACTGCGGGGCAGAAGTTATGGATACCTGCTGTTGCAATTTTGCAGGTTGCGTAAAGAATGAATTGCTCGCAGAAGGTGGGTCGATGAGACTTGTGATAGATGGTGATGCGCTCGCGCGGTTCAGCGGAGGCGAGATGGGCGGCGGTGCGCTCGCTGAGACCTGTGGTTTATCTTCCATGATGCCGCCTCGGATAGGATCGTATCGCTGCCCTGAACTGGAGGGCCGTGGTGTTGAGGGCGCGACGTTTATATGAGAAAGCTTGGGATTACTGTAAAGTGTGGGTTCTTGGGTACCCAATACGCGGGGAGCTTGTGGAATCGCAGGCGAATGCTCTGGCTGCTGCGGTGCCGGTACTGGTTCACTAGGCCTTGGTTGCGGTGTGGGCGAATTTTGTATTATTGGTTTCTCATCAACGACTTGTACTGTCTGTGCAGCCTGCGCTTCCAGAGAAGCTTTGGCTCTTCTCTTGCGGACAGGGGCTGCATTTGGATCCTTGGGTTCTGCAGGTTTGCGAGGCTTCCTAGTCTTCTTCTCCGGCTCTGGAGCGTTTGGATCTTTGGGTTTTGGTTTCGGACCTGGTTTTTTGCGTGGCTGCCCGGATGCTGTGAGGCCTCGTGGTGCTGGTGATGTCGCATTTGCAGGGGTTGGCGTGCTAGTATTCGCAGGTCCAACACCAACACCAGCGCTGGAAACTCGAACTGTAGATGTGGGCGTGCCTTCAGGCGAGTGCGGGGGCGAACTCAGACTTCCTGGCGAGGATGCATCGTTTGCATCCATCGCTGCAGAAAACCAAGACTATACAAATCTCTTGAAATTGCCAGACTGCCCTTCAGAAATTCACGAACCCGATACAAAAATCTGTATACAAAGACAGATACGTCGGGCGCAAATTAGATGCGCAGGTAGCGTAAGCAGCTGAGTGGCAGATCGCCGGCTGAGCGGGCTGGCGAATTCAACACCAAAAGTTGCGGATGGCGCTCTATCGCAACAGTTGTCGAGAACACCAAAGTCGATGTGCAGCCGAGTACCGGGCCGGGGAAGACCTGAAAAGGAACCTGTTGCACGGAGGGGAACGCGAAGTTTGAACCCCTTTTTACGGTTTGATGGAGGCGATCACAGCAAGTGCGATATTGATGAAAAGGTAATCGCAGCGGGCAGAAATCGTACAGGTTGAGAAAGAGAAAAGGAGAGGAAAGAGACGTCGATGTTCTCAAGTGTTGAATGGGGGCTTCAGGTATGAAGAGCGATTTGGCACATGGGCCAAAGCGCAAGGTTACGACGAGGAAAATCACTTTACGCCTGTGACTGTCTCCCCGGACTGGGCAGCCGCTGTTCAATCTGTGAATGAGACCCTGGAAGTGGGCTGCCGACGGACGCTTCTGTCATGCGGTTATCGACATATCTAACTTAATGTTCACTTTGTGCGCGCGTACCTTAACGAACTCGAGCGCAAGCTGTATTCCTTGTTCATGGACATTGGCTTGTAGCTGATGATGCCGTGACCTCCTCCAGGGCTGTCTGTTCTTTCAGGTCACGCTGTAAGGGGAACGAAGGGTGTCTTCTTGATCGAGCAACCAGCGCGATCAGCAAATCTACATACGAAAGCATCTTTACGGACGTGTGCAGTGCTGTGCTGACAACTTTATACGTTGTTGACTGCCTCTAGCATTTGAGGTACTCGTCAATCCTAGTAGCGGCAAGAACAGGTTGAACTGCGAACTCGCGCGACAATGCTTGTGTCTCTGACTGACATGTTCTGATGCGTGGTTGTTTGTCCCAACGGGCCGGTTTACAAGGATCCACTTTTCGATTCTCGCGCCTTACCCGAACTAGACAGGGCTATTCCATCTGGTCTTGTTACAGCTTTGTGGCGCAAAGGCGAGCAAGATGTGAATGTATTCGAAGTTGACAGGATTCTTGTTGTCACCTTGAGCGCTACTTGTGTACTCGATTGCTAGGCGAGTAGAAAGAAATTGAAATTTGCTTGGCCACTGGTGTTACAAGACAAAATGAAACACGCGCTACCGATCACGCATCCATGAAAATCATTGGCGATCACAGATGGTCGGAAACGTGAACATTTATCTTCGTAGATTGGAAACTAGATATCATCGCAAAGCGGTCATACAACAGACCCTATGTTCAAGAACGCCGTAGAACGCCACCCCGGCCCTACAACGCCGATGGGAGTATATGCAAGAATACAGAAACAATGATACATCAACTTTTCATAGGAATGGAATAGTTGATCATGCCTTGCTCTTCTTCTTCTTCTTGTTCTCGCCATCGTCGTCATCCGCTTTCCTCTTCTTCTCCTTCTTTGACTTCTTCTCAGAGACCTCCTCATCAGCGCTCTTGGACTTCTTGTCCTTCTTCTTCTCTTTCTTCTCCTTCTTCTCGCGGCGAGCCTGCTCAGTTGCGCCTGCGGTGACACCGTCGGCCATCTCAACGTCCTCGGTCGCGGTGGCTGTGGGGTCAGGGATGCCGATGTCGGTCATAACGGCGTTCATCGCAGCCTGCATAACAGCAGCGTTCTTCGCTGGTGGCGCACCAGAAGAGTAGAACTCGATCCTTTCCTCAACCTGGCGCTTGAGCGCCTCACCGAACTTCGAGGTAGGAGTCTCGGAGAAGTTGTCAATCCTGGACGCGATGGAGCACTTATTGGCCAAGAAACGCGAGATTCTGCCCTTGGACTTGGCTCCAGTCTTGCCGATGAACGACGAGTGGTAGATTAAACCGTACTTGGGGGTGTTGCCCTTGGTCTTGAGACTAGAGATTTGGTTAGCAACAGGAGTGCAAATGGCATTTGGCTGTGCTTACGCTCGAAACAGAGCCTTCTCAGCACCGAGAATCTGGACAGTGGAGGCAGGATATTTAGACAAGTTGGTCAAAGATCCAGCCTTGGAAATGAGACGAGCACCGACAACGTCGCCGATAAGAGCGGCCAGGTTAGGTGCAACCTGATTCATCCTGCTTCCAAGGTAGTTGGAGAGCTGCCTGCGGTAGGCGGCCAGGGAAGCGGTGCGCTTGGCGAAGGCCATGACAATTTCCATATCCGCCTCGGACAAGTCGCGACCCATGGACGTACGGGCAGCCTTGATGATGGCAGTCGCAACAGCCTCGTCATCGTCAACAACAGCGGCGAGGTCATGGGTGTCGTCATCGGTAAGACGGGACTTGTTGCCAATGGTGAGGACGACCTTGGCGTACTGGTCGTTGCTCTGGACAATCTTTGAAAGCTCGGGGAAGTGCCATCCGTAGTTCTCGCGAAGGCGCATGCAGAACTGGTTAAGCTGTAATGGAGTCAGTAACTACGTCTGAGCGCTCGTAACTTGCAAGACTCACGTCCTTGTCGACCTGGTCGAGGGTAGCAATAGCTTGGATGATGTGGTTGTCCTGCTTGTTCACGCTGAACTTGACCTTGGCGCGGGAGTATGCGTGACCAAGACCGAGGATGGAGCGGTCAATGTCACCAGGTTGGAGCTTCTTGATGAGCTTGCCAGAGTGCTGGCGGAGACCACGGAGCAGGTCAGAGACGACTTCGGAGGTTTGAGCGGTCTCGCAGGCGAGGTTGGGGAAAGCCGCCTTGATGCTTCCGGCCAAGTTGCTTTCGCTGAGTCCGAGGGTGATGGTCTTCTTCTTGCCAGCCTTGGGGAGGTTGGTCTCGAGGGTCGCGCGCAAAAAGTCGGAGAGGATACCCTCAGAGATGTCGTTGATCTCCTGCAGCGCATCCTGGGTACCCTGGAAAGGCGCAAGACCGACGAGCTCAACGGTCTTTCCGAACTTGTCGAGATCCTGCACCGCCTTCTGGACTTCGGCAAGGCGGTTGCCAATGGTGTCGGGCTGCAGAATTACTTTGAAGACCTGCGCAGCGCATTAGCAACTTTATTCGAGTGTGAAGCTCCGAGCTTCAGGACATACCGCATAGCCGATAGGGCTTTCGTGGAGGAGGTAGTCGACCGACATCGTGATCGTCGCAAAGCCTGAAGTCTTTCGCGATATGGTGACGTGAGACGCAATCCGGCGTGTGGTCGTGAGTTGACCTCTTCTTCGAATGCAAGAAAAGTTCTGTGTAAGTCCGTGCACCGGCCGTGCCGAAGAGTCCCCGCCGCGCTTCCACCAAAATCTCTAGAGGGGAACGCGCTCGGCCAGGCACGAGAAGCAGCAATACCCCACGCTGTCACCCTACTTTCTTTCTTGTATTGTTCGATACCCTGATATACGTCTTGCAATATGTCGGCCGCACAGTTGTTGAACCCTAAGGCGGAGTCGAGGGTAAGACCCCTCATTGTTTGCAAACACTGGAGTCTAGCTAACATTCGCACAGAGGCGCGGGGAAGCTCTCCAAGTGAACATCTCGGCTGGTGAGGGCCTCCAGAAGGTACGAAAATTCTATGGATATATCTGGTAATGGTGTACTAACGTGTATACAGGTCCTTGCCTCCAACCTTGGGCCCCGCGGTACACTGAAGATGTAAGATCAATTCTATCCTATAGGAAACATGTCGCTGACGATTTTCAGGCTTGTCGATGGTGCTGGAGCAGTACGTCTTGTGTGTTGTGCGCTCCTGAACAGGCTCTGACTGGTGCTGTAGATCAAACTCACAAAAGACGGAAGTGTTCTGTTGAAGGAGATGGTACGTACAATGTTCTGAGATATGGTATCTGCAAGTCTAACATCTTCACAGCAAATTCAGAACCCCACTGCCGTACGTATATCTGTCGAATTGCGCATTTCGCACAATCTAAAGCAGGACAGGTCATGATTGCGCGCGCAGCCACAGCACAGGACGACATCACAGGCGATGGAACAACATCAGCAGTACTATTGATTGGAGAGCTTCTGAAGCAGGCAGACCGCTACATTTCTGAGGGTCTCCACCCACGCGTGATTACAGACGGATACGACATTGCGAAGACAGAGTCGCTGAGGGTAAGCAGTGCCATTTCAACACATTGGACTATCAAAGCTGACGAAGTGGTAGTTTCTCGATGAGTTCAAGCTCGAGAAGGAAGTCGACCGCGAACTCTTGCTTTCCGTTGCTCGCACATCGTTATCCACGAAGCTCGACAGCTCACTCGCTGAGCAGCTGACCCCCGATATCGTCGACGCCGTTCTCGCCATCTACCAGGCACCAGCGAAGCCCGATCTGCACATGGTTGAGATCATGACCATGCAACACCGCACTGCGGCGGACACACAGCTGATCAGGGGTCTTGCCTTGGACCACGGTGCAAGGCATCCTGACATGCCTAAGCGGGTTGAGAACGCATACATCCTGACTTTGAACGTCAGTCTGGAATACGAGAAGTCTGAGATCAACTCTAGCTTCTACTACTCGAGCGCAGAGCAAAGAGAGAAGCTCGTCGAGAGCGAGCGAAGATTCGTTGACGACAAGCTGAGGAAGATCGTCGAGCTGAAGAAGGAGGTCTGCGGTGACGATCCCAAGAAGGGATTCGTCATTATCAACCAGAAGGGTATCGACCCTCTCAGCTTGGATGTACTGGTCAAGAACGGTATTTTCGCGCTCAGGAGAGCGAAGAGGAGGAACATGGAGCGCCTCCAGCTTGTTTGCGGTGGAACGTCACAGAACAGCGTTGACGATATGACACCAGATGTGCTTGGTTGGGCTGGTACCGTCTACGAACACCAGTTAGGTGAGGAGAAGTACACCTTCATCGAGGACGTCAAGGAGCCAAAGTCGGTCACTCTCCTTATCAAGGGACCTAACTCGCACACCATCAGCCAGATCAAGGATGCCGTCCGTGATGGTTTGAGGAGTGTCTACAACATGATTGTCGACAAGAGCGTCGTTCCTGGTGGTGGCGCATTCCAAGTCGCCTGCGCCGCTCGCCTCAACAGTGAGGAATTCAGGAAGACAGTCAAGGGCAAGGCGAAGTGGGGTGTATTGGCTTTCGCTGATGCGCTTCTTGTCATTCCTAAGACACTGGCTGCCAACTCTGGTCACGACATCCAAGATTCTCTGGCTGCTCTGCAAGATGAGCACGCAGAGGGCAATGTCGTCGGTCTCAACCTGGCTACCGGTGAGGCCATGGACCCCATACAAGAAGGCGTCTACGACTCGTTCCGCGTGCTGCGCAACTGCATAGCTTCAGCTACCGGAATCGCTTCCAACTTGTTGCTCTGCGACGAGATGCTGAAGGCACGACAGATGGGACGCGCCCCTGGCCCCGGTGACGACCAATGATAGGAAAGAAGTCATATTATGAAAACGGACGTCTAAGCTTTACGGTAGTATCGCGAGCAGGACGGACACTGAGCGGCTGAACTCGCTTGGCTTGTATCGTTCTGCTTACAACGTATAGCGTACAGTCCGAATGAAACAAAATAATAGGACCGTTGACTAATACTGTAGTTCACGATTATTGTGATATGTGAATCCCTACTGACCAAGTCCTTTCTGGCGCGCCTGTTTCTGGACCTTTCTTTGTTCACTCTGCCACAGCTGCTTGTCTTTAGATACGCGAAGGTCATGGAGCCCTCCAGGACTGAAGGGAAGCGAGAAGCACGTGCCCCACCGAGGAGATTCATCGCAAAGTGCGGGGCAAACTTCAATCAGCCTCTCGCATCTCCCTTCCAACGACTGACACCCTTGGACATGGTGACCGACAACAGTGATGAGCTCCAAGACCTGATCCAGCTTGAGTTCTTGACCGCAATATCGGGCAGGCGCGATGCTCGTCACTCTGCCTGTACGATCCGCTCGCTCAAGCACGGCCAATTTCATCACTTGCAGGCAATAGCGACTGCAACACGCACGACCCATCCGGCCCACACGACACCAATCTGGCGCAAGCGAGCGCAAAGGCGAGCGCTCCCATAAACCTGGTCAGGTCAATAATTTAGAAATGATATAAAGATTTAATTTTCTTGTTCTGATTGTGCAGTGCGAGGATTTGTACGAACTCATTTCTTGCCTTTTACCAGAAGTGACCGCGAGTCCCGCACAACACTGCACTTACTCAATCTTTGGACCAAACTCCATGGGTTCAACCCATACTTTTTGTAATTTTCAACACCATCTCATCATATCAAGTCGACTCTGCGCTTCCCAACCCACTTATCCGTTTGTTTTTGCCAAGTTTATTCGTCAAGCTTCACTTTTCTGAAGTTTTGCTTGAGCGATGGAAGATGGGACAAAGACTGAAACTTGGTACGTGCTTTGTCCAAGCGCTTTCTTTTCGCAGCGCTCAGCTCCCCGTCTCTTCGACACCCACATCGACACATCCATCACCGCAGTGCCCTTCGCATTGGGAGTGTCAACTCGCGTCTCACTAATAGTTATTGATAGCTTGTTGAGCGATCCTACTGTGCGAACCATTGCTAGACTTCTGCTGCTGTTTCTCCTGCGTTTCGTCCATCTGCGAACAGGTCCTCGTTCATGAAACTCTAACCATCTTGCAGCACGCCATGGTGGCAACGATAACCTCCAGGCGTGGACAAAAATTTCGGGCGTATTGATATCGACTCTGGGAATTGAGCCAAGGACGAGGGTGTTCTGCTGACAACTAACGGCCTCCGCATCGATCTCAAGGGCTCATAAGCATGAGGAGACGACTAACTTACCGTCCTGCCACCACGCACAAGAGCTGATTAACTAAACCGAAAGCGCCTGAAAGGTGTGACCATATCGTAGGTACCTCCAGGCTTTCCATATCATACATCTCGAATTGACTTCATTGTCTTTCCACACTGCGTGTCAAACTCAGCAATAGTCCTCACCTATTCCATGGCGTTGTTTATATTAACTTCGCTTCTGCCTTCGTCTTCTCTTGCATGATCTGGCCGTTCGCCCGACATGCCGAACATCCCTTGTTGGCAGCGTTGGCCCTCCCTTCGACACCTGCAGTCGCCCTCTCCGACAGATGCAAGAGCTAGTATTAGGTACGAGCACATGCTCTGGAACTGCATGAGAAAAGCTTGTTCGAAATGGTTCGCATTGAGTGGTGCAACATGCGTAGTCACCTCGCTTCGTAGCATTTGTGCACCTCCTAGCCGCAACGGGTGCGCTTATCATCTGCCATCGATCCTTCAGGCAAGGTACAAGATTATGAGGCTCAATTGGAGGTCTCAAGTGACGTTCGTACGCATATTCTGACATGTCACCTCCAAATGCAAGGTGTGGCGCGCCTTCACGTTTCAGATCTCAAATCCTCATTTCAGGCCTATTTCGTGTTTCGCCTGACACAAGGCTCATTTAAGTCGTTCACTGCCTCAAACGCTCCCTCGACAAAACGATGCGTTCAACTGCTGACGTTGATGGTCACCCTGGCGGCTCATGATAGCAGGCGGCTGCTTAGAGCATACGAAGACCTCTAGGGTACGACGACTGGAGGGAAACTGGGGCTGTGTCCAGGCGACATCACGACGTGAGGGAAGCATTGAGAGCCTCGAGGGCCATCTGGCTAGAGTGGGAAGCGAGGCTCACCTTCACTTGCTGACAATCGCGGTTGCCCTGGCGGCGCGCCAAGAAAGCAAGGTCGACGCAGGTACCAAACACTCGCATAACACTCGCTCTTCTCCTTTGCTTGCACCTGCCTCCCCACCACACTCTTTACACCCATTTCCCTTCTGCTCCGAAGCTTCTCAACTCGGCCCAGCCCGACTCACCTTCCTTTCACTCCAGCTGCGGGCAGTCAGTCACTCTTTATCATTTTGCTCAAGCTGCATCTCTGCACTTCTGCACCCCAAACACCCCCGCAAACACCTCGAGGGCCATCTTTGCGCAGTAAAGTTACATTGAGCATTCCATAGCACTCGCTTCATACTCACCATGAAGTCCATCGTTATTGCGGGCGCACTCGCCGCGATCCTGGGCACTGCTAGCAGTCGTCCCCTCAGTATGTATAGTCACTTGAGATACTGATTGGGAAGCTAACAGTTCGTAGACTTCAGGCGCGACTATATCACCGAGATTGTCTACGTCACGGAGACTCTCGCTGATGCGGTCATCTATGTTGACCAGGACGGTGTGCCATACTCGACCTCGACCGTGGAGCAGTCGACTACGGCTACGTCTGTGGAGGTGGTCACTACGTCTGAGGTGACTCCCACGGTGACCCCAGCTGTCTCTATTTCCGCAGCGCCTGTCGTCGTGCCTCCATCCGCTGCGCCTGCTCCGCCAGCTTCTTCTGCGACAGTGCCTTCGTTCTCTTTCGTGGCACCTCAGCCTCAGCCATCGTCGGCCGAAGTCAAGAACGAGTCTACTACAACCGCCGCAGTCGAGTCTTCTTACACCCCCCCACCTCCACCTCCTTCGCCCACTACACCGGCGCTGGCACCGGAGTCCTCTTCACCTCCACCTGCCCCACCTTCAACTGCAGCCGCGCCTACTTCTTCCCAGGCACCTCAAGCTGACAAGCAAAATGACAACGGACTTCCCAACGGTGTGACGTACGACCCTTTCACCGGCTCGGAGGGCAACACTCGCTGCAAAACTGACACTGAGGTTGCCGACGAGTTCAGCAGGATGGGCTCCTACAAGGTCGTCCGCATCTACGGCATGGGTTGCAACATCATCCCACTCGCCGTCCAGAACGCCCAAAAGAACGGTCAAATGCTCATGGGTGGCGCATACCTCAGCAACAAGGGCAATGGCGAGGATCTTAGCATTGTCATCACGACCTGGAAGAGCACTATTGACCAGTATGCTGGCGGTAGCTGGGATATCATGAAGCTGTTCTCTGTTGAGAACGAGCGTGTCAACGATCGTGATATGACTGCTTCCGAAGTTGTCGATGCTATTCGCCGTGGCCGCGACCAGCTCCGTGGAGTTGGATACAATGGTCCTGTTGGAGCCGTTGATACAGTGCCCGCGACCCTTGACAACCCTTCTATCTGTCAGGCGTCCGATGTTGTCATGGTCAACTGCCATCCCTTCTTCGACCAGAACACCGCCGCTGAGGATGCCGGTACCTTCGTTAAGGGCCAGATCGAGCGAGTTAAGACCGCTTGTAACACCAACCGCGTCGTTGTCACCGAGACTGGCTGGCCTCACCAGGGTGATGCCAACGGCAAGGCTGTTCCATCGCCCGACAACCAGGCCAAGGCTCTATCTTCCATTCGCAGCGAGTTCACTTCCGATGTCTTCATCCACAACTCTTTTGACTCACCTTGGAAGTCGGACTGGGCCTCCTCCTTCAACGCCGAGCGTTACTGGGGAGTCATTCAGTAGAGGTCTTTGAGTACTTCTGGCTGACGTTGTAGGCATACTTACGATGCGCAGCTAGTTTCTGCGTATCCGTCATCTCACATCATGCCCACCAGCAGCTCTGGACTGCGTAAGAGTGGCTGGTATTTTTCGGCCATCATGGATCATGCGGATATGCATCATGTAATATAGATAGTAGTCGGAATGACGAATGCATGTATGAAAACCACCACACCGTCGTAGTCGTGAAGAGTGGTGTCTACTAAATAGTAGCATCGAATGTTTAGTGCTTTTCCATCTGTTTTCCATCTGTGATCCTTGGAGGAAAACACATCTGATTTGACGCCACCAGACTGTTTTGTTGACGCAACAGAAATGCTTTGCGTAGACCGGCTTTATGTTTCGTACGATTTCATTTGCTAACGCTAACATTTGAAAATGAGAAGAGTCTGAAGTTACCGTCAAGCCATCAAACCATTGAATATCCTACTCCACCTGCGCATTCTTCCTCGCTGCCGCCTCTGCAACGCCCTTCAGAGCAGCCGGAGCATCGTTCCACGGCATAACCAACTCCACAAACCTCATCTTCTGGGTCTCACCACTCTTAAACTGCTCATCATTGAACAGCTCCTCAACCTGCTGCTTACTCTCCACCCTATATGTCAGTACGCTGCCCTTCGGCGCGCCAAACACCTCAGGCAGGTCCTTGTACTTCCACTCCTGCACATCATTGTAGTTGTCCTTCCACCCATGGATCAGGCGCTCGATTGTGTACCCCTTGTTGCAGATAACGAAGATAATGGGGTTCAGCTTGTTGCGGATCATGGTGCTGACTTCTTGGGCTGTGAGCTGGAAGCTACCATCGCCTGTGAAGAGGATGGTGCGCTTGATTCCTTTCTCCTTCGCCGCGAGCGCGGCCCCCTGACACGAACCGGTTGCGTAGCCGATGCTGCCCCATAGCACTTGACTGATGGCGTTGACGTCGGCGGGGAATCGAGTTTCCCAAATGCCGAAGTTGGAGGTGCCGGTTTCTGTTAGGATGATGTCGGATTTCTGCAGGAATTGGCCGAGACGCGGCCAGAACCAGGCGTGTGTGATTGTGGGCTCGGGTGACTCGAGCTCCTCGGTGGGGATGTCGTTATTGGGGTCGGGGCCCTTTTCGATGTTGAGTTGGCCGAGCTTTTGGGTTACTTTGGCGAGGACGCCGTTCATGCGGACGCCTGGGTATTCTGAGTAGCGGACTTTGACGCCGTAGCTGTGGAAGTCGATTGTGTTGAGTTGGGATTGGCGGATTGTGAAGCCGGCGGTGTTGAAGTCGGATTTGATGGCACCGATGCTGAGGACTAGGTCCGAGGACTCGACACGCTCACGGACGCCCTTGTTGCTACCGTCGCCGGCATAGACACCGCCGAAGTTGGGAAGAGTTTCGTCGACGGCACCCTTGCCCATTGGCGCGACGAAGGTGGGTAGGCCAGACTTCTTTACCAGTTCGTGGGTCTCCTTGAGTGCTCGGTGCCGGATGGCGCAGGCGTCGACCAGGATGACGGGGTTTTTCGCAGCGTGGAGGTACTTGAGAACAACGTCTACTACGTAGTCTTCTCGCTCTTGCTCATTTGCTGGGTAGTGCAGGTCAAGCGGTGTATTAAGCCTGTCGCCGTCCACCTTCTTCTGTACCATGTCTGTCGGGAGGGAGATGTACACCGGTCTTGAGTGGAGAATGCATTCCCGAACAGCGTTGTCGATGAGAGTCGCTGCCTCGTGTATGTTGTTTAGCATGGAAACAGCGCAAGAGATCTCCTTGGACATTCTCGAGAAGACGGTGAAGTCGCCGTTGCCGAGCGTGTGGTGCAGAAGAGCGCCATCGCTCTGTGATAACGTCGACGGGTAGCCAACAATGTGAACAATGGGGACGTATTCTGAGTATGCACCCGCAATTGCGTTGACCGCAGACAGCTCACCAACACCGAATGTGGTGACGAGTGCGGAGACGCCCTTCACACGGGCATAGCCATCGGCTGCGTAGCCTGCGTTGAGCTCATTGCAGTTGCCAACCCACTTCAGTCCATTTTTGGGGATGTAGTCGAGAGCAACAAGGTTGTAGTCACCGGGGACACCGTGAATTGACTCAACACCGACCTCCTTCAGGCGTCGAAAGAGGTACTACACATGAAACGTGAGCTTGCTAGCCTGGGAAGCTTCACGTGAAGAGAGACTAACCTCCGCAACGTCAATTGGGTTCTTGATGTTCTGTGATCTCAGGTCTTGAGCCATTGTGCCAAGGGAGACGACCTGTGTAAGCTTTGAATCTAAGAAACAGTAGTATTCTGGTGTTGTTGACGTGGGTGCTGCGAGTGCTTTAAGGGTTCAGGTCTACGATGCGATGACATCAATGTCGACCGGTTGCTGCCGGAAGGGACCACTCAAAGCAGTTTCCTCAACAGAGTTTTGGACGAGCACCACATGTAACGCGACGTGGTTTAGTCAGGAACGTTCGTCAGCCCATGGCGTGAGCAAAATGCCCTGAATATCTCCCAAAAGATAGCATTGCAACCTCAAACGCGGCTCTTGTTGCAAACGATCAGTGCATCTATCGACCGACGGTCTCGTCTGAGTGGCATGCAGCGATAACGGTGTGGTCTCTGCAGCGCATTGCCAGCGTCGAGTGGTGAGACGCAGAACACAACACGCACGATTTCGATGTTGGTCGAGGGCGTGATGCAGGCACTCTGCAGGGGAGTGCAGCCGCAACACGACTGATTCAAGTTTCGCGTTGGCGCAGTGAAGCGCGCTCTCGTGCTGCTGCTGCTCGTGCAAACCTCTCTGGTGGTGTGTTTGTTGTTGGGTAGAAACGTGGCGGCGCTGTCATTTACAGATGTCAACCAAAGTTCGACGGGCAACTTCCGCTGTAAGATAACAGCGAGCGTGTGAAGGCCATGGCGAGCGAGCCGTTGACAGGCGTTGACAGCTCTCTACGTTAGCCTGTCTCAGCGGCGTCTGTCGTGTGCGCTGGAGTGCAGCGGGACGCGCAGCCCTCACCTCACAGCTGGGTGGGCCATCTGACTGCCTCCAGCAGAGGTGCAGCTGAGGGCGCAGGCATCAACACCATCGTGCATCTTCGCGCATCTGATCCCATACTGATCCCATACTGATCCCATATCCCTCGACACCTTGGTGTAGCCGTGCAGCAATCTGCGCCAGCTCGTATACGCGTACTGCGGTTCCCGCTGTCCCATCTTTGTCTGCGACGTCTAAGCGCCCGCCAGGCCTCTCAGAGCGCCCTCCCAAGCGCAGACGCCGAGAGCCAGCTTCAGGTCTGCCGCCTCTCGCTGGCCAACGTCTGCCCGTCTACTGCGTGGATCCCCTCATTACTGACGGCCGTTCATGCGCCCGCCCGCTGCGCCCATCGACCGACCCCAGACTTCCGGATTCCCATAAGCTGCTGCCCGCTAACTAGCCTCGTACCCACTCCGCCCGTGGCCAACCCATCCTCAATCTGACAGGGAGCACGGAGCTTTCCAAGCACCGCAGGCAAGATCTGTTTGTTGGTACCCCACGGCCTCGCTCAGCGTGCGGCGACACCAGCGAGCAGACGACGACTCGGCTGCCGCGCAACGTCGTGATGCTGCCCTGAGGAGCTCCTTCACAGCGCACCCGCCCACGAGACATGACAATTGCGCCGCGCCAACGCTCCTCGTCGTCCCTTTCGCAACCCGCTCTCTCAGATCGCACCGGTCGCCGTGCTCCGCCAGCTCCCCTCCCGACGCTGCACTCGAGCCTGAGCGTGCCAGAAAGCCAGTTGCTGCCCGACTCCTCGAGCCCTCGCAGCAGGGCGCACACCGTTGCCGATCCCCAGCAGCCCCTACAAAGACAGCAGGGCTACGCCCAGCACCTCGCCATGTACCAGCTACCCCCTCCCCCTCGCCAGCCTGCGTCGGCACCCGCACAGCACATGGGCCTGCCGCCGCCGCCGCCCCGGCCCTCGACGGGCATGAACATCCCCCCTCCTCCCCACCCAGGAGGCTATGGCGTAGGCGGCTGGGGCGCTCCTCCGCAGCAACGCCAACAGCAACAACAGTACCCGCAGCCTGGATACAACCCCAGCTTGTACCAGGGCTACCAATCGCACCTGCCCCCTCCGCCAGGTCCTCCACCGCTACAGCAACAGGTCGAGGCGCCCCTCACTTCGGCTACATACATACCTGATGGAGAATCCTTTGGTCCAGGAGTGGGCATACCTGCCTTGCAATCGCATGCTGCGAGGCAGTACTCAGAGCCCACGTTCTACAGGGAAGATGGCTTCCCTCCCAATGCTGATATGTCAGGCACGAGCTTCCTCAATCTCCACGACAGCGTCCAGAGTGTCCAATACGGCTCGAGTGCTCCTCTCAACTTTCCTTCAACACCAAGCAATCGCGGCCACCTCGGGATACCACAAGATCGAGGAGCAGCTTACGATCAGTCCGGCGCTATGCAGAACCACACCAATGCCTACCATCGCCCAGACGGCCCCGTATCACCACCTGTTACCTCGCCACAATGGTCAGCCGAACACGTGCAACGATGGCTAGCAGACAATGGCTTCTCGAAGGACTGGCAGGAGACGTTCAGGACACTAGGTTTGGAAAGTTCCAGGTTCCTCGACATTGGACGTGGTCACGGCTCGAAGGGCAACGTCGCCATGATGCACCAGGTCATCTTCCCACAGCTCGCCAAACAGACAACAGCAAGTGGTACAGGCTGGGATCAGAACAGAGAAAGAGACGAGGGTCGCAAGCTGCGCAGGCTCGTACGCCAGATCGTAGAGACTGGAAGCTCAGGTCCTGTCCGAGTGCCCCAACGCACCGACACTGGCGTCACAGTGCCCAGTGCAGGGACTGATGGTGGCGTTGAGCACTCGCCTTTCATGCCGCCGAATCCGTTGGGTTTTGGTTCGACTCCCACTACAGCTGGCAACGGCGAAGAGAGCCCCGGTAGACATATGCTTTTGCACTCGCCTTCAGCTTCTGGGCCTCCGCGACGGATCTCGACGCAGCAGAGGAACTTCACTGTACCAACAATTGGCCCGCCACCAGACTATTCAGAGGGTCGCAGCGCGTTCTCCAAAGAAGTACTTCGCGACCTGGAACCCAACACCAAGAGGCACAGCCCGAACGTTTCGAGTGATTTCGGGCCCTCAGCATTTGGATCACATCGACAAGCAAGTCCACAGCAAAGTCCAGCGCTGTCGTCCGCACGACTCGCGACGAATGGCGGGCAGCTCAGTGCAGGCATTGCTGCTAACGGCCAACGTTACTACTCGCACGCCCGTGGGAACAGCTCTGAGTCTAACCTGTCCACATTTGCGACCACAGGGTCAGGGCCGCCTACGGGTCGCTCCTTCATGGAGGGTCGATCTGACAGCCGCAATGAGAACAAGAGGAATGGACATGAAGCCACTCGGCCTGGCACTGGATTCTCGCGATACGATAACGCAGAGCCATTGAGCGCCAAAGATCATCACAAGGGGTTCTTTGGTAAGATCATGGGCAGGGACAGGAAGAAGCAGGAAAGTCACCCGTCTCCAGATGATACTAGTCTGGACTCCCCTACTAGTCCAGCAAGTCATCGACATCATCCGAGTGGATCGTTCTTTGGCAAATCCGGTATGAACTCCAGTGAAACATCCTTGAACGAGCGTCCACCTTCTCGACGGTCTGCGCAAACAGACGCAGAGAGCCGACTGTCCGGGCGTACGCGTATTTCGATACGAGAGGAGCGCAGATATGCATTTGTCACACCGGATGGCTGGAATTATCGTCTGATCGACATCACCAATGCAGACTCCGCTGCAGCTATACGGCACATGTGTTGCGAAGAGTTGAGTTTAGGTCTCAGTCAAATGCCGGGAGTTGAGCTGTTCATGACAACGCCAGGGCAGTATGAGCATGAAGACGCGCTCTCCGACACCAATCTTCTGAAAGCTCGTTCACAGTTCGGTAACAAGTTTGGAGAACTGAAGATTTTCGTCAAAATCCCACAAGAAGACACGAGCGCAGCCTCGAATGGTCTTGGCGTCTCCATGTCGCAACCGACTGGACTGGATGCCAACTCCCAGGCTGGGTCTCCTGGTGGTCTGAAGTCTGGAGAGTCGACGCTTGTGCCGGCTCAAGCTGCAGCATTGCGCAAATTAACAGAAAAGGAGGAGGTGCCTTCCGATACCAGTTCGAGTCGATTGAACGTAGGCGGAAGGCCGACTGAGCCATCATGGCCCGCTGGCGACGATGCTTCTGAGCAGGAACGCCGCAGGATGCTCGAACTGGCTGCAGAGGAGCATCGCAAAGAGACGAAGCGCAAACAGGAAGAGTATCTCAAGGGTCGCATGCAGCGGTTGAAAGGCAACAGTCCTGACCCTCTGTCTGCGTCAGGCGACAGTCTTGGATTCCGAAGCGCTGGCATCATTGACTTCGATGAGCCACGCAACTCTCCATACGAGGACCTCAAGAAACCTTTTGAGGCTCAGAAACCCAACAACAAGGAAATCGGAACGCCCAAGAGGCCGCCGCCACCAGTACCAGCTGACACGACAACACTTCTCAAAGCTAACTCGCTATCAAGGAGCAAAACTCGTCCACCGTCTTGGCCAGAAGGAGATGACACTTCGTCTAAGCGGAAGTCGACTGAGTCTGAATCAGCCAAACGGAAAGCAATACCTCAAGGTCCAAGTGGTCTTTCGAACATTGCGGCTGCCATCATCGGAGCAGGTATTGCTGGTGGCTCTGTGGGAGCAGCCAACAAAGCACTTCCTAAGCCTCCACCAAAGGAAGAGATGCATGACTCCTCGCCCGAGAGCATTCGTCCCTCTCAACAAGTTCTGAAGGATAGCGGGTTTGGACCCGCGGCCGGATCTGGCAGGAACAGTCCAGGTGTGTCTCCTCGCAGCCCCGGCGAATTTATAATGAGCAAAGGCAACATTCCGTTCAAAATACCTGACTACATCGAAGCTTTACAAGACGAAGTGGCCTTTGATAAGCCGAGTCTCACATTGGCGATGCCTACTCCACCCCGCCCGACCGTAGACCAATCAAAAGAAGAGCGACCACGCTCGCCAGACTTCGGCCCTACCTCTTCTCGCGCACCTTCAACCGCGCTTACACGAGAATCGTCAAGGGTATCGATATATGGACCAACGCACGACTTCGAAGAAGCGCGTGTATCTTTCCACACCACCACACCAAACCTTGATTCTGACGATTCTGACGACGATGATTCGGATGATGGTCTATTTGCTGCACCGCTCGCTGGGCGCAGTCCACCAGCGCCAGCACGGACTGTGTCTATTGCCAGGAACACCAGTGGTCATCGAGCACAACGCCCTAACCTGAAGCTCAAGACGTCGCGTTCGAAGAACTCGCTAGCTCAGGTGGCGGAACAGCAAGAACAAAACACAGCTGACGAACGTCAATCACACAACAGTGACAAGATCCCTGAGTCCGCTGCTTCTGCGACATGGACCGATTCACCACGTGATGAACCCGACTTCAACCGTCGTGACTCGTTCGCCAGCAACGTATGGGCAAATCGTCCACCTGCCGAAGCCCTCGTGGACCACCTCGATGAGCTCTTCCCCAACGTCAACCTCGACCAACCAATGCTCGAAGAGGATGAGACGGACTCATCAACAGATCCATCCACCGACTCTTCGAATGGGAGCACAGGTACTTTGACGCCAATGTCCTCTCTGGATGACGCTGGACCAGCGAATCCAACACTGAGTCGAGGAAAGACTGGTCTGCAGTCTATCGCTCAACGCAACATGCGGAAGTCTGGCGTAGGTCTCGGACGGACGAAATCTATCCGCGAGGTAGTCAAGTCTCAGTACCACCCCATGGAAAAGAGGCCGATGCCCGGCCAGGCCGCTGCTGCAGGCCCTTCGCGAGTTGCTACGCTCCGCAATGGTGGCGATATCGTGAGAAGGAAGTCAACCAAGATGTTCCACGCTAGGATCGAGCAGGTCAAGCCATCAAGAGGATCGCGACTTATCCAGCTCGAGACAATCCCCCAGGATACCCTTCCTCAGATGCAACGCCAGCCAACGTTCAAATGGATGAAGGGTCAACTGATCGGCAAGGGAACGTTCGGTCGTGTGTACCTCGGTATGAACATCACCACTGGTGAGCTTATCGCAGTCAAACAAGTCGAAGTCAATGCTAAAGCAGCCGGATCCGACAAGGACAAGATCAAGGAGCTAGTCAAGAGTCTTGACCAGGAGATCGACACGATGCAGCATCTTGACCACCCCAACATCGTGCAGTACCTTGGATGCGAGCGCAAAGAGTACAGCATCTCCATCTTCCTTGAGTACATATCTGGTGGCTCAGTCGGCTCCTGCATTCGCAAGCACGGCAAGTTTGAAGAATCAGTCGTCAGCTCCCTGACGCGTCAAACCCTTCTCGGCCTCTCTTACCTCCACCGCGAAGGCATCTTGCACCGCGACCTCAAAGCCGACAACATCCTACTCGATCTCGACGGCACATGCAAGATCTCTGACTTCGGTATCTCCAAGAAGAGCGACAACATCTACGGCAACGACGTCACCAACTCCATGCAGGGCTCCGTCTTCTGGATGGCGCCCGAGGTTATCCGCTCTCAGGGTCAGGGATACAGCGCGAAGGTAGACATCTGGTCCCTTGGCTGCGTCGTTCTGGAGATGTTTGCTGGCAAGCGTCCCTGGAGTCGCGAGGAAGCCATCGGCGCCATCTACAAGCTAGGTTCCTTAAACCAAGCTCCTCCCATCCCCGAGGACGTCAGCAGAGCTATCAGCATCGAGGGCCTGAGTTTCATGTACGACTGCTTCACCATCGATCCCACCGAGCGTCCTACAGCTGAGACCTTGTTGCGCGCACCATTCTGCTTCAGCGATCCGAACTACAATTTCTTGGATACGGAGCTGTATGCGAAGATCCGTGGCGCATTCCAGTAGAGCCTTGTAATGAGTCGTCTTTTGGCGGATTCGACGGACAGAATCTTCTTTGTTTCTACGTGTGTATTTCGAAATGGATTATATACCCCTCTTTTGTACTTTCATTTATCCTTTTCTTTTAGAAATAACGTTCTAGTAGGGTAGATGGCAACGATGATACCAATACCAAGTTTCAATTGTAGTTCAGATCCAGATTTTTTTGTAATTGATGGACTGTGTGGTTCGACTGTTGCTTCTGACTGATGCTGTACCCCGGAGTTGTACGAGTTGACCGCAAAGCCACGGCGCAAAGCCGGCTTCGTGTAGAAGCTACGCGGCGGAGCGCCTAGAACGTTTATCGTCGTACTCAACGGCCAAGCCCGCACGCCAACTGGGCGACCCTTCGGAGAGCGACCAATGCTGACGTGCTGCTCGGTGGACGTTGAACCAGCAGGTATTGACGCGCACGCACCTTCGCTACAAAGGTACCGAAATTCAGATCTGCATGTCTCGTGTGGTGTTGCTAAGTATACTCGGGATCCCCACGGTGACGTGAGTTGTGGTTTGGATACGGTGAACATCACTCGTGAATGAGGAGGGAATACACAAGTTGATACGAAGGTTCGCCTAAGTGCGCGTCTGCAAAGTTCAGCAAAAACTTGACGAGCTACTGATGTGTACGCTTTCTCAAAGTTCAGATTCTCTGCACCGCCACCATCGGGCCTCAGGGCTGAGAGATTGCGATGCAGCTCTCGTACCTGCATCAGTATCTAGGGACTTCCTGCTCCACCTTCATCCTGTTGAGATGGTGCCTGTAGATCCGGCCCTTCTCAACGCATGTTTGCATTGCTTATGTAGTCAAGCTTTTGCGAGCTGTGGGGTGTTGAAACAGCTGTCGAATGAGTGACTTAATTCCGAGATGACATGGGGGTTGATTGGCCTGCCATGGCTGCCGGTGGTGAAACATTGGCTCCTTCCTCGGCTGGACGAAGTGAGTGGTGGATGCAGGATGCAGATCACCCTGCCTGAAATTTTGGAGGCGGATACGGAAAGAGGAGCGGCAGTCTGTTCTGCTTTTGGTATGCCTGTGTTGTTCGCAACTAAAAGGGACAATATTCATGATTCGAAAGCTACTACGAGTAAGGAGTTCATGTGCAGCGTCAGCATGTACAGCGATTCTTCCTTTTGCGGTACGCTACAAAGCAATTTCAATCGTCAGAACCAGCGCTGACGACTGCACTAAACTGGATGCTGTTCGGCGTCTTGACTCTTTGCCTGGTGGCTGAGTGCTAGTAGTGTCTTTTGGGCGATGGACTGCGAGGCCGCATGGAGGGTCCAGCGGGCCAGCAAGCTCGAGCTCATCTCTCGTCTCGTGCAAGAACGAGCGGGCCGTCAATCTCATGTGCACCTCGTATACAGATGCCTCAGGTTGCACAACCGTCACAACGGGAGGGGCTGCCTTTATCTCCAGGATACGATGCAGCATCTGGTGGAGCTGGCGTGAGCTTGCTTTGAAGCCTTCCCCATCAGCAATCGGGTGCCGTCCAAGCGCCCGCAGATGTTTGCGCTTTGGGGATAGTCAGGGGCGTAGCTGCGGATCAGAGCGAGTTGGCTGTTTCGCAGCGACAGGGACTCGCCAAATTCCCACCATCGCCAGCTTCACCCAATCAGGACTCCACGAGGGCCACAAATCTGATAGCGCCACCAGCTCCATCTCCACCGCCTCACCAGCACTGGACACGACGTGGGATCAGCCCAATCCTAGTCGAGCATGGCTAGAAATAGGATGTTTGATATATGACCCGACAAGCCGCCACTGCCTGTCCCGTGGTAAACCTCTGATTCTTCGTTGTCTTTTGACGTCCGGGTTTCTGTTTAGGACTTTAGCTTTTTCCTCTTACAGACCGAGGACTCGATCCGACGTCGTTACGCTCTTTTGGACACGCATCGCTCTTTAATCGCATCTCAGCACGTTTTGGCTTCCTTTCGTCTGTCATTGTTTTCGAAAAGTGCATAGCATTACTTCGACCATGGCAAACTTCAGCAAGCCCCAGAACATGACCACCATGTTGTTCGCCTTGTTCGCTTTCCTTCAGTTCACAGTCGCCCTCCAGCACGGAGCCCACCACCAACACCACGCTCGTCATTCGCAAGACGCCATCCTCAAGAGGCAGATTGATGAGATCGCTGACAGCCTGGTTGCCCGTCAGTCGAGTGGATACACCGCCATCACCGGTGTCTGCAGCACAAGCACCGGCAGCGATGGCACCTGTAACAGCAACGGCCGTGTCTCTGCTCCTCGTCTCGAGATCCGCCAGTTGAAGCAGAACGCCGACCAATGGAACCTGTACTTGCTGGGAATGGAGAGATTCATGGCAAAGGACAAGAACGACAGGCTTTCGTACTACCAGGTTGTTGGTGTCCACGGCCGTCCTTTTGTCACCTGGAACAACTTCCCCACTCCTTTGCTCAACCAGGCTGGTTTCTGCCCTCACGCGCAGACTCTTTTCGGTTCCTGGCACAGGCCGTACCTGGCTATCTTCGAGGTAAGCATTCTGCGCTACAAAACACGAATTGATACTGATCCTTGCGCAGCAAGCCTTGTACCAGAGTGTTCAGGAGGTCATCGACACGTTTCCCGAGGGCCAGCGGAGCCGATGGCAGCAAGCTGCGGCGACCCTGCGCATGCCCTACTGGGACTGGGCGCAGGATGGTGGCAGTGCTACCGTTCCTACCTTGATCCGTGACCAGACCGTAACTGTCACCAAGCCTTCTGGAACCGTTACCATCGCCAACCCTCTCTACTCGTACAGCTGGGGCAGCTCTCTCCCATCTGAGATAGGTGGTGGCCCATGGAACAACTGGCCCAACACACTCCGTCGCCCCGTTGCCAACCCTACCCGCAGCAACAACAACGAGATGAATGCCCGCTTCAACGCTATGCGCGTTTCTCTCCGTGACCGTGTCTTTGCTCTCTTCTCCAGCAAGCAGTCCTGGGGTGCCGCCTCCACTTCCCAGATTGGTGTCCGCACTGATCTGAGCGGCAGCGGTGTTGACAGCTTCGAGTCTGTCCACGATGCCATCCACAACACTGCTGGCGGTGAGACTGGTGGCCACATGTACTACCTCGACATCTCTTCCTTCGACCCCATCTTCTGGCTCCACCACACCAACGTCGACCGTCTGCTTGCCATGTACCAGCTCATCGTCCCCAACACCTACGTTGCCAACGGCAACATCAACCGTGGTATGGCTCAGTGGCAGCAGGGTGAGGCAAAGAACAGCTACACTCCTCTCAAGCCATTCACCAAGAACACCAAGGGTGACTACTTCACCTCCCAGGACATTAGGGAGACCCGTGTTCTCGGATACCACTACCCCGAGACCAGCGATCGCACCTACTCTCAGGTTGCTCGCGCTGTTACCAGCCTTTACGGTGCTGGCCAGCGCACTCTCAGCAGGCGTGCCGATAACGAGACCTCGTACGAGACCGGCCAGTACCAGGGTCGTCCTCTCAAGGAGGGTGACTACCACCACGTTCTTTCCATTGTCGCTGACAAGTTCGCTATGGACGGCTCCTACACTGTCCACTGCTTCATCGGCAAGCCTGGCTCCAACTCCACCTCCAACTCGACTGCCCCGTACTCGAACTCAACCGCGCCCTACCCGATTTCCAACTCGACTGCTCCCTACACCAACGGCACCAGCTCCGAGGCCGACTACGACCCATCGACCGACTACACCCAAGACCCCAACTACGTCGGTGCCTACGGTATCCTCGGTGGCATGAAGGCTGGCGGCGGCAACGCCACCTACCCCATCATGACCGAAGGCGCTCTTCCTCTCACCACCTGCCTCCAGGGCAAGGAGGCCGACGGATCCCTCAAGTCTCTCCACCCAGACGATGTCGAGCCCTACCTCGCCGAGAACCTCTACTACAAGGTCGTTGGCCTCAACGGCGAGCTCAACCCCGACGACATCCCCAACTTCCACGTCTACGCCAAGTGCACCAAGGTCACCCCTGCCGCTTCCGACGACGAGCTCCCCGACCTCAGCGCCCCATACCAGACTCTCCCCAAGGCAACCGAGAACAAGCCCGCCGGCAAGCCGTTCACATACACCCCCAGCCCCATCGATATTCCCCTGCCTGACGGCCCGGAGTATGAGGAGGGTCCTTCTGCCGGCCAGCCTAGCACGCCTTACCCCAGCTCTGGCGTCTTCCCGTACCCTACACTGCCGTGGGAGGAGCAGGGCTACTGTGTTACGAAGCAGACGATTGAGTATGTTGACCAGGATGGCAACTTCTTGTATGCTGAGATGTAAGGTGGATGTGTGAATAGAGCGAATAAAAGAGAGAGAGAGTGTGTGTGTGTTTGTGGATAGAGGGGATGATATTCGAAATGTGTATATTTTTTCTTTGCATAATACCTTCCAATGCACATTGACATGAGGATGTTTGTTTCCTTGAGTTACTAGAAACGTCCACTGTGCTCCTGCGTGAGTTCACAAATGTTAACGAATGTCCTCCTCAATTGTACGTCCATTCACGCCTCTCATCATTCCCAAGAGTCTCGATAGGCTACTTAAGCAGAAGGATGTGCGCCTCGATGTGCTGCGGTGATGCTATCGTAATATCTCCATAGTCGTCCGAACAAGCTTAAACATGTTCATTTCCTGCCGAACAACCGTGCTGCCCATCGAGCAAGGGATCTGTTGCTATTTGCGAGCATGACGCGTCGGAAAGCGGGTGCAAAATAGAGAGATGGCGGATCCCGGTCTACCTCATTACAAAGGACAAACTTTGTCACGACGATAAAGCAATGGTGATGTGAGGATAGTGAGTAGATTGTGTGTTTATATGCTTATGAGAAGGGCAGTAGCTGCACGTCGCTCGTCACTCGTGAGTGGGGGTATCTTAGAAGCGAAATGATGAAAGGAAACACTCCAACCTCCGCCTATGTGCGCTTGCCAACATGCTCGATCCTGTACTCTGTACTCCACGTAAATCAATCAGACCATATGCCTATCTCCAGGTCAGTCACAATTCCTTGGTGTTCAGGATTCTCGAAGACTTACCATAACGATCCTCCCCGAAAGAACCTAGCGAGAGCCTTAGCAAATCCTATTCACGAACACGTTACATGACAACGCACTTTTGATCCGCATACACCTCACCATACTGGTCAACCCCAGCCATGTGCTCGTTGTAGCGCTGCTTGGCCTTGACTTCGTCCGGAAACCATTTCTTCAGGAAGACAGCGAGTTCGTTGTCGAGATTATCTGTGTTCAATTAGCAATCTTTTTTTTTTTCTTCAAAGGGAAGCAGAAGGAAAGGGTGCTCCGTGAGACCCTCAGTCCGTTTGGGCATGCTTACCAGAGTTCGCGTCGAAGACGGTCTTCGCCCTGCAGAATGGACAGTTGTGCTGTTTGTTGTTCTGCATAACGATGAGACACCTGATGCAGAACACGTGTCCGCAGGAGAGTTTGACGGGCCGCCACTCGATCTCGCAGCACATCGGACAGCTGTAGTCGTCGAGCTGCGGTACGTGGCTCAGGATCCTTGTATTGACCTCAGCACATACGGCCTTGGCCAAATGCTCGCTGAACTCTGGATACTCGACTTGTCTTGGGAACGTCCTCTTCACACCCAGCGCCGTGCGCTTATCGAACTTCTTCAGAATCTTGATCATAGCATTGTGGTTTATTTCGCCGAAGCGCAGACCCTGCAGGATCTCACGGTTGATATGCATAAACATATTCAGCGCGGTCATATTCTCCTTCTTCTTGAACTTCTCCACCAATCCCGCTCGCGCAATCTTGTTGCTGAATTCAGCCAGTCGTTGTGTAGCTTTGTCTGCGTTGTGGGATTTGTGGTCCTGCTCCGTGTTGCCGAAGAAAATGCCTTCTTCGATGTACATTTGGAAGACTTGGCGCCAGGCGGCGATGGTTTTCTTGTTGGAGCGCTTGTTGACGTCGGTTAGTTTGGCGATTTGGGAGCCGAGCGATTCGATGGAGGCGTGCATGCGCTTTTCCTCGCGTTCTTGGAGCTTTTCGAGACCGGCGACTTCGGAAGTGAGCTGGGTGAAGAACTCCGTGTCGGAGGTTAGGGGGACTTCGACGGTGCGGTATCCGGATCGTGAGCCGTGGATGGCGGTTTCGGTTCCTGGTGGCTTCTGGGAGTCTGCATCTTCGAAGACTCGCAGATCTGTCATGCCTGTCTCAACGGCTAGCATCTGCAGTTTGTGCTTGGTTTCCTCATCGATACTGGCACTGTCCACATCGCCGTTCTTCTCGTTGACGTAGAAGAGCAGCTTTGGGTGGAAAGGCTTCTTTGCCTTTGGTGACGTTGTTTTAGCATTATCGCCGTTCAAGATGTACTCAAAGGGCCGGTCCTGGTCGCCATCCTGGCCGGCCGAGGCATTGTAATCCTCAACATGCTTCAGCAGCTTCGAGAGAGTGGCCGGGTCAAGGCCCACCTGCCGCAGCTCATCTGTCAGGCGGTTGATGACCTTCTTGAGCTGGCTGTAGGAAATGGCCGAATCGACCCACTCGGGCGGAAATCCCTCGTTCCGCAGGCACTGCTTGAAAACGTGGCCGAACTTCATCACCGGTGCTGGTGTGTGGTGCTTGCACCGTGGTAGCTGGGTAGGGCTGACGACTCAAAGGCGCAGAATGCAACACGTGGTGTGGGGATTGGTCGTGGACCGAGCGATTGCCAGAGTCAAGCTTCTGTCCGGATCTCTTCCGCTGCAAGTTGTTTAGGGCTCAAGCCAGCACCCTGCGGCGATCAAACGTTGTTGCAGGTGCATTCAACGAGTGACAAGGAGGTGACGAAGGCGTCGCTGTTCTGGAATATGATAGATGGTGGTGACTTTCCTGCTCTTTTGTTGGGACTCTTATGCGGGAGTCATGTGGTGCGTGGACGATTCTCGATGCTTGCCTGCCGATAGCCGAAGGAATCTCCAGAGTTCTGTATGACGGCGCAACGCGGGGGATTTGCGCCTTTATGAAGAAAAAGCAACGCACGAGATGCGTCAACGGTGAAAAATGCGCAGGCCATTTCGGTGCTGTGGCTAGGCCAGTCCGGGGCATGTGGCTCTCTCACGCGCTGTCGCCTTGTCACTGTTTGCTCAGGTTTTTCGCCTTTCTCGCGCCGGGCCAATCACTGCACTCGCGCAACGCCGGTTCGAACGGGCTGGCCCTAGTTCTGATTTACATCGGCGACGCGCTTTCTCGAGAATATCTTAGACTGGGTTGGGCCTCTGACGCAGCAACTCGACCGAGCGACTGTTCACCATGGGCGCATCGCAGTCGACCGGAGGCGGGGCAGCCGAGGGGCAGGTTGGTGGGGAAGTCAAGACCAGCTACTACGAGCTGCTCAGTGTGGAGAGGACCGCGACACAGGACGAGTACTGACATCATATCAAACACACGTGAGTGCCTCAGCTAATGCATGCAGACTCAAGAAGGCATATCGCAGAAAAGCACTTGAGCTGCACCCTGATCGCAACTATGGCAACGTCGAACGCACCACCGCCCTCTTCGCTGACGTCCAGCATGCATACCAGGTCTTGTCTGACGAGCAAGAGCGCGCCTGGTACGATGCGCACGAGGCCGACATCCTGCGCGGCGGCACTGGGGAGGGCACTGGAGAGGACCAGTACCAGGGCAGCATGAAGGTCACCACACCAGAGGAGATTACACGAATGATGGGACGGTTCAGAAGCAACGTCCAGTACACGGATGCGCCCAGTGGCTTCTTTGGCTTCGTGCGCGAGACCTTCGAGCAGCTGGCAAAGGAGGAAGAATATGCTGCCGACTACGAGGGCACCAACATACCGAACTATCCCTCTTTTGGCCACAAGGACGACGACTACGAGGGCGTGGTGCGCGACTTCTACGCTGTGTGGGACGGCTTCGCAACGGCAAAGAGCTTCGTCTGGCTGGACGTATACCGCTTGTCAGACGCGCCCGACCGCTATACGCGCCGACTAGCAGAGAAGGAGAACAAGAAGTACCGCGACGATGGACGAAGAGAATTCAACGACGCTGTCAGGACGCTAGTAGCATTCGTACGCAAACGAGACCCTCGATACACGCCCGACACACGATCCGCCGAAGACAAAGCGAAGGCACAACGAGAACTGAGGAAGGCACAAGCTGCGAGAGCGAGGGCGGAACTGAACGCCAAGCTGGAGCGCGAGGCACAGGAGCTTCCAAGTTGGGCTACAGAACGACCAGCAAGCGAATTAGAAGAGTCTGAGGAGGAAACTGAGGAGGAACACTTCGAGTGTGTGGCGTGCAACAAGACGTTCAAGAGCGAGCGGCAATACGAAGCGCATGAGAAGAGCAAGAAGCACCAAAAGGCGCTGAAGGATCTAAAGAGGAAGATGCAGAAAGACAACGCACACCTGGACTTGGATGACTTTGGGGCCAGCATTGGGGTCTTGACGCCTGCAGAGAGTGGAGGCGACGACGCAGTGAGCACGGAGGCATATGTGATGATGGACGATCCTGTGGAAGACCTTACAACGGAGGCAGAGAAGCTTGGTCTGGACGACACACTTTCAGACGTGGAAAGCGAAGCAGAAGCCGGAACTACGCATCCAGCCAACGATGCGCCCAGCTTAGAGAAGGCTGCAGAGGAAGACGATGAAGACGATGAAGACGATGAAGACGACGAATATGCCTCCCGCCCCGCTATTGAAGCCCGCCTCGCCGGCCTTGCATCTACTTCCGTCTCCACACCGCAGTCAGGTACAGAAACACCAGACACCGAGACTGCCGAAGCACAAGCACCGAAGATGGGCGCAGCTGCGAAGAAGCGGGCGAAGAAGGCCGCAAGACAGGCCGAGATGGAGCAGACTGCTGGGGAGCATAAGTGCATAGGTTGCGATGCTTCATTTCCTTCAAAGACACAACTGCACGATCATCTGAAGAAGAACCTAAAGCATGCGGCACCGAAGACTGTCCCGACACCTGGAGGCAAGAGGGGGAAGAGGAAATGAACAGAGGTACGGGCATGATATGAATTATGAATTATGAGCTGCGTTAGACGGGCATACGACAACAGGATACCGAGCTAGACATTATCCCATTGCATCAGCATTCCTATCAAGGAGAGCGCATATGCTGCTCTATCAAGTTTCAGGTTTAGACTTGGCCTCCCTTTTGGGTAATTGCGGGGCTGGAACGTATCCCACTTGCATCTCGTCTCACTCAGCCTTCCACTGCATCATCGAAGAACTACTTTATATACAACCGACGACCTTCAAAAGTTCGCGCACACCGCCATGGACGCTGATCACCATACAGACGTCCTTCAAAGGTTTCTTTCCGCATTTCAAGCGCTGTCAAATTCCGACCAGGCTAGAGCACGGCAGCTTATCGTCAACAGCGATCCCGCAGTCAGCGCCCAAAGATCTAGGAACGACTTAGTCCCCATCAGTCCAAACACAGGGGACACGCATTCATGCCGCATCTGCCAGAATTTGCACCTCACACACATTCTTGATGACCAGGAAGCACAGCTGGCACTGGATGATTTGATGCGATTTGGGACAGAGACATTGCGTCTCACTAAGAAGATCTTAGCTGACAGCAACTCTCGAAGATGCCTCATCGTCCAATGGGCCATTGAATACCTCCATCAATCTCTCGACACGTTCAAGAAAGAGCTTGAAACGAAAAAGGTATCGTCGGCTATGCGATGGTTCGATGGTACGATGAAGTTGTCCGCAGACGATCTTGATTACATCGACCCTCGTAGCGGTGTCTCTGTCCAACTGTACTGGTCTGGACACGATTCTACAGCATCAATCAGGTTCTCTTACGCCGCGAATCCCCATCTGTTAGGTAGTCTCTGGGATGCGTCCCACTTCGAGCAAGAGCTTGATGATACACCTGCTGGCTACGATCGTTTCGTGCGCAGATTTGAAAGATCTCAGCTTATCAGGGCGCGAATATTCACGGCTACAGGCAAGTGGGTTTCCATTGGCTTCGAAGTGCGTGCAAGAGCATGTGGCTTGTGCAGTCTGACTCGACCTCCTCTTTCTCCAGCGATTATCCCATTTGGGATGGGCTATGGGTTCCCAATCATTTTGCAAAATATGAGACTGACCGCTTGAAAAGCCAATCCTATGATTCCAGAAGTACTTGTACGGTCGGAGGTAGACAGATCGGACCTAGGTCCTGGCTTCAACCTAGCCTCGCGATGGCTCGGAGACTGTCAGCTAAAACATGACACGTGCCCTAAGCCATATGGACTTCTGCCAACACGTGTGATCGACCTAGGTACAAGACGACCCATCATGTCAGTCAGCTTGCATTGGAGTGAGGAAGGTGAACAAGGGCAATATGTTGGTACGTTGATTCTCCCTGAGATGACTGTGGGGCAATTCCCCGGTGTGTAGATTCTTCAGACATGATTTGACCGTCCAGATAGCTCTCTCGTACTGTTGGGGTGGGCCGCAACCTATCACCACGAGACAAGACAACGCACAGGATCATACGAATGGCATCGTCTTCTCCGAGCTTCCAAAGACCCTCCAAGACGCAATATTCGTGACATCCGAGCTTGGTATGCGTTATTTGTGGGTAGACTGTCTATGCATCATCCAGGATGATCCAGAGGATGTTGCTCGAGAGATCTCACTTATGGCACAAATCTTCGAACAAGCATACGTCAGCATTTCGGCTGCCAGTGCTGCGAGCGTACATGAAGGATTTCTTGCCAATCAAAACGCACCTGTTGGAACTGCTGTCCCCGTGACATTCAATTTTCCCGACTCGGATATGACCCCACTCTTGATAGAGCGAGTAGAACGAACACGCGACCCTGCAAACGATCCAATCAACCTTCGCGCTTGGACCTTGCAAGAACATATTCTAGCTCCTAGGATGCTCGTGTATAGTACAGAGGAGCTCTGGTGGCAGTGTGAGAGCTCGGTGACCCATTCTAAAGGCCAGGAAGAAGACCTGTACTATTTCTCCTCTAAGCTGGAAAAACACCGGCGTTCACTCGACTACTGGAGGTCAATCGTTCAGGACTACAGTCGACGCTTTCTCACTTATTCCAATGATAAACTCCCTGCACTCGCCGGCATTGCAGCTCGATTTAGCCGGACTTCGAGTGCTCGATACTTCGCAGGATTGTGGGACATCGACCTGCTCGGCGAACTCATGTGGTGTTCCAGTCGATCCGATATCTCACGTCCCGCTACTCAACGTGCACCTTCGTGGTCTTGGGCTTCTGTTGACGGCGAGGTGCATCACAATTGGTGTACTCTAGTCCACGGTGAATACGCAGCTGTTGTTGAGTATTGTCGCACTACACCAGTACTGTTGTCCTCACCCTTCGGGCGTATTGATGTGACGAGATCAGTACTACGGATAACTGGCGAGCTTGCTCCCGTCATCTGGCTGGGAGACAGAAAGTACCTATACACTTCAGTACCATCAGAGCAATCTAAACAATCAGATCCCCAAGACACGCTCATGAGGATCGGAAGGAGTCAAGCAGACGCCGTGGAGGCGCTACCATTCGAAGACGGATACCTGACATTATGGGTAATGCCCATCATGAGGACACCCACACGTGGATTGTTACTACTTCGTCTACAGGGCGATGAGTACAGAAGAGTTGGTATAGTGATACGGATGTTGGATGTGTTCTTCAATGACCACGCCGAAACAAGAACGATTGACATTAGGTAAGACACAACCAATGTCATCTTATGACAGCCCACGAAAGGTGAGGCTCCTCTCGCGGCATGTCTGGTCCATCGTAGAGATGCTGGCGTGACTATTCAAGCACAATGATGTAAGCATACCTTGTCGTGTTTGATTTTTGGTCATTGCATCTAGCTAAGAATAGGTCCCACGCTCTGTACGCAATTCCGTAGATGGCGTGGTTCGCTTAGACATGGGTGTCCGCGAAGCCACTCAAACCATGCTGTTTATGGAAAGAAGAACTGCAGCCCGTCAGCAATATATGCAAGACTGTCAGCATGCGGCTGAGCAGAGAAAATTAGTTCTTAAGGTATAAGAAAGGGTTATCTTGATGTTGGTATCTCCTGAGCTCACAATCCGCTAGGCAACCTTCTCATGGCTGCCAACTCGTACTACAATGCGCATGTCCCGATGGCGCATGAACAGCAGCAGCATCTTCTTGCGCATGCTTCACCTCTAAGCGATCAGTTCAGTCAACCATCAACGCCTCTGGTGCCGCTCCAGCTTGCGACAAAGACCAACTACAATCATGGTCACCATAGCTTCGCACACCTTGGAGACCTCCAGCTTGCCCAACAAGAAGATGCAGTAAGCTCGTGTGCACCAACAGCAACAATGTGTACTGACAGACTCAGCACCTCAAAGCTCGTATCCGGCGCTTTCGCGTTGTATCCCGCACCCTGAGCTTTCTCATCTCCATCGGTGTTCTTGCACCCATTACCATGACGCTCACCAAGTTCCTCCGAACACAGAACGTCTACCGAGACGTCGTACAAGCCGATGGCACGACGAAATCCCGTACCGCCTGGGCACACGACTCCAAAGTCTGGCCCACATACTCCTACTTCGCGGTCGCCGCCATCTCGACTATCCTCAACTTCGCCACAATCTTCAGCTACAAATTCGGCGTCAGTCGCGCAAACAGCGTATCCTACATCACCTCCCTCTTCTCCTGGGGTATCATGCTCGGCAACTTAGTCGTATGGGCTGTCGCAGCGGGCGTGTATCGCGATGAGAAGGATAAGCATGGCAAGAGTAATGATCTTTGGGGCTGGACGTGTAGTCCGGCGGCACAGGCGATTCAGAGGGATTTTGCGGGTGAACTGGATTTTAATGCGTATTGTAATGTGCAGAGTGCGAGTTGGTTTGTGGGGCTGGCGCAAGTTGGAGCTAGTCTGTTGACGGTCGTGATCTATGTTTTGGTGTTCAAGAGGAAAGGGAGTAAGAGGAAGGTGCAGAGGTTGTCGACGATTAAACTTGCGCAATGAGTGTGCGAGGGTGCAAGCTGTTTAATGGGGAGGAACAATCATAAGGATGGGAAATACAGGAACTTGCTCAACTTCCACATAACTTCCCCTTTCCACTGTCCCAGCATGCACTTTCCCTTCTTCAAACTCTCGCGATAAGTACACGACAAGATATCCGAGCAACTGATCTGAACCGGGCACATCAACATCAACTACGGGCCCAAGCCTGACAGTAACGGCGATCCCGAGTTATGCGTCCAAGAAGATGGATCATACACCGAGTGCCTGGTGATGAACCTCCCATTCAACTTCTTTTACGCAGGTCGCCAGTTAACTTGCCCCCTGCATGGCGAGAACCCCTCCGTAGCGAGAAGTCGCTCGTGATTTTCATCGTAACAACGCCAACAACGGCCCATAGGCGCAGATAATCCCAGAATGAAGAGCTCAGATACTAAACCTTGAATTTCACTCCACTTCCTGTATGGACGCCTCCTGCTTCACCTGCAATAGCACTTTCCACTGCGGGCATGCCCAACAGCCTCACTCCAAACAGCCTCGGACCTCTCAAAAACCTCACGCAAGTCGTCCAGAAATCTGCCAAGGTGTAGAAACGAATCAGAAGATCATATTTTGAGCAGAGTACTCAGACAGCTCAGTTCATTGCGCTGCAATGGTGACCAGAAGCCGTACCAAGTGGGGATTGACAACCGAGCGCCCGAATTCTGGCTGTATGGAAAAGACTAAAACAGTATGGCTGTATTACAATGAAGCAAATGGCAGGCTGCTCGGATCGGGCCGCGAGACCAAGGCTTTCTGCAAACATGACTCGCCCAAATGCTAACACTTATGTGCATTGTATACAGTATCATCAAGGGCGCGCTTATTTCTTGTAACAGCAACGTGCGAGAACATTTCCACTCTGTGCTATATTACGTGTTACATCCACATGTTCTTCCATTATCTCCTACCGTGTTCTTGAGCTCCTAATCCCAAGCTATGCCAGCCCGCGTGATGACCTTAAGACTTTGCTAGTTTACATACTTATACTGTTGTCAACTGTTGCTAGAATGAGAACAACCTAATTCTACTCTTGCATTTCAAGCGTCTTAGAATAGTCTCAGCGATACGCACAGATTCTTGAATAGCCCTATCTAAGAACGGTATAGTACGCAGTGTATGCTCTTTCCTACAGAGCAAGAGATTCATCGTAGCAACATTGCTTCTCAAGCAGGTGAGCAAGACTGTATATGCTCGCCACTGTGCTCGCGCCCCAGCACCTTCTCTCTCCCCGCCAGCGTGTGTCTGTGCATTGCTTCCGCCTCCTCATACTTGCTCTGCCGGTCCAGCACTCCCGCCAAGTTGCCCATACTCGCCAGCATGTGCGGATGCTCAGGCTCCAGTACTCTTGACCTTGTCTCCATCATTTGTACTCTTAGTTTTCCGGCCTCCTCCCACAGCCCTTGATTTTTGTACATTAACATAAGGCCAGCTAGGCTGCCTAGCGTATCGGGATGCTCCTCCCCAAGCACTCTCTTTTTCGTTTCCATCAGTTGGTCCTCTCAGTCATGCCCTTCCTTCTGTTTCCCTTGCAGGAAATATAGCTTTGCCAGGTTACCCATGCTAATCAACGTATCTCGATGTTCTAATCAAGTATCCTCTTTCTTGTTTCTACCACTTCTACTTCTAGCTCTTTGGCCTCTTTCCACCGCCCTTGGCAAAAAAAAAAACGTGGATGCCAGATTGGCCATGCTAGTCAGCGTGTCTGGGTGCTCCTCCCCAAACACTCTTTTTCTCGTCCCCATCACTTGCACCCCCAGCTTCTTGGCCTCCTTGAACCGCGCTTGACTCCAAAACACTAATGCAAGATTAGCCATAGATGCCAATGTCAGTGAATGTTCCGACCCGAGGAAGCACTTTCTCTTCCCTAGCACTTGCATAGTGAGATCTTCCGCCTCCTTCAGCAGCCTTCGGGCCCTGTACGTCACTGCGACATTGGCCATAATGGTCAATGTACCGGGCCCATCAACCCTAGACAGCCTCCTGAGCGTATGCAGCGCGTTTGAAGTACTTCAGCTCCGCGTCCTTCACCGCCCTCCAAGACTCAATACATTCGCTACCATCACAATGCTACTTAAAGTTTCCTCGCTCTCTTCTCCAAGCAGGCGTCTCCTTACCTGCAACGACCTTACCGACAACTTCTCGGCATCATGCCAACTTCCCTTTTGCCATGAGTACCACGCCGTATTGTACAACAGTAGAGCCCACTGTCGAAGCGACTCCTCAGATTTGGGTGGCTGCGACAGCGCCGACTGAGCGTGCGGAAAGAGCGCCTGACACCTGGTCCAGTTCGCGTAGTCCCCTGTCGGGAATGCGGTGCAAAGACTGCCGATAAATTGCTGCTTCCGATATTCTAAGCTGTCCTGCTCTTCTAACTATTTCCGCATGGCTAACTGCACGAGTCCGTGCATCGCGAACGTGGTTGGATTGGTGGTAAGCGCGATGAAGGAATAGTTACGTAGCGTAATGATATCCTCGTCGAACCCATCGTCAACGCTGCTTCTCGACTCACTGTCGTTTTCATCGTTGTTTTCGTTGTCTACATGGTTGGCTTCCGCGTGTTGACTCCGTAATACGTCTTCGGGTATGCCCTGTCGGTCGAAGAAGCTCATCAGCGAGAGCAAGTCCACCGCCGCAGCGTGGTTAGTGCAGCGTTGGTCGTAGCGGGTACAAACACTTGACGGCAGTGGCTCTCAATGGAGGCAGAGTTGTGGCCGACCTGCAACCCCTGGTTACCGTCGCCTGCGAAACGTGGTGGTGATGCTGGGGAAGGCCATCGAACATGCCAGCAAGCAGGCTGCGCAGTGTTGAGGGTCTCGCGCGAGATCAGATAGCAGCAGCTCTTATGCATGAGGCTGGGCTGCTGACAGGCTCTGGCCTCAACCCGCGGCCATCGCGCGCGCATCCTTTATAGAGCCGCAGCCCCTCGTCCCCACTGCTGATATTGCTGCCTACATACTTCAACCCAAAAGCAAGGTAGGAACACGCCTCCATATCGCTTCTTCTTACCTCTTCTTCCTTGCTCATCTTCACTATCGTTGTCGCCTCTAATCTAGCGGATCGACATGGCAGAGACAGCTGGGCTTGTTATTGGTGTCGTCGCCCTCGCTGGCCTGTTCAACAACACAGTTGAGTGCTTCGAGATCGTCCAACTCGGCCGCGCATTTGGAAAGAGCTTCCAAACAAGTCAGCTCAAACTTGACAACGCAAGACTCCGTTTGTCGCGGTGGGGCAAGTCTCTGAGTCTGGATGATGTCCGAGATGCGGTATCGCTTCCGGGGCGTTTGGGGTCGGAAACAACCGTCAAACACGCTGAAGCCTTGCTTGGCCAGATCATAGAACTGTTTGCGGAAGCTGAGGGCGTATCGAACAGATACAGGAGTCGGACAGAGCCTGAAGACAACAGCCTTGCGGTATACGATCCTCAGACAGACCTATATCCGGCAGTGGCGAAGCTTCATAACAAGATGCGGCAGCTGGCTATTGAGCGCCAGAACCGGTCTGGCGTACGCCAAAAAGCAAAATGGGCACTGTACCAGGAGAAGCAGTTTCGACGACTAATTGAGGACGTCACTGAGCTGGTCGACGGCTTGGTCGAGCTTTTCCCAGCCACGCAGCAGACTCAGCGCGAGCTTTGTGATAGGGAAGTATCGGCTATTGGAGATGGCGAAGGCATGTCTGTATTAAAAGAGATTGCTGCTGCTCAGGATAGACTGCTGGAGCAGGCAATTACGAACGCGACAGTTGGTGCCGAGAGATCCCACCACATTGTGTTTTCAGGCAGCGGCAACACAGGCCTTCAGCTCGGCCACAACTCTGGTACAATGTCGGGGTTCATGTTCGGAAAAGGTGGCTAAGCATGTGAAGATTAAATAGGTAGTAAATGAGCAGTTCACTTAAGATCCAGACAACAATGCCAATTCTTGCTTTCCTATACGGGAACCTGTTGAAGTGAGTGGATTGTGTTGATTGATCTTTTTGAGCTATTGGCTAGAATCGATCGAGACTATATAGTAGAAGGGGATAGCAGTGAAGGGTTGGGGAAGCAAACCGAGCTAACCGAATGAGCTGGACAATCAGTGCAGCGGACCGTTAGCAAACACTGCAATGGACCGCTAGCAAACAGATGGCGATTGGTGGATATCTTCACTCCCCTCGACAGAACCTTTACATCATATTGTTCAACTGTCCAAGACAACAACAACATCAACGATCAGGCTGAGTGTAGCCGTGTACGCGCGATGGCCGCGGGTTAAGGCCAGAGCCTGTCAGGAGCTCAGCGGAAGCGCCAGCCCAGCCGTGACAAACCAGCCTCGACAGCCCAGCCTGATGCATAAGAGCTGCTGTTCTCTGATCCTGCGCGAGGCTCTCGACACTGCACAGCCTGCTCGCTGGCATGTACAATGGCCTTCCCCAGCGTCACCACCACGTTCGCAGGCAGTAGCAACCAGGGGCTGCAGGTTGGGTACAGCTCTGGCTCTATCCACATTGCCGCAGCTGGCAAGTGCCTGTCTCCGCTCCAACCAATGCTGCGCTGATCACGCTGTGTCCATCCTAACACTCTGACGAGCATGAAAGACTTGACGAGTGTGCTGAACAGGCAGTGCAAGTACGAGGAGACGGAAGCGATGCACAGGCAGACGCTGGCGACAAGAGAGAAGGTGTTGGGGCATGAGCATCCTTCCACGCTGACGAGCGTATACTGCCTTGCTCACTTGCTCGTGAAGCAATGTCGCTACAATGAATCTATTGCTCTGTACGATAGAGCAAGCGCCGCGTATGGTATTCTTCTTGGAGAGGATCATCCGACTACCCGCGCATGTTGCCAACACCGTTCCGAAGCGGTTGCGTTACAAGAGCAGTCTTGGTTTGTACTTTCTCCAGCAGCGCCAGACAACGGCGTAAGCACGCACACTGGCAAGATCTTGAGGTTATCACGCGGGCTGGCAAAGCTTGGGACCAGGAGCTCAAGGCACGATAGGAGACGACGGAATAACATGTGAATGAACGTACCACATAATACAACATAAAGTAGACATGATTTTGTAAGTGACTTACCCACGGCCGGACATCTGGTGTAACGAGTGTGGCAGGTTTCAGATTGTGCAGACGTGTGGGTGTAATGTACCGTGGTATGATTGTGAACTCGAATGCTATTGTTACGAGTGCGATGAGTATTTCCCCATGGGCGGCTGGCAGGAGGTGTATTGTGAGCGTTGCGCGCCGCTAGAGGCACGCTACTTCACTTCTCCAGGCAGTGTCGCAAGACATCATATAGCAATGTGTGACTACGACTTCTCATATGACGAGACAAGTTCAGATGAGTCTATCTGGCACAGCAGGAAGTGGGGTGGAGGGCCTCTGCAGGCGTACCTTCCTCGTGGCGTCAGAAAGACTTCGAACATGCAAAGGCAATGCTCGAAGTTGGAACCATTTATTCGTTAACTCGCCTCGCAACAGGGTTGAGCGCGATTGGATGACCATGACTTTGGCGATGCGGATAGCAATAATCTCCTTAATAGCAAGATCGCCCCACAGTTATAATGGTTGCTGAAATGTACAGACCCCCCTAAACTTGGTTCATTACTGCGACAGGCTTACGTTATGTAAGAACGAAGGCTTCTAAGTAGCTTTTTCTATCTTAATTGTCAGAATTGACAGTCTGGTACATGTCCTGCAGGGCAACAATGTGGTGAACTGCCACTCAATGTGGTGAACTGCCACTCACAAGGCTGTCCACCCTCATGAACCACGGTACGTACCTACTGTACGCATCACTGTACCGAGGTCAGGGGGGTCTGCACATTTTTGCAAGCACCGATAGATGGTGACAAGGGTGTTCGCTTTCGAATCAACAGGCGAGAGCACAGACTCGTTGATTGGGATGGCGCAGCGCTCAGCCACCTATGGTCCGACTTGGACATCGACCATCGTGGAAACTCATCGGTCCAGCATGAGTGGGAGGTCAATGCCAGACCGGATGTCTGGTGCCGGAGCTGTGGTCGGTTCAAGAGTGAGGTACAATCGCTAGGGTCTTGTCCATGCAGCACTGGGGGCGCGTTCAGCTGGCCCTGTAAGTTCACGCCATCGCTGTCCGTACTCATCGCCTACTACTTTTAGGTTGGTCGAAAGCATCAGACGGACACAAATGGAACAGCAAGCTTTGGGAAGACCGACTGCTTCAAGAGTATCTAGAAGGTGCGAACGTGGCGGACTCCGAGCGAGCTCAAGAGTATCTGCGTGTAGGGCATATGCTTCCTAGTGACGGCTATTACCTCGATTGTGGCAAGCTCGAACAGTCTTATGATTTTTAAGCGGAACTGTAAAGGACGGCTGCGCAGGTAAAGATTGGCAGAAAAGATGCAGGACTGGTCCGTAATTGTACACTTAGGAGACAATCCTGAGGTAGCACTTGCCAGCGGACGCCAAGAAATATATTCTACATACCATCATCGCCGTACTTTTTCGTCCTCCAAGCTGCTTCAAGAAGCACGCGATTCAACCTATGAAGAAGTCTTATTGCATTTGTTATCAATGCTACAGGTACAAGCATAAGCAAAAACGTGAAAGCGCCGTGATTATGCTGATCGTCCGGAGCATCGAGACGCGTGCAAGTCTTCCCTTCACTCTTTCCAACGAAAATATGCAATGTCAGCTTTCTGGATCTCCCCGCTTGAACTTCTACTCAACGGGCTGGCTAGTTTGCTGACTAACGCAGTACTTCGGTGTTCATGATTCTCCAAGCCTTTGTTTGTTGTGACAGTGCTTCCACATGACTGCGGCTCACCGTTCGAAAGTGACGGTGACTTTGGGCTCACATAGACACAACGTAGCCCACCCGACACAACTACGCCTCTGCACCCCCAACAAAGTCGATTCCACGCTTTCGCATACTTACCGTCAACTCGCATGCATACCAAGTTGCCATGTCCGGTGATTTTGGCAAGTTTTCCCGAGAGGCGAGAGATACCAGGACTTGTCCAGCTGCTAGTAGTACCTCGGCCGAAGCGCAGTCGCAGCAATCGTACTCACTCTGGGTTGTATGTTTCCACGTTTGCAGAGCACAGCTTTGAGCACAGAGTAAGGAAATCTGGATGTACCAAGAATGCCGGGTTTGAGAAGACGCTGAGCGCGTTCTGAGCGCCTCCAGCTTCCAATGGGTTACCAGCGGCCCTGAGGTCGCACTGATCGTTGTCGAGGGTGTATTGAGAGCCCTCCTGGAAGTCTGCGAAAGCGACTTTGCTGTCACAGTTACCAGTGTTGCCGTTCCCGATAGCGAAGTACTTATAAGTCGCACATTGGATTTGACAGGTTCCCTGAGTGGTAGTGTTCGCGGTGACAGGGTCGATGTCCGAAGCGAACGAAGGCAGGCCAGCGCTGTTAGTAGCAGCCCAGCAGCCAAGGTAGTTGCCAATTGCAGGGGCGGTGCTTCCTCCTGGGCCCGATAGGATGACTTGGGCAGGGGCGTTGCTGAAAACGCTCATTGCGGTGTTCGATCCTCTGATCTCAAGTCTCGCACCAGCGTTGGGGAATGTACAAGCGAATTGGTCGCTGGTGGCGATTGGTGCGGTGCCACTGCACAAGCAGTCACGACCGTATGCGATAGCGAAGTATGCGCGGTTAACACAGGCTGTAGAGCAGACAGTGTCGGCCATGCCGTCATTGTTGAAGACCACGTAGTCAAAGCCGGCGGCGAAGATGGCGTCGTTAGGGACACATCCCACGTTGTCGTACAGCGACGGGTTTGAATTAATTCCTGCTGGTGTCGGTGCCTTTATGACAGTCAGCAGCTGCCAGAGGCAGTAGGTTAGACTGTCCCATGTGTTCAAAGCTATGTTCTGCAAACCTGTAGCTTCTCAGGTGATCTTGCACATTGAAATTGCGCATTCTAGAAGCCAGTTCGATCAGAACATCTCTTCGAATATACGTGTAGCCCTATCGATCTCTAACTCAGGTGTACAGATCAAGAGGGGCGTTCGAAGGCACAAAAGAGGTGTTACAACGCTTCGCCTTGCGCTGTATGCTGCTGTCGTAGTTTTCGACCAGATCGCTCGTTTCGATCTCAGTGCCATATAGAGGCCATAAGACCGTGATGAGAGAATCAACCTCAGCTGTAACGTCGTGAAGGTCTCGAGGCGAAGCAGAACAGTGGCAGCCGCCTTGCAATGAGACCCTCATTGCAAGGCGGCTGCACCAGATGATCAAAAGAACTACTGTGCATCCAGATGAACCATCAGGTTCGCGCGAGAAATTGAGGGACATCAAGAAACATCGTGAGAGAGTGTAATGTCTTGCGTCTTCCAGTCGAATGACAAGGTTCTTCCGGGTGGGTCTTAACTTGCCCCGCCTTTGCCACGGAAAGCTTGATCGCGTTGGCGCGAGCTTGTTAGCGGCAGGTCTTCTCTGCGCAACTCTCCTTTGATAGGTCTATCTGGTGCCCAGCTCGCTGCTCACCTCATGGATCAAGATCCAGACGCGTTGTCTTCCTGCGCGATATCCGCACCGTCCTATCAGTTCAACTCGAATCATTACGAATTCACTAGCAGGGGATAAGCGACTACTGGCGCGGATACAAGAAGTCTCTTCGTACTGAGTTCACAGCTGATTTCCTGAGTGCTCACTGTTGTCATTATTCTCGTTTTTCCACTGCAACTCGATGGCTGCTAACGACCCTGGCCTTGCGCCTCTCAGCGCGCCTGCTGAAGACCCTGTGAAAGGCGCCGTGGACATCCCTATCGATACAGAGACACCGGTTGCGCCCGACCAATTCGACCCCAAATACGAGACGACCAGGAAAGAGATTTGGGCGTACTACACCTACTACGTTGGCGACAATGGTCTTACCCTGTTCAACTTTGGCCCCACGGCTTTCCAGAACCTGATGTATCAAGCCGCTGGGGACTCTGAGATCCTCCACTTCATGGGGAAAGACAGAACTATCAACAGTATTGTCCTTCTTTGCAATGGCATCAGTTTCGCTATTCAGATTGTGGTCTTCCTCATCCTAGGTTCTTTCGCTGATTTCGGCACATGGCGACCAAACATTCTGATCGTACTGTCCATGATTGCCTTCGGTATCGGCTTTGGCTGGTTGGGCGTGCACACTGAGCAAGATTGGCACATTGGTGTCGGGCTCTACATCGTGGGATTGATTGCCTACCAAACAACCATCACATTCTGGACTGCCGCGTTCCCAGGCCTAGCGAGGAACACCAAAGACCTGCGCATGAAGGCTGATGAATTCGCTGACGGACGAATTACGCGCGCAGAGTACGACTTCGCGGATATGATGAAGAGGAACGAGTTATCCAACACGGCCTTCTACGTACAGTCCGTCTTCGAAATCGCCATCTTGGCCGCGATCGTGGGGATCATGTTTGGCCTACACGTCAACGACAGCGAGGCAAACAACAACTGGGGTCTCTCTGTGCTCATCGCTTTCGCTACCGGCGTTTGGATCCTCTGCGCTATCCCCTGGTTCGTCCTGGAAAAGAGGCGTCCAGGTCAGAACCCGGGACAAACGAATATCATTATCGCAGGGTTCAAACAGCTTGGATACGCAATGAGTCAAATATGGCAGTTGCGTCAGAGTCTTGCATATCTTGTTGGCTACTTCCTACTAGGCGACAGTCTCAACACTACTGTGACGGTCATTGGAACTTTGCAGAACGAGATTGTGGCATACAACAGCTTGCAACTCACCTACCTTCTCATTGTCGGTATTGCTGCGCAAGCTGTTGGTATTGGCGCATTCTGGCAGATACAAAAGCGATACGGACTGTCCACCAAGACCATGTTCATGGTGATAGCTGTGTGCATCGTGCTGTTGGATGGCTGGGGCATGATCGGCATATGGACGCAGTCTTTCGGCTTCCACAAGACGTGGGAGGTCTGGGTGTACCAGGCATTCTACGGCCTGCTCGTTTGTCCATGGTACAGCTACTCGCAGACCATGATCAGCGAAGTCACACCACGTGGCAAGGAGTTCCTGTTCTTCAGTTTGTTCTCGATTGTTGGCAAGACAAGTGCCTTCATTGGCCCCTTGGTCAGCAGTGCCATCATTGACGATACTGGCAACAACAGTAGTCCATTTTACTTCCTGTTTGCGTTGAGTTTCGTCAGCTGCGCATGGCTCTACTTCTTTGTAGATGTCGAGAAGAGTAGGGTCGAGCAGCAGGATTTCTTAGAGAGGGAGAAAAGCGGCAAGATGGAGATTGTCAGAGTTTGAGATTTAGTCTGCAGCGAGAAAGCTCTAATCGATCCGATTGTATTGCATGAATACGCACAAAATCGTCAAAGGGGACCATTAGATTATGACGATGTAGCACTCTGTCTTGTCGGAAGTACAGAGAGTGGGCCTCGAGAAAATTCACCTACATGGCAAAACTCCGGATCGCCCTCACTTTTGTTGCGGTATTTTTCAGTCCATGCAAGACCCTATTACCCTTGCTTAGACTGTTCTGAACTAGCACGTTCCAGAGTCAGTATATAGTCGTCTTCTCCTCACTAGATAGCAACTCAGCGCAGTATTCCATCGACCCGATAGTCCTACGTTATTGTTTACCGTAGCTATCAGTATACTACAACGGACCAGACCGCCACAAATTTCGACACTTGTAGGTCTGGCAAAGGCTTACCAATGGCCGCAATTCCTCTTGCATCGAACAAATTTTCCTCCGACTTGAACAAACGCACCCACACGTTGAGCTTGACACAGTCTGGACTATCCCAGCCTTGCTTTGGTATCCCATGGGCCATAGCCACTTTCCCAAATGTGTAGCATGCATGTTCCAAGACAACTTTCACTTTGCTCAGTAGCCGACGTTGGCTCTTTGCGAGCACATACAATGGGTAAAGAGAACGAGCTGTGAACGTCTCCGGAAGCGAAGGCTTTTGCTCAAGTGGAGAAATGGGAGCAGCTTCACGTGTTAACACTGTAAAGTCATTGCTCCAAAAAGAACTCACCTGGTCGTTTCTCATTGTCCATCTGTACAGCAGCCTCTCCCTTGAGGGTTGTGGAAACGTTCTCATCTTGCTCTCCTACAACGACGTCTCTGATCGCGTCGGCTTCTGTTCTTGCTGCTTCGGCTTCCGAGACAGCTCGTTCCGCGCTCTGGGCAGGAGAGACATCAAAAACCTCAGAGAACCGAATCTTTACCTTCAAAGCTGACTTGAAGATCTCTGCTTCTAAAAGCGCTTTGACCGTGTTACCAATATGATCAATATTATGTTCTTGTACCAGCGCCCTATATCCTCGTTTTTAATCTTGCTCCCGTTGATCTTATTGATTTTGCTCCCGCGACACAGTAGAGCATCTGGTCCTTTGAACACGTTCTTGAAAGCAAGATAAACCGCTCTTTCGTCAGGAGGTATCTTGGCCATTTCAAATTCAACAGAAAGAGCAAAAGGCTAGCATCGAGGCATCGATCCAGATATTTTGTACGACGCAATTAGAATAATCTGCGAAACCTCAATTGGTCGCACGCAACCGGAAACTAATCATTTAGTGGCACTGGCTTGTAATGCCGTTGTACTACGCCCTCTTTTGCTACAACGACCCCACCTCCAGATTACGATACTTGGCAATCAATGGCTGCATACCACGGAACACAATCCTCCCCTCCCTCACAGCAGGTCCAGTGTTCGTTTTAGTATCATCAAACTTGAAGATCTCCAAACCGTTGATGTAGAAGCTCGCCTCCCTCTTATCCTTCACAACCGTAATCTTATAGTATGCACCCTGCGTATCAGCAACATCAAGAAGTGGATCCACACCCGGCGCAACGAAATTGAACCCAGTGCTTTTTTTTGAAGTTTGCAACATGGCATTGCCTCTCCTCAGGCCATTTCCTGCGGAAGTAGCTCGCATGCAGCAGCCTGATGTCGCTGGAGTGGTACTGCGGGTAGCTTCCATTGCACGGCTTGAGGCTGGGATCGAAAATGCTTCCACCTGAGACTGATGTTGCACCGAAGAAGAACATAGCAAGTCCGAGCTCTTGAATAGGTTGGAAGTCCCAGGAGATCCTGATGCGGCCAGGAAAAACTTCGGACAGCCAGTAGACGAAGTAATCGTCGATCTTGCCGGCACCGCCGAGTGTGAGGGTGTTGTTGGTGTCAACCAGCACCTTCACTGCGGCTCTTCTTATAGACTCCGCGCCTTCCCATTTCTGGTTAGCGCCCACAGTTCCCTTCCTGTGTAGATAAACACCATGTAGGTAGCTACTAATACATCACGATTCTACTCACATTCCTCCCTTTGATAATTGGTTACATTGGCAGTAACAGGGCCTTCGGTAATCCAGGAAGAGATCGAGGAGCTATTGCTGAAAGTGTTGCGGTAGAGAAGCTTCTCGGCGACCGCGCCGCTCGAGACAGACGCATGATAGGCGGTCGTATTCGTGTAGATGTCACCGTCGTCGTAACAAAGGCTCACCGTTCGGGGGACCGTTCCAGGTGCGAGCTTCATCTCCGCTGACGCTGCATATCGGCAGGAACAGGAACTGCATTGCTCCCCTGGATTAGGCATACGGTGTTATGATGCTGCCATCGACCAGGATCAACGCATCACCCAACGTTCGGGTCGACCTGCACGTTACTGCTGCACGTTGAGCACACACATGGCGTGTTGGGCACGTGAAATCGAAGAATTGGGATGACTGGTCGTGTTCTTCGTTTTCGCTTGGATTTGATCGAGCCATCCCGTCGATCACTTTCGTTCGGTACCGTCTGTCGCCGCTGTTAGTGAAAGTTTGCGAGTCATGGACTACTGAAGTCGCTTTAGGCGCCGCTAGAGTTGCCGCAACACGATACTGCGCGATTTTCGAGAAAAACCAAAGCTGTAGCTTGTGCCGAGCCACCACATATTATGCAGTGCAATGACTTCTTGCTCTCTCATGAATCAAGATCAGTGTGCCTGATGTACGCCGCAAAACATCAATCATGAAGTATAGCTGAGTGTAGATAGTCTTTATTTTTGGGAACTTGACACGTCTCATTATTAAAATGCATGCGATACGCTGATAACAACACGAGTGGATACGACCTATTCTTTAGTTCGAATCTCCGCAGATTGTAGCTCGAACGAGTCATTGTCTTCGGGCCTCCAGAAACGCTTATCGCCCTTGATGGCGCGAATGAACCATGGCTGGTTGCGAGCAGAGTCGGAACGGACTGATGAATGTTAGCATTACGAACAATGAAATGCAGGGATTGGTTGACTTACAGCTCCAGTACTCCTTGTCGTCGTAGTCAGGAGGCAGAAGGCGACCACGAGAGACCGCACCAAGAGCCCAAGTGACTGTGTTGAGAATGGCGTAGCACATGATACCAGCAACCAGACCGTACGCGATGGAGTACGAGAAGGGCATGAACATAAGAGTGACGAAGGCCGGGATGGAGTCTCCAGGGTAGTTCCAGTTGATCGCTGTCATTCCGCGCATCATCATGCAGCCAACGAGGATCAAAGCACCACCAGTCGCCCAAGGTGGGATGGAAGCAAAGATGGGTGCAAAGAAGAGTGAGATGAAGAAGCAGACACCTGTGGTCATGGCTGTCAGACCAGTGCGACCGCCTTCCTGAATACCAGAACCAGATTCAACGAACGCAGTAACGGGCGAGGAGCCGAAGAGAGAGCCAACGGAGATAGATATGGCGTCAGCGCAGTAGGCGATGGTGCTCTTGGGAAAGTCACCAGTGTCTGGGTCAACAACACCTGAGAAACGGGCCATTGAGTACAAGGTACCAGTTGCGTCAAGGATGTCAACGTACAACATGGTGAAGACGGCAAGGATGAACTGACCAGCGACGTTGCCGTCGATAGTGGAAAGAGTCCAGTCCTGAACAGCCAAGATCCTCTGGATAGGGTGGAAAGCGACAACATTCTTGAAGAACTCGAAACGGCTGTCACCAACGTCGCTGTGGGGGAAGTATGTGATGGATGTGTCGCGAGGCCAGGAGAAGATGGACACGAGAGCGATACCAACAATCATGGCACCTCGTACCTTGTAGGTCATGAGCAGTGCGGTCAGGACTCCACCGACCATGAAACCAAGCCACATGGTGGGCGAGGTCGCCTTGTGCGAAAGACATGCGCCAGTGTCCGGGTCTAGGTACTGAGTTGGGCAGCCTCCAAGCTCAAGAGGGGTGGCCTTCGAACCGGTGATGGCACCGATACCAGCAGAGTAAGACAATCCGATCAGGGTGAGGAAGAGTCCAATGCCAGCACCACAAGCTACCTTGATGGAGGCGGGGATAATGCGTGCAAGCCACTGACGAACGCCGAGGAGAGACAGAGCAATGAAGATGAAGCCTTCGACAAACACTGCCATCATGGCAACGCGGTAGTTGATCGGCCCAGTTCCGTGGAAGCCAACAATCTGGTAGGCAAGGTAGGCGTTAAGACCCATGGCAGGTGCGACAGCAACTGGGAGGTTGGAACTGATGCCCATGAGGAACGATCCGAAGGCAGCGATGGCGGCAGTGGCAGTGACAAGATCTCGGTTGACTTCAACAAGGCAGAGGTTGTATTCTCTGTCGTTGAGGCAAGTAGGGTCATTCGCATCGTTACAGACGCATGTGGCACCCGAATCAGTGAGTACAGATGCCTAAACGTGGTGGATCAGCCGCTGTCAAAATTCAGATCTGAGACATTTACTCACGTTGACAGCAATGATGTATGCCATGGTGAAGAAAGTCGTCAAACCGGCTCGCAGCTCGGTGGTGAACCTCGCACCCTTGATTTCATTGGGCTGTAGTGGTCAGCTTTGCTCTTCGTGCTCAGTTGATCACTGGACTTACATGACCAGATCCATCAAGGTGGAAGTAGCGCCCCACAACAGAGCCTGACACAATGTCATTCAACCTGGCCTTATATGCTGCAAAACCCATGGTTGCAGATGTGAAGTGGCAAACAAAGACAACAAGATACGGGATGCTTCAAGTAAGAAGATATGCACAACCTCTAGAAGGTAGACGACCACTGTACTTAAAAGGTCGGTTTGACACCTCACCCAACTAGTCGTAGTAGCTATGAGTAATGTCGGATGTACTCCTTTGGGAGAGTTGACACTCTGCTTGCTCCAACGTACACCATGGTTGCGCACGTACCCGCGGCCTGCAAGCCGTGGTGTTTTTAGTGGCTTGTTCTACATGAAGCCACAAGGATGGAAGGTTTCACTAGCACACGGCGTACTAAGCCCCTTTACCTCATCCTATAGACAAAGCCGCACGCGGTTTCGGCTTATCTCTCCCGAGATGGCGCCACGACTATTGAGGCCCCGTCGGTCCACCTTTTTCAACGATCGTGTGCGCCCGCGGTGTGACGATCAGTTTGTTGTAACGCAGAAACCAGGTTCGCTGTGCATTGAGCTGGCACGATCGCGTGTTTGCTACGACTGATGATCTCAGCATGCCAAACGTATCCGAGACAGCCGTGACGGGCAGGATGCCAGCATAATTGAATGTTCGGAGATGATGAATGAATCAGGCTGCTATTGACAGGGAAAAGGACCTGGACAGATGGCCCAGGAGAGACGCGCATGCATCCTAACAAGAAGGACCGTACAAAGCGCCACTCAGACACGAAGCGGCAGCCGTACTTGGTGAGACCCCCCGCGATGCATTATTGGGCGGGTGGAGCGACTAGAAGCGTGCATTTACAGGCATTGGCCAGTGTTGTTCTGGAAGGTGGCATCATTGCGGGCCAGGGGACTAAATCTAAGCTCAAAGGTTCCGATCAGTCGGAGCCGTTGGTATTGTTGAGTTGGCGAACAATGGAGAAAAGTGGGAGAAAGTGATGATGCCGCCGAAGATCCTCCACTCATGAGGGTCAAGGCACATTAGAGTGGTCTGTGCGACTCCACCGGTTCGCTTCGCGGGAGCGGGAGATGTCCCCAATTCATCCTCCGCGCGCCTGACTGGCTGCCGTGCAACCCTGTCGAGAGCCATCAGGAGTAGGGTCTTTGTTAGCCAATGCGATGTAGGAACGTGCATCCTGAACAAGTCCAACAGGCAGGGATCCTAACGACCCCTTCAGGATTTCTTTCAGGTCGATGGAGCGAGACGCCAACCGTATCGATGCTAGCCATGTTAGGCGCACAAGTGTACGCGAGTACAGAGTCAGTTGCTCCGGCGCCGTGTGCAGCGCTGTGATATGATCCGTGTGATTCCATCCATGTGTGCAACACATGTGCAATACTCGTGCTCTCTGGACCTGTATATGTTGATAGTCAAGATCGCATCCCGCGCCAGCTAGGCCCAAAACCCCATTCACTGTGGTCGATCACATCCATCACCGCCAAAATGTTCCCAACTTTCGACGTCCCTCCCCAGCATGCCGAGACGGTAGGAGCTCGTAAGCACAGGAAGGCAAAGGAAGAGGAGGCCACCAGACGCTCTTCGACTGCTACATCACAATCATCAGGGAGCGCTCGAAGCGTAAGGGCCGAGTCTAATGCTTCTAACAAGAAGAGTGGTGGCTTTGGCTGGTTTGGCAAGAGCAAAGGTGTTCAAGAGATACCCAAGGTTCCTGCTTTGAAGACCAAGATCTCAGAGCCCTCATCGCCGCCTGCTCCTATTGCTGAACTTGCTGCTCCTTCGCCGCAAGAAACGCCGTCACCGGTCGTCACCTCTCCTGCCAACGAACTTGCTCCTCAGGTTCAAGAAAGACAACCATCACAACGCTCTAACCCTGACCTCCAATATCAACTTCAGCAACGCTTCCACGTCCCACCGCCGTTGCAATCACTCCCTCCTCCGCCTACAGGTGCTCTTCCTCAGTTGCCATCCCCTGGTCTGAGTTCACGAGGTACGTGCATGAATCCACTGTCCTGGTCTTATCTTGTGATCTGCGAACGATACGAGGATCCGATAACCCGCGAGTCAAAAACGTTGCTGTGCCTCAGCTAACGCCCATCACAGGAAGGATCGACACGGGGCGGCCCTTACACGATGCTGATCGCATCAAGTCAACCTACTCCATCCTGTCACATAATTCTTACAGCACAACAACAACTTCTTCTGCTCGCACAGGCTTCTCCAACTATAGCGTCTTTTCAGACCCTCCACGTCGTCACGATGACGTCCTGTCAGAGGACAGCTGCTACGGTGACGACCACTCACCTATCTCGAAGACACCGTCACCCATAACTCCACCCACATTTGTTGACAATAGGAGACAACCTCCAAGCCGCCAGAATGCCGACCCTGCATATGCAAGCAACATTCAGATGGAGCCTGTCGAGTCGCGAACTGGCAGCCGCATGAGTGATGGCCCTACCAAAGCTGCTCAAGGGCCCTTTGCGCGTGCTCTGGGTAAGATGGAGAGTGCTGGCGCTCGCATTGTCTCTGCGCGATTGAGTGAAGAATGGGAGGGTCTTGACGATGATGACGAAAGCCTCCAAGAAGTCATCTTCGAGAAACGCCTCTGGGCTTTGACAGCCTACCAGCGCTTGACACAGAACAAGCAACTCCAGTCCCCTGCGCACGACTTACTTGCTAACAGTCGACCGGCCGAGCAGAGGAGGGTGTTGCACCTCCATGGCAACCTTGCTGATGGCTGGGTTCTGGCAACACGCTACCCTGCAGCGACTGTTTACACCCTCTCCTCAGCGAACACCTCGAACCTCCCAACATCACATCCTGCACCATTGAACCATCACTCACTATTCTCGCCGTCCATCTCATCAGCTATGCCGTTCCCAGACAACTACTTCGATGTAGTCGTCTCACGCTTTGTTTCCACATCTTTGCGCAACGACGAGTGGGCCCGCTCCTTCTTCGACTGCATGCGTGTGCTCAAGCCAGGAGGCTCAATTGAGATCCTTTCCGTGGACGCCCACATGAGCGGCGAGGGGCCGCAGCTACAGAACTGGGTCGACGAACATGTCACTTGCAGGCTTGAAGCTCACAACATCAGCATGGTTCCATCTGAGAGCGTCCTCGACACCATGGAGATTGTCGGCTTCGAAAACATTCGCCGCGCCAGAGTCGCACTTCCTGCATATCTTGGCTCTCCTAAAGCGGTCGCTCGAGCAGCACCAAGCAGCAACGGCCTTCCTACTCCATCGCCGCAAGACGTCGTCGATGCAAGCCGCATGATGGCGTACCTGGGACGCCACTTCTACCAGGATCTCTACGGAAAGTTTGTGCGCCTTTCTCAAGGAGAGGAGTGGTTCTGGTTCCGAAAGGATATCCTCGATGAGTGTGAGAAATTCCAGACGAAGATGGTTCTCACGATTGCATGCGCCCAAAAGCCCGGTGCGGCTGTGGGCAATGAAAGCTACCTCAACATCTAGAGGAAGCTTTTTCGATCCTTGCAAACCTTTCATTTGCCTGCATGCTATGGCCAGCATCTGCATCACAATTTCCTGTTTCTGTATGGCACTACATTACGCTCGTTCTACATTTCTACATGATACCACTTATAGACAGACTTTTACTATGTTCATACGCCACCTATGTTCTGGGTACATGTATACCTCGATACCAGTTTAATTCCAAGACTATTTGGTACTTTCTGCAGCTTTACTGCATACGTAAATGCAGATGCTGCTGCAAACTCCATTGCATGCTTTTGCACTACCGAATACATCATCTGGTAACTTCACTGCACTGCAATGCATTCACTACTGCGCTCTCTCCTATCTGGCTGTTTCAGTCTCCCATTACACAATCTATGTTGAGCGTATCTCCCCAAAACGGGCCCTGACGGACAAGTTTCCAGTCCCTCTTTCGACTCTGCCGCCCTGTGTAAGTATCTTCGCCTGGCGCGAGGCGTCTGCACGCCGGACAGCTTTTGCGGACGGCTTAGCGGGAATCCTCCTGTTGGCTCGGACTCTTATCATTCCGAAAGCGGCAGAAATCTGCTCTACCGGAGTGTAGGGGTTGGCAAGCCAGTGCCAGCAAGGCGCAGGCGCAAGCTTAGGCTAAGCCAAAGTCGAACTGCTTTGGGTTGGGATATAGAGTCGGTTTCGATCGTAGTCCAAGCCTCCTTCTTTTTCCGTGCTCGCTACGGAGGGATTACACAAATACTTCGCATGTCGGAGCCTTGGCTCTGACTCAGTGAAGGCGTGCTCAGGCCGAGAGATGGTACTGTACATGGTGTTTTTCGTTGTGAGTTGACAATTGCCGAGTTGTGGAGATGAGGCACGGCAGACGACGGTACTTGCCATGTCTAATTCAAAGACGTCGAGGTAGAGAAGTCATCTGATGTTTGACACCCGAAGTGCTTTGAATTCGAATTCTCGAGGCTGTGCCTAGAGTCGACCTCAGTGAACTGGAATGTTGGGCAAGGCGGAATCTACTCCATTGTCCTGCAATTCAGCTCCACCTCCACTGCAGGAACCCATAAACCTCAAACATTCCAGCAGAAGCTTCGCTTACACATCGCATGCATCCCTCGCTACCAATGTCGACTCCATGTATGCATGCAGATCTCCATCGTTCAAGGTTCACAGAATTCAACAACAGAACTGAGCCTTGGAAGGCCGCTGAGTCCTGCGTGATGTGAGACGACGATAGTGTTTCGGTAAAGGCCCCGATGAGTTGGGCTTGGAAACTGGGCATAGAATGCATAAGGTTTCAGCTGTGTAACATCTAGATCGTTGAACTCACCTACTCAAATACTTCTCCTATTGATTTCGATATCAACGTTAAGTCCTGGGGAAACCTTAGCATGGAGGTTATTGACGTGGGGTTGAATGTTGGGAATCATCCCCACCTCCGCCATTATATACGGGTGTTTTGAGACGCGAAAGCGAGAATCCCAATGGCGAATCTCAACGTTACATCCCTATAGCCTTTCCTCCCCAAGTATTTCACGAGGCTTCATCCTCTGTTACCTCTTCGACTCCTTCCCTGCATTCGCCCCGTACCACATTCGGGAAACATATGTTGGTTTCAAGGTAAAGGGCATCAAGCTCGACATCGTAGCGCCTTACATGACCTCGGAGAGTTTGTAGACATGGGTCTTGCGGATAAATAATGATTCAACTCCATTATATACGAACAGACCAATTGATTCTTGCGTTGATGCTGCCCGCAAAAGACTATATCCAATACTTTGACCTGATTTCAGGAGGGGCTAAGAGGAGCTATACTGGAGTTACTCTCCTTCCATCCTCTGTCAAGACGTCTTACACCACTTGAATATGAACATTTGGGGTCGAGAAGATACAACCTTGGAAAATCGTCATGGAAAGCTCAGGGTGGTGTCAAAGGTTGCAGATAGGTGACAGTACTCTGTGAATCTGCGTTTGGCATTGTAACGGGTTGAGGAAGTGATGCGCCTTCTGCGTTCATGATTCGCCCATGCTAGATTCAGTCGGGGAGGCAAGCGCCTCTCTGTAGCGCCTGCCATTACATCATCTGAGTCCACTCTTCTTTTCATTGCTTCAACACCATGAAGCAGTACTTTCCGAGCTGGAGGCCGCTTCATCTCCCACTAAAGTTCAAGTTTTTCAAATTTATGTCTTGTGGTCTCCAGCGACGAGTACAATCGAGGCCGCGGCATATCCGGCAGAGCCAGTTTCGGCAGCCGCAAGCGAAGCTTATGACTGGTGTGGGATCAGGACGCTACATATTTAAGTCTGTCTGTGAGCTCTGGCAGACAGCATCAACTTAGTACAACAACTTCGCCCTCACCGAGCATCTCTAAAGCCACGTTCCGCCCCATCTGCAACCATGTCTACCAACCCGTCACCAATAAGGGCACCACAGCATGTGGTAGACCTGCTCTCACGCCTGCATGCCGCGTCTCTCGAGCAAGAGGCCGCAATATCCAGCAAGAAGAAAGTTTCTCTTCCGAAATCATTGGTGACCTGGAGGACAAGCTTGCCAGTCAGCGCGATGCCAGATGCGAGTTCGACAAGCTCATGCTCGATAAGTTCATTGCTCTGGACGAAGACAAGTGCCACTTCGTCTACCAACTGATCACTGCCATGGGAGCAACCAATGTTGTCGAGGCAGGCACCAGCTTTGGCGTCAGTACGATCTACCTGGCGCTCGCTACAGCTCAGACGAAGGCTGCGACAGGCAAGAAGGGCACTGTCATTGCCACGGAGAAGGAGCCTCAAAAGGCAGCCATTGCTCAAGGCTACTGGGAAGAGTGCGGTGTGGAAGAGCACATCGATCTCAGGGTTGGCGACCTACTTGAGACTCTGAAGAATGATGTGCCTGAGGTCGATTTACTTCTACTTGACAGTAAGTGTTGCGTCACGATACTAAATAGGTTGCTGACAATTGTGCTTCAGTCTGGTCGACTCTCGCGCTCCCAACGCTGAAGACTATCTTGCCTAAGCTGAGGCGCGGCGGTGTCATCCTCACGGACAACACTATCTCGGGCGCTGAAGGCTACAAGGACCTATTGACGTTCCTGCGCGCACCGGAGAATGGCTTCCAGAACACTACCTTACCGTATACTAATGGCTTCGAGATGAGTATATACTTGCCTAAGAAGCAAGTCTGAGGTTGTTGATAGGTCCAAGAGCGGATCTGGTCCAATCATGATGCACGGAAAGAGGGGGCTCTGAAAGGGGTCAACACCTTCTTGCCTGAATGCCAGGGTAACGGTGAATATTTGGCACAATCCCTTAGATCTTGCTTCAGCGCTGCTTTCGTCAACGAGAGTCTAGACTTTTCGCAATCTCACGTTTTCCGCCTTCTCTTTGTGCACAGCTCGTTGAATGTACTCAGCACGATATTGTCTATCAAGGAAACAACATGACGAATTCTTTTCGTAACCATTCATCAATTTGAGATTCTTACTTCACCGCAATGACGTTCTACGTGAGGTGTCAAGCTAGCTGTTGCCGTGGTAACCGGCCGCATCTTGTAAACAACGAAAGTGCTTTAGCGCCCGGCGCTAGCTCTCATCCCGTCCGCCCTCTTCAAGGTTGCATCTTGAAAGACTCCACCGACTTTGCGCAGGCGCGTCTAACCCTACAGGATACACTAGAAGCCATAATGTACAGATATACCGCGGGCACACCATGCCCTGCGCCACCGAACGCATCATATCCAAGCAGTCGTTATTATGATTATGGGCATCCTTCGCCTGCTTACGCGCCCAATTACATGGAGGATGGCACGACTGCAAACATTGAATACACGACCGGAATACAAGCGAAACCGCGTAATGTCAAGCCACGGCGACCAACGCGCGCAGCGCGCCCAGCCGCATTCAACCCTGGGTTGGACATCTTTGAAGATGTCGCGCACGAAGAGGAGCAACAACAACATCACGCAGCGGTGGAGACCAGGAGAAGGAGTCGCGCAACAGTCATGCCTGAGGGTGCAAAATTGAAGAAGAGCAGCTTACTTGCGCAACCTGCACAGAAGATCCCAAGGGCTGCACCATCAGTCCAAGAGCCGCAAGTGCTGCGGTCGCAGCGCAAACGCGTCTCGCAAGTTTTGATGGATAGGGAGTCGCCAAACGTAAACACCACAATAAAGCTGCAGGAGGACATTTTGGAGAGGAAAGAGCTGAAGAAGCAGGGGCCCAAGAAGGACCCACGACGAAGGACCATCTACGTACCCTCAGACGACACAACATACCTGACGATCCACCCTGGGCAGTCAGTGCATGAACCGCGCAAGGCTCGAGAGACATCGCCGGACATTGGGCTGGACCTGGTCACGGTATCAGATGAAGACAACACAAGCTTGGTCTCGGCGCTCAAGAAGGACAAGCAGGTCTCACGAAAGTCGCTGGCTGCACCACCAAAGCGAGGCCCTCTGAGCACGAGTTCGCGATCACTCCAGAGTGTCTCGTTCTCGAGCGACATAGCAGGTTCTGGAGATGGGAAGGAGAATGTGCCCCCGGGCACGGCCACCATTGAAAAGAAGAGCACAGGGACACACATCGAGATCAACTTCCCCAAGGCATTGACAAAGAGCACTTCTGTGGTTGAAGCGCCCAAGGTCCGGATCAAGTCTTCAAAGAGCTCTGAAGTGACATCATCAGTGAGGTCTGAGGCCAGATCTCGAGCAAAGTCTGACGTACGAGCACGACCAGACGGGTCGCAGAAGCGGTTGCGTGAGCAAGCCAGCTGCGAGCGCGTACCAACCAAGTCAATCAAAGCCCGAGCAGACGGAACGGCTTCCACAACCAGCAGTCTTGCTGCACACAAGGCTGCTCTCAAGGAACACAATGCAGCTATCAAGAATGCAAAGCCCAAAATCTCGAGAACGCGACCTGTCCAACAAGCTTCTTCCTCGCCATTTCACACCGACAAGACTCCGCCAGCTGCATTGCGCCGCCAAAGAGCAGAACGGGTGCCCGCCAACATCCAGATGATGCATGTTGTTGGAAAGCCGCAGCAGCAGTCGCGGGAGAAGTACCCCGTTCTTGAGGAGGATATCGCACGGCCGGAGATGTACGAAGACAATTGGCTCACATACCAGGAGGTTGCCATTACGCAACTCTTGAACTCTATGTTCGAGTCCGCCAACACGAACCCAAATGATGAGCAAAATCCAGAGGAGCTAAGGAAGAGGATGCTGGCGCTGTACCATGAGCCACTAATGCCTCCTCTACATAAGCGTTTGCAAGCTTCCCTCCAGTTTGGCGCGCTGAGCATACCGAAGGATCTTTTGACCCAGACCTTGAGGCTCAAAGACGACGTTGGCATGAGGAAAAGGTTTTTGACACTTTGGACCAAGACTTACGATCTCAACGCATTGCGAGCAGCAGTCGAGACGATTGTGGGACGTCAAATCACCACTCCATCGCGGCTATCGACCGACTCAACGTTTTCCGACGACGGCTCGCGCATGTTCCGTGCCGAACGGCGAGCTATTGAGCACTTCCTGGATGCTTTCCTGATCAAAAATGAAGACGCTGTTCGTGTCAAGCCTGGAGTCGGCAGCATTGCCAGCATCACACGTGGCGATGACGACTTTGGATCGCAGGGTTGGTCGTGGAGACGTACTACTCTGCGTAGTCTGATGCTTCTGTTGCTGCTTGATCAGGCGAAGGATGCAGACATCCTGCCTGGTTGCCTCTTCCAGTCAACATCGTCATTCAAGACGTCCGTTGATGTGCTCCACCAGCTCTCGACCATACTTCTCCCATCGCATGGGGACATCACACGACCGCTTGGCCACCTGAACTACAAAGTCGAACACATTCAGTACCCACTCCAAGAGTTCATCTATCACATCGAGAACATCGCCATCGATCTTCGTGACGGTATCATCCTTACCCGCCTTGTAGAACTACTCCTTTACCCGTCCAGCACGCTCGCTACACAGCACGACGATACCATCACCATCGCCATGCCCACCGGCGAGCTCCTGACTTCAGACATCACGCAGAAGGACAGCTGGGTGCTGTCGCAACACCTCAAATACCCAGCCATCGGCCGCCCCCAGAAAGCTTACAACGTGCAAGTTGCCCTCTCCGCCCTCGAAGGCGTCCATGGTCTCCCTAGCCAAGCGGTCGGCACCATCTCAGCTGCCGAGATTGTCGACGGCCACCGCGAAAAGACACTCAGCCTCCTTTGGTCTCTCGTTGGCAAACACGGGCTAGCGAGCTTGGTTGACTGGCCACACATTGCAAAAGAAACAGAACACTTCAGAGAGCAGTGGTACATGCGCCGGAACAAGTTCGAAGAAGACGATCTGGACTCTGATAGCGAGTCCGATACTCCGGCATCAGACGGATTAGATCATCACACCAGCTTGTTGTTAGACTGGGCAAGAGCCATCGCGCGACTACACGGCATTCACGTCGCCAACCTCACGACCTCTTTCGCGGACGCAAAGGTCCTCGAATGTATCGTAGACACATACCTCCCATCGTCACTCACCGCCACACTCTCCGCTTCGACCGGTCTGGCAGCGAAACTGAAAGCAGTGGGCTGCTCCACATCCTTCATCAGCTTATTCATGCCTCAACACGCCTCAGCCCGCTCGATCCCAAGTAAAGACTTCACACTCCTCACCCTCTCCTTCCTGGCTAGCAGACTCCTGCCGATGAGCGCCAAACACCGCGCCGCCTCTACCATCCAGGCTGCGTTCCGACGACACTTGGCGAGGAGGAATATCTCGGCTCGCATCAAGGCGATGGTGCTAGCGCACGAATCGGCGGTCGTTGCGCAAGCACGCCAGCGCATGGTGGACGCCGCGACGGTGTTTCAACGACGGTGGAGGGGCATTCTGGATGCGAGGCAGAAGCAGCTCGAGAGCGATGTGCTGGCGTTCCAGGCGCTGGCGAGGGGGTGGGCGATTAGAAGGTGGGTACGACGTATCACGGCGGGGCGCGTGGGTGGCAAGGAGAAGGTTAGGAGGGCCAGGGGTGGGTGGTAGGTTGTCTGGTTGTGGGAGTTGGGGTTGTAAAGGTCGTTGGGCGCTGTTGGGACACCCTTGTAATCGTGATGTAGCGCGTGGATGAGTTTGCTTTCTTGTCCTTCATTGTTAGATACCTTTGTCCGTTTCGTCCGCGTAGATCCGACCGTTCTCGAATACACTCAGTCACTGCTCCTCCTCCGCTCCCCTGGTGCCTGTGATGTATTCGAGTCCTCCCGCACGTGCAACGTCGTGCAGTCACCCGCGATGGCTATGGTAATGAGCATGGCAAACGGCCATGGAGAGAGGCGTGGCTGGGGTGCTTGAAGAAGTAATCCATATGCATTTGATATGAGAGTGGTATCTTGCAGGCAGCGCACGCAGCGCTCAAGCCTGCACCTGCACCTGCACCTGCACCTGCACTGTACGTGGAGCGCAACGCCGACCAGGCACAAGCGGCGGGAGAAAGGAAAATGCTTGCGGCCACATCAGCCATGTCAGTCAGGTATAAGAAAAGATGCGCTGTAATCCAAACAAGAAAAATGCCAGTCCGAGGCGCGTGAGATCCGGAATGCCAAAACAAGAGTCCGTCTAGACGCTGCGCTCGGGGCTCTCGCCCTCGGCGACAACGGCGACGCCCAGCCCTCTATCAGGGCTCTGCAGAACCAACTGCTCGTGCCTCCTCGCGCGAACAAAGTCGCTGACGCTCTTGATCAGGATGAACCAGCCCACGATCATCAGCCCGTACGCCAACCAGTCGCTCCCCGTTACGCTCGCGCTCGCACCCGCAGCCGCTTCAGCACCGCCAGCACCGCCAGCACCGCCAGCACTTGTCGCGACGTCGTCGGGATTGAAATTGTGCGCATTTGGATCGCTCGGCACGCCGCCGTTGAAGTCCTGGTTGGGGTTGTCGTTGCTCGAGCCGGCGGGGTTGAGCGTTGCGGAGCGGAAGCCGAAGCCGAACTGGACGAGGGTGATGCCGAGGCCGGCGCGAGACCCGTTCTTTGCGGCGTGGGTGGTGTGCAGGAGGTAGGTGAGAAGGAAGCCGACGAGCTGGAAGGACATGGAGATCATGGCGTTCCAGAGGAAGCTGAAGAGGGAGCCGACGGGCAGGCCCTCAACGAAGACCTCGTCGCCGAAAGTGCCGGGAGCGAGGATCGTGGTCTCCCAGTACGGCGGTGTTGCGTCGGCGGCGGCTTGTTCGTATGTCTGTGGCGGTGTTAGCTTCAGTGTCGCGCCCATCGTGTGCGGGTCGTGCATACCGGAGGCTTCTCCTCGACATCCTCCCCTCTTGTGGGCTTCGCGCTCAGGTTGGCCCACACACCGCCGTTCCCTCCGCCATACACGCGCCCGCTGGCAGGCGCCTGTGTGTGGAAGGCGGGCAGTTCCGTCACCCTCCTCTGCAGCCCCGGCGGTGGCGGTGCATCGTCGTCGGGCAGTGGATTCCCGCGCATCAGCCGCTGGCGATCATCGCGGCCGTCTTCGTCCTCGTCGTCGTCCGAGTCGGAATCAAAGGTGTCGGCGAGCGTGCGGTCTTCGGGGTGTGTGAGGGGGTCGTCGGAGAGCAGGCGGCGTGACGTGGGCGAGGAGGCGCGCGAGTGGAAGGACGGGGGCGGCGAGGCGGGCGGCCACTGCTGTGCGGAGAGCGATGCGACGGGCGAGTGCGCGTCGTCGTTGGCTGCAACCTGGGGCGCTGTCAGTACGGAGTCGTGTATTCTTGCAGGTGCATGCGCATGCGCATGCGCATAGCTGTTCGGGACGAGGAGAGGCAACGCACCCTTTCGTAGCCGTGGCTCGGCATGTTGGCGGAGGAGGCGCCGCGGCAGGTGTTGCGAGGCGGCGGTCGTGCGTCGGATGTGTTGAGTCGTGAGGAAGGAAGCGGAGCAGCGAGCGTGGGTGTCGTGGAGGGGGGGGGGGATTATTGTAGGCGGCGAGGAGATCCGTCAGCAGTGGAAGGCAGGTGCCGTGGTTTCGAGTGCCCCAAGGACCGCTGTCCCGGCGCTTCCATGGGCCCTTCCCCAATCGTGGCGCAGCACAGCGCAGCGCAGCGCACCAATGCACTCGCCGGCGAGACCCCCCCCCCCCGGCCCGCACGTCGTCCGCGGCGAAGACATCATCGACTTTTGGGAGCTGCATTTGCATTACGCGCGAGCCATCGAAAACACACTGCAACGCTTCCACGCCACACAGAACCATGGCGAGCACAGTCAGTATACGAACCAAAGTCGTGCGCTGATTGATGCCAACGTACTTGCAGGTAGCAAAACAATACACCCGCCTCTTGCGCCTCTGGCCCGCCGACGCCCTGCGTCCAAACCTCCCGTTCACACGTGCAATCGAAGCCCGCGCCCTCCCCTACGGCGTGCAGCCCATCAACGCCCCCGAAGACTCTGCCCGAACGCCCGGAAAGACATCGCCCGTACCGTCGGCGGCCGACGTACCGCCCACAACAGCTTCCACACATGCCAACCCCAGCCCGGCGCAAGAGTCCGCACAGATCACGGCCCTGTTCTCGTTGTTGGAGAACCGCTACGCGAAGAAGTATCCGCTGAGCGAGGCCGTGTTCAAGCCCACGAGTGCGCCGCAGCACTACACCAGGTTGATGGACGAGATTGAGCGCGCGCCGCAGAAGACGTGGTGGCAGGCAAAGGTGGACGAGTGGAAGATGAAGATCAGGTGGCAGTAGAGTTGTGGGAAGCGGAGGGTGTACGATATGTGTACTGCGAACGACGGTAGCACTTGTGGCGGACGTCGTCGTCGTGTTGGGACTGTGCGGGTGTGGCATTGGTGCGATATCATGTTGGGACTATGGGCACGATAGGCATCAAGAAATGGCATGGTAGCAAAGTACTGCACTTCATACATGGAGCATGGGTCTTAGCTGCCCCCCTCCCCCACCCCCGATCGACTTCTCAGTCTTATGACATCGGTGACACTGCAGCATCCATTGCGTGTCGTACGCTCTGCCCGACAGCCGACACAATGCATCCATGTTTCCACAGATACGCTGCACCGCATGCCGCACGCGCTGCGTTACGTCGTCCTAACCTGACCTCCAGATCGTAGACCGGAGCGGCTCAGACACGACTAGCGACGTGCAACGGGAGGCGTGCTCGCGCTCTGCAGCTATCCAGACATCCTTGTCTTCTCCCCTGAGGGGTACTAAGGCGTCGGCGACTGCAAGAGCGCTGTTCACTCTTTCGCGAGGCTATACTGAGCAGCAGGAATGGGTCTGGTCGCTGAGCTCCACCTTAGGCCGCGAAGTGGCTGATACTTAGGCCGCGAAGTGGCTGATACAAAGAACAGAAGAAGAAAAGACAGAAAGTGAGGTGATGCGCAGGCAACGGTCGATGGGGATATCAATAGTCTTACAAGCAACGCGCCGTCGAGCGCCCACAAATGCTGTGGATCATGCCGCCGACGAAGCAAACAGCACTTTCCTCGGATTGCCCATAGTCAGGCTCTTCAGCCCGCTGCCACTGCTCTCCATATCCTCAAGCAGCCTGTCCATACCGCCGATATCGAGCTCGCCACGAGTAAGAAGGGCCTGATCTGCTCGTCTGCTGTCTTCCTCCTCGGCGGGCGGTAGTGCGAACACAGCGCCGAGATCACGTCCCAGAGGCTGATTTGTGCCTGCCGAGATGATGAGTCGGTGTTCTGCTGCGATCAGAATGTCTCTGCCGATGGCCATCCGCGATGCAGCAGCGGTGGTGTCGAACTGTGTTATCGATGTGATGGATTCGCCGAGCAGGGGAATGTCGTGGATCTGAGTGAGGCCGGGGCCGGGGAGAGATTGTCCACGGCTTGCGGAGGCATTGCGTGTCCAGAACTTGGTTAGGTCTGCTATCCTGTACACTTCTGAACCGTACCAGATGATGACTGAGTCTTCAGATACTGTGCCGTTCGCTGACGTTGACGAAGCAACCGAGACGCCTCCGCGCGTTGGCACAGCAATACCAGACGAGCTACCATGGAAGAGGTTATCCTCTTTCCTGCGACGAGTGTTTGGTGTCATTGGTGCAAGGGAGCTACGACCACCACGCTTGGGGCTGGATGGACCATTGCTGCTTCCCTCCTTCTCGGCTGTGCCCACGAAGCCGCGCAGAGAAAAGGCGGCAGGATCAGCGGGTGGACTGGGTCCTGACTGATCACAATCCCACACGCCCCATTCGCCGTCTGCGAGCAAAGCCAGGATGTGCCGCCCGTCACACGTCCACGCCGCGTCGAGAATCGCTTTGCGGGTAGCAAGAATTGGAGGCGTGAGCGAGTTGCTCTTCACGCTTTCGAACGTCGACCTGAACATGGTCGTGAAGGCACCAGGCTCGCTTTGGCCGCTTGCACTCCGCTTGCGACTCGCGGGCGCGAATGGATCGTAGACACGCGCGGTGCCGGTCAGATCGGTGATGAGAAGCTGAGAGTGGCGACGCTTGGGGTATTGGGCGGTGTTGAAAGCAATGCTAGACGCAGGCTTACGTAGTGTCACAGTCTTGTAGGGCGCAATCGGATGGGCACCGTTGACGGAGGTTTCAGTGAGTTCGAAGCGCCAGATCTTGAACAGACCCCCGAGTTCAGCCGAGTGCGTCGCGACCAAGATGTCGAATCCAGCTGCCGTGCCCGGGCGTGAGCGCGAGCGGCTCTGTTGTTTCCTGCGCCGCCGTCCTGGTGTTGCACCAACATCGCCCTCTGCGTCTACGTCCACCTCATCGTCGGTCTCGTGCTTCGCGCTCGGCTCTCCTCTTGACGTCCAGGTCATGGTCACACCTCGCGCGATGCTTTGGTGCCCGTGGAACTTGATGACTTCCTCGCCATATTGCGAAGATGCGCTCCATGGCTTTTCCCTTGCAGCGTGTGGTGGGAGACTCAGGGGCAGAGTAACGACGCGTATGGTGGAGTCGGCGCAGGTGGCAGTGAAGACGAGCTTCTTGCTGAAGATCGCTGGTATCGTTTCCGCAGGTCGGAGTGCGGAGACAGTTGGCACTTGAGGTACGGCAATGTGCAGGACTTCGGTGTTGAAGGAGAGATGGACCTGCTGTACGATCGAGGGGTACGGCTGGTCTGGGTCGAGCTCCTCCTCTTCTTCTTCAAACTCGGCTCGCGGCATGGATTGCGCCGGCGCAGGTTTCGCAGGCTCATCGTCGTCCGAGTCGATGATCATGACCGCATCGTCGCTGGCTCCATTGACCTTCTGCGGCTTTGGCGCCTGCTTGGGAGGCGGCGCGGTCTTCTTCAGCGGTCGCCCTCCCCTCCAGATGACGCTTACGCCGGTATCGTGCGCATGAAGCAGGATGGTTGAGCCATTGGGAGCTTTGACTGGGTAGATGGTGGCTGCGTGGACGCGTTGCGGCAGCTCATATCTGTTGATACAGTCAGAACTTGATTGCTAGCTTGGACCGTCCTAAAGCGCACCTGAGCTGTGTCAGCTTGCCCTTGGTCGTAGCGATCGGCTGCATAGCGATAGCTTGAGCTTGTAAACTCGAACGTTGATCGCTAGCTCGACCGGCAGCAAGGCAACAACGGAGCAGCGCTGTTCACGTGATCAATCCTTCGAGTGGAGTCGAGCCTGGGCGTATCGCAATATTAATCGCGGGCTGCGCACTCCGATTCTATGCCGTGGTGTCGAGGCGGTCAAGGTGAAGAAGCTCGGAGGAGCTGCGGAGGTGAAAGAACGAATTTCTGGGGAAGGCGCGAGCGCGTCACCACGAATGCGCGCCGCCCGCAAACAAACAATCACAGCAACCCCGCCACCGCACTCTCGCACCGACAGCGTCCTCATGCCGCGAAACGAACCTCCGCATGGCCTCCCTTCGCTCAATCGGGGTCCATAAGCCCGCCGCATTGCAGTACCTGGTCACCGAATCTATCCTCAACGAAGACTGCACCGAAGGCGACTATGTCTGGGACACTTACCCCGACGAAAGCCCGGAGGGTCCGACCGACGAGGTAGTCACCACTGAATACCATGTCGTCTGGTCACGAGGCGGCATAGTCCGCAAGGCCTTCAACTTCGAGATCGAGAAAGAGAAGGTCATACAGGCGCTGCTCACGTGGTTTCCTCTGGAGGAGCCCTCTGGCGCGACCACACATGGCCTCGGTCGGGGCGTGGAGTACAGTGGCCATGAGCAATCAAAGGCGTTTCTCACGCAGGGAACGCAGCCGGCTACGGATCCCAACGCTGCGGCAGATGATGCTGCGAATGTCGTTGAAACGAGGGCGCGGGCACTGGTGGTCTTCCTCAGGTCCCAGGCCCATGTCTTCTTTCTCTCCGGGACCACACACATCGTGAACCTTCCGTTCGAGGTCGACAGAGCTTTCCCAGCGGCGCGCGGACTTGTGGTACAGAGGAAGATTGCGCCCCTCATCCATGCGCCTTCCAGCCCGCAGGTACCTATGGCTCCCCCTAATTCATTCCTTACCAACAATCAGTCGTTTCTCTCGCAGACTCTTTCTCAAAGCTCCACACAGGCTCACCGCCGTAATAACTCTTCTGTGGCCACGATTCGCGGCAACAAAGCTCAACAGAATGGATCAGCCGTATTCCTCGACAATCTCATCAAGTCTGCTGCAGCCCCTAACACGGAAGGCCTTCCGAGGCTGTTCTCGTTCACAGATCCTCTGTCAGAGCTGGGCTTGGTTGTCAACGTGCTGGTTGGTGGTGAGCGCAGCAGCATGCTCTTGAAGAACGGCGAGGAAAATCGGAGACTAGAAGCTATTGACAAAGCCGAAGAGATCATATACGTCTCGCCACAAAATGAAGTAATGTTTGACCGCAGCGGTAGCGACAAGCCTCTGCTGCTGGTCGTCACGGCAAATTACGAGACAAATTTATTCACCATCTGGTGGGCAGCGTACCTCGAGCCCAGATCCATCTCAGCTTCTCGCAAACAACACGCCCCCGTGCCGTTATCTAAGTCTCGGCGACGAAGCTCGCATGGCGCTACCTCCACAGGGACAGGTGCAACTACTCCTGCGATTCGAGGTGGCGATAGGCTGAGGGAGAGCTTTGGCGGAGCTCCACGTAGCAAGCCACCTGTACCATCTTTCAGAGACGTTTCTCAGACGAGAGGAAGACTGACAGACCAAGCGGTGGACGATGCCCTCGCTTCACAACTCAATCCTGACTTCAACATAGATCGACTACCGAAAGAGTCTAGACGCGTCAGCTCCTTGCTCTCGCGAGCTGAACTATCAACAAGTTTCGACAAATCGGCATTCCAAGATTTGGCAACACATCGAACAAGTATAGGAGGTAGCTTCGGAGCTAGTCAACGCAGTCGGCGCTCGCTGGGTCACGATCGTACAAGCTTTGGGGGTTACTCGCAGTCTCGCAACCGAGCTTCAACACCTGGCAGCATTGCCTCACGGATGAGCTTTGGTGGTGCGGATGTTGACGACAATTGTGATGACACCATGGAAGAGAGTCAATACGATCTCATGGAGGAGTATGATGAGGTGGATAACCTCTTTTCGCCACCTGAAGCGGGAGCTGAATCTCAACCGACCGATGGATTACGGAAGGAGCTAGTAATGGAAGCGGTCGGCGAGATTCCAGCAACTCAGTATCTCAAACCCGGCGTCTTTGCATTGAGTGATTCAACAGTGACGGTAAGAGCTAGTCTTCTTGGAGACTGTCTGTTCGAATGCTGATTTCATACAGGCAAGTGAACGTCCAAAGGTTCTGACTCTGAATGCACCCTTCAACTCTGCGACTCTACACGAGCGGAAGATCTACGTTTACATCTCGCATCCCTCCATAAGCGCGCCGCTGGAATGCGAAATTGCAGTGACCCGAAAACGCTTGAAGGTCTCAGCATCAACACTACGCCTCCAGCCGAGCAGCGATGTCAACAGATACGCTTGTTGGCCGAAACTAGTAGCGATCAAGCAACTCACTGACGCTACCGATTTTGTCAAGGTCCGGGCCGGTCATGTGGAAAGACTTGCACTGCTCAACTCCTCCACCCCTGCGAGTGCTTATTTGTCCCTGACTGCAGGCTGGGGTACTCACTTGCCCGCTAACATCGATCTGGGACCGCTCAAACTCTTCGATCCGTACGCCATTCTCGAGGATGGGCAACGGGCCTCAGCAGGGTTCAAAAGGACGATAACTCCCAAACGACCTTTGCAGCAGCTTATGTCGCCGGGACGGGAGGGTCAAGTCGATGTCGTTGACGCAGATGGGTGGAGACATCGCATGGAAATCGGACTTGCGCCTGTCGACCGCTCTGTCCGGGAATACTTCCGTGTGCTGACCACAATTCTTCCCAACTACGCAGGCGATTTCCTTCTTCAGATCTGGTGGAATATTCGAAAAACACTGCCCAATGGCACAATGAACAGCATGAATGGTGACTGGGTGGCCTTTGTCTCCACCGTCTTTACACTTGTGGTTCCCTTCCTGGATGACAAGCTGAAAAAAGCGAACAGTCGGACAAAGTCTCATCAACGGCGCAGCTCAGGGCGACCTTCCAGCCAGGCGAAACCAGACGAGGTCATCGATGATGATGATTCGGCGTGGCGCCTGATGTGCGACCGCCAAAGCTCACGCTTGCATTCAAAGAGCTGGGCATCATCACCGTGGGGATGGGCTTTGCACTCTGATTCAGCAGCGACATTGATGGCCCCACCCTCGAAGCGTACATCAGGACACCGAACAGTTCCTGTGGTGCAACAGTTGAGAACAAAGCAGAACCTGATATCTGATTGCATTCATCTTGCTCGTCAATTCTGCCAGACACCTGTGGGCAAGGCTGCAAACGACCATTGGGAGGACATGTCTCCATCTGCAAAACAAGACCTGCGCATATCTTCCCTTTCAGAAATTCTGGTCTCCCTACATCTCTATTGCGAGGAACTCAAACTCGACATCTTTTCACAAGATGTTAGCGATTCACAAGCCGGGGATCTAGCCCCAGTCCTCGCCCAACTTGGTCACTGGCTTCGTTGGGAGGGTTGGGGCTGGCAGAGAGGAGGATTCTATGACCTTGCTGGTGCCTCTAGTGACAAATGGACATACGACGAATCAGCTTTGAGCTCCAAGGTACGGTTGCATGCGCGGCCATCAGATGCACCGCCGCCTTCGATACTAGACTGGCTTGGCACTGTTGTGGGCCCTCAACGCTATGCCCCGTTTCCCACACTGGCGATGCTTATCAGGAAGTCCAAGGCTTCCCCTCATTCGTCGATCAACATTGACGAGATCGTTACCGATGTGACTCCAAGGACTATGTCCTTGCATGGATTCTTCCGCGACATCGATCCAACGTCCAGCCCGAGAAAGGTAGTGGAGCTCATCGAGACCTGTGGAATCAGCACAGACACCATCGCTACTTTACCAGAAGCCGCAAAGGCGCCACTGATGGAAGCCATCACTAGGTGTCAGGCGAACCCACCGACCACCTGGTCAAGCTCTCTGCTCAAACTCGTACAACGTGAGGATCTCGACCTGACCTCGATCTCAAGTGGGGACTTCGTTCATGACGTCCACCTGAATCCGCTCTACAGTACTGCAGCAACACGCGATGTCCACACAATCTGTCAGAGCGCAGATCGACCGGAACCGGTCCAGTCTACAGCTGAGGTCGATCGCCACTATATTACCAGGCTTATCTTCCGCGAAGACAGGCGATTCATGGAAGCACACACACTCCTGGAACCCTTGAGGCAGACGGTTGCTGAGTATCGTGCCGACAGCAGATCTGACGAAGCCGCGATCCTGGAAGGACAGAAGATCATGATGCGATGGGTCATGATTCGTACCTTCTCGTTGCCGGTCGGTAGCTCCATGATCAAGTTCAGCAGCAAAAAGCCATTGCTTACCGAGAAGTATCCTTTGTATGGCTTCTCCACGTCATGTCTGATGAAACCGATGGGTAACGTCGTCACTGCTGAACGCCAAAACTACTCAGAAGAGAAGTACTTCTGGGCTTTCTTCAACGCTGGTGCTGCCGCCGGCCTGAGTATCTCTCGAGACGCTCAAGGCATCGATACCTCGTGGATCATGTACAACAAGCCGGCCGAGTTGACCAATAAACATGCAGGTCTTCTCCTCGGTCTCGGCTTGAACGGCCATTTGCGCACAATCGCCAAGTGGTTGTCGTTCAAGTACCTTACGCCTAAGCACACCATGACTTCAGTGGGTTTGCTTCTAGGCTTGTCTGCGTCTTTCATGGGGACCATGGATACACTGGTTACACGTTTACTATCTGTCCATGTGACAAGGATGCTACCGGCAGGAGCGGCAGAGCTGAACCTGTCGCCCTACACGCAGACGACTGGACTGATGGGCATTGGTCTGCTTTACTACAACACACAACATCGACGAATGAGCGAGGTCATGCTGTCAGAGATTGAGTACGTCGAGGTGCCAGATCCGTCTGAACCTCCAGAGTCTCTTCGCGACGAAGCTTACAGGCTGGCTGCTGGTTTCGCCCTGGGTTTCATCAACTTGGGCAAGGGCAGGGACCTGGGCGGTCTTCGTGACATGCAGATCGTACAGCGCTTGATGACAGTCGCGGTGGCGCCGAAGTCGGTCAACATCGTTCATATCCTTGATCAAGCGACTGCTGGGGCAGTGATCGCGATTGCGTTGATCTACATGAAGACACACGACCGCATGGTCGCCAGCAAGATCGATGTACCAGACACGCTGCCACAGTTCGACTATGTCCGTCCAGATATTTTCCTCCTTCGCACTCTGGCAAAACACATCATCATGTGGGACGACATCGAAGCGAGCGATGACTGGATGATGAAGAATCTACCGGTAGATTACCAGGAAGATTTCGATCTCAAGAATATCAACAAGCTACGCAGCGAGCAGATGCCTTTCTACAACATCGTCGCGGGTCTCCTATGGAGTATATCACTGAAGCACGCAGGTACAGGCGACATACAGGTCAGAGACTTCCTCATCAAATACCTTGACCAATTCATGCGCATCACCAAATTAACATCCGTCCGCTACGATTCCCGCCTGACCCGCAACACAGTCCGCAACTGCCAGGATCTCATTGCATTATCTGCTGCTACTGTCATGGCAGGCACAGGTGACCTCGACGTCTTCCGCCGTCTTCGTGCTCTCCATGGTCGCATTGGCCCCGACACACCATATGGCAGTCACCTTGCGGCTCATATGGCCTTCGGTGCACTCTTCATTGCCGGCGGCACGCAGACTTTTAGTAGAAGCAACAAGGCTATCGCGAGTCTCATCTGCGCCTTCTACCCCCTCTTCCCTTCAGACGTCCAGGACAGCCGCGCGCACCTGCAAGCCTTCCGCCACTTCTGGGTGCTAGCCGCGGAGCCGCGATGTCTCGTCGTCCGGGATGTCGACACAGGCCGTGCAATCAGCATGCCCATCACCGTCCACTTCCGAGACGACTCGCAGCCACCAAAGAATCTAGTGGCGCCCTGCCTCCTCCCCGAAGTCAAGGAAGTATCCCGCATCGAAACCACAGATGTAAACTACTGGCCCACAACCCTCGACTTCGTACACAACGCAAGCCACCTGCTCGCCTTCCAGCGCAACCAAACGTTACACGTTAGAAGGAGGAGTGCGAGGGATACGTACTCCACATCCTTTTCTGCTACTCTCGTCGCCCTCAACGACGCCCAGTCCTCCCGCACGAGCCACCTGCTGTTCCACTGGATCTTCAGCCTGCCCGCTATCGCCGCGTTCGTGGGGACTAGCGACGCCGCGCTCGTTCTGCCTGTTGACCCGCACTCCAAGACCATGCTCGATCCTAGGAGTACGGTGGTTGAGAGCAGATTGGTGCTGGGTAGGCTGGGGAAGAGTTGGAAGATTGATGAGCTGAGGGAGTTGAGAGGTGTTTTTGAGTGGGCGGAGATGGAGAGTAGGAAGGATGGGAGACTGAGGTGGTTGGGGAGGGAAGTGGTGGAGAGGTTGCGGGCGGGGGTGCTGGAGAGGGGACGGGGGGTCGGGGGAGGGTAGATGAGTGTGTAGAGGCAGGAGATTAAGTGGTGGATACCGAGATGAATCACGGTGTAATGTCTGCAAGCAATACACGTTCAACGCAACGGATATTTTGAAGATTTCTCCAAAGTCTAATGGTATCATTTTGTGCTTCCAACATGCAAACCGCTTAGCTACCGCCTCCTAAACTAGGCCTTGACTTCAATGCTCTTAATCAACTCCCCACCAAATCTCCTAATCTCATTCAAAACCGCCTCCTTATTCACTCTGATCTCAACATCTTTGCCCTTCTCCTTCTCATCCTCAGACACCTTAACCTTAACAGGCACACTATTCCACCCGGGCTTAACCTTCCACGTCCTCTGGCCCGTCGAAATCGGATTCCACAACCCCACAATCTTATCCAGCGTCTCTGGATCCCAGAACCACAGCACACTATCGCCGTACACGTCGAGCAGATCCTGTGCGAAGAGCGCGGGCAGCGGGGTGCTGGCGGGCTGGATAAGGGTTGCGTGCTGGATCTCGAGATTCTTGAACTGCTGGTTCGAAATGCTCTTCCGCTTTTTGGAGTGGGAAGGGGTGTATTTCGAAGCGAGACTGATGTGGATGTCGTACTCGGCTGTGCTGGCTGTGAACAGACTTTCTGGCGACAGTGCGGGCGTGGGGGCGTCTTTACTGCTGTTGATGTGCGCCAACAACCGGTCTTCGTCTGCGCGCACGGCCGTGGAAGCAGCTTTCGCCAGGGCAGTGAGGCGCGCGGCTACCACCTTCTCCGGCTTCGCTTTGTCCGTCCATGTCGTGCCTTCTTCATCGAGGTTCGTGGCTGCGAAGAGCACGACGCGGTTCATCGCCGGATCAATCCTGCGCCAGGCCTCGAAGCGGGTCTGCAGACGCTCGAGATCGCTGGGTTTCATGCCCTTCTGCTGGCTTGCATCGTCAAGATCTGCCGGGTTGGCAGAGAACGTGGAGCTGAAATCCACGATGAGCGGCTCGTGGCGCCAGTCCCAGCGGCCCAGCCAGGCGAGCGTGCGCAGGAAGCCGGTTGTTGATGTGGATGGGACGGACCAGGGGTAGGGTTGCAGGAATGTGCGGATGACGAGGAGTTCGATGAGTTCGGGGGAGAAGTGTGGGGTGAGGAGGTGTGAGGCGAACCAGCGCTTTGTGAGGCGGATGGAGGGTGAGAGAGCGGGGAAGCGTGTGCAGAGTGTTTGGAGGACCTGTGAGTGGAGTGGCGATTGCACAAATTCACGCTTGTAGAGGGCGAGGGATGCAGCTGCGGATTCGCGGGAGGGCGCGTCGAGGGTCTTGTCTTTGAGTTGGCGTTCGAACAGTGTGACTTCGCGGTCGTGATATATGCGGATCCGGAAGGTGAAACCTGCGGCGGATGTGACGTCCAGGAAAGCTTGGTTCTGTGCTGGCTGTGATGGGTTCTCGAGACCAACACGAGAGACATACTCGGACTCCGTCTCGGTCAAGAGGTCTGCAATACGCAGCAGGAAAGCAATCTTGGTCCGCTGAATAGCACAGAGGTCGTCAGGCCAACGTCCAGAGCCCTCGAACTGAAGCACGACCGATGCAGGCGCGTGGCCGGCAGTAGGAGGCTCCACAGACGCGTAGCGCAGCTGTGCATCCGCAGCTTTGATTGAACGCAGCGACAATGGCAGGCCTTCAAGAGCACGAATTTCCTTCTCCATCGTGGCGAAGGCATTCATGATAGGCAGGAACGGTGTCACGCCTGAAGCGCCTTGAATGCGCCCAGCACTGACAAGGTGGGCAAAAGCATCGCCAGTGAATCTGAGGTTGTCCGCTGACTGCACAATCTTGTGTTGCTGGAGGATATAGCGCACAATCTGCTCAATGACAGAGGCTGACGCATCTTTGAGAGACCAGACCACACTCTCAGTGATACTGCCGTCCTTGAATCGTCTGAGCTCTGACTTCTCGCCCCAGAACTTGCGGAACGTTGCCGCTTCTTCCTTCTTCTCTGCCGCCGGTCCATGGTCGACTGTTCGATTGGCATTTGCTGGGTCAGTCGCCAAGTTGACGAGGATGCTCTTGCGCTGCTTCTCATGTGGTCGTCGTGCGGCAATCGACCAAGTGTCTTCTTCTGGCATTGTGAAAGATACCGATGTAACTCTGTCAGTAAGCGCACGGTTTAAGGTGCCGTACAGCTTCCGGCAAGCATCGCCGAGTTGCTGGTCGTACTCTTCGCTCGCTGAGTCGAGGCCAAGTGCTGACAGAGGGATCTCGAGAGTGGCATCGTACTTGAGCTTCAGGAGCTCTGTCTTCAGGATGAAAGTCGAGTCGAACTGGTCAAAGACGGTGTCGCTCAGCATATCCACGGTCGCCTTTGCCTCTTGACGTAGGCATGCGTACGACCACTGTGTCATCTTGAACAGAATATTCTGACCACGAGGCCCGTCGAAGAAGACGGGTGTAGTGTCACCCTTGGGAATGGTGATGTTGTGCGCCTGCAGAACGATAGCCTTCTTGCTCAGGTCATGACGAGCGAGGAATTGGAGAGTGGCCTTGAACAGCTGGTAGCTGCTGTATCCAGGAGACAGTGGTTGTGCACCAGTCGTCTGGTTTGGTTGCAGCAGCAGAGCTACGAGAGCTGCCCACTCGAAGTTGCCAAAACCACCCTTTCGCAGTCGACCACCAAAGCCACGCTGCTTGAGCCAAATGCGACCAAGAGTGCAAGCATCCTTGAACGCATCAGCTTTTGTAGTCGTCGCATACAGCAGTTTCAGATAGGCGGTGACATTTGCGTCTGACTGCAACGTGCTGTTGTAGAACGGCGTCGGCGGTAATGACTTGCCTGCGGTCTCTTCCTCCTCGCCGCCCTTTGGTCGTACGGCATTCGAGTTCGGCAGCAATTTGTTTGGCGCAAACGTGTTCTCGGGCAGAGCCGGGATGATGTTGATCCTAGCCTTCGAGCTGGAGAAGTCGTCCGCATCGCCATTGCCGCTTGGTCGTACTACGATGATGGGCTGCAGCTGATTGCCGTGCCAGCTCTCGAACGACAGCTCGAATTTGTGCTTCTTCGCTCCCTTGATACCGGCAGCCAGGCAGGCCAGGTAATATGCGCGCTTGTAAAAGTACCGGTGGTTGAGGTAGTCCTTGTCCTGAAACAACGACTTCGGCATGGTGACTACGAGGTCAATCGCTATGCCATCATCCGACTTCGTTGCAGTTTTCAGTGGGTAGCTGCCGGTTGCGTTGATGCTGGACGGTCGCTCGAACGAAAGCTTGTATTTTGCGTCTTTCAGTGGACGAGGGCTAGGAAAGGGTATCGCGATGCCGGCAGACTTGAGAGCCTTTTCGGCTTCTAGGATCTGTACTCGATTAGCAAAGCATGGCCAGAGACCGATTGCGAACGTACTGGCAGAGCGTCCCGACTGGGTATCGATTCGATGATCGTCTTCAATGTGCGCATGGCATTCTCCGCCGGTGCCTCCTTTTTGCCATACTTTGGCTTGACCTGCCCCAGAAGCTCGTCGACCTGTAGCTTGAACATGTTCGATTTGAACGACTCGGAAGTATAGACACCGTCTTGGAGTGTCGCAGCTGGCCTCTTTGGTGCTTTCTGCGCGGGTGTGACCGACGCAGCTGATGTTGGCGTCTTGCTCCTCTGCGCAACGCTTTCCTCTGCATCTCCATCGTCGCTCACGTCTTCGCCTTCTGCAGGCCCCTCCATCGAAACATCGCTGTCTTCGCCGTTCGCCTCCTCTTCAATGTCAGAACCTGCGCTGTCGAGCTCCTCAAATTCAGCAAAGCTTCCCTCGCTCTCGTCCTCGGACTGCTCGAGCTTTCTGCGTTTCGTAGCGGGCGGCGCCATTGTCGTGTTCGTGTGGTGCTTGCGGACTTGGGTCGCGGAAATTTGCGCGAACTTTTTGGAAGACTGACAGGGATGCTGCTCTTTCCTTATCGATAAGGCTTCCCCGGATTCAGCACCAGGTGACGTTTGGAGCTTGTCCTTCATGCACCCCTCATTGCCCAGCCCATTGTTGACCTTATAAGAAGCCTGTGGCAGTGGATGTCGTTTCTTTTCCTCTCTTTTCTGCTCTGTGTGCTTGTATAGCAGCTGCATACAGTCAATATTTTGTAAGCTCGCAGCAGCGCCACTACCCAAAACCTGTCCTCCACCACTAGAACACGCTCCTGCAAACTGTCTATCCTAGCTCCCCTCACCCGCCGACCGTTTGGCCCCTCTCTAGCTCTTAAGCTACACCACCTACAACACCTTAGACCCTTCAGCATGGCTTGGAGATCCTCGGGCTCCTCGAACCAATCCCTCATTGACAACCTCGAAAAGAATGGGCTGATCGAAACAAAACGCGTCAAAGGCGCCATGCTGCAGGTACTCCCCACGACGATACTCGTATCGCGTCAAGGACACATCTCGTCTGCAACAGGACTAACACTCGACAAGGTTGATCGCGCGCACTATGCTCCAGGAAATCCCTACGACGACAGGCCGCAGCCCATAGGCCACAAAGCTACCATCTCAGCACCGCACATGCACGCAAACGCGTGCGAGTCATTACTTGACTACCTACAACCTGGCGCCAAGGTCCTCGACATAGGCTCAGGCTCGGGGTACCTCACAGCTGTACTAGCGAACCTCGTTGGACCGACCGGAAAGGTCGTGGGCATTGATCACATTCAGCCACTCGTCGACATGGCGAACACTAACATGGCAAAGTCAGAAGAAGGAAGGAAGATGCTAGAGTCTGGCCAGGTCAAATTCGTCACAGGGGACGGCAGAAAAGGCTGGAAAGAAGACGCGCCGTACGATGCTATACACGTTGGGGCTGCTGCGGCAGAGCATCATAAAGAGTTGACTGAACAACTGAAGGCCCCTGGCCGGCTGTTTGTGCCTGTTTCTGATGGCTGGAGCCAGCACATTTACGTTATCAACAAGAAGGAGGATGGCAGTATCGACCAGAACAGGTTGTACGGGGTGCAGTACGTTCCATTGACTGATGCGCCGGAGTAAAGGGTGAGCGAGAAAAAGCCGGATCGATGGGGCGGCGCAAGGGTGTTGGGATGTAAGATACCTTCAATAGCACACATCATCAATCAATCTGAATGCCCATACTGTAATCTCTGTACTTCCTGCTATCTGGAACCAGCTCACTTGCCCCACTTTTCTATATCGTACAGCAGCAGCCGAAAGGAGGGGTAGCTGCGGGTATATGTTCACTAACTCCAGGGCATTTTGGATAGCTCATCCTTACGTTTCTTGTAATTCATACAAACATCTGCACTCCACAGGCAATCCTCTCTTTGCTCCACAAACCACCAGTAAAAGATGTCCGGGCCTGTTACTGAGATCGCGTACGTGCCTATCAAGAAAAGTGTGGATCTGGAGTCCGGTGAAGGCAAGAGCGTATTGGACGAAACGCTGAAAACTATTGCCAGCCAGAAAGGTTGCAAACGCTTATCATGGGGCACTCAAATTGAGACTCCGAGCATTGTACAGATGGCCATTGGTACGAACCATCAAACCTGCTTCAATCCGATCATCTAACAGAAGACACAACAGACTGGGAGTCCCTCGATGCACATAGGGCTTTCATCGCCTCGGACGCATACGGGCCATTCTTGGACCGCCTAGCCACAATCCTAGACGGCTCACCTCACTTCTTCCACATCAAGCTCCCCGTCCCGTCCCAGGAATCAGGAACACCTTCCTTCGACGCCCCAGTGACCGAGTGCGTCTCTTTATACTTCGATCCCTCCCTCGACGAGGCTACCTACAACAAGAGCTTCTCCACCTTCGTTGCCGAAGCAGGCAAAGTCCAGGGCTCTGGAGCAACAGGTCTGGTCGGCGGCTGGGGCGTAGAGACACATAAGGTCGACCGTGGGGAGGACGAGAAGAAATTCTTCGGTGCTTTCGTTGGATGGCCAAGTGTGGAGAGCCATATGGAGCTCTGGAAGAAGGAGGAGTTTCGGAAGGTTGTTGAAAATCTGAAAGAGGGGGTCGAGAAGATCAAGATGCATCATGTCGCTTTCAAGAGGTTTGAGGTGTAGATGTATGGGGTCGTTTTGGATATCAGCGATGACCTGGATCTGTGAGGCTGCGAGTGTGTGCCGATTTGGTCGGAGTCATCAATTTTCGCCTTGAATTCGAGCATTTCGTCTATGCTCAGTTTCTGTCTTGAACTGCCATTCTCCTTGAGTCAAAATATCTCTCGTGTTTCGCAGTGGGCCCATTTTGACGGACCTTAGGACTTGTATAGGCACTCGCCTTGACAGACCTTAGGTAAGTTTGATCAAACTTGTGCCCATCTAGAGTAAAAAGTGTCTACAGATCTTTTGGCGATCAACGCTCTAAAGACTGCATCTTGACGTTTGCCGCGGAGCACGGCTCCCTCGCTTGGGAATAATCTTCGGCCTCAGCAGCGAAACTTCCAGTGACAGCGGTCGAAGCCTGAGTGACAGATTTCCGTGACCCGCTGCGGAAACAAAGGCAGGGATCTTACACAAATTTATCCCAGTACATTGCGCTCGAGCATTGAGCTAGAAGTATTGCCGATTCTTAAAGAGATGAGCAGGACTCGAAAATCAAGGCCGGCTGTCTCAGTCCCGGAATCGGCGAAGACACCATGCTGCGTCTGTCAGCTTGAAAAAGTACCATCGAGATGGTCAACAAAAGAGTGAGATCGACATCAGCGGACGACAACGCATCGACTACCGTATTGCCGTATAGAGAACAATTATGTCGCGTGCGGCTCGTGGTTTCCCCGCGAACCTGCAGAACCTCGGCGCGGGAGATCCTTGCACAACATCAAGCCTGTAACTACGAATTCGCTCACCACCTCTCCGATCTCAGTATTTCTACCGGTGACACCAAGCTACATTTTGTCAATTCAATACTCTTGAGCGCCAACGTGTATCCTAGTGTATCTTACTCGTTACCCACAGCCACGCTTCGACGATAGAGGCCGCCTCGGTCCGCAACGGACGAATCTCAGGCTACCACATCGCCGAGGCTTCCGCAACGTGACGTACACAAGGAGGCCCTGTACTGTTTGTACGCGCGGGGAACCACCAGGCACGTTCACACTTGCGGTGTAGACTAGCAGATGGCATTGTGTCTGGTGGGCTTAGAGCGACCGTTGGCGCCTCTGGACGGTGCTGATGGCTCATGTGTAAAACTAATAACTGGGGCGCGGGCTGATGAAGGGACGGTAAATGAAGGCGGGCCTGTACCTGGTGGTTACGATACCTTGCTTGCCTGTGGGGATTGCGAGCCGTCAACGTCAAGATCTGTAGTGAATAAAGAGCCTGCAGTCGCCTGATTGTGGACTTCGGAACCCGGCTTTCATCAGGTCATCGACAATATGTTGAAGCTTTTCAGTGCGGCAGCCCTGCTGGGCGCAGCGTTTGCGCAGAATTCATCGGCTCTTCCAACCGTGGATCTTGGGTATGAGATTTATAGGGCTGCGAGTTTCAATGTAGGTTGACATATACTCGATGACATGGGACAAAATGCTCATACGCGTAGAACACTGGCGGCTTCTACAACTTCTCAAACATCAGATATGCAGCACCACCGGTCGGTGACCTGAGGTTCGCTCCTCCTCAGGCGCCTGCAGAGAACAGATCGTCCATCAACACTGGTGGCCTCAACAGGATATGTCCTCAGGCTGGTCCAGCATGGTCCGCGCAGGCTACTCAGTTCCTGACCAGCCTTATTCTTGGTACTCAGTACAACACCAGCACTAACTACGTGCCACCGGGCGCAAACTCGAGCAGCCCCGTCCCAGCAGCGGACCCTCGTGAAAACGAGGACTGTCTCTTCCTGGATGTCTTCGTACCTCAGGATGTTTTGGCCAAGGCAGGGAAAGGCTACGGTGCTCCAGTACTTGTCTGGATCTACGGTGGTGGTTATACGGGTATGTCATCGCCTATTCCTTGGTTCACGAATGAACGGTTACTGACAACAATTCAGGCGGCAACAAGAACAACAACCCCGCTGGACTCGTTGCTGCTTCTGGCAACTCCTCGAACGGTGACGTGATCTATGTATCCTTGAACTACCGCCTTGGTGCATTCGGATGGCAAGCCGGACCTTCGTTCCAAGCTGAGGGAGGAACAGCCAACGTCGGCCTTTACGACCAGCGCTTCGCCCTCGAATGGGTACAGAAGAACATTCATCTGTTTGGAGGTGACAAGAACCGTGTTACGGTCTTTGGCGAATCTGCTGGTGGTGGCAGTATTATGCACCAAATCACCGCGTATGGAGGACTCAAGGGCAAAGCCCCTTTCCAGCAGGCGATCCCGCAGAGTCCTGCATGGCAACCAGTGCAGTCTAACGTCCAGTTGGAAGACACATACCGCAAGTTCCTGAACCTGACAAACACCACGTCGCTTGCCGAGCTTCGTGCTTTGCCTTACGAGACTGTCAGGCGCGCCAACGTACAGCAAGTCGCCTATGATACTGCCTGGGGTCTGTTCGCGTACGGACCCACCGTCGACGGCAACTTCGTTCCTCAACAGCCCGCACAGCTGCTTGCTCAGGGCCGATTTGATAAAGATGTCAACGTAATGGTTGGTCACAATGCAAACGAGGGACCTCTCTTCACAGCTCCCTCTATCCATTCGGACGCTGCGCTTCGCAGGCAGCTGAACACTGCGTATCCACACATGCCCAACTCATCGGTCGACTACATCACCAACGTTCTCTATCCGCCGGTCTTCAATGGCTCATACCCGTACACTACCCAGTACGCGCGAGCTGCTCTAATCGTTAGCGAGGGCATGTTCACCTGCAACACCTACTACCTTTCCAAGGCCTACAACAATGAGACATACTCGTATCTGTTCGCCGTACCGCCCGCCTTCCACGGATTCGATATAGCATATACCTACTTCACCGGCGGCGCTACTAGCCTTTTGCCTACCGGTGTGACCAATAGCACAGTCGCAACTGCGCTGCAGGAATTCATCGCAAGCTTCGCGGAGGAGGGTGCGCCTGAGGCTCCCGGCGTTCCCAAGTTCGACATGTATGGAGAGAATGCGAGCGTGCTGAGGCTAAACATTACCGGTATCGATGAGATCCGTGATTCGAATGCCAATAAGCGTTGCGACTGGTGGCAGCTGGCACTGGTCTCGTAGATGGTTCAGGTTTCACGAATTGTAGACAACACCAACGCCGGGACAACATGATCATAGACGACTAGTGCAATGATTGTATGAGCTCTTGTGTTGCAGAGAAAGAAGTCGAGTGATACTTAACATTCTGAAACTGAAAGAGGGCATTCGAAGTGTAATGGCCTTTGTCTGGGTCCGCGGGTAGACAGGATGAGAACTGCAAGTTTTGCGATATGATCTTCCTCATGTGGCTGGTCAGAATGCGCTGAAGGCCTCCTGGCTTTAGTCCCAGGAGCGAAACTTGGAAGTAACGACCACCGACTCCTTCCCCACCTCTAGAAATGACTTCAACACGGATTTCTTGCATGTGCAAACTCTCGAAAGCTCGATGTCGCGATCCAGAGCTTCAATGTTCTCCACCCGGGCAAGCTCTAGTCCAAATATGGACAGCTATGGGTATGACGTATGGATGATGCGTTCCAATGCACAGTCGCACCTGCCACACGATAGCTCGCTCCAGCAAGCTCCCTTTATAAACTTTTGTGCGCTCCTACAAGTCCGCATCATCCAACACTTTCAACTGCAATTGACATCGCCTCCATCAACGTTGAATATCCCACCACCAAACAACCAACAACCACTCCACACAACATCATGTTCCGCTCCCAGATTGCCCGCCAGGCTCGCCTGTTCTCCACCACTCCCGTCGCTCGCAAGAGCCCCGTCGAGACCATCAAGGATGCTGCCAAGGCCGTCGACAGGACAATCTCTGGTGCCGCCGTGAAGGGCATTGAGAAGGGTGGTAAGTAGTCGCGTCCCAGCTGGTATTCGGACATCACTTGATGCAATTGCTCAATGCCATCAACATCGGACATGACGCATCAACTGGTCCGCGTACCACTCATTATCAATAACATATTTGACAACCACAACAGAGCAGGTCGCAGAGGCCGTTAAGGAGGCCACTCCCGACACCACATCCGAGGCTAAGGGCCAGGCCAACGAGGCTCTCGGGCAGGCCAAGGGCAAGGCTGCCGAGCTCCAGGGCGAGGCCAGCAAGAAGGCTGGTCAGGTCGAGGGCGAGATCAATAAGAAGTTGTAAAAAGCTTGCATCGGCTGAGGAAGGGGGATAAAACTTAATATGAGCGACCTTTGATACCTTGGGCTTGGTGCATGTCTAAGCATCGCTCTTGTACGACCAGCTATTGCTGCTATGGCATTACGAATTTCAGACAATTTCCTACCTGAACATATGCACCTGCTTGCTGTTTTGGTATCCGGCTCGTCTTAATCAATGCACCTAAGCAACCAACTAAACAGGGCGCGGCCTGGAAATGTGAATCGCAAGACTAACTAATAGCATGTAAAACCCTTTGTTGGGTACCCTTGTAGTCACCAAGTGCCTAATGATAGAATCAAAAGTCCTTACAAAAATTGGTGAAGCTGCCCGTAAGTTCTGCTAGCGTAGCAATTGAAAGAAACGAGTTCGATCGTGATGTCTCTTCATGTTTTCGATTTGTGTTTTTGGTGATGACCTGCCCTAACTTTGGTCACAAAATGCGGCAGTTAAACTAATTTCTTCATTGGAACCGTATGAGAGGCAGACAAGTTCCGATGCGGCACTCGACCCCAACAAAAAAGCAATGCCCAACGCAGCAAGCATGCAGCGACGACTTGCCCTGGGTGCGGACAAATGATGCTACATCGGCAAAAAGATCAGCGACAGCGGCAGGATTCGAACCTGCGCGGCCGAAGCCATATGATATCTAGTAGATGAACTCGTTCGAGTCATACCCATTAACCACTCTGGCACGCTGTCATTGCGCTGATTGTTAAAATATTGTTAAGTCATAAAATATCTATTGTAAAAAGATTTGTGATAGTGACACACAGTCCATGCCCTACGCTGCTCAATCATCCTTGTTAACCTTGTTAATCCTGCCAGAGTAAGCGTTAAAATGCAAAGGGCTTGAAGAGACTTCTCGGCATTGTGTCAACACTGTTAAGTAAGCGGTTACCACTGCACGTACCAGTCGCGCTCTGATGCGATTGAGAACTGTGGGGCGCGGATCCGCTAGCTCATTGGCTTCATGCAGGTCCGCTCTCCCCAGAGTTATCGCCGCACGAGCGCAACCGCGGAGCGCGACTGCCTCAACTGTGGTAGAGGTTCGAGGCAACGTATCCGCAATCGCACACATGAATATCACTATGTGAATGTGCATTCACTCACATGTTCATACCTTTAACCAGCACTATGGATGCAGCGGCTGGCTCTAAGGCGGCCTCGTTGGCCTCGGCCAAGGTGGTCAAGAATGCGAAAGGCAATATCGTGCCGAGCAGTCAGATGGCCCATATTGTTTATGGCTGTGGTAGGCAGCTCAAAGCATACGAAGAAGCCCAGCTAACCTCGTTGTACAGAACACATGGGCGAGATGTTCGAGAATGCGCGCAAGCAGACCCTCCAGCACTACCGATCGATCCTCCAGCTCATACACGACAAACCGAGCATAATAGCCCAGACATTCGTCGAGTCGAACGGCCAGCCTGTCGTTTCCCTCCGTCCGCTCTACCTCTGTCTTCAATGTCCCAACATCATGACCGATGAACAACGAGACCAGCACTTCGACACTAAGAGCCACTGCTTCTGTGGGTTGGAACAGGAAATATACTCTGCAAGCTTTGGCTGACAATACATAGCAGTGGAGTCGCGAGACGGCAACGTATACTGTGGGAATTGTCAGGACTTCATCTACGACCCGGAGCTGGAGATGAGGAGGTTGCTCAAAGGTCAGGAAGCATGTTTTAGAAGACTTGGATATGCTATCTTGCTGACGATACTATAGGCAAGAAACGGAAGTACGAAGACACCCTGACCGTCGACGACGACAAGCTCATTGTCACGAACTCTACATTCCTCCCGTGCCGAGCGACTGGCCTGCGCGGGCTTTATAACATGGGGCAAACATGCTTCATGAGCGTCATATTACAGACCATCGTACACAATCCCTTCATACGGAATTTCTTCCTCTCAGAAGGACACAAGACGGCAGATTGCGAGAGGGAGTCGTGCGTGAGCTGTGCGCTGGACGAGATGATTGTTGAGTTCCATTCGGCCGAGAAGACCGAAGGGTACGGCGCGGTTAGCATGCTCATGGGCAGTTGGCTAGCTGGCGAGGTAGGCTCACCTTTTAGCAACCCTTCAGGGCAAAGCTGACATTCGTCCTTAGGCGCTCGCTGGCTACCAGCAACAGGATGCTCACGAGTACATGCAATTCTTCCTGAACACCCTCCACCTGACGAACGGCGGTTCAGCAGACTCTGAAGACTGCAAGTGTGTGGTTCATCAGACGTTCTATGGCAAGCTCTCAAGTACCGTCACTTGCGACAAGTGCCACAACACAACAACCGCCCTTGATCCATACATGGATCTTAGCTTGGATATAAGGCATCAGGGCAAGAAGCGCAAGATCAATGCTGAAAAGGGCGAGGATGCAGCTCTGGATCTGCGAGATTGTCTCGAGAGATTCACGGCGAAAGAGAAGCTGGAGTCAGCTCAGTATACATGCAGAAATTGCGATAGTCCACAAAACGCTATCAAGCAGCTGAGCATCAAGCGACTGCCTCCTGTGCTGTCGATACATCTCAAGGTATATCATCTTCTCTGCGTTATCAGCCAGAAGCCGCTAACATCTCCCAGCGATTTGAGCACTCGAAAGCGCAATCCTCCAAGATCGAAACCAAAGTCAACTTCCCCATGAAGTTAGATCTCTACCCCTATACGACCCTGCAGAAAGAGCAAGCCAGAGCCGCCAAAGCCTCAGGTTCGCCGAACACGAATTACAACATGAACACGCCAGCCAACAGCCTCACATACGTCCTCTCGTCAGTCATTGTGCACAAGGGCAAGATCGACTCCGGTCACTATGTCAGCTATTCAAGAGAAGGCAATGATTGGTTTGCGTTTGATGACAGCAAGGTCGTCCTTGCCAATGAGGCTGAGGTGCTCAACGCTGAGGCGTATATTGTGACTTATATGATCAGCTCACTGGATGTATAAGCATGTTGTCTGGACTGTGGTTGAAGGCGGCTTATGAATCAATGGGCTAGGCGTTGTAAGGGTGGCCATCGAGTGCCGGGAAAGATGTTGAAAGCAATTGCTGGAGGATCTCGCAGATTTCTGCATGCTAGGCGTTCAGGTTCAGCATTGACATTCAGACACGGACATACCCCACGTGCTGTAAAAGCACTCGACGCAGAGGAGTAGCACCTATTAGTAGCTACTGAATGCTGGAATCATTATCCAAGGTTCATGCACATGACAAAATGGAGATGATGCGATATTCGTGTGGGCGTTCGATGGCATGATTAAGATACGTTCATATCCCAACATGAACCTCATTTCATATACTGACTACGCAGCAACAGCCGCCGCGACCGGAGCGCCAACTCGTGTAATTTGCTCGCCAGCTCTCATTACCGCAACGCCCTTGGTATCCTTCTCCAACCGGCTCCACTCAATCTTCCAAATCTCAACCTCCTGTCCTCCTCTCAGGATGCCGACTCGCATTGTCGATAGCAGATTGTGCGCCGCATTGCTATGCTCGTATACCCCTCCGTTAAAAAGTGCCGTGGCATCCTTCCCGACCGCACTCGCAATAAGCGCCTTGCCACCAGGATGATCCACAATGAAGCTCTCCACGTCATGTATCACTCCAGCAATAGCTACGAGCTTCGCACCTTCCGCACACCGCGTCTTGAAATCGTCCCAGTCCACGACGGGTAGTTGGGCTAATGGAATACCCCAATCGAGCTTCGCGCGCTTCCGATCCAGCGCTTTCTGCTGCTGCTGCAACCGCCCTTTCTCAATCTCGTTCTCGCGGAACGTCTTCAGATCATACGCCATCGGCGCCACCAGGCCCGGTATCCTGATCCTTGAAAGAAGGAAGATGAGCCACTTCGTAGGGTCATATTGGTACCAAATGATTGCGTTGCGGTAGTCACTCGGAAATTCATGGTGGAAATTATGGTACCCCTCACCCATCGTAACCAGCGCCGTAAGCACATGATCCCTAGGACTACGGCGGTCGTCAAACGGCTGCTCGCCAATCCAATGGGCGAGGCTGTTCACACAGAACGTAGCTTGCTGCACAAAGCACGCACGAATGATGCCCGCGTACACCAGCCCGCCCCACCAGTCTCCCCATCCCAGACCCGCGACGATCATAGGAAAGAGCCACGCGGTGAAGAGAAGGCATTTGCCGTAGTGCTTGTGCTGCAGCACTACGACCCAATCGGAATCGAGATCAGACACGTCGGTGCGGCCTTTCACTTTGGGGTCGTTGTTGAGCACCATCCACCCGATGTGGGAGAAGAGTAGACCGCGCATGACGGAGTAGGGGTCCTTCATTGTATCGGTCCAACGGTGGTGGGCGCGGTGGTTTGCGCTCCACCATCGGATGCTGCCTTGGATTGCGCCGGCGCCGACGAAGGCGAGGAACAGCCGGAGGGGAGGACGTGCGGAGTAGCAGCGGTGGGACCACAAGCGGTGATAGCCACCTGTGATGCCGAATGCGGTGAAGAAGTAGTATGCAATGCTCCAGAGGAGTGTTGGGCGGGTGAGGGGTGTATGTTTGGCGAGGTAGAGACCATAGAGAGGGATGAGGACTACGAGGGTGGTGTTGAGCCAATTGATCTTTTTGTACCAGTTGCGGAAGGTTACATCTTGGTATTGGATGTGTGTTGCTTTCTGGGCGGGTGTGGCTGCTGGTGTGGTTGCTGGTGTGAACAAGCTGGGTCTGGGAGCCGGCTCAGCCATGGTAAATGAATCCCTATGGAAAAGGCCCAAAGTAAATAGGTACTGAATTGTCAAGCTGGCGGGGCTAAAGCCTCATATATGCAGTATACAACGTGGGATGTTGGGCTTCTCGGACGCCGCATGTCGCGGTGCTGGATGAAATGTGGGCGCCATTTTCAGCCCAACAGACGGAAGCACGCAAATGTGTCTGTATCCTATTAACGGGGTTGCCTCAGCAATCGTTCCCCGACTTCAATTCGTCGATCGTGCAGTGGTGGAGTGAGATCCGCCACTTCAATGATACATTGTTGTACGCATTTGGGTGTACTAGAGAGTCTAACGGAAATGGGACATAGTCGCGAAAGCGCTCGGCCAGACTTCAGGCCACCATCCTTCCACAACGCGACTGTCCCCGAAATTTCGCGAAGGAAGCCTACTTTGATGCTGACTTGCGAGTTGCGATCCTGAAAGCTCTGCTGCCACGTGTAGAAAACAGCGGGCTCATGTATGGTCGACATCCACCTTCCGAGCTACTCTGCTCAGGCCCACCCCCATTTGTAATTTGTTCAAAACGCCCCTTTTGCGTGTCTGAAGGAACGTCCACGCGTATATTGTTCTTTCAAAATCCATAACCCCTAACGAAGCAATAGCAACAAACGACTGAACGAATGCACAGTCAATCTGTTCGTTGCCCCATAGCAGTATGGCTTCTTGCGCGACAAGTAGCTCCTAAACAAGCCAAAGGCGTGAAAACCAAGATAGCTGAGTCCACGATTTGGAAGAACTGCTGATCGCGATATTGTGCCAAAAAGCACGTTCTTGAGAGTTCGTGTGAATCGATAAGCCAACCCATGCCGGTGGCTTGGAGTACGTCATGGATGCTGGTACATCTGGAGACCCCGGATTTAAGATTCTGGGCCTGCGCAAGTTTCGGTACTTGGCTGTCAAACAAAAGATCAGCTTCCGGAAGTTGCAACTTGCAAGTTGATCGATACTCTGTTGTTCAACATGTTTGCCAAAACTATCTTGACTGTCGCCGCTGCTCTGGGCGTTGCCAGTGCGCAGACTGGACCTGGCTTCCCCGTGCCTGCATCCCAGAGCCTCGTCGTGAGATTTGGGAACAACACTGTCTCCCCTGCTGGAGAGCTGATTCCTCGTCCTGGTATGTTTCGAACAGCATTCATTAATGAATTGTCTTATCTGACATTGCATTTAGAAACCGCCAACCCTCCCAACATCAGCGTTACAGCCTGGCCGACGTTGTCCAACAACAATGACACTACTCCACCACCTGGTGTCCTCCTCATTGTGGACCTTGACGTCCCACGCAACGGCTCTCGAGTCCAGCTTGTGCACTGGGTTGCCTCAAACGTGACTCTCGGACCTCGCGTCTCTACCTCGAACTCGACACCCCTCGTCATCCCAAACGCGCCAGTACCCTACCTGCAGCCATCTCCTCCTGTAGGCGATGTACCGCACTCATACAACGTCGTGGTGTTCCAGCAGCCCGCTAACTTCTCCATCCCTGCGCAGTACAGCAACCTCACTAACAACCGCGTACCCTTCAACGTCAGTCAATTCGTCCGCGACACTGGGCTGGGTCAACCGATCGGCGGCAGCTACTTCCAGGTGCAGAACTTGACTGGAACGCCTACCACTACTTATCCGCCAGCGAGGTCTCCTACGTCGACTAGTGGTGGTAATGGAAGCTCGCCAGCGCCGTTTCCTGGTGCTGCGGCACAGTTGGTGGGAGACAGGGCATTATGGGTTGGTATTTCGACCATATTAATTGCTGGATGCGCTGCTTTCGCCTTGTAGAGGTTAGAATCGGGGCCACATGTAGAAGCAGATGATAATATGAAGCAACAATGAAGGTGCATTTGAGTGAATGCTGGCCCACGTGCATCGCTGATGTCATCGAGCACTAAACCCGTTGAGCCGCGCGCGGTTAAGAATGCGAGATCGCTGGTCATTGGCGGGGTGGTGGGGTAGCAATTCAGAGTCAATAAGGGCGCAACAAACATCAATTGCGCGCCCGGGATTGACTGTACGCGTCTCCAGAGCAAATGGCTGTAGTTTGAACGAATGAATGAATCGCTCTTGTTTGAGCTACAACAACCCCTATCTCGCTGCATCGACGTTTGCGTCGCGACTTTTCCGACGCGCAAATCTTCTGATTGGACCAACCAATTAACGAAAAGTTGCAGGCGGCCAAGTCCGTTTAATATCTCCACGGCCGCCGCACCCGTTCGTCTCTCGTCTCTCGTCACATCCTCTTCCACCGAACATGTCTACGACGGTTGTCCTCGGCGCCCAATGGGGCGACGAAGGCAAGGGAAAGCTCGCCGACATCCTCGCCAACGAATCGCAACTATGCTGCCGCGCTCAGGGTGGTAACAATGCGGGACACACTATCGTCGCTAATGGTGTCACATACGACTTCCACATCCTCCCCTCCGGTCTCGTCAACCCAAACTGCATCAACATCGTCGGTAGTGGTTGCGTCGTCCATGTGCCCAGCTTCTTCAAAGAATTGGAGGCATTGGACAAGCACGGTCTAGACACCAAGGACAGGATATACATCTCTGATAGGGCACACGTCGTCTTTGATGTTCACCAGCTGGTGGACGGCCTGGAAGAGGTTGAGCTCGGTGGAGGAAACATTGGTGCGGAACCTGTATGAAAAACCAGGGAGAAGTGCTGACAGTTTACTTCCAGGTACCACAAGGAAGGGCATTGGTTAGTATTGAGTCATTTTGGTTAAGCAAGTCTCGGTCACTAAGAAGCCTCAGGCCCAGCGTACAGCTCCAAGATGACCAGGAGTGGTCTCCGCATGTGCGACCTTTTCGACGAGAAGGTCTTTGAGCAGAAGCTTCGCCGTGTCGCTGCTGGTTACCAGAAGCGTTTCGGTGATCTGCTGAAGTACGATGTCGAAGAGGAGATCGCAAGGTACAAGGTAAGGGCAACGCGTTCGAGACTCAAGCCTATGCCAGACTGACACGAGCCTATAGGAACTCCGCGAGAAGGTTGCACCTTACGTTGTCGACCAGATCCCACTTCTCCAATCAGCGAAGGAGAGGAACGCTAAGATCCTGGTTGAGGGAGCCAATGCTCTCATGCTCGACATTGACTACGGCACATATCCCTTCGTCACATCTTCGAACACAGGTCTTGGTGGTGTCATCACAGGTCTCACTCTGGGATGGCGTTCGATCAAGGACGTCATTGGTGTAGTGAAGGCATATACTACCCGTGTTGGATCGTGAGTCTGCCTAACCGCCTGCGACATGAGCCTGATACTGACATATCCTAGTGGTCCCTTCCCCACCGAGCAGCTAAACGAAGTTGGCGAGAAACTCCAAAAGGTCGGCCACGAAGTCGGTGTCACAACCGGTCGCAAGCGCCGTTGTGGATGGCTCGATCTCGTTGTCCTCAAGCACTCGCACGCTTGCAACGACTACACTTCTCTCAACCTTACCAAGCTTGACGTCCTTGACGACTTCGATGAGCTCAAGATCGCAACATCATACTCGCACAAGGGTCAGCAGCTTGAGGGTTTCCCATCCAACCCTGACGTACTGGCTGAGGTAGAGGTTCACTACGAGACTCTCCCTGGATGGAAGAAGCCCACCACTGGCGCAAAGAGCTACTACGACTTGCCCAGCCAAGCGAGAGCCTACATCGAGTACATTGAGAAGTTCGTCGGTGTCAAGGTTAAGTGGATTGGTGTTGGACCTGCGCGTGATCACATGGTTGTTAGATCGTGATCCGCGAGATGGGACCACAGGCAGTAAGCCTATCGATTTCCTTCATTTTCTGTGTATGTGCATTCGCCAAACCGGGCTCAAGGTAACGGTTTGGACACAAAAAGACTCAAGGTATTCAGTCTATAGAGCTTCCGGAATTATAGACGTACATACGAACACTTTCTGCGCTGCGACGGCGATCATGCATCCATTCATACAAGGCTGCGGACGGTATCCCGCAGTCAGACGACCGAACGCTCCTTGAGCTTCACCAAAAGTGGGGTGTAACGGACTCTCTTTCCACAGTAAGCTACCCCGCTTTCGTCATCCAATGTAAACACAACATGGTGTGATTGGTAATCTTTATGGCGATATGAAGCATGACGCCGTGTTTATATGCTCGTCTTCCTGCTTATTCCAGAATTGCAAACACCTTACTTTGATACCGAAGAACATCGCAACTTGAGCAACAATGGGCAAAGACCATCCTGATGCAAACCTCCATCCAGAGGCAACCGGTCTGGCAGCGAAGACTGTACAGGTGAGTCACTTGAATCAACCCTGATTACAGAACTGGCCTGAGAAAATCTAGGCACACTCCGCAGAAAACGATCTGAAGCTCTACTCTGGCTGGTTCTGTCCTTTCGTGCAGCGCGTCTGGATCACCCTCGAGGAGAAAGGGATCCAATACCAATACATCGAAGTGAACCCATACCACAAGCCACAGTCTCTCTTGGATATGAACCCACGCGGTCTCGTGCCTACACTACAGTACCAAGGCAAGCCACTGTATGAGAGCACAGTGCTTTGCGAGTTCCTTGAAGAAGCCTACCCGGACCACACACCCAAGCTTCTCCCTGAAGATCCTTACCTTCGCGCTCGTACGAGAATTTGGATCGACTGTAAGAACTCATGCTTGTCAGAAGATGATTGCAATTGCTAAAGGGCGTAGACGTCGGCTCCAGGATCATCCCAGCCTACCACCGCTTCCTCCAGCACCAAGGCTCCGACGGCCTCACAGAAAAACGAACCGAGTTTCTCAACCACCTCAAAGAATTCACCAGCGAAATGGATCCCGAAGGGCCTTTCTTCCTCGGCAAGGAATTCAGTCTGGTCGACATCGCGATTGCTCCCTGGGCCAACCGGCTCTGGGTGTTCGACCACTTCAAGGGGGGGTTAGGCATCCCAGAAGTGGGTCAGGGTGGCAATTTCGAGGAGGTCTGGAAGAGATGGAGGAAGTGGTTGAGTGCTGTGGAGAGTAGGAAGAGTGTTAAGGAGACGCTGAGTGATAAAGAGCATTATTTGTCGATTTATGGGAGGTATGCGAGGGACGAGGCGCAGTCGGAGGCTGCGAAGGCTATCAGGGTTGGTAGAGGTATCCCTTGAGTGTTTAGAGATCATCAGGCTTCAGCTACTGGCGCAGAAGAATAACAACTTGGGAAGTAATGTACACAATCATTCATCAGCCCGAGCCTGACACGACGGTTTAAGCAAGCAAACTGCAGTGATTGGAACGGAACTCCCACCTGTTTGTTCGATTGTTGCGAGCTAGTATCAAGCCAGACAACTACGCGGCAAAAGACGATTGACCCTCCAAGAATTTTCCACGATATGTTTGCCCTTTCCGACCTTCTTTGTGTAGTAGCACATAAACCAATAGTAGGCTCTCCCATCGTTCTTGCACTCTGCGCCTCACAATTCCAAGCTCCTCTTGTATCCTTTGCCGCACTACCGGAGTATATCCCACCCCGGATCATACGAGTTCACAGCGATCTCTAGGGTGAGTCCCCCAATACTGCAAACGTTCGCACGGCATACTTACAGCACAGTTTCACCGATATTGACACAACGCGCAACAAGTCCGCCTTCTTTCGGATCTTCAATGTGCATCATAATCTGCTTGTCGATACCGCTCTTGCCGACAAGACGGAAGCAGCAGAACCAGGTGACGGGCACACGCCGAGTATCTACTGCCACTGGTTGTAAGAGAGAGCACTTGGCCGCCACATCTCGCGGTTGTATGTTCTGGGGTATGAAGTCCAAGAGCGCGAGTTCCAAGACACTGTCATGGATGTCATGGTAGAGCGCCCATTTGTTGTCACGACTGCAGTCGTGCAAACTCTCTATGGAGGTCAAGGAGAACACAAGCTGGTGAGGAAATTGTGCGTCGACATCTGTGTACGTCGTCCAGATTTTCGAGCCGTGAGTTTGGATCTGAAAGAGTCCTGTCGTAGCTTCTGGACAGATCTTCAGAGCGCGTACTTGTAGTACCTGGAGGACACGATATCAGAACAACAGTTGGAGGTGTAGAAGCCACGGGCAAAGAACTACAAGCCAAATGCTGAATAGGCACACTTTTGAGATCCTGAGTTCGTATCTTATGTTACAGAATGTAGGAGACCCATCAAGATTATAGTTTGTCACAAGTTGCACTTGCTCAAAGGCTGTCCTCAATTCCTGCTACGGCCTCCATCATCTTCTTGATATTCGTCTTCGCCGCCTCGTTGACCGGTACATACGGTTTCCTCGGCGCCAACTTGGCCTCTGCATCCTCAATCCCCGCAGCAACAGCACTGTACTGACTAACAGCGTACTTCACACTCGCGATACCGGCTTTGACCGGACTCTCCGCCAGCGCAGCCTTCCTGTGCAAGTCCAGCGCCTCCTTGTGCTTGCCCTCTTGGTAGAGGTTGTAAATCTGCACGACTGTCTTGGGGAAGATGTTGCCGAAGCCTGTCACGCATCCTGCTGCGCCAACGGCCAGGCCGCCGATCAGGAAGTCTGCTTGTCCGGCGAATGTTGCGAACTCTTCAGATGAGAACTCAGCGGATAGACGAGTGATCTTGGCTACGCTTCCGCATGTCAACTTAACGCCAACAATCTTTCCGGGATTCGCATTTGCTAGCGAAGAGATGGTGACGCTATCGAGATCGATGCCGTTGGCTACGCCTGGGAAGTTGTAGATCACGATGGGCAAGGGAGTTGTTTTCGCAACCTCGTCGTAAAATCCGTACACTACCTCCTTCGTTGTCGCAGGACCGTAGTAAGCTGAGGGCAGTAACAGCGCATAGTCAGCGCCTGCCTTCTTTGCATCGTCGATGTACTCCTGGACTTGGATGACCGAGAACCCGGAGACACCAACCATCAAAGGGTAGTCTGGGCCAACGGCTTGTCGCGCGGCTACTGTGATGGCAATGCGTTCATCGCGGGTAAGGAGTAGGGCTTCGGCGTTGGATCCCAGAACTACGATGCCTGCAAGACCGGTGGATTTGAGGTAGGTGAAATACTTCTTCTGAGCTTGGAGGTCCAGACGGCCGGTTTTGGGATTGAAGAATGTTACGGCAGGCACCCAGATGCCAGATTTGGGGACGTTAGGAGCCATTGTGAATGTTGTGTTGATGATTGATGTGGTTGAAGGGTGATGGTGGGGTGTCTGGCGGGGTTACTTGATGTGATGTACCTTCCTCGATGGATAACGTATCCGGCAATTTTGTAGTCTGGTTTATCGAGCTGTTTGGGTTTATAAAGTGTCCAAGTCTTGGACAAAGACTGCATTGAAGTAATGAACGTTGTATGCAAAGTCGGCTTCGATGCCGAACTAGCCTTCAGTAGCCGTCTGCGGTGGTCCTCATGCCGGTGCGGTCCCGCGGGAATTCCGAGTTTGGACTCTTGACTGTCTCGATGTAACTGGCGAAAGCGACTTTATCAGCATCACACAACTGCGAGAGGTCCTGTCGAAAGTTATCTCTATCGCTTATAGCTGCTCAGGCAGGTGAAGCGGGCAGTCCGATCAAACGCTGATTCAATTCTTCCAATTCTGATCGGCCAGCTCCCGTTTCGACATTTGCCTGTGCGCACTATATAAAACATTGGTTCTTCCCTCTCCTTTCCTTTTCATCAATGTAGGCCTTCCCAGTTCATGAAGGCAGATCAGCCTCTTTATCGCACGAGCGTTACACGAAACTGCACATGTTCCTTTCAGTCTAGATCAAGCAATCAGAGTAATTGCAATTGCACGCAATCACAGCTGCGCAACAGTATCGTCGAAATTAGTCCAAGAACACGATTACAGGCATCAACCTTGCCCCAAATCCCCTCTTCGTGAAGCATTCCTACGCCATGCAACGTCAAGGCATCAGCACAACCACCGTTATGCAACCAGAACTTACTCATCGAACGCCAGTAAACCCACCAAAGATGTTTCCAGACTCACCAGCGTATTCCAGGGATCGTAAAACCCGCCCTGAGGCTAGTTCTACAGACCAACCCGAGGACACAAGGTCCCAGCTGTCCTGAAGAATCCCAGGTGAACCAATTCTCTACTCAAGACGCGTTGCGTCAACAATACTGGAAAGATGTGAACCTAAGAAAACTACGACTGGCTTCTGAAGAGTGGCTGAGGTTGTCTCAAGCGCCTCATTACCAAAGTTGTCACCCAATGACATTCGTTGCTTATTGGATATATTTCGCCAGGTGAACCATGGTAAACCATCTTCACAGCGCACTTGCGTTGAGTCGCACACATTTCGGGATCTTTCTGAATTTTACGGCAATAACAAACAGTAACCGACGCTAGGTGACAAAGATGACATGGTTTTACGATAAACTAATCAGGTCGGACTATGCAGGCCTTACACAAGATCTGCGACCACGTCTTCGAAGGTTATCGCGAGCGTATTCGTAAGACCCCCTCAACAGCCCTTGGCTCTATCGAAAGCCTTGTAAGTTCGAGTCCGTCTCAAAAACACGACGCAAGGGATCATTTACAACAATGCGATCTTTGTCCAAGGATATGGAGAACCTTCACTTTCCAGGTCATGTATCCAATTTGGGCACCATTTGAGTAAGACTTTCTCCTCTGCTGACGGAAAGAACCCTACCAGATCACCGATACGACAGGCCTTCGTCCTCCCTCCGCACCAAAAGACGGTACAGATCTCGGCAGGATCCTGAATCACATTAAGTTCGGCAGAGTGAATTTGCTTTGTGAAGCGACTCAAGGCTATGGGTCCTTTTGCTTGGTATGGCATACATTTCCCGCTACGACACATATGGCGCGGTCCGTCTCGCCGTCTGCTGTGACACGCAACATTCATTGATTGTCCATACTTTCAAAGAAGTAAACCGCGTCCCCAGCCCTCCAAGGGACCCCGAGACCTCGACGATGGGTATTTGTTATCTTTAGAGCACTATAAAGGCTCGGCCTTCGAGCTCGAACTATTACGTTCTTCTCTGTGTTCTGGATCTTCCCGAACTTCGCCACGGCCTACGACCTTCCATACGGCCATACACCTTGGCTGTTCAGATTCATATGGCTTATCAACTCCTTCGACCACGGTCAGGCGCCAACGGCGCTGAAAGTAGCTATCGATGACTTTGGAGCTTTGTACAGTCTTCCACTCGTCGGATCACAGCACGCAATACCTTGCGACGAAGGACTTAGCACTAAAGTCACACGCATCGAACTGTTGGCCCAACAACCGGCAACTACTTATCACGGATCTCCTTCTGTCACAAAAGAGCCTACTATAAGACAACCATATAAAAGCAACGTCGGACCTGACCAACCACGTTTGGGACCGGGGTCGAACAGCACCTTGTCGACTCTGCATATTCGATCGAAAAGATATTCGGAACAGTTCCAAACTTACGATAAGAAGTTGAGGATCTCGTTCCATACGTCTTAAGAACGCCGAAGCCAATGGAACAACCGTATCATACGACTCGAACAGTCTGGAAACCAGCAAAGTACCCATCGTGCAGCTTATCGCGCTTATTGCCAGCTACGCCTGGTGGTTAGAACATTATAGATCTCAAACATTCGCCTTGCCGCTGGACAATGTTGAAGCTGATCTCGAAAATGGATACAACTTCTACTTTAAGAAAATAAAGCGCAGCCCACTGCTCAAAACTTGCACCGCTTACGCTGATGAACATTCGTGGCTGCTATATGCATGGGAAATGTTGATACAAGTGTCGAGTCAGCACGTCCATGTCCCAAGCTACGACATGATACCCAATAGGCCCAGACTATCCGATTTAGGATCTCTCGATCTTCCTGCCAACCTAGGATTTCTCGACATTCTGTCGGAGGGAGTGAAGGTATCCACCAATCGCCATCTGTTTGCTGCTAGCGGTCCGTTGCAGTGTTTGCTAACGGTCCGCTACACTGATTGTCCAGCTCATTTGGTTAGCTCAGTTTGCTTCCCTAACCCTTCACTGCTATCCCCTTCTACTATATAGTCTCGATCGATTCTAGCCCATAGCTCTAAGGATCAATCAACATCTCAACCCTTCCACACATTCCCCCTGAGGTCCGCAATATGATGTACAGTTACCTCCTGCCCGACTCCACAGTCGCACAGGACTGTGATTTGATCTGGAGCTGCAAGCAAATCAAGGTAGAGCTCTCTACCATGATCGTCGCCCGTGCAAGGGAAGTCCTTGAGAAGACTGCGTCGGACGGCGCACGTCTCGGTGCGTCTGTAAGCATGTTTCCCAATCCGACCCCATTTATTGCCATGCACTCTGTCACAACACTCTCGCAGCTTAGTGCTGTCAACATCAATGTAAACTTGGATTGCACCACAGTAGGACAAACCTTCCCGAGCCAAACGAGCAGCCTTCACGAGCACTGCCCCTTACCTCTTTACGAGATCCAGGCAGGCCTCAAAGAAGTCTTCTCGCTGCATCTTCGCTTCGTTACAATAATTGTTGCAATCAAATGCATCGTAAGCTCCTGGGAGGGCATTGTTCGCTACCACGGCTTGAGCACGTGCTACTGGAGTTTCAAGGACGCCGAAAAGATCTAGTTAATCAATGCGCGAGTCACGATATTCGACTTGAGCTGCAACACATTCGGGCCGTATAGAGACCCAGGGTTCCACCTGTACATTGCCTTCATAGCAAGGAGACTTCGAAAGTCGGGTCGCGTTAGGTTTGAATTCCTGGGTCACAAACCACGACCATCGAATCGAGGCATAGCTGGCATCAATGGCCGAGTCTTGCCGTAAGACAATTTCAAGGACATGAGGAAATTGGATGCGATTGTAAGGGGCGCAAGGCTACTCGCAGAGCAGTCTTGTGCCACAGAACCGACGAAGACGAAGACCATAAAAAACAAATCCGCAGCGAAAGATGGTTTTTAGTGACGGTGGAAATCAACGTAAGTAGATGCCGCTGGAGATCAGGCTGACCATGTCCTAGATTTGGTTTTTCTAGTTAATGGTTGTTTTTTTCTGTCCGGAAATGGCTTGCTGCATATGTGTACGCTACTGTAAGCCTCCGCCCTCTCCCCAATAATTTTCGCCATTCGCACCATTCTGTTGATTGCCTTGCACACGCAATTTAACAGCTGTCTGAGCTTCGTAATCGGCCTCGACGGCCCAAACTTTGGGAGAGGGAAGATATCGCAGTAGACAGCCACCCACAATGTCAACAACTCGAACAGAAGAATGACTATGCACCAACCAAGCGCAACCAACTATGTGCCGAAGAGTGTTCGCTTTTGCTCTCAACTGCCAGATTTGTTAGCGCATACGTTGTTTTGTTACACGACTCGGCGACCTCGAGCCGTGCCGCACCCTTGCGTAACGTTACGCTCGAGTATACATACATGCGCGAGAAGTACCCAGCCCTCGATTTCAAGATAAAGTAGTTTTCCACAAGACAGATTATCCATAATGGGAGTTGTCGGCAACCTCTACGCCAATATTCTACTTTCTTTCGCGGACGTTTCTGCGCGTCTCTTTGCGCCGCCCCCAGAAACTATTGAGGCACCAGAATTCCAAAGATATGGCAACTATACTCAACTGAAATCGAACGCACAATCGATCAGCCTGGTCTGAGAAGCGTTAATGGGTTTCGATTGTATGTGCGATCCCAAGGTTAAATTCAAGGACTACAACTCACATCGTATCGGTTAGTTGGTCGGTCCGATCCACAAAAGACCGATGTATGAATCGAGCCTGCTCATACCGTATTCGCCATACGGTACACGTGTGGCGGAAATGCCCTCGTCTGTCTTATTTTGGAGGGACTTGGTTGGAAGTTCTGTCAGCAGCTCGATGCTGCGCCGTTCATGCCAAGAGCTGTGTTGCCACTGATGCGCGGCTGTGACCTCAGAAATAAGAACAGGGCTGTCGTATTTGGTGTTTTGAGAGTGGCTGTTCCCAGATATTTGGGAACACGTAATGCGGATACGTGCGCATCACACATCGAAACATGCCTAAAACTATCGACATTAGCAAGCGGAAGGTTGGAGGCAGTTATCACACCCTGCACTACTACGATCCTAAAGAAATAAATGGTCTCCAAGAGAGCGTCGTAAGCTAGAAGAGATACGAATACAATCTGCAATGTCGCCTTTCATTTCTGTCCCACCTGCTCCCAGTTTCGGCAGGAGCACAATCCCAAGCCCACAACCACCTACAGCCTCCATGTTTTTGCCAAAGCTCCAGAACGCCCCCAAGACGCAGAGAAAACAAGTCTTTGAAACTCCACCTCCGATATACTCACGCGATAACATGTCGTTGAAGAACCAACGCATTCCGGACGAGAGTGTACGTACATCACGCAAGGAGAGTATTGAGTACGTCCGTCAACAATCTACCAATACATGCTCTGATCAGATACCACAGTTCTTACCTCAGTCGTTTTCTCCTTCATATACAAGTGAAGCACAACGAAGGCACTCAAGAATTCTTTATTCACCGCGATTTGCTGCTTGCCCGATCCCAGTTTTTCAAGGGACAAATATCAAGTTCTGAGACTCTCGGCTCACAACAACATTACTAGACATTTGAACTTTCTGATTTCCAACCAGCAACATTCGCGCTTTACACCAATCTTCTATACATGAAGAGACTCAAAAATCAGAGGACCAGGAGAGTGGCTCTGGCTCTGTAGACTCTACATCCTGGCCGAGAGATTGCAAGGCATTGAGACGAAGAACACAGTGATTGATGGCATGTTCCTCTACTTACGAGAAGCGATCCCGATGTTTCCCACAACACCAGTAGCCAAAGATCCAGCGAACGTGGACGCAAGGTTTTTCAAGTGGTTGTACGAATGTACGCCAGAAAACAGTCCAGCGCGTAGGCTCGCCGTCGATTTCTACGCCCAGACCGGTCGCGCTGAATTCGCGCCCTTTCTTCTATTTTCCAATGGCATACTAACTGCTGTGCAGCTTTACGTCTAATATTCTCGCGATCGCGGTTGGAGAAATAAAAACCCGCTTTCTGGTGTACGAGGAGTTGTTCTCATTACGGTCAGCCTTCATTAGTGTTGCGGTATCAATCGGTCCGTACACCGTCTGACTATGCCCGTAGCAGATTACCCTAATCTAGTGTGTTACAGGTCAGGTATATAGTCGTCTTCTCCTAGCTAATAGCAACTCAGCGCAGTGTTCCATCAACTCGATAGTCCTATATTGTCGTTCACCGTAGCTATCAGTGTACTACGGTGGCCTACGCCGCCACAAAAGCAAACTTTCTCGGCCACTCGCCCTTTCACCTGCCAATACATGTGGACGGCATCTGCTGGCATATATGTCCACTAACGATTTGCGTGCTTGGCTACCAACTTGTGTCTTGCAGTGTATTTGTACAACAGCGCTCGCGCTCAAGAGTGAAAAGATGCCCCAAAAACTTTTGATGGATAAGGAGGACGCAGCAAATTAGCAGCAACAGGTAGTAACACTCCGCTTGTCAAACCTTCAAAATTTGATGTTGATGGGTGAATGAAAGTTAGACCTTCGAGGCGGAGTGGAGATACGAAGCTACTAGCGTGCACGTGCCGATAAGATAAGCTTCAATTCACTGTTCCAGAACTTTTTCCATCCCTAACAGAAACCCCAAAATGGCGGCACAAAAGGCACTGCGAGGTGTCGAGAAGAAACGCAAATCAAAAAAGAGAAAGTCAAGGACAGAAGGTGCGTAGAAGTTCCAAGTTCGTTCGGGAGCAAAAAGCTGATCACGTGAAGTCTCATCCTCAGAATCGTCCAGCGAAAGCGAGGTAGAACAGAAGAAGAGCAGGAGAAGCCCATCGAGTGAGGAAGAGGTGCGAAGAAACACTCAACCAACAAGTTTCCAAGATATTGATTCATCTTAGTCCTTGGATTCTACCCCCGAACCCACACCAAAACTCGCCAAGAAAGAGAAGAAGCCAGCCTCAAAGACTACAAATGATGATATCCCCATGCGCGATGCTTCCTCCTCTCCAGCCCCAGCACCAGTCCCCGCGCCCAAATCCAAGGTAGCCCCAGAAAGAGAAGACGCAGAATTCGACGCAATTTATATCCGCAAGATCACCACCGAGCTAGCGGACGATCTGGACAAAGTGCGCGAAGCCCAGGACTTCAAGGCGAATAGTGTTCCGATGCTTATTCATGCGTTGAAGCAGGGTGAGAGTTTGTTTTCGCGTGAGGAGAAGAGGAGGGTTGTTGCTACATCGAAAGCGTGATGGGGTGTGGTTGATGGGGTTGCATGGGTGGAGTTTTGGAGTTTGATCAGGATGTGTTATTGATTTGAAGGTTGTATACAATACGGAGATGAAACATGACGCTCTTGACGCGCCTGCCACGCACCCTTGTGTGTAATTTCAAGCTGCATGCGCTGTGCTAGTACGCTTCTACATCCAACCCCGACCGCCACTCCAGCTCGATCTGCCACGCAAGATGGTACGGATGCTTGATGACCACCATATCGTGTGCTAATTTCATGACCTTCTGTCGCTTCTCCTCCTTCGCGCCTGCAGGTAGCACAAGCAGGGCATCATACACTCTCTCCAACAACTTCTCCTCGTACTCTCTCCTCAGCTCGTCGTCGTTCGTCCAGTTGATGATCTCTTCGTATATGCCCTCCAGCGGACTCTGGCTATAGACCTCGTTCTTGACTGTGGTTGTGGTGTTTTCGAGGGTTGCGCCGAGGCGCAGGCGCCGCTCGTCTATCAGCTTCTTGATTGTGGCTGTTTCTTGGGTTTCGTGGATTTCGGCGATGCGCGTCAGTACCGCTGAGGGTTGGGGCAGGCGGCCTTCGAGGTAGGAGTATATGGGTGACGAGGGTAGCTGTGTGGCTAATGCGCGCGCGTATTGTGTCTTTGTGCCGTGCTTGCGAGCGTGGTCTACGAGCTTGTCGATGGCAGACTGGCTGCGATGGGCGTCGTCGCTGGAGCTGTTAGTTTGGAGCCGCCAATTTTAGGAGTAGTCGTGTACAGATTTGCATATATCTCTGCCAGTTTCAGGCCGACTTCAATGTTCTCCTCGACACTCCTCCCGCCTAGCCCCTCGTACATGCCTCTTAACCCTAGCCATGCTTGTGCATCGTCAGGCTTGATCTTTGTCGCGTCGTTGTATGCTTTCGCTGCATCATCGTATCTGCTCAGACCATCGTTGGCGCGTCCCAAGAACAACTTCGCGAAGTAGTTGTTGGGGTCCTTCTCAAGCACAGCATTTGCCTGCTCGATAGCTTCCTCCCAGTTCTTCGAGTCAATCGCTGCTTTCGCAGCCTTCAGCGCAGCTTTAGTAGACATGACGACGTGAATGCCTTTTTGTTGGATAGTAAGGCCGTCAACACGGCGAAGCTGGTGTTATGTATATGCCATTTGCGTGTGGATGAAAGTGAGGTGGGGCTCATTGAATATCGAGGAGCAGGCAATGACGCAGGTACGCTAGCGCGAGATCCACCAGCCCTATGGAAACGCAAACATCACGATTTCGCCCTGTCCACGCGCCGCCACACCAATCCAACACCTTGCTGTCGTTCTTTGCGTTGGACAACTCAAAAGTTGTTTTCTCCCTGTCTCTGCATTGACCGGAGTTCAGCAGTCATGGCGTCACATGCGGACAGTGCGCACGACCTCTTAGATCTCGACATAGGCACATTACGGCAATACGTCGAGCTCTTCCCGACCGAAGGCCTTTCGAAAGTCATCACAGGGTATCTCAGCAGTGGCATATCGAAGTACCCGCTCGCACAAGAGAAGGGAGATGCTCCAGATCTCAGCGAAGGTGGGGTATCCCTCAGCGTCGATGTGCCTGTATCACAAGATGATTGTTTAGCCCTTATGACAGTAAGTTCGATCGTTGTCTAGAAGATTCAGTTGAGTTCTGAGGGCTGCACAGAGGTCACGCGCCGGGAAATTCGAGGCTGGGTCACCTTTGCATGTTTAAGCTAACCGCAAGACAGGAAGGCATCCTGGAAGCTAGGAAGTCACCACTTGCACATGTATTACTCGGCGATTTCTACCTATCTCTGGAAGAATATGAAAGTGCTGTCGAGTGTACTAGGAAAGGCTTGAAACTCGCAGCAACCGAAGCCAAGAAGACGGATCTGTCATTTCAACGCACGCGCGACGCATTGAGGAGTACTCTTGCAACAGCTCTTGTGTACTACCAAGCGCCTAGGAACCACCTGGAGGCCAAGCAGATATTCCAGGAGATACTGAAGCGCAAACCAAGATTCACAGCTGCTCTGATTGGCCTTGGCCTGATTCTCGAGGAAGATGAAGACTACAAGGAAGCTGCAGATTTCTTGGAGCAGGCTCTGAAGCTGGATCCGGACAATGGCCGCATTGGAGCAGAAGCAGCATGGTGTCAGGCACTCGCTGGCGACTACAAGACCGGACTTGACAAGCTCCAAGGCTATCTAGACCATCCCCAGATGGACGCATCCAAGCCACGTGGCCGAGAACTGCGGGCTCAGACTCTCTATCGGATTGGTGTGTGCATGTGGGAACTTGACCCTTCGAAAGCTGCCCGAAAGAACCGCCAAGGAGCCTATGCTAAGCTTCTCGCTGCCATCAAAGCGAACCCAAACTACGCTCCCGCTTACACGCTGCTTGGCATCTTCTACGAAGATTACAACAAAGATCGCAGACGAGCAAGACAGTGTTTCCAGAAAGCTTTCGAGCTTTCGCCTTCCGAGATTGTCGCAGCTGAGCGGTTAGCTCGACTTTTCGCCAACCAGGGTGAATGGGACATTGTTGAGGCCGTCTCACAGAGAGTCGTTGACTCCGGCAAAGCGAAGCAGACACCTGGTTCCAAGAAGAAGGGCGTCAGTTGGCCCTTCTCTGCGCTGGGTGTTGTTCAGATGAACAAGCAAGAGTATCAGCAGAGTATCATCTCGTTCTTGTCGGCTCTTCGTATCAGCCCAGATGACTACTACTCTTATGTCGGCCTAGGCGAAAGCTATCACAACTCTGGACGCTACAACTCCGCACAACGCGCCTTTAATTACGCCGAGAACCCCACGGATGGCGTGATCATGAAGAAGACAGAAGATGAAAGTTGGTTCACGAAGTACATGCTCGCAAATGTTAACCGCGAACTGAGCGAATTCGACGAAGCCCTCCAGGGCTACGAAGCAGTTTTGTCTCAACGATCACAGGAGTTTGGTGTCTCGATTGCTCTCATTCAGACCCTCGTAGAGAAAGGCTGGCACTGTATCGAGACTGGCTTCTACGGAGAGGCAGTGGACAGCGCAATCCGTGCTATCGAAGTCGCCAACACAGTCACAGAGTACAAGCCTGATGCATTCAACCTCTGGAAAGCTGTCGGAGATGCCTGCAGTCTGTTCAGTTGGGTGCAAGAGAAGCTCGAGAAGTTTCCTTCTGCGGACGTCGAGCGCTTGCTGCAGAGCAAATCAGATGTTGGCATTGACCTTAATACACACAAAGAGATCGATGGCATCGGCAAGGACGATGTCGCGAGTCTCTCTTCAAGCGAAGCGTCAATCTTGACAAAGGTGCTGAAGGCTGCCATTCTCGCGCAGAAGCGAGCGATCGCCAGCTGCGAGCACGACATCCATGCGCAAGCTGTAGCATGGTACAATCTCGGCTGGACCGAATATCGCGCTCATGTTTGCTTGGAACAGGAAGGAGATGAGGAGCAGAAGCTTACGGGTTTCCTGAAAGCCGCGATGAAGTGCTTCAAGCGTGCTATTGAGCTTGAAGCTGGCAACTCCGAGTTTTGGAACTCTCTCGGTATTATAACTACGACACTCAGCCCGAAGGTCGCTCAGCATGCTTTCGTACGTTCTTTGCATCTCAACGATCGTAACGTGCACGTGTGGACGAACCTCGGTACACTCTACCTGCTACAGAACGATTTGCAGCTAGCAGACACAACATTTGGACGTGCGCAGGCACAAGATCCTGACTATGCTTTGGCCTGGGTGGGCATGGGCTTAGTTGCGCTGCTTGGCGGTAAAGAAAGCGATGCATTTGCTCACTTCACGCATGCATTTGAGCTGTCTGACTCGTCGTTGCTCCTGACTAAGCGACAGTATGCTGTCTCGGCATTCGACTTCCTCGTGTCATCGCTCTCATCTTCCAGTTCGATCGTAAACTTGATCCAACCACTGTTCGCTCTCCAACAGCTCAACCGCCAGGCGCCATACGATTTGTCACACAAGCATCTCGCAGCGCTGTTCCTGGAACGCGTTGGTAACTACGATGCTTCCGTGGCGGCTCTACAGGCTGTTTCCGAAGCTGCCGAACAAGAATATGAAAAGTCAGAGGCTATGTCTGCTCTTGCGCGCATCGTCCAAGCGAAGAATGATCTTGCACGCAACCAATTGGCATTAGGATCCAATGACTCTGCCGTCGAGGAGGCGGAGACTGCTTTGGACCTTCTAGCTGAGCTTGAAGGCGATGCCAGCCAGTCCGTCCTGTCTCCCGATCAACTGGACAAGATTCGTCTGTCTGCTCGTCTCACAGCAGGTCTTGCACACTACTTTAGCGGCGCACTTGACGCTGCGCTACCATACTTCCGCACATCGCTCGAAGCCACTGGCTCTCACCCAGACATCATCTGCCTCCTAGCAGAAGTACTATGGGCAAAGGGAGGCGAGAACGAGAGGCAAGTTGCGCGCGAACAGCTCTTCACCGCTTCCGAGAAACACGAGTCACACGTTGGTATCTTGACTCTCATCGGCGCCATGACCGTCCTAGACGACGACCTCGAAACGATGGAAGTTATCAAAGACGACCTGGACCGCCTACGCACAGACAAGGACCTCACCGACGAGCAACTCGTGCGCATTGAGAAGGTCGTGGAAGCCATTTCGATCAGCCTAGGCGGCGCAGAGCAGGAACTCGAGGAGGCACGACGAAGCGTTATGCTCGCACCGTGGAAGCACACAGGCTGGTCCGAGCTGGCTGATGCTGCTGGTGGCGATGTGTTCGCCAGTACGCTCGCTACGGAGACTGCTCGCAGGAATGCACCGCCGAATGGCACGCTTGGTGCTGTTGGTTTATCTGGTCCTATGGCTGCAACTGGCGATGCGAGTGATGCACAGAGAGCGATTGTCCTGGCACCGTGGAGTAAGGACGGGTGGACTGGACTTATCGAGTGCGTGCAAGGCGCATGAGCGCTCCACGAGTGAGTAAGAGCAGCGCGTATGATGATGTTGCATACTCATAGAGGCTTTTATATACTATCTACGCAAATGGAAACCATAGTAACGTCGAAGTGCAGAGAGCTATTTCTGTGTCACCAACAAACAACATGCCCCAGCCATTTATCCTGACTAACATGCGCACGCTTTCGGTCGCATTCGACCCGCTTCTAGGCGCTGCGTGTCCGTGCAAGACCTACGCCGCAATGCTGATCGTAATGCCCAGCCCAAGTCAATTATGGGGATTACCATGTGTTGGCTTGAAAACGAAAGCACGTCAACACATCAGCGCGGCAGAGTCCTACAGCTTTGCTAACCCTCTAGCATACGATGAGCCTGTTTTTCAGCAACTGCAATTCGGCAGCCAGCCTCATGTTTTCATATCTCGGACTAATTCTTCACAGGAAGCGCTAGTAAGGGTGGTCGTCACCTCACCGAATATGTAGTGGCTTGTTTCAAGGGTGTGGCACAGTTGGTCCCAACCACAGCTTCGGGACTCGCACGTCGCTAACGAACTCTGTTTAATGACCCAGAACCGATCATTCGCCCTTACAGTAATTCTTGGTTGAGATTGCTCATTCGCACGTACAGGTACTGCACATGTTACACATAGCATGGTGAGGACAGAGCTCGCATTTTGAGACGTCACAGCTGATGCCCAGCAGCTCAAGCTTTTTGCCGCCAGGCCCAGATGATCTTGCTTGATCTATCTACAATCGTATCCCTGACCGGAAGACGATACAAAAGCGACTGTACCGCCGAGGTCGACTATTTACACACCTCCTCCATCTGTCGCCGCCGATCTCAACATGTTGCAGTAAATGCAATAAGCGAAGGTGTAACCGCGCAGGGCAGTAAGTCAGGGGTAACCGCGCAAAGCAGTAAAATCAGTATATTCTGTTGTTCTGTTGTTCAGTGCTCTGTCTCTCTCACTCGACCCCCAGCGGGGTCTGTTTACATGACGTATGTATCTCGTGCAGTCAAGAGCAGGAGGTGCTTGTTGGAAAGAGCAAGAGCACCAACACACGTGGCACACATGACCTCCATACTCCATAAACCGTCACACAACATGTCCACAAACGTCGGTGGAAAGACCGACTACTCTCTTGTTACCTTACAGATACGCGGTTGAGTGTGAGTGGACTGGTTGCACAGCTGTTTGAGCAAAAGCAAGGGGAATATCAGATCGACAGGAGCGCGCAATTGTTTGTAAAACATGCGTTGGAGACGTCTGGAGCAAGTAGGAGAGTCAAGATACACCGAACGGAAACGGGCGGAACAAGGTTCGCGTTCTGAAGATGTAGGGAGTGGGGAGGTACACGTGGGTCTTTATCTACGTACTGCCGCCATCCTGTCATCATGCGACTGCCACCAGCAATCCTTTCAACCTCCCGACATCGACGCACGCAAGCAGGTAGTTCTACCGCCAACTCCCTGTATATGATGCGACGCCTCGCGAACTCCCGTTCAACTCCAATCCGCATCAAACAAAGCTTTGTACAATCCTGTTTGTGAACCAAAATGAGCAAAACAGCGCAATGCGTCGACAAACCACAACGCGAATCTGAAAACACTCAAAACAATCATCGCTAACCAATGCTTTTCAAGCTTCATATCGAATCGATATACGACGTACAACATCGCGATATTATTACACAATGACCGCCCTGTCTTCACCAGACTCCAACACTATTCCCACATCCCCTGAATCGATACAGACCAGATGGACAGCGTAACAAGCGAAACCCTTGACCTGAGTAAGTCTTTCGCGACACTGTCGGCACGCATCTATGTTCTTTGCGACAACTGCGACGGGCACCTTGACCAGATACGCTACTTGGAGCAGTGAGTATCTAGCCAAAAAGTCAGAGGGACGGGATCAAATATGGAGCCTTGTTGAGGAACTAAACCAGAGTTATGAGCGGCGACGAGCGCACGAGGAGGTTGCTCGAGCATCGGAAGATCCTTGCCAAGCAGCTGCAGGAAGCTGTTGACAGGCTTCTAGGAACGCTTAGGGATCTGCAGGAGAGGGAGGGATGAGAATGTCCAAGAGTTGCAGCGCAAACTCAGGGCGTTGCAAGAAAAGGGAACGGGGAGACACAAAGCGCCAAGGCTCACGTACTGACGCGCTCCATCCTTCTTCTTTCCCAAGAGGACCAGACGGTCCTGCTCTACCAAGGCACGATTAAAATCTGCGCGAAACGACAGGCCTACCACGCAATCATGACGCGCTGATGCTCTCACTGTAAGCAACCGTCAAACACCTCGTAAAACATCACCTTTTTCTTCTTCGCAGTCTAACTACCCGTCTGGTTCAGTTATACTTTTATGCAGATGCTCGCAAGGTCGTACTTGTATTTTGTCTATGAGTGTCTTTCCGATTGAATGTCTCTTTCCTCGACGCCGTCGTTCAACCGTCCCACTGTCTTCTCCCGCAACACGCTGCCGGTCAGAACTGAGCTGTCAACATTGCATCGCAGGTCAAGAAGCTTGCTATTGGAGAGAAGTGATACCTAGGCTATCCAAGCGGCAAATTCTAGCCTGCCGCTCCTCATTCGCGCTGTCTAGCTTCGTAGGCCACAGAGATACAGGCGCATGCAAACTCATTCACCCATACAACACGGCTATAGAGAGACGCCAGCGACTACCTGGCGTTGCTTTACTAGGCCCGCCCAACCGCGTATCCAATGGGACCGGAGGCACGGCTACAAGATACGAGTGCACGCGTCGAGCTCTTCCACGGAGGTGTTGATGCCCTGGACTTGCAAGCTGCTCGCTTCGCTTACATAACCGCCCACGTGCATTATCACTCCGCCAGCTGACCTGCAACGACATGTTTTCTTCCTCCTCACTCTGACTTAACAACTGGTTTTGCGGCAGAGAACTGGATGCATATGGCTCTGTACCTAGGATGCGACAATGCGTTGAATCATGCAAGTTCAGAGGCCGGAATGCATATGCCAGCTTCGGTACAAGGGATGCTTTAGTGAGGCAGGATATCGTAAATCTTAAACACATTCCCTGGTCTTCCAGGACTGGCCTTGGTACCAGCCTTGACGTTCATACAAATACACCGGTTCAGATCTTCTCCTCTAGCCGGGCGGTCATGCCCGTGACGACCCTCCTCTTCTCCTTCTCCCGCTGCTGCACATGCGCATCCCTCTCCGCGTTCTTTGTGATAGCACGTGCCTGCACCTCAAGCAACTGATCAATCACATTCTCCACGCCGTCCGGACTCCCATCTGTAAACAGCGCCTGTAACTCAGACTTGGTCGCACTCGCAAGCTGGTCCTCCAACGCCTTTATAGCCTTAGCGCCAAGATCCACAATCGCCTTCTTTAGTTTCTGATCCTCTTCCCTCTTTGCTTTCTTAGCCGCTTCATCCCGCTCACTCGCACCTACAGCATCGACTTTCCGCTTCTCTGCTTTGGCTTTCTCGCGCCGTGCGCGCGCAGCGAGGTACGCAGCGGAGTGGCCTAGCACTCTCTCGTCTTTAGTCAGAGGCTGAGACACGTTGAGAGGTGGTGCGGTGAAGAACAGCACGCGGCCCTTCTCGTCGGTCTGGAACTGCTCCCGAATATCCTGCGGTATGCTCGCGTTTGCGTGGTCGTTCAGGATGTACACTTCAACAGGCGGGGGCGCTTTGTATCCAGGCGGTGGCTGAGCGTACGGCTGCTGGTAGCCGGGTGCGGGGCGTGGAGTCTGGTATTGCTGCATCGGCGCCGCGGGCTGTGGAGTGAAGGGAACGTGTGGCGTGATGGGTTGGTAGGAGGGTGCTTGTGGTGCTTGCGGGTGGACGTGAGGCGCAGGTGATTGGGAGGTGTGGTAGTGGCCGGGATGTGTGGGTGTGTAGGCGGAGGAAATGTGGTGGTGTTGGGGTGTAGGCGCCGGCATGGGTGTGGGTGCTGGCGCTTGAGCGATCGGGTAGTTTGACGATGCAGCACCGCCGTAGCTGCTTGCGTCTGCTCGAGGTAGACTTGGAGTTGGCATTGCGGGTGCTGGCGGCGGTGTTGGTGGAGGAGGTGGTGTTGGCTCTGGTGGTGGTGAGTCCTTGGGATCGCGTGGACGGCAGTGGACTGCGCCAATCTTTGGAGGAGCATTCTCAGCGCCCCACTCAGGCTTGGGCAGGTCGTCGGTCTCTTTCTGGTCGTCCTTGAGCATGTACGCGATAGGACTGGGGACCTTCTTCAGCTTCTTTTGCGCATCAAACAGGTCCATGACGTAGTCCTTGTCACGTACTTCATCGGGAAGACAGCTTGCCCAAGTCTTGATCTTGTTCAGCTTGTGGTTCTCCTCGTTGTAGCGTGCTTCGCAAACATAGATCTCCTTGTCCGGGGGGAAGTCGCGGGGACGGCCCTTGTTGTATCTTGTGACAAACATGACAAAGCAACGGTCTACCACCTCGTCGATGCGGTGATCGCGGTACTGGCCAGTCTTGACCACCTCGTTCTCCAGGAAGTGTCGGTCGAACCGGTGGACAGTCTGCTCCGGTCGGTAGTACCAGCAGGCGTTGACCCACTTGCCTCCCTCGGAATCCTGCCATGTCCGGTAGATCTGTGCAACGATAGGCTTTGTCAGGTCGTTCGCGTTCTGGATGTGCACCCAGTCGCCGACCTTCCATAGCTCGCCGTTGTGCAGGATACCGTTGGGCATGGGGATGCGGCCTTCCTCCATAACGAAGTCGGTGTCTGGCTTCTCCTTCTCAGCTTTGGCGACTTTGCGCGACTCCTTCTGCAGATGCACGGCGTCCTTGTAGATCTGGCTGTCCTCTTCGTTGTACTGCTTGGCGTTCTCGAACATGAGCTCGACGTCGACCATGAAGTGATCAACCGAGTTGTACTTCTTGCGCTTGAGCTTGCGCTTCAGGATGTCCATAGCCATGGGAGTCCGAATCTCGGCATGGTATTCGGGCATGACAGCCTTGTCCGGCACGCGCTCGAACGCGCTGACCATTAGCTTGTTCGCCTGGTTCCTTGGCTTGCGAATCGCCTTCATGATGGCCTTGATGCGCGCTTCCATGGGAGTGTCGACTCGCGGCGGCCGCCCGCGCTTCTTCCTCGACTCGGGATCGTCGTTCTTCTCCCGTTCCTCTCTCGCTCTCGCGCCGCCTTCGCGCTTAGCGATGGCTGCAGTGGACCGCGGGCCTCGCCTCCTCTTTCGCTTGCCGTCGCCGTCGTCTTCGTCGTCGTCGTCTTCGTCCATCTCCAGCTCCTCCTCGTCGTCGTCGTCGTCGTCTTCCTCCTCTTCCTCAGGCAGCAGAGGGTCTTGTTCCGGGATCTCGCCGAGGTAGGGCAGAGCTGCGACCGTCTGGGTGACGATGCCTTTGGTGACTAAGCGCTTCAGCTCAGACTCGATGACCTTCTTCAGGTCCAGCGCATCGACGTATGCTTGCGAGTCCTGCCTGTTGTAGACCTGGGCGTTGTGGGGGATGAGGGCGAGGTCGCGCACGAACTCGGAGAAACTGCTGTAGTCTTTCGCGGCGACGCGGCCTTTGATGGTGCTGAGGGCCATGGGCTCCTTGATGATGTCGTAGTAGTCGGGCACCGCGCGCTTGTTGACCTTGCGCTGGAAGAGTTTCGTGGGGTCGTAGCCGCTGGGAGAGGTCAGCGCATGCGCTTGTTGGAGCCCATCCGAGTCGGAGACGCTTACTCATCATTCCTGTAGTTGTACACGTTGACCAGCATATCGGACATGGCCTTGTGCTCTGCCTCGGTGACAGTCGAAGCGGCGCCGTCAACGCCTGGGTCGGCCTTCTCGGTGGTCGGCACCGGCGTGGAGCTTTGCGCGCGTCCGGACGCCATGTTTGCTGTGTTCTGGCGGCGGTGCGCGACGTGGTGGATGTGCGCAAGCAAGTGCGACGTTGGAGACGCGACGTTGGAGACGCGACATGGGAGCAGGAACGGACGTCGCGACAAACTGGAGTGTGGTCCGAGCGCGACAGGGGGGGTGCTAGCTTCCGCCGTTCGACCCACCATCTGCATGCTTCCGGAACATTCACCACCCGCCACGTCGGCCATCAATCGCCATAGCTAGGAACGCTTCATAGCTCGCAATAGACTCTTCGCTGTGCACGCCCAACTCCCCGTCTCCTCCCACCCCCGTCTCCTCCCACCCCCGTCTCCCCTCACCCCCGTCTCCTCTCGTCCCCGTCTCCTCTCATCCACCCAGCCTTGTCCTCTACACTGTCCGCTTCCGCGACTCCAAGCTGCTACAGCTGACCGCACCTTCCGCCCTCCAGACTCACACAGCACGTCAAACCAACCAATCAATCAACCAACCAAGCACCCTCCCTCCCCTCAGCCCCACCACAACTCACCCGCAGCTTCCTTCTATCCTTGATACTCTCCTTCAAGCGTCACTCACACTCACCCTCACACCCTCACTCTCACCCTCACCCTCACTCTCACCCTCACTATCTCCCCACACTGCCACAGTAAGATGCCCATCAGGGTCCGCCTACGAGCGCCGAACGGGCAGCACACACTCTCGCTCGACGACAACGCCGCCGTCTCAGACCTCCTCTCTGCCATCACCACATCCACAGACCTTCCGCTGTACGAGCTGAAGTGGGGCTTCCCACCGCAGCCGCTCGATCCATCGCTATACGGCCTCTCCACTCTCCTCAAAGACACCGACCTGAAGCTCAACGGCGCCCAGATCCTCGTCATCGCGCAAGCAACTGGCGACCCCAGCGAGAAGAGGAGGGAGGAGGAGCTCCAGGCTGCCACATCGCAACCAGCAGCACCTCTTTCGCTACAACGGAAGGAGCAGCCAGTGCTGAAGGACACACCAGAAGTATTCGTGCCTGATCGGAGCGGTACCATGGTGCTGCGCGTCATGCCAGATGACAACTCGTGCATGTTCCGAGCAGTCGGCAGCGCGGTCCTCACAGACACGCTTGACTCGATGACCGAGCTGCGATCCATGGTCGCCCAGGCTATACAACGCGACCCCGAATACTACAACGCAGCAATCCTTCAGCGGTCACCGGACGAGTACTGCAAGTGGATACAATACTCCGACTCGTGGGGCGGCGGCATCGAGCTGAGCATCCTGTCGCAAGAATTCGACATTGAGATCGCGAGCATCAACGTGCAGGACTTGCGAGTAGATCGCTTCAACGAAGGCCGACCGCGGCGCTGCATCCTCGTCTACTCAGGCATACACTACGACACCATCGCCTTCGTTCCTTACGGCTCCTCGACGTTCAGTCCGGAGAACGACGTCAAGCTGTTCGATGCTAGCGACGACGTTATGCTGGAGGCGGCGCGGCAACTATGTGGCGAGTTGAAGAAGAAGAAGTACTACACCGACACACAGAAGTTCGACGTCAAGTGCAATACTTGCGGGTGGAGAGGCGCAGGCGAACGAGGTGCAGTACAGCACGCTGAGGAAACAGGGCACGTCGACTTTGGCGAGGCAAATTAGATGCGAACGCTACATCGGCGTCCTAACAACGGCGGCATCATTGGTAGGGATGTAGGACGTATGGTCTTATGGTGGGGAACACAATAACAAAGCACAAACACATTCTTCATATGCAAGACTTGTCACCTCTCTGGGAAAGCACGATGACGCTCAACCCCTACTTCTTAGAACACTCATGATCTACGTGATACCGAATAACATCATTGCGAGGTACATCACACGTGAACAACATCTGCATCATACTCTGCCGCCTTGGGTGTCCAGCCCTGCAAGCTGCAAGTCTCATGGCCGTCTTCAGACGATACCATGTGTATTAGTCCCATTGTAAACTCTGGGTGTGTCTTGATGTTTAGATTCTGCCAGCCGTTCCACCTACTCTCCTGCTTGCCGTTCTGGTGGACGAAGCGGTGGCGCAGCCATGAATCGACCATAGACTTCGGTCCAGACGAATGTTCAGGTGGTGACTTTTCATAGTAGCTCTTGAGTGTGCGATCACACTGTTGTGGTTGCTCATGCTACTCTGCCCAGTGTGGCGATCAACGTACAAGTCCATTGCGAGCTTCTGCTCAACACCACGCTCAAGGCAACTACAGTAACTGTTCCAGCGCGTTATACACTCTTTGATGGGCTCCTTAATGTCGAGATTGGCGTCGTTAGGCAGCGCTTTGTTGGCCTTGCGCTGGAAGCCTCCATAGAGGGAATCGTGTTTTGATGTAGTTGACAGCAGCAAAAAACAGGCCCTAGTGGGCTAACAAGGTTTGTTACATGACAGCCGCAGCGCAACCTGCGCTCCTTTGCGACAAAATCAAATCGCTCTGCAACAAAGTCAACCGCTGTGTTGTTTGGGTGCGCGTTATCAAGCACAAAGCAGTCAATCTTGTGTGGCTCAACACCAGACGGAGTGAGCATCTCAGTGACAACTTGTGCTATCTGCTTGCCTCTGCGGGCGCTATTTGCTTGCCTCTGCGGGCGCCTGTAAGCTGTGGGAGGGCTATAGATAGGTCGTGGATGGCCCCAGACGCGCTGGCAAAGCGCACAACAACGCCCAAGAAGCCGCATTCGCCGCATTTGCCGCCTTTGACTGACCAGCTGTTGAAGCTTATATGGATCTTGCTCGCAGCGTTATACAGGGCGTCAGCTACTATTAGCATCATAAAGCTGTGCAACTTTAATATGAACCTCAACACGCTATTATAGCTCTTCCACAGCACCTACTCTACCTCCGGGTTGGCGAAACGCAGCATCTTGCGGAAAGCTGGCGTCTCAAACTTGCGCAATGGCTGGTTGTTTTTGACAAGCCAGCGTACAGCAGCCATTCGGAAGTATTGTACATCGAAGCGGCCAAGCGCGCGCATTGCCTCCGGGTTGATATTTATGCCCTTCTTGAGCGCCTCGCGCACCAATAGCTGCCCCGACTTCAACAGCGGAGGCTTCTCCCCAGCTTCAGTATAGCCATGGCCAGGTGTTAGCTTGCCTAGGTGAGCGATTGCGGCGCTGGTTGATAGCGTCACCTCATACTTTCCAAGCCCTTCCGTGTCTATGTTCCGCCGCTATGACAATACAATCGTTTGCGAAATGTACGGACCCTCCTGAATTTGGCAGTGACTGTGTGTACCACAGTATAGCATGCAGGGCACACACGTGAGTGGTTAGTTGTCTTGGTGCCCTAAACTATCCCACGTTCTGCCCTGCGTCCTGTCACCCAGACTGTCACCCATCCTCTCAACCAGCCTTAGCTAGTCACTCGGAAGCTCTCGCCCACCTGTGACGTATGCTTGATGATATTGAGCCAATATCCAGGGGGTTCGTGCACTTTGCAAGGCACCGATACTTGCAGGTGAAGAACAAGCGCTCAGGGTTGTTGCGCACATACCGCCGGACGTCAGTCCAGACTCCAGAGAAAGGGTACAAAAGTGGCCTGTCATATCGAGAAAGGGGCGAGTGGATTTGCGCTTGAGTGGCGTCGACAAGTTTAGCCTCCGTGTCGAGGTCGTGTTCATGTCATCAAATTACATATGTTCGGTATCGTTCTGATCGTAAGATTATGCGTATGGTGCTTGTATCGATGATGATGAGCGACTTCGTGTTCAAGAGTGAGGAATACTCTGTATGGGGTTAAGAGAGGTGTTGTTCGGTTTTCTAAAAAGATGCGTCCGGTCCAGCCGCCTTCTGTATGTAGGTCACATTTCAAGGGCATCGTAGGTACTCAGTTATTGTCGCAGAGCATCTACTAGCAGACACGAATGCAGCAACACGCTGCGTACTTTGAGAGAGAAATGTTGAATTAAGGAAAGAGTTAGACTGAAGTTGCCAAAGTCGCGATGGGCAAAGATGGTCCGCAAAATTTCGTTACGAATTCCCTTTGCGAGAGCAGTTTTGACACCCATAGTCGGCGCACACAAATCTGTCACCCAATGCAAGCATGGATTGTCACGATTTGGCAGACCATATTTGCTTTGAATGCCGACGTTCTGAGTTTATCAGGCGCTTCCACAGTCAGTAAGCAGTATGGATCCCTCAAGTTGAGATGGTACGCACACGACAGTGTTGTGCTCGAGGAAACTGCTCATAAGGCTTAGGTGTTCCCACTGAAATGGTAGTGGGGAGATCCTTACTGAAGCGTCCGAGCCATCGCACTAAGAAGATTCTCAGACCCTTCATTGGTCCACCACGTGGTTAGGCTCTCACAAGCTGTAATAAATTGGTTACGAGATACAGGGCTGTCTCACAGCCTCGGCCAACCATATCAATGGGAGGTCACTCTCCAGACGAATCACAGACTTGCTCGGGTAACTGTGCCGGGCACACTCTGTCAAACCTGTCGATGAAATGAATTGCTGGTTGATTGTCAAGTCGGAGGCACCTGGTCCTCAGAGCCGTCTCGATCTTCAATGTCATCGTGGTTCATCATCAAGTATTGGGCTCAGCCCGACATCCGCTGCAACGTTCCACCCACGTATTCTAGCGTAACGAAATCTCGGTCGCGATATTGGGCTCTTATACCCTGCATGAATAAAGTCTTGCATTGGTGTCTGGCGAATGGGCCTTCAATGAAAAACCGGAGCCTTGGTTTGACACGACCCTACATCTGCCTACACATCAGGAAGAACTTGGCGATTCTTCGCTCAGGATTTATCACTTGAAACAAGAACCACTCTTGTAAGAGTGACGTAAGCGAACCTGCCCTACCGTCGGAAATAGCAGTACATTCGAAACGACAGACTACTGCAACCCTCGGTTCACCACGTATGTACACGGGTGCAAACAATTCGCTACCGCAGCTCTCGATTCGACAGTCAACTTCGAGTGTCAGGAAACTCGAATATGGGCAAATACCGCTCCAGAAGCGGATGGTCAGTAGATTGCAACAGGCCGTGGTTGACAAGGCTGACGGGTCGCTTACCAGTCTCACCTGTCGAGTCCGTCGCGTAAAATGTCAGTTGTTCATATTTAACTACGTTGTGGACGGTTTCTAACACAGAACAGGCGACGAAACACATCCCGTCTGCAACGCCTGCAGCAAAAAGAACCGACCGTGCCAATGGGAAGCGCCCCACACCAAATTCAAAGATTATCAACCCTCCGAAGCAGGGTCGAGTAAGTCCGCTGTTGTCGACGGTGAGCACGAAGGTATGGAAGTTGATGGAGTTGATGGAATTGATGGAATTGATGGAACTGATGACGAGAGCCAAGCGAGCCGGAGCACTTCACCGAGGGCGAATGAGGAGTGGAGAAACGAACGGGCCATCACAACTTCCGAAAATACGTCACGATCAACAAGTGACCCATCACCCAACGATTCGATCGGTATACATTCACCGGGCTCTCCATTTCCTCTTTCGGGGCCCCGAACTCAAAGCAGCATTTCTGTAGCAAGTTTGCTGCGGCAACCTTTGTCGGACGATATTCGACCGTACTCTCAGGAAGCTGTCCCTCTTACCCAGAGGGAAGCACGGCTCGTGCATTACTACTCAGAACATCTTGGCCGTTGGCTCGACTGCACTGATGCAACGCGTCAGTTTACCCTAGGGGTCCCAGAGAAGGTCAAACATTGTCCTGTCCTCTGCTATGCAGTCTTATCATTTGCAGCTCGTCACCGTAGAGAAGATACCACTGCTGATGCTGCATACCAACGCTGCATTGCTTTACTTATCGACCGGCTGAACGAGCCGAGTGCGAGTCACGATGAAACATTGCTGTGCGCCATAGTCATCTTAAGATTCTATGAGCAGCTCAATGGTAGGTCTCACATCTCACATGAATGCGCCTCAGCTCACATTCGTAGTACCTTCCACCACCGGCTCAGATGCTGGGCAGCATCTAGCAGGTTCCTCCGCGATACTGCGCGCTTCGCAAGGCAACCATTACGTAGATCCTTCGGCGCCCACGCTTCGTGAAGCTGCATTCTGGGTTTATGTTCGTCAGTGTCTTTACACAGCTACTATCAACCAGCAACCACTCGATGTGGATTTCTTATTGCAGCTGCACCCAACACCAGGGTCCATGCATGACTCACATCCGCTGGCGCGCTTGAGATTGGAAACTGCTTGGGCCAACCAGATGACTTGGAACACAGCTCTGATTGTCAACTTCTGTTTCGAACCCGGTTCTTCGGCTGAACGCAATAACAAGCTTGCCCGATGGCATGAGCTCTGGGATCTTGTTCAAGCTTGGATTAAGGATCGACCTGAAGGCTTCGATCCAATCTGGCACGGGCCGGCTAGCGAGGTCGAAGGTAGCTGCTTTCCACAAATTTGGTTCACAGCTGACTGGCATGGTACGTTTTGGTCCTTGCTTCCCAATGATCCAGACTAATCGCTTGTACAGCCGTGGCATTTGGTTTCTACCACTTCTCCTGCATCATGCTTCATAGCTTCAAACCAGGGCCGCGGTTCGCCATTCGCAGTGTTGGTAGTCTATCAATTACAGACGTGAGTAGTACTAATATGAGTATTGGAGATTTCCGACTAACTATATCAGCGTCAGATCTTGCGGCATGCACACGCAATTTGTGGTGCATGTGGGAGCACGCCTGAGACGGTGCAGCTTTCGATCATCCTATGCCATACCATCTTCGTCTGGGGACCCCTGGTAACAGAAACACGGGAAAGAGACGAAGTTGTACAGCTTCTTGAGGACTTTGAGAAAACAAACGTTTGGCCGACTGCCTGGATCATCAATGCTCTTAGAGCAGAATGGGGTATGGTCCATACTTGATCCCCTTCACTCCATTTTCTGTAGCAACTCATAGGAGCGTAGTTCCTGTATCGATACCCCCATGTCTAAAATTCTCTCCTCGCTTTTCATTCACACGACTTCAGATAGGCTCATTCGATCAACTAGAACTTCGGTTAGAGCTGTGGTTGGCTCGCATGTTATTAGCGAACATTGGGACAATGCATCACGATGGGGCTACACCGTGACAGGTGGCTCATTACCAAGTGCTTACATGCTTTAACTGACTTACAGTGTTCCTAATCATTACTCGTCACGGCTTCACTTTTTGCAGATGTCCATGCATCAGGTGTTGAGGTTCCCCGCCTGTTGGCAGTCGTGTATGTGGTGGGATATCGATTCATAGCCTCCCAACTGCACAACGTCGGGATTCTCTCCTTTCGACCACACTGAAACTTTTTCACGACTGACCTTGTGTAAGAATGATATGCTTGCAGTTTTGTCGGCCTTTGTAGCCGTCTAGTCAAAAGTTGCAAGCGTGACTGCAGGCACGCGTTCCTGGGGGGAAGAGTTCCGTGAAGGACCAACACGTCAGAACTGCCGGTTTTCCCACATTCTTCCAAGTCCTGTGGCCCTCATGTATTCGCGGATATGCTTTGCCGGCTGTTTTGATAGGCTCTCGGACTCGTGTCGCTTCGAGTTGTGGAGAATGTGAAGGATTCGCCGGCTATGTTGACCGAGCGCGACTGCCAACATCTGGAAACATCCAGACATTGCAGTTACTGGTTCCTGTAGCATTCCCGCCGCTTTAGCGCCTAGGTGGATCAATGCCTCGTTATGCGGTCTCGGATTGTTGTTCCATGGTACTTCGAGCCGAATTTCTTGCCCTTGCGACAACTTTAACTTTCGCAACACTATCCACCTCCGACCTTCGTATTGTACTTCCCAGACGTACAGTACCTAAATGGTTCACGTTCGAATCGAAGACCGAGTTTACAACGCCTACGATTTCTTGCATTAGCAGGGTTCACCATGCGCGAAAGCATTTACAGTCTCTCAAGGCACGTTCACGGTACATTATCCTGTAATCCGCCCATGCCCACCATGTAACACCCGAGGTCTACAAAGCATTACCGCGCTATCCACTTACGAAGGCAAACGGGCAATTGGCCCTGATCGGACACGGCTATCGAGCAGCTGTCTGTCCTTCCAAGGTTCTCCTAACGGCGCCGGTTCGGTCTCGTTCCTGCACATCGCCCAATAAGGGACTCGATGGAGTTTTTGGCAAGACGACCATGCCCGAGGGAAACCTATCATTGACATCCATCCAACCTGAAGAGACCTGAGTGAGAAGAAGCATTTGAAGTTGGTTCAGTTGGCGAAGTCACGTCATGTTTACGCCCGCCGCGGATGTTTATTGTGGATCAACCCTATTTCGTAATTCGTTTCGAGTCACTGTGATCCTTCAGTACGTTGGAGGGGGTTATCTGCACAATGGAGCTATATGCCGCATGCCTTGAATCACCCCTACGTATCGTCTCCATGCAACTGAATCGATACGTATCTGTCTGACCATCGCGCAGTATAAGGTTTCGAGAAGGAACATATGAGTATCTTGTTTTGCGAAGTTCGCAACCTTCCATGAGTACTCCTACTTCTGCACTTGAAGTGCATACTTGGCTCAGGTAATTGAAGCGATCTACCTCACAATGCGACGTAAAGACTCAGCAATGGATGTTAGAGGGATTTCTCCCAATCAAGAAAAAACTGGGGAACCTGCGAGGGACAGACTTAACCTCACCGTCCTGGGTGTGTGCACTGGCACTGGGTTGGGCCATCTCGATTGCGCGTTAGTTCAGTTCGGTCAGAACAGTCCCTCCGCTCCGCTACGCGTGAAACTTCAACAGGTCAGTGCTTGGCTAAGCTTCTTTCTCCTTACAGCTCGCTCACTGTATACACAGTTCGACCAAATACCCATTCCCGCGTCAGTGAGAGACCCTGTCGTAAACTATCTTCGATCCGGCCGACACAAATCTAAGCCAGCACCACACCTCGAGGACCTGCTAGGTCGGTTATTCTCCAGCGGTATCAAGGCTTTTTGTCGCAAAAATGCCCTCGAAGCTGCTTCCATCGACCTTGTCGGCACTCACAGCAATGTGTTGAGACTCCTGAATACACGGGCGAACTCGGATGGCGTGCGAGAGCACCCAGTTCATTGGAACGCGATCGTAACCTCAGAGACTGGTATCAGTACCGTTTTTGACTTTACAACAATCGAGCGTGGAGTCGTTCGGCGTCATATACACCCCACCTCCTATGTCGACAGGCTCTTCTTACGGCACCCCACCAAATTCCGTGTCTGCCTCAACATCGACGAACTTGCGAACCTAAGTTTCATACCTGCACACGGCGACGATGGCGCACGCGCAACGATATCTCGGGATTGTGGGCCCGGCAGTCTCTTCATCGACTATGCCATCCGCTATTGCACATCCAACGATCAATCAGAAGATCATGATGGGAAGATGGGATCATTGGGAAAAGTTAATCAAGACATCGTAGACCGATACCTCGACGCGCACGATCCTTTTCGCCAGCTGCCTCCCATAAGCATAGCCACCGAGATGTTTGGCGACCACGAAGCACAACAACTCATCGATGAATGTCTGTACAGCAGCATGTCCGAAGCAGACACAATCGCGACCATTACACGGATAACCGCACAGAACATATTGAAGCAGTACCAGCGCCTGCTCGAACTCTTCTTCCCCCCAGGCCAGGAAGTCGACGAACTCTTCATCTGCGGCCCCAGTGCGCGAAATTCCAATATCATCGACTACCTCGAAGCCGGATTCCCCGAGGGCGTCATCACTAAGCCGCTGCACGATATCGGCATACCAGGCGACGCACATGAAGCTGTTTGCTACGCACATCTCGCGCTTGAAGCAGTGCTTAGCCAGGCCACGCAGGCTGCTGGCACGCCTCCGGCGCCCAGCTCGGCGTATCCGAATGCGGATGCCGTCAGAGCGAGGGTCGTGCCGGGTCGGCGGTGGAATGAGTTGCTGAGCCATGTGCTGGAGTTTAGCGGTGGGCAGAGGCTATATTTCGCGACGAATGTGCGTATAGCGGGCAGTTTTGAGGCTGCCGTGTGAAGAATGAATATCCGGTAGCGAAGGAGGGGTTATTCGAGCGTGACAGGTAAACACACTCTATGAGTTCGCGATGTGAGACTGTGGGATCTGCGAGTGCGTGTCGTCTTGAATGGGGCAGGAGTTATGGCGCTTTAGCGCGATCCGTTGCATATATATGATACTCAAGCGGCATGGTAGCGAGCATGCTCTTTTCGACTAGCAGCCTGCTTTTGCAGGAATACATCTTTCTTCACTACCACAGATGAAAGTTCGATGTGCATTTTGCTACGGGTAACAAGTCCTATCACCCTGAATTGCAAGTAGCATAGGAAACTTGGACTCTACGGTGCGGCAGATGCAAAAGCGCCCATGTCTCCGCGCCGTTGCTCCTACTGGACATTGGTGAGTTCTCCTTTGTCCAGTCGGCTACTTGCCGTCGTCTTGACGAAAGGTTATTCCAACATCCTAACACAACAAAAAACATTACTAGGACTTGAAATTGATTTCATCGTGAGTTTGAGGAGATTCGGGCAACCTTTGTGTAGGAAGGTGGCAACAAGAGGTCCGAACAGGTGACGATCAAGTCTGGTCACCTATCAGCGAACCGTGTGGCGAAGTAGAAAGAATCAGCGTTCGTAAGACAGACTCGCGCCAGATCCCAGCAAGACCAGTCATCACCCACATCACCGCACAACATGCCTTCGAAAAGATATATAATCCAAGTCGTATATCGGTGTCCATCTGTACACTTTCAAACACCCAAGTTTATCAGGCTTCTACGCACTCCGAACCCCATCCCTCTTCCCTTCAACAATCTCGCCCATGATCCTGACCTTTCTTGCTTCTTCCTCGGCGCTGTTGACGTCCTTGAATACTTCATCCATCTGCTCAAGACTCTTGCCTGCCGTCTCAGGAATGCAGAAGAACGTGAACACGAAGGCGAGGAGACAGAAGATGGCGAAGAAAGTGTATGCACCGTAGCCGGTGTTCTGGACGAGGGGTGGGGTGATAAGACCCTGTTCTAATCAGCATATGATGGGGAGCTGAGTTTGCGAATCGGCAGAAGGGAGTGGGAGACGTACGATGATAAAGTTGTTAAACCAGTTAGAGCAGGTTGACAGCGCAACACCCTTCGCCCTAAGACTGCTCGGGAAGATCTCACTCGGTATAGCCCACGGCACAGGACCCCACGTAGCGCCAAAGCTGAACATGTAGAAGAACAAGAACGCCACCGCGGCCCATCCTTCCGTCGCGTAATCGGCCCATCGGCCACCGTACTTGCCCACCAGTATTGCGATGATCAGGTGGCAGATGAACATGAGTCCCGCGCCGGTGAGCAGTAGTGGGCGACGACCGAAGCGGTCCATTGTCCAGAGCGAAGTGACGACGCCAACGAGTTGTGTGCAGTTGATGATGCCGGAGAGGAGGAGCTGCATTTCGTACTCCTGACCAAGTGTGCCGAATAAGCTCGGGGCGTAGTAGATCAACGCATTGATGCCGACGAATTGCTGGAAGAACATGATGCCCACACCGACGACCGTGCGCTTCCAGCATCCGTGGCGGAAACAGTCAGCCCAAGACGCTACCTCTAGTTTGAAGTTGCTAGCGCGGCTTCCGTCCTGGAGGTTGAGGTGCTTCTCGCGGTTGACTTCCTGTGTGAAGGCTACTTCGGCGCGGATCTCACACCACTCCCTGTCGACCCTCGGGTCAGTAGTGGGCAGACCGCGGAGCTTACCCAAGACCTGCAATGCCTCGTCGTCGCGGCCTTTGCTGGACAGCCAGCGGGGTGAGAAGGGCAAGAAGACTATACCAGCGCCGAGGATGAAGCCGGGGATCATCTGGATGAGGAAGGGCAGGCGCCAGGACCATTGGCCGGCCATGTAACGGGTACCGTAGGTCGTCCAGAAGGCGATGACGATGCCAAAGACGATGCTGAATTCTTGGAGGACGAGGAGGGTTCCACGGATTTCTGGGGGCGCGATTTCGGAAACGTAGAGCGGCGCTATGCAAGCCAGTCTGCGTATCGTTAGTATGGAACGTATGTTTGAGGAATCTAGAGATGTGGACGTACGCTCCGATGCCCATACCACCGATCAAACGCCCAACAGTGAGCATGCCATAATCCACAGCGGCAGTCTGCAGGATACTCCCAATCGTGAAAACAATGACAGCCACAACAATCGAGTACTTCCTACTCAGCTTGTCTGCGAGGTATCCAGCAAATAGAGCGCCGATCAGAGCTCCAAGCTCAAGCATGGCAGTCATGAGGCCCTTCCAGAAACCCGCTCCAGAAGCCGTATCCGACACTCTCGGGAATGTGTCGAGGAACTGATCCATGACCAGCGTGACAGAGATGACACCTTGGTCGTAGCCGAACAACAAACCTCCGATGGTAGCAAATGTCGCGCACATAGCGACATAATGATTCGAAAACAGCCCCTGGAAACCTACACTTCATCAGTCATCATCCATCATTTACACGAGAACACCACAGGACGTGACAAAGGAGACATACCACCAGGTCCATACGGCTCCCTCGCCAGCCCAACCAACTCCTCACTCGCCTCACTCCGCATACTGCCGTTCGGAACGGCCTCGTGGTGGATCTGGGTCGGCGCCGCGTCAATCGCGTCTGCCTTTGTTTCTTTCATGGTTGACGTAGCTCACTAATGATAGATGAAGGAGTCCAAACTAATGGATGAAGATCGAACGAAGGAACGGACCCAGCTCTTATAGTTGTTTTTCCGCACGAGTATCTGCCAGTGGGGATCGTCAGTCAAGGATGAGTGCTAGCGCGAGTGTCGTACCGATGCTTCGCGTGCCTGGCTGACGAGGATGGGGGGGGGGGGGGGTATGGAGTGAAGGATAGGCAATATGCGGCGCTCGATTGGCCAATGACTTACGTGCCGGGTGTGTAACGTGCTTTCGGCCGGGATACAATTATATCGGCACGTCAGTCAAAGATGCTCGAGGGCTTGGCTTGCAGGAGTGCAGGTTACAATCGCAAATGGAAGACACGCACGGATCAGTTTGTTGGTGAAGAGCTTGCGAGATGTTTCTGTGGGCCTCGTGTCCGAAGATTGCCGAGATGTTGGTGACGATGCTCATCCGATGGATGTAAAGACGTTGATAGAAGCGCCTGTATCGATTGAGGCTTCAACAATGCCATGATGCCCTATGCAATCTTCAGACAACCTCAGAAAGCCTCAGAATCGAGGTTCTCCGTAACAAACGTCATCGTTCACGATCCGACACTGCAAAGACCGCGGTGACTGACCTCTCCACCATTAACCCCAGAAGAGTCGCAGAAAACCCCAGTTTCCCCAGAATCAGGCTTCGCATCGTTCCGCGCCGTTTCTTCCTCTGCTCCTGTTTGGTCCAATTGCGCGGGCGCTTTTGTCGTGAAAGCCTTAACGTTGCGGCCAAACTTCCCTTTTGCGCTGGAAGCGGTAGCCGTTAGTTGATTAGCGGTTACTGTTTTGAGTATAAAGGGAAGGAAGCGCCGTGGTTCTTGCGGCTCTGTGCGTCTAGCGCAGAACGCTACAGTAATAACGCCCGCTAATACAGAGCCTCAAGATCTTGCCTCGACGCGACGCCTCCGCATTCTTGCTTGGCTCTTTCCCACGTGCAAAACCTCCTCCAATGACCAAAAGCTCCTTGGAGATATACTCGCCACTCGCACCTTGTATTATACCAAGATCGGTCGGACTTCGGGCTACTCATTGAGTTCAACATGGACATTGCGTACGGGGAAAGTAAGGCACATGCATAACATGTAATTCGTCTAAATGACGCAACGACGCTATACTGCCCCATGTAAACATGCCCACGGGGTTTACTTGCGCCAACAGGATGATGTGTGGGGTACTTGCGTGTAGAGAATGCGTTCCGTCGTTAATGTCCCCGATGCCAACCGAGACGCCACGGGTATCGTTATCTCCGTCTGTTGAGCTGTTGAGCAAGGGATGTTCAAGTGGGCATGCCCATGATCGCGCTCCAGCCAGTTCCTCCGCCTCCACCACCACCTGCTCCGGCTCCTGCACCTCCTCTGCGAGGTCCTCCAGCAGCCCTTTTAAGTGCAGCAGGTGCCTTGCTGCTTGTCGCCTTACTCGAGGCTCGTTTCCTTACGCCTGAGAAGCCGCCTCTGCCAAAGCCACCGCCAGACTTTCGGTAAGTGCCCCTCTTCTTTGGCCCAGATGAGGATGCTCTGGGCGCCCTCTTCGACGCTGTGGCTCTGGAGGCGGCAGCGTTCGCGTTAGCAGTTTGCGTCAAGCGATTGTTGAACTCTTCCACTTCGCGATCAAGAGGCTGTGTGAAGTGGTGGCTTCTGCGCAAAGCTTCATCGTCATCACTCTCGCCATACGAGTAGTCGCTCTCCGAGTCTTCGGCTGGTAGTGGGACGTCATCGTCGCTGTCGAGGCACAAGTCAATGACTTCTTGATGATTCGGATCGTAGACTTGCTCGTCATCTTCTTCCTCATAGTCGTCATCCGAGAGCTCCTCAGTTGCCGGCTGACGCTGAGCTGTGCGGCTTCGTGGAGCAGGAGCAATGCCACCGTACATGTCTCTTGTGTTGTTGATCAAGAGCATGAACTTCCTGCCATATCGATCTACCATCTCTGGTTTGATTCCAGGTAAAGTCTTCATTTCCTCCAGATCAGCAGGCAAACACAGGCCCATCTCCCGAAGTACCGTGTCAGAGAAGATAGCTTGACGATGACCATTGTTTGTCATGAGATCCTGTCTCAGATTCTTCGCACCGTTGAGGAAGTCGCGCAATGCATCTTGCTCCATCTCACTGAGCCCAGCCAACCTTCTATCCACCGTGATAGGCTTGCCCAGCCCCCTAGGTTGTTTGGCTGCTCGTGGTGGCTTCGCAACCCGTACCTGGGCGAACTCGTCATCAAAGTTCTCAGTTTGACGACTGCGACTCTTCTGGTCACGTGTGGCATGTCGTGGTTTTGCGTAGTGCTCGTGGTCGCTGTCGGAATGCTGCTGGTGGTAGGCATAGTTTTGGATCTTGCGCTTCGTCGCGTGGACGGGTGAAGAAACGTTAGTAGAGGGATAGTCCGCTTGCTGCTTCTTTGTCTGCTTCTTTCTGACTGGAGCCTTTGTAGGTGATGCTCGGACCTGCAGCTGAAGCTGCTTGCGTTTGGTCTCATAGTCGTTACGAAAGGTGGCGGGCTGGGACCGTTAGCGATTGCTGAAGAGTGGGCATATTGAAACTTACGTGAAGATAATTGGTCGCGAAGCCGACCTTGTTGATTATGCTCCTCTCTTTGAGAGCTCTAGATTCCAGCAGGGATTGAAATATTCGTTCGTTGTCCCCACGCTCTAGATCAGCACCGTAACCCCAGCCATACTCTTCGAGACCACTCCTTTTGATCTTGGCGGTTTTGGCGCCTCGGAAAGCATCAACGCATTGGTGCATAGTGACATTATCCTCATGCACCTTACTGACGAGCTTGAAAGCCATGGCAGCGTAGTTTGTCAAATCCTTGGTAACAAAGGATGCGTCCGAACGACAATTGTCGCAAGTCTTGTTGCAATTGGCCGGGTCAAAAGGCTCGCTGAAATAGCCTAGTACTTGCGCGCGGCGACAATCGGCCTTGTTTTCACAGTACTGTACCACTGTTCGTAGCATATCATGCAGTCGCTGCTTCTGCTCCCTGCTACCATCGCCTTCGTCGATCATCTTCCGCAGCATCCTGGTGTCGGCAAACTGATAGTACAGGTAGCAGTCCGACCTCTTTCCATCACGTCCAGCACGGCCAGTCTCCTGGTAGTAGCCTTCCAGACTCTTTGGCATGGTGTGATGGATGACGTAACGCACATCGGCTTTGTCGATACCCATTCCGAAAGCTATCGTAGCAACAATGACATGGTACTGATTGCTTTGCCACTTCTTCTGAACTTCTGACCTCTCTTCGGCTCCCATACCTGCGTGATAGTGGTATGCGCGAACACCAAGATCGGTGAGTTTCTTCGCCACGTCTTCGCAATTCTTGCGGGAAAGGCAGTAAATGATGCCGGACTTGCGATGGTATCTCTCCTTGATCAGGTCGGCAAAGATGTTGACCATACCCTTGCCCTTTGGCAAAACTTCATAGGAGAGGTTGGGCCTGTTGAAGCTCTGAGAGAACATACGCCCGCTTTCGATGCCGAGGTTGGATCGCACGTCTGCGCGGACGAGCTGGGTTGCTGTGGCTGTGAGGGCAATAATGGGTATCCCAGGAAATTGGCGGACAACGTCTCCCAGCGCCTTGTAATCTGGACGGAAGTCATGGCCCCATTGACTGACACAGTGTGCTTCATCGATAACGATGCGTGCCAGATGGCCTCTATTGTACAGTCTCTGGAATGCGCTGATCATTCGTTGGTTCTTGCTGAGCATCTCTGGAGTGACATATAGAAGTTGAATGAATTTTCCGGGGTCATCTCGCTTCTCGAGCGTCTCCATGATCTCCGCCTTTTCGTTTGATGGCGTTTGCCCGTTGATGAGGCAAGCTTGAACTTGAAACCGGGTCATTGCTGATTCAACTTGGTCTTCCATTAAACTCAGAAGAGGAGATACTACAATGCTCACCCCGCTTGTCTTTCCTGAACGAATGACTGAAGGCAGTTGGTAGCACAAGGATTTTCCGCCTCCAGTCGGCATGAGCACGAAGCAATGTTCTCCAGCTAGTGTGGCGTTGATGGCCTCGAGTTGACCCGGCCGAAACCCTCGGAGATGAAACTTGTGAATGAGTGCGGCCCTGACATCCTTCGACCAGGGGTGATTCATGCCAGGCACCCCTTTGCTAGGCATGCTCATAGCTGGTTTCTTTGGTGAGGGTGGCTCGGGTTGTCGATGCACTGTATTGACTGTAGTTTCACGAAGAACCTCTCGCGAGTGAGGTGCTGCAGCGTTCGCTCGATCTCCTCTCCAGTCGAAACGACTTGACTCTTGATTGTCCATGTTGTCCATCTCGTAGAGGAGGCTCTCGTCATCATCCATGCCGAAGTCGTCTCCGCCGTCACTGTCCCCGGCACGTCCACTCGTCGCGCCCGGAGGTGGACCCATGTGCTCAGTAAACATATTCTCGTCGTCTTCACTGAAATCAATATCGCCAAAATCCTCCGCTGTATGGTACGACACATTTCCACTGGAACCACGGGCAGGGGCATGTTCGGTGGGGATTTGCTGCTGGCAGGTGCGGTCCTGAACTCTGGTGGTCGACCTGGCAGCCGATGGAGAAGCGGGAACTTGGTCCGCAGCGAAGCGTATGTGCCGATTAGGCGACCATACGCGTTGATTTGGCAGCTGTGTCTGCGGAACATGACTGGGCCCTGAGTCGACGGCCTTCTGTTTTCGCCGAGCAGGACTCGCCTGTGTCGCCTCAACAACAACGTGATGATGCTTGGCTTCGACCTTGGTGGCGGGTTTTCGTGGCTCCTTCGGTGCTGCTTTCGGTTGCTGAACGCCCGCAATACCGAGATAATGGTGTATCTGCACCTCAACGTCTTCGAGCGACTTAGAGACAGTCTTGAGAGCTGCGTAGTCCGCCTCTTCGTAGATGCCTTCCTCGATGTCATCCTTCACCCTCTTCTTGAGGACATCTCGTTCCGCAACTACCTTATCATACTGTTCCCTCAGAGCTGTCAATCGCTCTACAGCAGCCTTCTTGGGCCGTAGGCGCTCTAAATTCTCTTTGACATGCGGATCTGGGTCGTCGAGTCCAACTTGTTCAACAAACGCCGTCTTAGCCTTCTCCCAGGCCACGGCCAGGGATTGAAGGTGCCGATCACCACCCGAGACCAAGAAGAACCCAATCGCCTCGTGTATGATTGCTTTCTGCTCTTTAGACAAGTCAGACGAAGAAAATACGGGCTGCGCAAGCGATTGTACAGCTGGTGGTCTAGACTGCGACTTCTTCGGAGAAGGTTTGTCCTTGCGAGGGGACTGCGTAGTATCCGGGGTAGGTATGGAGCACTGCTTGTCTTCGCACGGGCTTCGACTACGGGCAGGCTTGCTTGGCGATCGTATTGGCAGTTGTAGTTGGGTCGATGGCTTTGTGGGACTACGGCTTGCCGTCTGCTTGCGTGTTGGTTTCGTGGGTGAAGACTTGGGCAGAAGATCAAGTTCCATGACGTCCAAGTCACCGAAATCCTCCTCTTCGTCTTCAGAATCCATCACTGCATGACCAACGCGCCTGGTTGTAGGTGTGCGTGTAGGTTCGACTGCGGAGGCCTTCTTCGTCGGTGGAGGGCTTCGTGCTTGCCTGCCAATCTTACGAGCTGGAGCCAGGGTTTCTGAAAGTACACGACTCAAGGACTTTCGTTTGCGACTCGCCACGACTGGTCCGTCCTCTTCTGACGACTGAACGAACCCCGCAGCCTCCTCGTCTGCGGCGATCTCTGCCTGCTTCTTCTGCTCCCTGCTCAGTGCTACGGTTGAATACGGCGGAGGCGGACTGGCTGGAGCGGGGGTATCTGGCGCCATGACAAAGTCCTCGATGTCAGGAAAGTCGTCCATCATGAGGTCTGGACTGCGCGTTAGGGCTTTGCGAGCTGGCTTAGGCGATTGTTGCCGTGCAAGACCCTCGCGATACTCGTCACTCTTCCTCTTCTTGCCCCTGTTGAAGTGGCTCGGTACGGGCGATGAGGGGACCTCGTCTCCCGTAAGGTCGATTGCCTCGACATCGAATACCTGCACACGTGGCTTGCGCAATGTCGACGGTTCAGCTGCGCTCGAAGATTCCTCTCTGGTGACCCACGCAGCTTCGCTGCGACCGGCTTTTGATGCATGACTACGCGCAATGCCATCCTCGCGCTGCTGTCTGCTTTTCGATGGTGTCGAGCCATAAGGTGGTACGCCCGCTAGCATGAGCCTAGGGCCCCCGGTGCTTGGTGTGGCGCGCAGTCTTGCCATATCACCTTCTATCTCTTCTGCGTCTTCTGTCTGTTCTGTCTCAGGTGGCGTGTGTGTATCAACTGCCTTCGTTCGAGCGAGGGTGCGGGATGGTGGTGGGCGGGAACCAGCAGGAGCGCGGGCAGTTGCAGGCCAGACAGCCGGTGCAACATCGACCAAAAGGGAGGGTTCGTCTGAAAGTGCGTCGAAGTTGGTAACATCGTCGGGGTTGTAGGCAACGAGCGGAACAGAAGGCGGGACGAAAGGCTTCGCGGCTAACAGCCACTTGAGATGCTGCTTAAGATTGTTCTGATGAGGCATTAGAGCCGCTCATGGTTGAATTCAGAGTCCTAGAGGTCGTCAACGCGTCCAAACGCGCCGTGTCACCGAATCGCGAATGCCGTGGTGGCGTTGTTCATGACAGACCGCGCTAGTGTTGTTGTCCGGGGCAAGATTGGAAAGCGCGATCACGCTAGCACGTGACCCTTGCCCGCTTTTACCCGCTTTGCGACCCACACCTCAATTGAAATGTGGCAGTACTTCGCGAGACAACAACCTTGCGACATCACTGTCCGAGTTGTTTGGCCCTGAGCTTATCCGAAGATGTTTAGAACGCGGCTCAGCGTTACCGGAGAACGTCCCGTAGCAGTCACAGCCATTTCACATCAAACGTTTTCCCCCTCACTTGTGCTATCTCATCCACTCTAACACCCTCGTGAAGTGTAGCGTATACACATCAGTGACCCCATAGCGCAGGTACAACTCAGCATGGCACCGAGTACCTCCACATCGATGCTAGCTCAAACCCCAGAGCTGATCAACAAGCTCTCCACAGCAATTGCCAGTCTGCACACCTCACCAACGCCAACAGACGTACTCCCATCTCAAAATGTCTTGTCAGAAGCACATGCAACTCTCAAGAGTGACCTTCTAGAACAAGGAGCTGGCCTTGAAGATACCATCCGTCACCTGACTCAGGACCTGGGACCAGCACTCAACGCCTCCTCGCGCTCAGCAACCTACTACGGCTTCGTCACAGGCGGCTCGACACCCGCAGCTTCTCTTGCCGACAACCTCGTGACCCACTACGATCAAAATGTCCAAGTCCACCTGCCCAACGAGACCCTTGCTACGGGAATTGAAGACCGCGCCCTCACCCTCCTCTGCTCGCTCCTCGACTTCAACCCTTCGCAATGGCCGCATCGCACATTCACCACCGGTGCCACAGCATCTAACATTCTTGGCCTAGCTTGTGGTCGCGAGTACATCATCGCCGAGGCCAGCGCGCACCGCACGGATGCCGAAGTCAGCGTTGGTGAACATGGGATTGTGGAAGCCATGCGCCTCGCCGGTATTGACAATATTCAAATCCTAACCACCGTTCCGCACTCCTCCCTCAGCAAAGCTGCATCGATCCTCGGTCTGGGCCGAAGCTGTGTTAAGACGATCGGTCGCGCAGACGCACCGCACAAATTCGACATGGATCAGCTGCAGAAACATCTTGCTCAGCCCGGCGCAGCAAGCATCGTAGCCATCTCCGCATCCGAAGTAAACACCGGTCTCTTCGCCACCTCCTCGCTCCAGGAAATGCAGTCCATCCGGCAACTGTGCGACATGTACGGCGCCTGGATCCACGTCGACGGCGCCTTCGGTATTCTAGCTCGCCTCCTCCCCTCCTCTCAACAATACCAAGCTATCAAAGACTGCACAGCGGGTCTCGAACTCGCCGACAGCATTACCGGCGACGGACACAAACTACTCAACGTGCCGTACGACTGTGGCTTCTTCCTCTCCCGCCACCGCGCGCTGGCCGAGAGGGTCTTTGCGAACCCGAATGCAGCGTACCTCGCGGCTGGGAGTGGGGGGGACGGTATCATGAGCCCCTTGAATATCGGGTTAGAAAACTCGAGGCGCTTCCGTGCATTACCGGTGTATGCTAGTCTTGTCGCGTACGGGAAAGCTGGGTATAGAGATATGCTAGAGAGGCAGATTGCGCTTTCCCGCGGTATTGCCAAGTACATCCACGAAAGCGAAGACTTTGAGCTTCTGCCCGAAGTCGAGGGTGAGGTGGCGGAGGCTTTGAGCAGTGTTTATATCATTGTGTTGTTCAGGGCGAAAGATGAGAAGTTGAACGGACAGCTGGTCGCTAAGATCAAGGCGAGTAGAAGAATATATGTGAGTGGGACGAGTTGGGAGGGCCGGCCGGCATGTCGATTCGCGGTGTCGAACTGGATGGTGGACGTGGGAAGGGATTTACCGGTTATTAAGCAGGTGTTGCAGGACATTGTTAGAGAATAGGCCGATTCATGGGTGAATTCTCTCAACATGATTTACTTTGTTGTAAGACATATTGAGGCCCGTCACTTCGGCTATAGTGCACAGCGCTCGGCTCCGTTATTTCTCGCACAGCAAGTTCATGGCTTCGAAATACTGCTCTCAAGCTTGTACTACTGACGCTTGATAGACGACAGATTTGCACCTTTCCGCGACCTTTTCTTATTTCGTGCTTTCATTACGAGCACGTATGCGTCAAGCTCTATTTCCACTATTGCTGCGTCAGCAACATGAACTAATCCGATGTGTCCTTCTCATACTCCAATGGGACAGGTCGTTATACGAGTGACCACCAGTCTTCCCCTCACTAGGCGGGCACAACTTGCCGTCGGTGTTGTTTACGCGCCGACGGTGATTGTATTATTCGTCCGAGCCAGCTTCTTGCGGAGACTGAGGCATCATCACCATACCAGCCATCTTGATGGTAAGTGCGTGGACCTCTCTCTTCGTTCTGAAGCACGTCAGTAAAATTCCTCGGATATTCGCTGGCGTTTATACAAGATCTTGGAGAGGCTGCGGTACGGAGAGTAACACGTGGCAAAGGACTGGCTTACACTGTCGATCCGCCGGTGCTGCTTGATAAACTGCTTCAGGAGAAGACTGAGAGTGTTTGCATGGCTAATGTGCCTAGGCGGCATAGTGTTCTTTGGGCATGCGTAATGTCGATTGTACGCATGTTTAACTCAAAGTTTTTCTATTATAGCCTGAGTCGCAGAAATAATTCTTTGGTAGCTGTGTTGCTATCTGCGCATGGAACCTATGAACTGCAGCCAGCCATGACCTAGGCAATATCTGTGCTGCCTAATAGCTCCCGCAGCTTTCTCTCTCAACGCGTGTTCGACCCTTCGCTCTTTCCGGAAGAAGCAGTTGCCATCTCAAAGTCCCTGTCGATGGCTCTGATCAGGTCAGGCTCAATCGTCTTCACCTCCAACAGTCCAGTGACTGGCATCTGGTGCCACTGAAGCAGCGGATGCCTATTCCTGACAGCACGAAGATCGAGCAGGAACTCATTTGGCAGCTCGATCGGCAATTCGGTCGCCTCCTTCTTCAAGCAGTCCCATCCCAGGCTTTTCCACTGCACCCAGATCTCCACAACCATCGCCCTTAGTGCGTAGCATCCCGTCATCTCATATATCATCTTGATCTCCTGGCCGCGCGGTATGTCACTGATCTTGTTGCACCATTCGAATATCGCTTTCATGACGCTTAGACAGAACCCCTGGTTCAGAAAGTGGAAGCCAACGTGATAGCAGAGTATGAGTTTGACCAGGATTGTGCTCTGAAGGCTTCGAATCTCAGTGCGACCGTGCAAGATGCAGTCTATGTAGGCCTCGACAGCTGCGGGTGCGAGGGTGGGGAAGAGAGAGGAAAGTTCGAGAATCCAGTGTCTTCGGCACCACGGGCACCTGTCCCCAGCCCTGCTATTGACTGAAGAGACTCTCCAGTATTTGATGCAGCGCAGGTGGAAGGTCTGACCGCAGGAGATACAGCAAGTGAGGCGAGGCTGGAGGTCGGTTTGGGCCTGAACATCGGACTGAGTATCGTCAAGAAGATAGAGTGACTCATAGCAGATGTAGCAATCGTCGCCAATGCGACGTTCATCCTGAAGGTAGTTCCTGAAGAAGGCCGAGTGTAGGCAGAGGCGATCCTGCGAGATGCGCCACTTACTTAGATAGTAATAGATCTTGGGTTTAGGCCTGTGCGATAGTCAGTAAGAAACACGCACTGCTTTCAAAGTGCCCGGCCTTACCTGGTAGTATTTTCGCAACCGTCGTCACTTCTGTTAGCCGTGGGCATATCATCTGCTCTTGTCTTGTTGAAAAGGCTCTCCTGGGCTTCAGGGGGATCTTTTTTACCAGCGTTCGACAGTGAGAGGGCGGCAAACTCTGCCGAAGCTATGTCAAGGGTCAGTAGCGTGGTTGCAATTTCATAAGGTGGGAGAGCCTCACTGAAGTATTCCGAGAAGTCGAAAGGATGAGCAGACATAGCGAGAATCCAAGAGATGGCTTTTGAAGTAAAGACTCTCAAAGATGGAGGCAATAAGAAGGATAGATCATAAGGGGTGGTTTTGTGGTGTTATGTGTGCTGGAGGATGTAACCGAGCACAGCTGAACCATGGTAGAGTAATATTGTGATCAAACACAGAGCTCAACACGAAGGAAGGGCCACGCTAACATGATAAACAGAGCACAAAAACTCAAACCTAGATATTGTTGTCTGTTTGGGGTAGATAGAATTGGTTTTTGCGAAACAGAGCAGAGGCTTGCATTGTCGTGATCGACTCCTCGCCCAGAATGATAGACGTTTTCTTGTCATATCTTTCGAAGAGGCTCGTTATTGAAGACGCACCAAAGCGCACCGCGGTATTTCGGTAGAAGGTGGCGTAACACTTTAAGGCTCCAAACCTTGGACCCTTTTTGATAAGAGTCTGTCAAGCGAAGAAGCAGTCAGTACAATCCTGTAGTCCTGTGTTGTGATGTTGCGATTTGTCAAACAAGACCTTTCTTCGATTGTCGCGTCCCTCATTATAACCATCCTCATACTCCCTGGATCCTATGTTGGCGGAAGCCATTGCAACCGGGTCGAATGTTGCCTCCATTTGGTCCCAAGATCGAGAGCAGGTCGAGTAGTAGAATCTATTGCAGAAATCGGCCAATTCCAGCTCAGCCTAGAGGTTTTCGAAATGTGCAGCTGCGGGTTCAAGCGGCTCGAGGAAGATGAGGCAGCCATCATGATCTCACCTCTTGGACACGGATAGATACTGGAAGTACTTTGATAACTTGCACAAAAGGTCTTTCACGAACGATGTGGCGGGTTTCGAAGTAGACATAAGTCTTTGGCTTGCATCTGTATTATTGTTAGCAGAATGCCATGAGTACCTCGGCGATCATGCCTCTTACTCGACAGGGAACCGGATGGGAGCGGTTTCTTCGATGTATTTGTTAGCATTCTCTGCCTATCTGATTAGCTCATCTTAGAACTTCTCATCTACAGAGGCCAACTGCTAGATTGAAGACCATGTTCAACAGCGGGATTGGAGAAATCCTGTTCTGGACTAAAAGCCGATGCTAGAAGTGATGTGGAGGTTTGGAGGGAATTATTGATAAGATTGAGGATACGGGATCAAATATGCGTAGACAGAAACAGCAAAGTTGCGAACCATGGTTCTGCATCATGTTTACCTCGGGACCCCTCAGGCGAACCCTTCAGTCATTTGTCGCTGTCGCTGTCGCTAATCACAGTACCACTCTCACTTCCTTACCCATCTTCTTCACCATCATCTTCGTCCCTTCTTCCTCTGACTCGTCTTCGTCTGATGTACTATCTTAGTTACTGCCCCATTCTGGCGGCTCATGCAGCGCAGCCTTAAGAGTCTTCTTCGTCCACGTAATAGGTTCCTTCAACTTCGAGCCATCGACAAATGCCTTAGCAAGATCCCGTGTAAACTCCGTTGGATACTTCTCCCAGTTTCTACAGACAGTGTTGAGGTCGTCACTGTCATGCTATCGGAAGAGACCAACTAAGAAGCGTCGTAGACCGCACTGAACTGTCGTAATGTCATATGCATACTTGACATGGCCTAATGTTGGGGGTTCCCCGCCTTGATCGAGACACCGTTCAATGATAGCCCCAAGGACGTCGGAGCAGAATGCTTGATTGTTGACTTTTGTGCCAAGAACATGTGCGTCGAAGAACGTCGGTAGGCCGTTGTGCCAATCATCCATCTTAAGCTTCGTACCATAGATCCACTCAACGTAGATTTCGAAAGCGTTGGGATCAAGCGATGGTAACCGGTGGACCTTGTTCACTTCGCGGTCGGTCCACTTCTGTCGACATGGTGGACATTTGCTTGTCCCTCGCGCAGGCGTCTGACCCTTCTGTTCCTCAATGCAAGCATAGTGGAAGTCGCATCAGCAGGAGGAAGCGCAGTACGTTGGCTCCTCCTCGTCCGGTTGGAGCTCCTCTTGGCAGATAGAGCAATCGGCAACGATTGCTTTGCGCTTCGGTTGCAGAAGGTCTCGGAAATACGACGAGGTGCAGATAAGTTCTTCGTGTACGACGAACAGTTCTCGGCCTTGACCAATGCTAAGGCGTACTGTTTTGCGACCAAATCTGGAGGACTGTTGGCAGAAGTGTGCGATCTGCAGTTTTGATAACACTTACCTCATGACAATCTTCTTGCGGATACCCGCACGAGTCGTCATATCTGACATAATGTTGTATGGTTCTCGTGAAGTAGGATTCTTCCCACACGACTCTGTCAACTTGCGGGAGTCAGTCAGTGAATGTGATTTCTGAGGGCAAGCAAGACATACCTTGATGATATGAATAAGAGGCAGGTAGTGTATATTGATATGGGACGCCAGCTGTACCATGATTTACCGGGCAATCCAGTACCGTCGAAGCTCTTGCCGAAGTGAGAGAAGCATCGAACAAGGGACGCTGGTGCGATTTGATTTTCTACGAGGTCTAGGTAAGGTGCATCCTTGAGTGAAGAGACACACCATGTCCCGAGACAGGTTGGCAGTTCGGACCGCCGGCGCCTCTGATAAGCAAATTTGCAGGTTTGTCGTTCATACAGGTATGTTGATAGGCAAACCCTCCTTCAGGTCAATAGGCTCCGGCTAAGATCTCTGCAGCGTTCTTCCTGAGGTTGATAAGCACCTGCGTCAAGCAGCATCTCAATCACTTGCTCGTGGCCTCCAGCTGAAGCTGCCTGCAGTGCGTTGCCGCTGTAACCACCCTGCGCGTTGACGTCGGCGCCT